GTGTGTTATTCACGCGTAACCAGTGGCGGCGCCAAGGGGGCAAGCGGGGGGGGGGGGCGTCATTTGCCCTCCCAAAAATCTGGTCTGCCCTCTGTTTGCGCCCAACTCCCCTCCTAATAATTTTAAGAAATGAAAAAAAAATATTTGTGATATGTTTTGATAATCAGTACCTTCGTTTGACACAGCTCCTTCTCTGATCGGATAAGCTAGTGATTTGGCGAAGACAGTATCTGGTCATCTCTATTTATTATTCCATGCGTCATTACTAAATGGAAAGAGGAACTACTGGATGAAATATTGCCAAAAAACGATATCTATTGTAACCTGATTTCTCCTGTTATCCACACGAAGACATCGGCAATTTCACAAACCAGTCTGAGCTTTCCTTTGTGAACTATGCAATAATATTAACCAAATATCATATTTATAAGACAAAACTTGTATCTAATCAACCAACTAAAAACGGGTACATCGCTTTTGTACATTCAAACGCAAAGGTAGACCCACAAGTAGATAAGGACAAATTAGAAAAGTGTAAATTCCTGTTGAGTCACTGATCCCACTCGAAATGTTGAGATTTTTAAGTTTACGAACATCATGAACAGATTGTAATGTTGAATCTGTCTATAACCGCTTTCTTTTTATATACTTGTATGTTAATGTATATTACTGGATAATATTACGAATTACGGTCAATAAACCAGTTTTAAAAAATATAGAAATAATTTCTAAATTTATCTATTGTCGAGAAGTGGTTGATTTCGCAATAATAACACGTGGATATGCTTTGATCAATGAAAGTTCCGGTTGAGTCACTGAACAGATTGTAACGCTGAATCTGTCTATAATAGCTTTCGTTTAATGTACTTGTATGTTAATGTATCTGGATTATATTACGAATTACGGTCAATAAAAATAAAAAAAATAAATAAAAAAATTAGAAATAATTTCTAAATTTATCTATTGTCGAGAATTGTCTGATTTCACAATAGTAACACGTGAATATGCTTTGATCAATGATTATTTGCCTCCATTATTTAACATGTATGTCTTGATTCTATGCATATCTGTTAAACAGTTTCATTCGTACCGGAAGTCACATCAGTGACCTGTCACTGTATCGCAGTTCTAGTTTAATTATAGAACTAGAATACTACTATGGTTTAATAAATTAACCTTTCATTTGAACTTTTATCCTATCTGATTAAAATGCAGATCTATATTTCGTGTAGTACAGACAAATAAAACGAAATCTTGAACTATAAAAAACGAAACGAAATAGGATCTGTGTTTTAATCAGATTGGCTTTTATTCGATTAGAAATATCTAACCAAACACATATAAATATGAATTTATGTTTGACTGTTCCATCGTTAGACACGAACACAAGATAGTAATACTCAATGACATTTTGCATCGGTTATCGAACACTCATCATCATACCGTATAATACAGAGAGAGAGAGAGAGAGAGAGAGAGAGAGGAGTAACGTCCACACGACACAAACTAGGTCATTTCGGGACTAACATATGGTTCTATTTTATTTCAATAATGCGCTTGTGCGTAGGGGTCTTTAGCAGTGGTAGGAAACCGGAGGACCTGGAGAAAACCCACGAGATTGGATAGGCGACCTTACTCCTTGTCACGTACAATCGTGGAATCGAAAGCACACCAGTTGACTCAATGACTGACCTTATGATTCAGCGCGCACGTGCCAACCATTCGGCCATCCAACCCCTCTTCCGTATAATAGAGTTTAAAATTATACAGAGTTCAATTTGAAAGCTGTCACTTTTAAAACTAACATTATCTGAAATATTCTAAATTATTAAAGTATTATTTGAAATATTCTAGATAAAAATGTAACAAATAAATACTTTAACCTGCACGGGTATAATATTGACAGACACAATTAACAACCCATTTACATAATGTGTTTGGATATTAGGGGTTTAAAGCGAGAATTTCAAATTTTCTAAGAAAGTCAAAACATAATTATTTCTATGTCTTTTGCTCAATAGGTTATCAAATCACTATTATACGATCATGGGCATTATTTCCCACCCTTAAAAATGTATGACACAGGAAATAACAACACAGTTACCTCCCCTGTTTTGCTATTGACAACATTGTGCAGCCATTTTCCAACGTTGGAATTTGAAGTTAAAAATGATATTTTTGCCAATTTCTCAGCAGGCAATAGCGAATTATAGGATTAATAGGATTATTCTTTAACAAGGTAGGACTGTTTATGGATACCATCTATTTTAAGGCTTTATTTTAATACATTTTAAAAATATAACTTGAAAATTTGCAATTTCCACTTTAATGCCGGTGTATTCCGACATAAGTGTGTTTATATAGCGAAAGGGTAATGCGTTCCTACTTATTCCATTTATGTAGCTAAAGTGATGAATACCTCGTGAACATTCGGAATTATTACTGAAATGTTCTGATAAATGTAGACGATAAATACAAAAATTGGGTGTGGCTCTGCCCCTGGGGGTTGGATACGGAACAATATAAATAGGTACCACCCTGTTATTGAAATGATTGATATGCTGAATTAGAACAAAATCTGTTAATTATTGCAACCTGTAGAGTATTTACCGATAAAAACTAACAAAAAAGTGGGTGTGGTACCACATCCCTGGGGGTCGGGATATGCATCAAAATAAATAGTTGCTATCCTTACAGTATAAGGAATAAATATGCCAAGTTCCAAGATGAACTATTTAGAATTCCAGTCTGTAGACAAAAAAACCCACAAAATTGGGCGTGGCCTTGTCCCTGGGTGTTGGACATGGACCAATATATATAGGTACAACCCTATGCTGGATCATTCCGAATTAGATCCAAATCTGTTAATAAATGCAATTGGGCGTGACTCTTTCCCTGTGGGTCGGGGCATTCACCAAAATCAATAGTTGACGCCCTTAGGCTATAAGGAATACTAGAAATGGTTCCACTACTGATGTCTTCCGTCTTGCTCCAGCCACAGTAGTGGACCGTCCTAAGGACTTCCTTTGTAGTCAATTGACTATAAAAGGTTACTGGCCTATAACTCCCTTAATTTCCAATAACACTGACCCCAGACTGTACTGTACATAGCTTAACATATAATAAACCAATTTCCATTGAAATAAAGGTGAAACCTTACCGTATAATTATATGATTTGATTAAACCCAACTGCTATGCGAAATTTATGTTCAGTTTAAAATGGCTGCCGAACCAGAATCATGGGGTGTCATGTCACTCAAAAAACTGTTCGGTAAGATAAGATTATGATTTCAGTGTTCCATTCTTGACTATTTGTAAGATAATTACTTATTTCCATGCAAACTGTGAAGATATTGAACCTAATTTTACTTGCTCAAAGCCTTGAATTAGTTGAATAGTGTATCAATTCCAGCCGTAGATAAGAATTATCAGGGCTAAAAATTGCAGCTATAAGGAATACATATGCCAAGTACCAAGTTGATCGATTGTGAATTGTGGCCTGTAAACTATAAATGCACAGTTGTCGTCCTACTTAGGCTATAAGGAATACATATCCCAAGTTTAAAGACGATCCTTCAAGAATCGTGGCACCATAACCATGGAAGCGTATAGGGTTCAATGTCAAGAAAGATACCGCGATATTAATATGATGTCAAGATATTGTGATTTTAACCCTGAAAAGACATTTTTTGCTGAGTTAATTGAATCAATGCTCCATGTTATGTGCCGTCATTTCGTTCTAAATGTGCACGTTTGCGTTAAGGTATTACCATTCTGAAGCATTGTCATCATATTCCATTTCATAATGGTATATAGCGCACGGTGATAATGGAATATGTTGCCAAAATTTGAGAAGAGGAATATCATAACTCAAATGGGCGCATTTAAAACTAAATGGCGACATACAAAATAGCGGGTTAGTACAATTAACTCGGCAAAAGCTGTCTTTTGAGTGGTAACATCATCGCATCAATCACAATATGAAGACATATTACCATATTAATGTCGTGATATCTTTCGCGCTATTGACCCCTATACGCTTCCATATAAAACTGATACGCTTCCATGGTTTTGTGCTACAGAAAAATAAACTACCAAAAACTGCCAAACTTTGCGGCACTTTAGTTGTCAGTCTAATCTTAAAAAAATAGATATGTAAACACTGCACTCCCGTAGTCCGTTATTAATCAGTTGGGACCAATGAACGGTTTAATCGCATTACCTACAACTGGTATGGAGTAAGTCGTTACAAAATCATACATTGTTCTACAGCGCCGCTGTTGACATTCATTAACAAATGTAATCATTTGTCGCTAACTCACTACAAATACTTAATTACGGCATCAGGTTCAGGATAAGTAAAAAATGGGACTCGTCCTTGTATTCGTATGTGATGTGACTTGGAATAATAATTAGTGTTGGGAATTTAATTGGTCAAAATCGAAAGGAAAAGAAAGAAATGATTCTTGACTTTAAATAATTAGCCATTCCAGTGGGTCATATTAAAGGCTGGGGTTTCTTGGGCTATAAATTGTGTAGTAATATTGTTTCTGTGGTTTGTTTCAGAAATAGACAATCATTACGATTATCCTTAATTAATCTGACTAAATTAGAAATCACACACGTAATCAAATCTTTCAAAGCATATAGGAAAGTCACTCAGAACCGACCTTGGTTAAATAGTTCATTCAAGCCTTCAACTTCAAAAGCGTAATTGAAGGGAGATAATTAAAGAGTCACCGTAACAAAATAAATTAAACAGATTAAAGGATTTGTTTTTAAAATTGTTATTGTTAACCTTATCTAATTACAGTTAAGTCCGTGTAAATCTTCTCTATTTGTTTAATGTTTTAAAATTTATGGAATTTCGGTAGATCAATAAAAGATAGTATTTCCTGCATGAAGGCTTTGAGACCACGCCAAACAGGTTCACTAAAAACCTATAAAACCACATATTACATGACATACACATATAATATAAAACAATATGAAACATACAAAAAAGCAAATTCGATTATTTCATATACCGTTGTATAAAATAAACTAATCTTCTAGGTTAGCATAATATTTCTTCTAAAGTGTCTGTCCTTCTCACACCCAGTCTATAAAACTAACGCTGAAAATTAACTGTTCCTCAGTACCGTTGATAGACAGGGTATTATGGGGGGACATTTACAACCGTATCTACTAATATTTATAAAGTTCAACAACCATTATCGATATTTTATAACAAATATATACATCTAAATGAACACATTAAAAAATCACTAAATAAAAGTAAGATTGGCTGTTTGAGTTGTATTAACTACGAAACCAGGCGGTAACGTTTCTAAATTAAAGATGGCGTCTCCCCAGCCATATACAGCCATAACTAAAAGTGGTATGGCTACGATGTTAAGTACAAATCCAGCGGTTGCCTGGAAAATAAAAAAAAGGTCATGCTGTTTAGGAGAACATGTCTCTACTTGAAACAAATCGGAATAACATTATCTACCTAATTTGGTTGAAATACATACAACAATTTAGACGAAAATGTTTGAACAAATTAAATTTCCCCCTTTAAAGATGTGCCACCGGCCTTCAACCTGATACGAGTAATCAAGTTCATTTAAACAATTCTGATTAAACACCAGGCAAGCAATATGACTACCAAGGCAGATATTAGGTTTAGGAGATATTTGTATAAATGTCTACAATTTCGTTTTAAGACGCAATTATACCAACCCCTAGACGGACTATAGATATGGCCCTTGGAACAATGGTTTCAAAATAAAAACTTACCATATCTATTATTCTTAAATGGCCATATGCAAAAACCAACGCATTTGGAGGTGTTGCTACTGGTAACATGTAGGCGAATGATGTAGAAATGGCGGCTGGTAACATATAAAATATTGGATTGACACCTGTACTCTCAGCCTGTAATGTGCATTTCAAACATGAATTATTATAAATACAAACACATGACTCACAGTTAATTACACAAGCATTTGATTTAATCCTTAGGTTCCACTGTAAAAAAATCATCGGCGTAGTGGATATTTTTCTCCTGATGGATCTCCCGATGCTCACAGTGTTTTTGCACAAAAAAACGAAGTAGTCCAATGATAAAGGGCACTTATAAGGCATCGGCAATGATTTTGCTATAGCCACAAAGCTCCTAGGAATATCCCCCGATTAGTGCTCGGGAAAGCTCCGAGGTACCTTCGTCAGAGGTACCTTCGAGGGGGGGGGGGCTGGAGGTGGGAGGGAGGGGCTTGTAACTTCGGTGAAAAATCCACAGATATAACAGAGAACGATGTAGGTCTTTAAAAATTTTAATAAGTTCTGTTGTACTCACCAAGGTAGACAAGATAGGCATAATTATTGTTGCGATAGCAATGTTGCTTGTAACTTCGGTGAAAAATCCACAGATATAACAGAGAACGATTAACATTACATACGGATGTAGGTCTTTAAAAAAATCCAGTTGTTCTCCAATCCATTCTGACAAACCCGAGTCCTGAAATTAAATAAATGTCGATTTGATTCTGTGTGTACGGAACATACGATCCGTACTCAAATTATGAACACATAGAGAACGCAAATCATTGTTTATTAAACGTCAACACCAAAGTAAGCCTGCAAAATGATGAAAATGTGTTGAAGAAAAGTATATAATTATGTGTGTACTGCAATCTACTGTTAAAGGACAATATTGGTGTCAGTCATTATAAAATATGTGATAGAACTGGTTAAATGCATCCCAAATATAACTTTAACACAGAGATCATTGCTACGGGAGATGTGTAACAAGCACGTGAAGAAACGGGAAGTGACGACGAACATGACAAACACGAGTTATCCTACTATATAACTGATTGAAGCAACGAGCGATAACAGACACGCGATCGAATTTCATTTCACTGATAATTCAGTTGAAGATGAAAAGCTATTATATGAGACGGGGAAAGGATGTCTGACAATTCAAAAAAGAATTGGCTGTCATTAGATAAAAGATAACGAACAAATTAGAAAAAGTCCGTGCATTACCATGTTTTTATTAAGAACAGAATGAATAAAAACGGGGGAATGCACGGGATTTTTCTATTTTTCTCGTTTTCCCTTATCTAGTGACAGCCAATTCTATTTTTGAATTGTGATATACCCTCTCACCGTCCCATATAATAACTTTTCAACTTCAACGGAATTATTAGTGAAATGAAATTCGATCGTTTGTCTGTTATCGCTCGTTACATCAGTCAGATACATAGAAGGATAACTCGTGTTTGTCATGTTTGGCGTCACTTCCCGTTTCTTCACGTGCTTGTTACACATCTCCCGTAGCAATGATCTCTGTGTTAAAATTATATCTGGAATGTATTTAACCAGTTCTATCACATATGTAATTATGACTGACACCAATATTGTCCTTTAAATCGTTGCATTTTGATAATATTATAGAGTGTGTTTTTAACTGCCTTAGTTGACTACATGTATTTTAACTACCAAGACGTCGTTTGAATTTAGCTTAAAGGGGCATTATGTAAGTTCAGATAACGAGCTAACAGATCTCACTATAATAATTCAAAAAATAGATAATGAAAAGGGAATATGTTGAAAATTTCAGTCCAATTACTTCATTCAGAGCGGAGTTATCGTCGTTACAATAATAGTGTAGCATCGATTGCCATTGCTAACGTTGTTACGATAATAAACAAAGTCTCGATTACCCATTTCTACGTTAACTCATCAACCACAGATAGGATTTATATATGTTGATAATCGAGACTGTACGTTGGCGTCGAGCTTTGTTTTTGTTTTGTTTTGTATTTTTATTTTTTTTTTTAAACAATATTTTATTCAGGTTGTCTGAATGGCATTGGGGAACAGGCTTAGTCAATGTAAAACATGTCGAGAGTTGATTTTGGTCTTGGTAAGTTAATTAATGTCTAATTTATAATTTACAAAACATTGAAGGCATAAAGAAAAACCTGATTTAGCTCTTGCATAATGCCTGTTTAAAGGGAAAACTATAAGAAAATATCAAGCGAATTCTTTTATTAAAAATTATATTATAGATATAGGCATGGAACCTTTAACATTAACTGGATATTGTGTTGTGCGATTCCAATAGAATTGGCCTTATCAAGAAATTATTGAAGGGAACACCCGAGAAATTGTCACACCGTTACACAAAAATATTACATATTTTGGTAGATACGACTTTCCATTAACCAAAGCTAATACAGGAGAATTCTCGGGGGGGGGGGGGGATAATGTCTCCATATGTCTACTATACGTTAGATAACAGGAGAATTAAAATACTAATTGATTTTCTGATGGGTTAGATATTTCGGGTATGCACTTTTTAATAATTATTGGTTTTAATTACACGGCTTTCGCCGTTTTATTAAAGCTAGTCGTGGTCCTTGAGCAATCAGTTAATGGGGTCAAAGTATTGGACGTAGTAATACCTTGACATGTGAAAGTGACAACCGTATTGCTATACGTTTCGTTGACATGCTGGTCGTGGCCTTGACGCAATCAGTTAATGGAGTCAAAGTATTGGACGCAGTAATACATGTCATGTTAAATGATAACCGTATTGCTACGTTTCATTGATATGCGGGGGTAATACAACTCTGTCAACCTTGGACAGTACAGAAACCTACCTTCTAGATAAGAGACAAAATAAAACATAATATTGAAAGCAAGTAGCGTGAATTATTAATGCCATGTAGGTGAATATAATATAGATTATCACTAAATAAACAAATGGCTGTATTTTTTTCGTAATAATCATTTGAGTAGGGAATGTAATTTGAACTTTTGTTCGAGGATGTTACATATAGAAGAATTAAGTATGGCGGTGTAAATAGAAAACTAAAACCCCGGTAAATTATATCGTTCAGGTACTTTTGTTTACCGCGTATCTGATAACGACAAGAAGAGACTTGTTGAAACGTTGCACTATTAGTGTTGCTAATAATTGTTATCCATAAAGTTGAGGTTGTGTTATTTCAATGTTTTCTTATCACCCTATACGGTATTGCAAACAATATACTCTCAGCTGTTTTATACCACAATTCGGTATGTTATTGAACTTAACATCAACAATTACCAGTTATTCGCAGCGATCGTAGCCGAATTATTTTGGGAACAATTTTTTATCCAGTACATTTGGCCCAATATGTATTCGAATTAAATATCTACCCATTTTGTTTGAAGAATATCAAACTCTTATTTGACATTAATTTTGATATAACGCGCTGATGCTAAAATGGACTTTGTCCATGTTTAATTTAGTTGTTTGCATATTTATATATACTCCCTTATGTCAATGTAGTCATGTTATATTTTTGTGAGACTATACAATATCGTATACACTAATAGAAGGAATATATTTAGACAGGCTTGGATTACCTATTCAAAAAAATACGAAACACTAAAAAGGGATTCACTAAGGACTAGTGTTTGTCCATTTTGACAAAATAAAGTACATATATCGGCAGTATGATATTGTCTAAAAAGTCTGGGTATGTTATCTTTGCGGATATGTTTGGTCCAACAACGTCTTTGTCATATACTAAATGACAGTAGTGGGTAGTTGTATGAACACCTGGTACCATTTCCCATTCCTATTAGAGATATATTTCGTACGTGGCAATTGAAGTCAGGAATTTACTGAATTCTTTCATTACACTTTGGATTTCACAGCTGGTTAGGATTGAGTTCGTTTCGTCATCATACCTGGCATCCTTTAGCTAAGGCAAATCCACCTCCCAATAGAATAAAGAGAGACCATGGCATCTTTTCGTGTACCTCTCTCCAGACTAACAGTGGTCGTGGAGATTCAACATCGTCTTCTATTAGATATGAAAATATAATATTTAAAATTGTAAACCGAAAAAGGCAGCCACAAAACTATTAATTATTATGCAAATAATAAACAGAACTTCCAAAGTCTAAAGTGTAGCATTTTATGAACACTTCCTAAAGTCTCTAGGACTACTAACTAATTATTTGAGGAACAGAAATATATAATGCCTTATTATCGCCAAAGCATACATGATGCTTTCAAATAAATATAGTAATGAAATATACAATTACTGTCACATAAAATATAATTACTCTCACCAAAAATGACTATGAATAGTTTCACAAAGAGTCATTAAATAGTTTTACAAAATAATAATCAGTAAATAGTTTTATAAAATAATAATCAGTAAATAGTTCCACAAAAATAGTAAATTGTGTCGGAGAAATAGGTTGTATTACAAAAGCACACGCATGGGGGGGGGGGGCTGGTGGACCTACCCCAATACAATTAGAAAAACAATTGAACTCTGTAGATGCCATTTCCATGTACTTCGGGCCCGGATCCCCTTAAACTAATCCTGGGCAAGGGGGCGGGGGTGCTCTGATTAAAAAACAGATCTATATTTCATTTCGTTTTTTTATACTTTCGATGGCCTACACTACATGAAGATCTAACCATTTTTACTGAAAGGACGCGTCAGGGGTCGTACGAGCGGCTTTGACCCTATGACGTCAGACATCGGTTATTCAATCAGCGTTGACGTTTCTAGTGGTTTACCCATAGTTCCGTGCATGGCACGCCAAGAAGTCGACGTAACAGATGGTTTCATTGGCTAAACTCACGCCACCCAGAATGCATGTTATATAAAAACTCTTCCAGATCCTAGTGTAGTACAGACAAATAAAACGAAATTTTGAAGTATAAAAACGAAACGAAATAGGGTCTGTGTTTTAATCAGATTGTAAAAATTGTAGCTGTCACAATTAGTGAAATACAGAAACACCACAAATAATTAAAGTTTTACTCACCATCCTTGTCAGCATTACAAAAAATTTTCGGTGCTTTAGAAGGTAGGAAAAACATGAGAACTGCTAATAATATAGCTGGTGTTGAATCTTTTACATAACTGAAAACAAAAACAAAATTCGGATTTTTAGACAAAATCTACCTCTGAAGACCCATAGTATAACCATCAATTTACATAAAATGGGATGTTATTTATTTATAAGTCCATAATGTAAAATCAATTATGAAAATATCTTATGTTCAATGTGCGGAATTAGCTCAGAAAATATAAATAATAATTTCTACATTTTAATCTAGAATTTTGAAATTTATAGGACTTGTGGACAAGACTTTATTAAAATGACTACTTACCCTTCTTCAAACAGATCACCCCATCCTCCTATTCCTCCTATATCTCTACTTATCCAACATACAACTAATGTACCGAACAAAACCATCACAGAACCTTGGGCGTATCTAATGAAATGAAAATCAATTGTTAAAATTCACAGATGAAACAAGTATCATCGAGAAGCATGATTATAGGTTTCATCTCTGTCGAATAATTGCAAACGTCACTCTTTAATAGGCTAAAAAACACAGACGGATCAACATCCCTTACTGGATACCGCAATATTAATGTGCTTCTTTGCGTTAAGATGTTGCTATTCTGACTCTTTGTCAACTCATTTCATTTCGCCGTAGTATGTATCGACATGTTCGCAAAATATCGCCATGCGCTGTGTCGACACCTGTACTTGAAACAAAATGACTACATACTACACAGCACTTTCATTCAATTAACTCGATATAAATTGTGTTTTCAAAGTTAAAATAATCGCATTGGTCACAATATATTGCCAAATTACCTTATTAATATCACGGTATAATCGCCCTATTGACCCCTACACGCTTCTATATTCACTGCAAAAGCAGAACGAAATGAAGTGAGGTTTGATTATAACGTCCTACTGTTCTGCTCCGAACTGGGCTAATGAAGACGGGCATACGCCATACAGTGTGCTATGAGGGAAATTATGACAGGACAGCGGCACTACGGCCTACTCTTATATATAATTCAAACGATCTTTTACGTGCACGCCAATCAGTACATGGGTCCTCGGTTTTTCGTCCCATCCGAACGACTAGACAGCTGTCATTGTCAGGCCCTCCGCCCTGCATCACTCATGACTAGAGGGAACCACGCCGGAAAATCTGGATGAACTTTCTCGGCCAATGCAGGGATCGAACACCCGACCTCCAAGCTAGCGAGCCAGCGTCTTACCCACTTAGCCACCTTGACCCCCGCAAAAGCAGAACAATCGTCGACCATCAAATTAAACATAGTTTAATTAGTTGACATGAGCCAGTCCCCTCTTCTCCACATAACTTTTTTTTTCATCTTTACATACGGTTATAAACTTTCATTACATTAAAACTTTCTAATACCGAGTAATATAAAATATGTAAAGCAACGCATAATACAGTATGGACAGTTTAGCTAACAGAATTCTACATCCTATAGAAATCAAAAAATAGAAAAGAAGGAAACGTGATTTATAAAAACGGTTATCAAGAAGAAGTAAATAAAGCTTATTTTGTAATAATATGCACACCTTTTGCGCAATGGTATATACGACAACGAAAAAAATCTATGTTGCACATTTGTCTTCATTTATGACTTGGTAGTTTTATAAATCCAAGCATGGCCACTTTTTTTTTTTTTTTTTTAAATAAAAAATTGTAAACACGTATAAAAATTAATCTTTAAATGAATTAATTTGCCCGAATTTTTAAACAAACCAACTGATTAAAATGCAGATCTATATTTCGTTTCGTTTTTTTATACTGTCGATGGCCTCTACTTCATGAAGATCTGACCATTTGTAGTGGGAGGTCGCGTCAGGGGTCATACGGGAGTCTTTTGACCCATGACGTCAGACATTTGATTAACCAATACGCGTTGATGTTTCTAGTAGAATTCCCACAGTTCCGTGCATAGCACGCCAAGAACTCACTGCAACAGACCGTTTAATTGGCTAATCCCTCACATCAACCAGAATGCGGGTTATATATCAACTCTTCCAGATCCCAGTGTTAAAGACAAGTAAAACGAAACTTTGAATTATAAAAACAAATGAAATAGGATCTGTGTTTTAATCAGATTGAAAGATAAAAGGAGTTTTTATTTTTTAAAAAAAAGTGTGTATTCATAGTGAGCTTTGTGAGCCCATATTTACTCAGGATATCATGTGAAATACAGTTTATTGACCCTATCCCACTTGTAAGTTGTGTATTTTGTGCTGTATACTCCAAGATAAGATAATATATAGTTACGTAATCATATATTTACAATAAAGACATTTAAAGATGTATTATGTAATATTTAGTTAAAGAGCTGATCATTCTTGCTATGAAAAATGAATATATTGAAAATGTCATTTATATTACTTTATTGTAATGAATGACTGTTTGAAGATGTAGCGTAGAATGTGTATTATCGTAGCTACGGTACTTGAGAATAGAGGCTAAGTTTCTGTTATCCATTTTATTATTAAATGTTTAAATCTCGCGGATTTTTTAATCCCTTTAAATCTCCGACATGTGGATTTCTAGTGGGTTGATCATGGGCATGCCATGTGAATAAATGTCTAAATATAAGTGTATATATACTTTGGAATCCAAACTAAAGACCTACAATAGGAGGGTTTAGCTCTTACATAATGAATGCATCTTTAAAGGGCTTTTGTGGTTAATGCATATAATTTACAGAAGAGACGAACTATGAAAACAATAGCTCTCCGTAACATTGAATTTGTATGGGCGTTTTCAGTGTACGGCCATTCAAGAGATTTAGCGTCTATAAAACCAATTTAACAAATATGTAATTCTTTGACTTTGGAGGGAATTCGCATTTCAAAATCAAATTTATTAATCAAGGAGTTATTGTGAACAGTATTGATATTTCTATTTATGTTTTACCGGCACAATGTTTGACTCAAATAGTTTGATTCAGTTAGATACTTGAATGTCATTTCTGTGTCAAAAACTTCACCACCAACAAAGATGAAATAGGGTAGAACGTTTCGTTAGTGTTATATTCTTTGTTGCCTAATTCCTGTTTGTGAATACAGGTTACTCATAAACTTCTTTTTCTTTCATTCGCCCAAAAATGTAAAACCTACATTTATGATGATATCACCTAAACTAGATCCAGGGTGTTTGTACTGAATACGAAAAAGGTTCCTGTACGCAGTTCCATAGCATCGGTGCCCACCAAGAATAGGGGCCAACCAAAACACTCCTGTAAGTTCAATATTGGTGGCAAGTTGTTCAGTTAAAGAGGGCATATAAATTGGTTCGGGATTGTAATAGCCTGCCTGATCTCAGACAGCGAATATAGATAGCTAACATTTATATAACTTACGTTATGGGACCAAGGTCCTCATATTGTTGTCTTATCACGGCTTTAACTTTTTCACCGCTAGATTCACGAAATGGGTCCGATGAACAACAACTGCAAGCACCTCTGCAATTGATAAAATAAAAATATAAGTAATTATAATTTATGAAAACTAAAAGTTATATTTTTGGTCATCACTTTATTAACAAAACAGACCGGAATTTCGCCATAATTCATAATTTTACATGGATCTGCATTTTACCTATTTATGTAGAAATGAAATGAGGTTTAACGTCCTACGCCTACTGGGCTAATGAAGACTACACCATGCAGTGTGCTATGAGGGAACTTTTGCCCGGACAGCGGAACTACCGCATACACTTATTACGAATTCCAACTGTCAACGGTTCTTTCGTCCCATCCGAACGACCAGAAACTCCATCCTACATCACTGATAAGCGGGAATCACGCCGGAAAATCCAGATGAACCATTTCGGCCAATGCCTCCAGGTTAGCGAGCCAACGTTATACCCACTGAGTCACCGTGGCTCCCCTATTAATGTGGGATATATGAGACTTATGACTTACTTGCAATCTGATTAAAATACAGATCTATATTTCGTTTCGTTTTTTTATACTTTCGATGGCCTACACTACATGAAGATCTGACAAGTTATAGCGATAGGTCATGTCAGGGGTCAAAAGACCAACTTATGACCCTATGACGTCAGACATTTGATTAACCAATCAGCATTGGTGTTACTAGTGGATTACCCACAGTTCCGTGAAAAACACGCCTAAAGCTCGCCGTTACAGACCGTTTCATTGGCTTATCCCCGACACCATTCAGAACACGAGTTAAATAACAACTCTTCCAGATCCAAGTGTAGTAAAGACAAGTAAAATGAAATTTTGAACTATAAAAACGAAACGAAATAGGATCTGTGTTTTAACCAGATTGGACTTACTTGCATCTTAAGAAAAGTATCTGTAACCAAACCCAACAGACAATCAATAGTATGCATGACAACGGGAAACCAAAACTCATCCAACTTGCAAAATTTATGGGAGATTCTTCATTATATTTTTCAAACACTCTAAAAATATTTAAAAAAATAATCAAATATATTAAATTATAGTATTCTATCGAATCTTATTTAACTGATCGGTATTAGTATACTTACGAGATCGCGAAACTGTCATTGTGTTACTTTCAATAACTATGCTTTATTATGAAATTGTAAAACTAAAGTATGTTACTTTAAACAATTATGCTTTGTTTAAACATGCCAACTCTAATTGAAACTAGATATTATTTCAGTCCGTTGGGTTTCTTTTTTTTTTTGGATTGGCAACACGTTAATTAGATCGCTAATCCAATTCCTGGATATCCAATGCCCTTCAAGCGATTTAGCGGATTTTGCTGTGTCATGGGTTTTGATTGTTTCGCATGAAGTCGACCAATCGCTACCTGTTCGCGCATAATAAAGAAATGATTGCAGTCAAAGATGGATTAGACTAACGTCCAGAGAAGAGCCGGGGATGTGTGTTTGCTACCGTCTACTTTAATTGTCACATGGTATCCTTTGCAGACAATGCAGCCTTGCAACATCACAAAGTGAAATGAAATGAAATGGGGTTTAACGTCCTACTGCTCTGCTCCGACTGGGCTAATGAAGACGGACATACGCCATTCAGTGTGCTATGAGGGAAATTTTGTCCGGACAGTGGCGCTACGGCCTACTCTTATATCGAATTCCATCTGCCGAGGGATCTTTTACGTGCACGGCAATGTGTACACGGACTTCGTTTTTTCGTCCCATCCGAACGACTAGGCAACTGTCCTTGTCAGGCCCTCCGTCATGCACCACTGAGAAGGGGAAACCACGCCGGAAAATCCTGATGAAATTTTCTCCACAAACACCAGGTTCGAACCCGCGACTCACTTAGCTACCGTGGTTCACTTACAACACAACTAAGGCATTATATGAAACACTTACAAATCAACTTGATCTTTAATGACCAGGTTTGGTCCGGTACCAGTCAAACTAGCAATACCACCTGAATTAGCAGCATAGCAGATACATAGTGACATAGCTTTACATATTCTTTTATAATGTTCATCTTCTTTGCCCTCGCCTGTTTCACTGTCAACGTCACTGAATTTAGAAAGCAAACACCCTAAGCATCTTCAAAAAAGTCGTTATCTACTTGAACACTTAAAACAAATATAGGTTTTAATACGATTTAATATTAAGTTTTGCTTCAAAGCAACATGTCTCAAGCCAGCATCTGCTGGTATTTATAGCACTGGAACTTGATTGGTGGGAACTTTTGCCTTGGCGAAATTGGGAGATCTTTATGCTAAATTGTGCGACACTTTAGCTGAAACGAAGTTTTGTTGTACTTTTGTCTTTAAAAGTGGATTCCAGGAAGTAAAAACCCCGTAATTGGCCCCAGACGGTTGTCGTAGGAACATAATTCTCTGGTGTTAGCAGATGTTTCAGTTGGAAAAATACCTTTTACTTGAAACTTCCTTTTCTTTCAAATCTATTTCCTTAAGTTCTACATCGTCTGAAATTATTAAAAAATCAAATTCATGATCCAGCCCCCCACTTTAAATCGAAGAACATCCCCAATATTCCCATTCTACTACACTAACACCTAGGTACATTCGCGGGGGAAGACATATATTCAAATTATCCGCCCTCGATAACTGTGCTAGTTTTATCAAACAGTCAAAAATTCGTTAACCGGATACGTTTTGACTGACATTAACACTTTTCCCACCCAAAAAGAGTTTTTGAACCTCTTGTTTGTCTGCATGTCACTTCTTTGTTATCAAATATATTGCAAACGTGCTCAGAATCGAGCGTGAAAGCCGCCATATTGTTGTGAACATAAACATTAAACATTAACGCTAAGGCTGTTTTGCAAACTGTTTTTGATTTGTTTGTAGAATCATTGTCCGATTTATCGATATGCTTGGCAGGCTTAAACCTAGGGTCTCAATATTGGGGGGGGGGGGATCTTGTTATGGTGTGTAATATGTTTTAAATTGCATAACCCTTTATTACGGACACCGTAGTGTTAAAATCCGCCACCATCCTTTGCTTTCATGTTCTTCTAGTCGTGAATGTGGGATGGGGCTTAAAAGTCCAGTGCCTAGGGTCTCTCTTCATCTGAATCCGGCACTGCGTAGCACCAGCCCACGTGGTCAATGACATCACCAGGCGTGAGTTCGTGACAACCACGTATATGGACCAAGGGGTTAATGGAGTATAATAGAACGATTGCTCTGGGGATACTGACGATGGTTAACCGAGATGATATTAGTCCTGAAATCACACTAGATATAGCATTGTTTGTTTTAACGTAATCTATTCTACCTGGTAGATTATTGTAATGATGAGGACATATTATATACCTAACTTTTCTGGTGTATCTTCACTTTTCTTGAGTATTTCACTGGTTCCCTTGAGTTGTATTAATATAGCTTCAGCAATTGGTATCATCATAGCAGTTGTTGCTGAATTACTGATCCACATTGATAAAAACCACGTGGACAGCATTAGACCCATCATCAACCTGACGGGAGATGTGAAATATTGTTTAATCACATTTCGGTTGGTGTAGAACAAAAAGCTCTCCCACCCCAATCCTCTTTGTCACCTAAATACTCGATGGTCATTTTCAGAACTCTAGACCCGTTAGACTGGTATATGACCAGCCATTTTCGTCTGGTAGGAAGTACATAATGATGACAAAACATATTAGAAAGGACTTAAACAGCTTTTAGATGGCAAAGAAGCCAAATATAGTGTGAATAATGGCAGAATCAACGCCTTTAAAATTCTTCTGTGGATAATCAGAGGACCTCAGCGAGAAACATTAAAAAACTATTGTCAACTTTATTGCTATCAATACGTCTTACCATCTCGGCTCCGAACCAACCAATAATAAAACACGTAGAGCCATTCGTCTGTGAATGTTCCAGGTTTCTATAGCAACAGCCATAACTAAGCCACCCAAGAATACCATGAGGGTATCCTGTAAGAAAATTATTGAAATGACGTAACTATTACTCTTTATGAGTATTTTTTTAAACACTATATTTTGTTTTTATACCAATATTGAAAATAAAATGTAGTCGTCCATAAAATTTAAATGTGTTTTAAGTTTGCATTTCTTTTTAAATTGCTTCTTAACAAAGCTGCCATTTAACGCCCATTTGCAATTGTTTCCAAGTCAGCAATTGTTTTTAAACGCTAGTCAGTACTCACCGACATATAAGCAGGGGCGATATCTTTAGCTTTCACAACACCTAACATTGGGAACATAAAGACTGGTAGCAAGGCAGTGACAGATATTGGTACAGCTTCTGTTATCCAGTAAACAGCCATCATGATTAAAACAAAGGCTGTCTTTGCTTCCTGAAAAATTTATGACATTTACAAACTTGTATAATTCTAGATGTATACATTATAATATAGAAAACAAAACCCACATGATTATTAATTCGATAAGCACGGGTACATTATTTTCCCCATAAGAAGAAATCAGATCAGTGCGAAAAAGTTTATTGTTGCCATTTGTAATATTTCATCAACATCCCTTAATCGCAATCTGATTCAATCACAGATCCTATTTTATTTTGTTTTTTATAGTTTAAAATTCGTTTTACTTGCCTTCACTACACTTGGATCTGGAAGAGTTGTTATTTAACCCGTGTTCTGAATGTATATTTTAATCAGATTGCCTTAATCATTTCTGGGAAAAGTTGAAAAAATGTCAGCAAAAGACGAAATTTTGTATTAAATGAAGGAGTAAAAGTGTATTTATAATCGAATTTATAAAATCACACAATTTCAATGACCACATCGTTGACATGTCTTGTGTAAAGGGGGGAATGTAGAACAACAGATGCGCCTGTGTGAAAGGTAGTGTTACAATATTTAGTTTGAGCCATTCTATGTGTCTATGACTAGTCTGTGTCTACAATTGTATGCCATCTATGACTTGCCAAGTGTTTATTTTGCAAAATTCAGATAATTTTCATATATATTTATCTAGGTGTTCTAAGGTGTGTCGTTGCCCAAAAAAGGCTGAGAACCACTGCCATAAAATATGTCATTGGGTTAAGTGGTGTCGTGTGGCAAGGAGTAGGTCGCCTTCCTAACCCCATGGATTTTCTCCGGATTCTCTGGTTTCCACCTCTACATATTTATTATTGATATTATTTATACACTCTTCCGAACTGGTTTTATAATTAAATGCTTCGTATGTAATCCATCTAAAATGCTCCATTTAGGTTTAAACCCTTCACTCAAGTTTTATTTGAGAAATATTTCGTGGATATTTCATTACCATTACTAAATTAAAGATTTTTACATCCAAAAATCTATTCGAAATTGAATTATTTCCGTTTCTATATAATATCAGAATAAAATTAAATAGATTTATCTGTCAAACAAAAATAGTAAAACCTAGCATATTTCACTGTTTAGGCGAACCCAGAAAATGTTATTGAATATTTTGATTTACGAAATAGTTTTAAATCAATGATAGTGATTTAGGAAATGTTTTTCCGGATTAAAAAGAAATGTGATTTAGTACACTTGTTTAAGGCTACGGTTTTATTACAAGCTTGTCAATATTGCTATTCCTATATCATAAAGATATTTTTTGTTTGTTTGGGGGTTTTTTTTTTTTGGGGGGGGGGGGGTCTTTTGTCGATGACTGGAAATAGAACAACTTTGTCTTTAGTTTTCTCCGGTTAGTATTAATATCGATAAACGTAGCTTAAAAACAATCGCGACAATTTTAAGTTTGGATCGTCAAATATAAATTTGTCTTGTCGGACAGTAAGAAAGCCGACTTCTGTATACAGATGGGCGATTCGGCGCTGGTTGGGCGATTAAAAATAAGTACTGCACGTAAAAGATACTTTAGTGGTTGTTGTGTGGTTAGGACACTTTCCAGGGATGGTACCTTTGGGCCTGACACGAAAATCTTGTCTAGTCATTCGATAATATTAGAGTATATGACCACGTTGACTTTTCAAGTTCAAATGACATTACAATGACGCAGGGTTTTTTGAGCTATCATACATGTAAAAATTGAGAGAATAATATTATTATTTAAATAACCATGCAGGGTAACCATCGGTACAAGACGTGTTTACAAAAAGATATCCTATTGCTTGTGAAGAGTAAACAATTAGTGTATAAATGTAATACAGCCCAGCATGAGTTGACTATTCATTCTGTTCAAATCTGTGAATTATTTAAATGGAGACGAACGTGTGTATGCTTATCCCTGTCGTGTTTTTTTATTGATCTATGCAAATATTAGAATCCAGTAAACACGTTAAATGATAAACAGCAAAAGAAACGCATGTTTTTCACTTAAAAAATCATAAACAGCAAAACAAACGCTTATGACTTCAATGACCTGAAAAATGTCGTTCTCTAACACAGTCGAGATATTTGACATGGTGAACATGGCCAATTTATGACTACCGCATGCACAAGTCAATAGCCAGTCGAAGATATCGTAAATCTGTCATTACAAGTGTCTAGGAAAGATTTGTGATTTTTTTAAATAAAAGCATAGCCTTGAACTTGTGTCTATATCGTAGATATATGTATATTCAAATTGCATATAGTGTATTCAGTTTGATTACATGTGCTGATAAATTATGAACCAAACAAACTGATTCATATAAGATACGTGCATGCTATTATCAGTTACCAGTTTTCGTTCGTAAGCTCAACAAAAGAGTAAAGTGAATGAAACAAATGAAAGGCTGGGCATATCACGTAACATGCAAAATATATCCATAAGGCTGAAACACAATATATTTCACTTTTATAAATATTATGGAGTATACCTGTCTCAGATAAGGGGGTTGGGGTGGCTGAATGGTTAGCGCGTGCGCGTTGTATCATAAAGTCTGTCCTTGAATCAACTGGCGTGGTTACGATTCCCCGGCTGTACAAGGAGAAGGGTCGCCTGTCCAATCTCGTGAGTTTTCTCTGGGTCCTCCGGTTTCCTCCCACTGCTAAAGACCCCTGTGCGCTAGCGAATTATTGAAATATAAAATTGAACGAAATGTTCGTTCCGAAATGAACTAGTTTGTGTCAAGTGGACGTTAAACCCAATTTCTTTCTCTGTGTCTCGGTTAGATATCTTCCTTGAGCGTGTACATCTTATGAAGAGTTCCTAGCTTTGAGGTTACAACCGACCAGACCAGAACATCATAAAATTAGTATGTGCTTGAAGGGCTTGTGTTTTCGTGTAATCTATCTATTCATAATTAATTGCGATATCTTCACCCAAAGTAGACAGTATGGGTCTACCCAAGAAGTGGATTTTGCCACTCAAAATTGTCTCATCCTTATCAACGCCATATATAGGGCTTTGATTCATATACCCGTATGACGTCACAGAGACCGAATTTCCAATTAATCTGGCCCCAAAAGGTACTACACGTAGCTTAACATATAATTAACCAATCCACATTGAAATATAAGTGATAGCTTACCACACAATACTATGATTTGAAAAATCTAACAGGTACTCTAGATTTTATCGGGGTAGCGCCATGGCCACATGTGTACATAAAAATTATCGCTTTGAAGTTTTAAAACCCATTACCACACAGGATACTGTTCCGTGACTATTTTAGTGATTCATACATTACTATTTGTAAGAAAAGCATACAAATTTATTTCAATACAAATTTTGTTAATATGTGATGAAAATTATTCGTTTTGGGCTATCTTTACTGTCGCATAGCATTAGTGAATGTGCCAATTGTAGTGGCGACCACGTTGATGCTACAATATTGCAGCTAAACAATGCCCTACACTCCATCTTACCAACTATCCTGTGAAAATGTGCATAGTTATGACCGAACTATTTCTTAATCCATCTCGGGGATAGAATAAAACATGTTATAATTTACTTAACATGATGAAGTCAGTGTGTATACCTTATTTAATTGAAATGCTGTTTTGTTTCAGATTGTATTCTGTTATAAACCAAAATGAAATGAAATGGGGTTTAACGTCCTACTTTTCTGCGCCGACTGGGGTAATGAAGACGGACGTACGCCATACAGTGTACTGCGGCGGAATTTTGTCAAGGTTTATTTACGTCAAGTTTTTACTTTTGAATCCGTTTGACTATTTTATGCAGATTAGATACTCGACTTATGTCAGTTGACATTTAAAGTGAATCCTAATATAACTGGGTCATTTTATAACAATGCAGAACTAAAAGCCCTTTCTTGCACTGGTTTTTGATATAGTATTCTGTCTGCGTTGACAATTCCAAAATTTCTTATTCCGCAAGGTTCTGACCTTCCTTTAGCTATTTCTGAACATTCATTAATGACATTTGCAAACTTATGTTTCTACCCCCTGTCAACAGGGTTTTCTTTCATTTCCACAGTAGTTTTGAAATGACATAGTTAATGTTGAGGAAACGTTAAATCCCAAATCTATCATTTTAACGTCTTCGAGGGACTCGTTCTATATGAATACAAAGTCTCCCGCATAATAATATAAGTATGGCCGTAGTAATTGTCTAAGCTTTATTAAAAAAAAATCATCAAATAATTAGGGATGAAAATAGATATTATGTAATAATTAAAATCAATAATTGCATACCTTTGTTCCAATATATAACGGTAATGGAAGCAGGATTAAAGGTGTCAAAAACATAATCAACATCACCCGAATACTCCATATCTGTCTTAATACACTAGACATTTTGAAAATACTCACGAAGAGTCTGTCTACAATTCAAAATTAATGTTCAGATTTAATTTACTTCAAATCACTCCTTTAAAAAATGCAGCATGTCCTTTTCGTTTCAGCTGACAAAAAACATTGATCCTTCTATTTCATAGGGACGGTATAATTAAATAAACTGGGCCAATCCTCTGCCGTATAAAATATCTAGTTGTGTCCATATGGGATCCACTTTAATAATAATAATGATGGATAAAATACTGAGCAAACAAATATAATCCAACTAGTTCTACATGTAGGTTCATAGACTAATGATATACAAGAGTGTAACTTGACTAGGATTACAAACTGAGAGTATCTCCTTATTTTCTCTTAATATATTATACCTGCAGTTAGTATGTGATATAAATATTGATAACTCCCAATAGAAAAGTCTTGACCTTGCCTTTGTGGACTTTATCTTTTCTTCTGTATATTTTTTAATACGACAAAAACAAACTCTATAATAAATCCAACAAAGATTTATTTCAATCTTATTAGGAAATTTGTCATTTGTAAAAAAGATTGTTATAGTTTATATTGGGTTCGGTCAAGGGAGGAAGTAGCCTCAGAATAGTATATCTTTCCTGGCTTTAATCTTATGTTATTGTATCTTGGCATGATCAAACACTGGGATAAAACAGCCATTTCATTCACTCCTACATCACAATCCATGAATAACTTCCTGGGTTGCCATAAAAAAAATTGTCATGCGGACTGAGACTTTGATAAAATAGAAGAAAATCAACGCATTACAATAAAAACTACGGTTACTGATTATGAAAATTCGACATCGGCTCTATTATAACGTGGTAATCCTTTATTTTCAGTTAAACTTTTTATCATCTCTCGAGTCATTGACAACTATAAATTTCATCCATTATTCTTGATATTTCATTAAATTTCCTAATCCTTTAAGTATTATTAATCTTACTTATAAACTCTTGACTTTGAAGTAGTCATCAGTTAAAAAGCAACTATAGTTATTCCAGTAGTTGGGGTGTATATTCATTTAATTGCTGATTTATTGTAATAAAGAGTTGATAAACTATACCCGACAAATTACATTTATATTATAATATTATAAAATCCATTCTACATATTTATGCTTGAATTATACGAAAAATTTCAAAAGATCTCTGAGTTTTAGGTAAAGGGTACACTATACGATTAATATCCCCGCCCTCATATCGGTGCGGTGAATATACCACGACACGTGAAAACAAGATGCCGTGAAAACAAGATAAATTTAATCTATATCATTCTAAAAAAAATGAAATGATTAAAATACGCTTTATAATGATACTAATGACCCCGGATATAGATGGGTTAAAAAAAAGTGGGTCACAAATAGATATTATAGAACACATAACGTAAATGCATAAAAATGGTATGTGTTTCATTCTAACCCATTTATAATTAAGTGGGGCATATTCACTTAAAGCAGTCAATACCCAAGAAAACAGTGTGCCAATCGAATTTACCCCATCCACATACGTGTGGGACGTCACATGCACCAAATGTAAATGTCTTTATACATACAACTATAGTTTTGTATATTATCGGTAGTTGAGTTTTATTCAAGTGTAATTCCCAATATGATCTAGAAGCCGAGATTTATTAATGCAGACGAAGTGACGAATCTTCATTATGTCACTTACTCAGAAATCGGCGTCTCAATATCACTCGTTCGCAAAATATTCAGTGGATCAGTGGACGTCATTGTAATAACTGTATGTTATCATTCGTGATTTGAATTCTTCATACACGCGATTTGCCTTTCGAAAAATTGAAATTATAGCTGTTTTTTATTTGAGGGAACTTCCCAACCCTCGATCACAGACATGGGGCATCTTCGCATTCGCACTAAAATATGATTTCCAATCACAGTGTTATCATTTCGAACAACTAAAAGAGAAAACGGCCCTTAAGTTTTACACATTAGCAACCTCTGACACCTTTCTGTTTATGTAACTATTCTGTTAATTTTTATTCTGTTAATTAGTACCTGGCTGTTCCGGGGATTAAGTGTGTTGGTTTGGCAACACAGTGCCGGATTAACCACGGCGTACGATGCGGTCCAGGCCCCAGGACCCCACTAAAAATCTCAGTTGCACAAAGAGCGTGGTCGGACCGCGGACTCCATCTGCGGCAGTGATGGGACCCCTCGAGATCCTCCATCGGATTTTCAAAGTCCTGGACATTGAGGTCCCTACAATCCATGGTGGGGGTGAGGGCGTGTTGCAGTTGAAATCTGAGAATTCGGTGTAATCCGTGTTTCTGTTGTGGGTTTTTTTATTTAGCGGGAAAAGTGTATCTAGAAAACGCATTATTTTAGTTACAACCTGTCAAAAATGTCATTGGTAATCTCCGAACGTACTTTTTTCTTTTTGTTGCCGGTGAATCGAGGAATGTTGGTTTCTGGACTCGTATTTTTCGAGGTTTAGTCCAATTATTATTGACCTAACAAATTGAATTATATTCCAATCAGCTGTGCTCATGTTCACTAGTATACCGGAATCAATGCTAAGCAATCCATATTTTTGTTGTTTCAGTTGTTAAATCGACCTTCGATAACATAAATATACATTGTCTGTGGTATAAAATCCGAAAAACGGGTATGAGTGGTAAAACTGTCCACGCTTTAAAGGAACTATACAACGATGATAGGTGTATGGTTCGTGTAAATGGTTGTCCTTTATCGCCACTACTTTTTATATGTACGTTAACGCTCTAGCTACAGCTATAAAGGAATTAAATTGTGGTGTTGATATTGATAATTGTAGTAATGTCGGTATTTTACTGTACATAGACGACACCGTTTTAATTGCACCGCCAGAAGACACATTACAAACCATACAAAATGAAATTGTACATTTTAGACCAGCTATGTGGAAATTATTCAAAAGAGTATTTACTATTGGAAATTTAAATATTGATTATTGTAAAAGCTATTGGCCGAGAAAGTTCATCCAGATTTTCCGGCGTGGTTCTCCCTTGTCGGACGGAGGGGCTGACAAGGAAAGGTCCCGTGTACACATTGGCGTGCACGGAAAAGATCCCTTGGCAGTTGGAATTCGATATAAGAGTAGGCCGTAGTGCCGCTGTCCGGGCAAAATTTCCCTCATAGCACACTGTATGGCGTATGCCCGTCTTCATTAGCCCAGGTTAGGAGCAGAACAGTAGGACGTTAAACTCCATTTCATTTCATTTCATTTTATATAAGTAATCAGGGTTATAGCTAGAGGGGGGGGGGGCAAGTGGTTAGCACGTGCGCGCTGTATTATAAGACCTGTCATTGAGTCAGCTGGCGTGGTTTCGAATTCACGGTTCTACGTGACAAGGAGTAGGGTCGCCTGTCCAACCTCGTGGGTTTTCTCCACGTGGGTTTCTTCCCACTGCTAAAGACCCCTACGCGCAAGCGAATTATTGAAATAAAATTAAAACCATATGTTAATCCCAAAATGACCTAGTTTGTGTCGAGTGGACGTTAAACCCCATTCCTCTCTCTCTCCGTCTCTCTATCTAGCTAGATGCTCGTCTGAATTTTAAATTGTGTATTAATGAATTAGCAGAGCTAGCAGGGGTCTATAGAAGCGGCCCTCTGTTCAAAATATTTTCAGGTAGTGGGGTTGCCATATGGTATGTTCAACCCATCACTCTTTTTGGAGCGGGAATTTGGGGCATTACTAAGCATCATAAATTGTCGAAAATCGAAACAGTCCAAACAGATGGAATGGGCTTCGTGCTTAACGAAATAGAGGACCGAAACACTGAGATTATTCATTGATATTATGCGTAATTGGTCATCCAAGCGAGCTAAATCTATGTCGATTATGCCTCTCCTCTAAGAAATTGAAACAGGACCCCATTTTTTAATTGAATGTCAAATGTTTTCCGCCCTTCGTTATGGATTGTTTAAAGAAATACATTAGACAGATGTAAATTTCTATAATATAATAAAATAGAAAGTTATTGGTATTTTGTCCAGTGATATCAACCCCAGTATAATATGCAGTTATATATGTCACATGTTATAAAGAATATCTCGGTTTATGTGATTTTATTCTATAATGTGATAGGTTTTATTTAATACTAATCTGTATATTAGAATTATATAGATATATCTAGTGTCTCATAGATGTTCTTTTAAATTAAGTTTTTAACTAAATAATGTTAATTGTGAAACTTTAATAAACACGCCTTCATATAGGTTATGGACGATGAGAACACTGGATTAGAATATAGTTTATCCCTCAAGTGCATACATGCACATTGACTTTTTTTCACCCCTTGCTTATAAAACTACAAACTTCAGTATACGAAACCAACCAAGTATGAACTACTGGTGACCCTGTATATTAAACCCTTGAGGCATTGTGAGGAAGGGTGTTTTATGTTAAATTGTTATTTGAATACACCGCCTATTTCAAGATGTCTAGTGTATTAAGACAGATATGGAGTATTCGAGTGATGTTGATTATGTTTTTGACTCCTTTAATCCTACTTCCATTGCCGTTATATATTGGAACACAGGTATGTATAACAGTATTTAATTTAGATGGAGGGCATCAGTCTCGTCTCTAGTTTTCTACTAGCGAACTTGACAGATCGTGAGACAACTGTAATTTTATGCTTAGAAAAAAAAGCGAGTCTTGACATTAACACTGTTGAATGATGATAGATATACACTTTCCTTGCAAAATAATGTGTAGTAATGTTGGATAACAATAGACATGTATCAGTCAAATCTCTTTATATGAGCTCATTTGTCATCAAGAATAGCTGGTTCGCAGAGGATAACATATTTACATTATTCAGAGGATAACATATTCACATTATTGTAATGACAACAACAAAAACACGAAACCAACCAAGTATCAACCATTCTTGACCCTGTATTGAACCCTTCATATGGAAGCCTATAACTACTATTCGTAATTTCTACTTTTCGCTCCTTCAAAACACGAATTATAGCGCGATGAGTTTATTTCCTAATTTCTACTTTTCGCGTTGCATTTTGGCTTGTATAGCGCGTTGGCGCCTTCTTACTGCCATCAATAGGACTAAGTCGAAACTCGACAAGTCAGTATAGAAGCCAAAAGGCAAGACGAAAATTAGAAATTAGGAAAAAACGAGCGGCGCTATTATCGCTGTGTATTATTTCTTAATTTCCTATTTTCAAGTCGATTTTGGCTTGTATAGCGTGCTGTCGCCTCACATTTTGTCGTAACTTCTACTTTTCGATCGACGTTCGCGTTCTGAAGGAGCGAAAAAATAATGAATGGTAGTTATAGGCTTCCATACCTTCAAGCACTGTGAGGAATTGTGTTTTATGTAAAATTGTTATTTGAATGCACCGCCTAGTTCCAAATGTCTAATGTATTAAGACAGATATGGAGTATTCGAGTGATGTTGATTATGTTTTTGACTCCTTTAATCCTACTTCCATTACCTTTATATATTGGAACACAGGTATGTATAAAAGTATTTAATTTAGATGGAGGGCATCAGTCTCGTCTCTAGTTTTCTATCTAGCGAACTTGACAGATCGTGAAACAGCTGTAATTTTATGCTTAGAAAAAAAGCGAGTCTTGACATTAACACTGTTGATTGATGATAAATATAAACTTTCCTTGCCAAATAATTTGACCGCAAGTACTCCTTTCTCCAGGTTATTGCACACGGTTATTTATTGGAATTTTGGATGAAACGGAATGATTTGTTCTGCACAGGAATTAGTTTAGAAGGGACAAATACAATTTGTAGAACCAGACGGTCCTTTAGTATAATAATCTATCTGCATACAAAGTTTATAAAAATAATATTTAAATAACAATTAACATGGTCTACCACCTGTAGGACTCTCCCTTCAACTTAAAAATAAATTGTTTATTGGAATTTTCGATTAAACGTAAACTTTCTTTTAGCTGTAAAATACTCGACTAATATACCAGTCGTTAATTTGTTACACATAATTTAACACCACATCTTTCTACGCGAATTAACAATAAATTGTTCATTGAATAAAACGGGAATATTTGTATACCTGTTAAATAATATACCAATTAATTTATATGATAAGTTAAAGTCTACCTTGAAATATGGAAATTTGCAACACGTTTTAACAACATATCTTTCTACACGACCTAACAATAATTTGTTCATTGGATAAAACGGAAACATATTTTTTTTTTATATATTGTTACGTACTCAACGTGTGATAAGTTAAACGAACAGACAAGAACAGAATATCGATTTATCGGTGCTAAAATATTACCCAACAAGGTTCCAAATATATACAAACTCTTCTAATATAATATACAAAATAAGAGTAATAATAACATGATATGTATAAACCCTAAAATAATGGGTATAATGAACACGACATGAAACACGTCTTTACAGAACAAAGGAATTATTTCTACTAGCGCGAACTAGATGCATTCAGTATCAATTTCGGGAAGCGTTTTTGTAAAAGAAAGGGAAGTAATTATATAGGTCAAACAACAATTTGCATCTAACTCACAAAATGCTTAAAAATAAATCTTATCAAAAATGGAATAGTAAATTGTATACCTTTTAATAATATTCTTTAATAAAATATGGTACATAACACATATGTAGGTCACACAATAGATATGATACAATATAACCACATAACCATCAGGAAAAATATGACGGTTAAATTAAAATCCGCCATTTTTTAGTCCATTTTGAACTGCTGCCATGTTGGATTTTCTAAATTTATCTTTAAATTCAGATACATCGAAAACTATATATAAGGCATATTAAAGGTCATATCTTACGTTACTTTCGCTGGTATATGGAGAAAATACTATTTTATTACGATAAATTAATTAATATCCGCGGTTTCGGATATTTTATTTGGCGGCAAATTGGAATTTCTACCATCATGGATTCTCGAAATTCATGTCACAAGTCATATCCAACAGGAATAAACAACGATTAACTTAAAATCCGTCTTTTTGGATTCCATTTTGGCAGCCATTTTGAATTGCTACTAAGATATGTTTTTGAAATTATCTTTAAATTCAGAGACATCGAAAACCATGTAAAAGACACAGTAAAAGTCACATCTCACGAGATTCTCGCTGGTTATATGTAGAAAAAAGCCCCTTCTATTATAAATTTGGCAGCCATTAGCCGGCCATGTGAAAAATACATTTTCTGGGGGTTTCTTTCTTCAAATTAGTTTTTTCTGCGTATTTCGCCTCGATATTAACAACTTTTTTTTTTGAAGAATTTAAAAAAAATAGTTATTCTCCCACCACTAAAAGACACTGGTTACGATATATATCGCTCTCCGAAACCTCCTGAAGACCGTCATATTGACTAATGTTAATTACGTTATTTCGCCTTGGTCGATTTCGGCCGAATTTGAGTATGATGTTGTCATATGTATAATTGAACCAAACTGCATGGGTTTCTTTTGCTATTTGTTTCATTTTACAACGACATTAAATTTTGACAAATATCCACCAGATTGATTCAAATTCAACTGCTGTTAGGCAATTAGACGATCTGTATCAATTTACAATAAATATAAATCATGAGGAAATATCAATACACAAGTCCTTATAACTTATCTGAATAATGTGATTTATTCATTTATGCACCTCACCTGAATTAATAATAATTAATTAAAGATATAGTGCTTGGCAATATTTTGGAACATTTACACGCCTGTAAGTGTATATAAGCTAAAATAATCTATATTTGAGGCCTTATGAAAAATTATTAAGGTTAATATACATGATAATATTCTGGAAGACTTATATTCGTTATGAGTAAACACTCTCAAATGAGTTATAGTTGTGTTACTAATACAATTAACGCCATATTTTACAAAAAAAAACACTCGAATTGGAGTACACAAACACTTTTATAACGCAAGATACGGTGTAAAATTGACACCTTATTTGGAGGAATGTTTCCCTAAAATAATTACACCTGTTGGTGTAAATGCAATAAAGCGGTTGTAGAGATGTAGCTCATCCCAAACACCGTTTACCGGCTACAATTACACCTTTCCTGTAAAATTAACACTGTTCTGGGATTTATTCTCCAATAATAGTTGCACCCTTTGGTGTAAATGCAGTATCACACTGGTAGTGGTGTTGCTCATCCAAAACACCCCATAATTACACTTATTCAGCTGTTTACCCATACAAAAGTATTACATTTTTAAAACGCTAGCTGTGATGTAAAGTTTACACTTTATTAACACTGCTTATAGTATTTAATTACACCCATTTTTAACACACAACCGTAAAGACAGCATCTTGTTATTTTAGTGCAAGCCAAGACGCCCTGGGCGGTGTCACACCCACTTTTTAAATTAACATTTAGTCTGTAAATTTGGCTAAACAAACCTAACCTTCTTTACAGTCATTGCAGCCATTTCATATTTCATGCCCTTCATGATGTTGGTACCATATCAATAAAAGCAGGAATGTGGACGTATATTGCAGCGGTAGCGATGCCCTTGTTACGAGATAAATATTACCCTAATTGAGGGTTGATATGTGAAATAACCTAAATTATCTTAGTTTACCTACATGAATATAACTTCGGTGACTTTCAAATTGAATGCTGTAATGCATTTTCGAACGTCTAAGCCACCAAACCATTGGAGTGCATTTAGACAAAAACGAAATATAATAGTAAATGAAATATGAAATTGGAAGAAAGAAGTTTCTTTCATAAAGACCCAGGGCCAATCTACGAGTTGAGGTACAGTCCTCATAATTTAAGAGGAGTTTATAGCATTTGAAGTTAACGCGCACGCGCTGGATTAAAAAGGTCTGTCATTGTACGTGACAAGGAGTAGGGTCGCCTTTCAATCCTCGTGGGTTTTCTCATGGTCCTCTGGTTTCCTCCCACTGCTAAAGACCGCTACGCGCAAGAGAATTAATGAAATAAAATTGAACCATGTTAGTCTCTCTCTCTCTCTCTGGCATCATTTCTTAATGTGTATTCAAAGCTGGTGGCCCTTATGCTCTTCCATAGTATTCTCTTAATCCCACTGCATTTATCGCATATTCAGATACAAAAGCGTGCCTTAACATTGACCTACTTATTTATTTGTATAGTAAGCTAAGCCTGAATGGAAATAATATTAAAGATACATTTCTTCAGACTTGTTAAATATATCGTATTACTGAGTTTGTAATTTATCAACGTTCGCTACTATAAATCCTTCTCTGACTCCACGCTGCACTGGTTCAGAGGCTATGACGCGACGCTCGTTGTACGTCCAAGGCGCTGTTTCGAGGTTTGCAATAGGTTCATAATGCGTTCTTATTAAGGTCAAACTTCCACTGACCGCGCATACTGTGATGAAGTTGGCCTTCCTCGACCCTGTCTTGTCCTCTGAACACTGGAACTCCTGGTTGCAGGCACATTCCTGAAGCAATGGCCCGAGAAATCCCTCTCTGGCCATTGCTAGATTGGCTTCTGATACATGTGCTTTTGAGGGAGTGTGTCTATTCTTCCTGTTCAATCAAATCTATCCCAAGTACAGCAACATGACAGCCCTTCGTTTTATCTGGGGTCTTCCCTACAACTTTGGACAGTGATTTAAGGTATTAAAAACGGTGAAATTATTGTTCGTCTCCAAACAGTATTGTTTATATTTTATTTGTTTTGATAGCCCCGTTTGTCACGCTATTAGTTTTTCTGCAATATTCTGCTTTGCACTGGTTAATTAATTGGGCGTAATAAAATCGTGAGTCAAGACGTAACGGTATGTAAACATATTTGGTCCAATTTGGAGCTCTGTTTAAAGCGTAATAATATTGTTACGCAGTTAGCTATTGGTTGTTAATCAGACTATTGACCAGTCATAATTTGGAACAGAAATTTGCTTCCATTACAGCAGTGTTAAGTAGGATTAGGTCTTATCAAACGAAACACTACGAGGAGTATGGGTTGCAGGAGACTCTAGTGTTATACACGGCGTACATGCGCAATGCACGAGTTACAAACGTATTGCGAGCAAAGTGATAGTGCAGCACCTTGGGCGCACCGAGAACACACACAGCGCAGTGGGAGCACAATAATGATCAAACTGGGAACAAATGGGGTGTCAGTGAGAGCGTAATAAGCGGATCAAGCACGTACCGTGAGCCATCATGGATTTCACAATTCGGCGATGCCACTGTGCTTTGGTAAAAACAAAATTTCGTACGGGGGCACGAACTGGTCAAGGCTGATCACAGCAGAGTGTGACATGATGTTTATCTCCAGTTTACCAGTTTAGGGCTTACTAGACTCTAACTGTTTGGTAGCTTATTCGTGTTTGGTTAATAAATCACCTTTTCCTGGACACTCCACATGGAAAAATAAATGACGAAAGCCGATAAATAAATGATTGATAGGTTGCACTAGCCAAATGTATCGGCTTACTTGTCAAATATATTCACGTACTAATGCCCCACAAGAACTTCTTTTGAATGATAGTAAAATGTGTTTTAATGGCACTGCTACACTGCACAACATTTATCTGCGCTTACATTAAAACCTACGACAGCCAAGTGCGTTTAATCGTTCATCGGTAGATCAGGGTAGATATCACTAGATTAATACTTTCTCCTTCTACAAGAAAATGTATATACATGTTCACAGGGCTGAATTAAAGTGGGGGGGGGGCAGCCCCAAATTTGTTCTAACGAAATATTTTGTACCATAAATACTATGTTGTAGATGTTTGTGCTAAATTAATCTGTCTACCAAACTCAGTGTGACGTACAATCACCAGATCAGTCCCCCGTTTCACTGATGATGCAAGGGCTCTTGAGACATTTTCAGCCAGTTGCTCCATGTAAGCTCCCTTCGGCCTGTTCATTTTAGCCTTCCAACTTTATTTTGGACACATTTGCTAGAAGCCAACATTCAACATTCAGATATAAATTGATCCCTTTAAAGATTGCGCCATCCGCCTCTATGATGTCAGTGAACATCGTCTGGATAAGCTTGAGCTATGAAATGGATTAGAAGAAGTTGTCGAAAACCTGTAAATCTGTCTAAATATTTTCTTGCAGTGTCTTCATTAGCCCAGTCGTTGTATTTCATTTATCTGATCTGAATAGGAACCAAGCAAAACGTTTGATTCAAATAGATAATGTGGAAGTGTAGCAAATAGTTTAAACCTATATGGTGCCGATGAATTGTATTTGAATAAGTTATCATCCAAACAACACATCTTTGTTAGAATTTTCAGTTAAATTATTGCACTCTGAGACGAGTTATCTTCGTTACAATGATACTGTAGCTTCGATTATCATTGCTACCGTTGTTACGATAATAAACAAAGTCTCGATTATCTACGTTTACGGTAACCGCCTCAACCACAAAAGTATTGTTTAATGGTCGAGAGTGAGACATTAAGTAATATATTGATACGAGACGAGGGCCGCGACAACTTAAAATCCAGACACTCCGCACGTGCTTTTACGGTGAAATACGTCATGCGAGTCCAATATTTCACTAGTATAAATAATGTAAGATGGGGAAGTTGCCCGTACGATTATTTGAAATAATGGTACGCCAACATCAAAGGGTGACGACACATCTGTATTTTAAATCTACATAATATCCATTTAAGCAAAGTTGTAATTTAGTTTGGCAGAAAATGTCGAAAAGTTTTGAAATGCCTGCATTTGCCCCTACCCTGCAACTAGACAATCCAACAATGTCGTTAAGACCATCAATGGTGCAATTTTGAAAAGATGATACATGTTTTCAACTAGACCACGAATAAATAATATTTACAGGAGGCAAAGGCTGCTTTCGTGTTGATAATGATGGCTGTATACTGGATAACCGAAGCTGTACCAATAGCTGTCACTGCCTTACTACCAGCCTTTATGTTTCCGATGTTAGGGGTTGTGAAAGCTAAAGATATCGCCCCTGCGTATATATCCGTAAGTAGGCCATAACTGTTAGTTTTAAAATATCTAAATTATATTAACTGACACTATAGTAAACCCGACATTTGCACTGACAATCTGTCGGCATAAGACTCAAATACCAGTTAAAAGATAAATTCAATAGAAGAAAATGAATGATCTCATGCATGCAACTGTTGTTGTGCGGAGATTTCCAAACTACATGTATATTAAAAAACGCGTTTATTGCATATACATAAATCATGTATACATTGTAAATCAGCTTAAACATTAATTGGTATTTGATAGCGCCTAGATTCAAAGTGATTTTAATTATTTATTTATTCATCTCTTTAAAGGACACTATCATGGTATTTATGGGCGGGTTGATTATGGCTGTTGCCATAGAGACATGGAATATACATAGACGAATGGCGTTGAGGGTTCTTTTATTATTTGGATCGGAACCTAGATGGTGAGATGTTTGTTTCTAAATCAATGACTAGTGCTACCGGATGGTCTGTATAGGTTAAGTACATCCTGCATCATCATAATTCATGTATATTTATAGCTTAATGAGCCAATAGTTGGGACAAAGTCGAAGCTAACCTTAGACCATAAACTGGGCCATTGACCCAACGCTTTCTGCACAAATCTAATGTTTTGTAGTATATATTTCCTGTCATAGGCTAATGCTGGGTCTTATGGTTTCCACCTGGTTTTTATCTATGTGGATCAGTAATTCAGCAACAACTGCTATGATGATACCAATTGCTGAAGCTATATTAATACAACTCAAGGGAACCAGTGAAGCACTGAAAGAACAATCTGATCATATAGGTAAATTTGAAATGCTTTATTGACAGTTAAAATACACAAACAATAAATGAAGATCTTGCAAAAACCATAAGATATAATCACAGAGTACTGACGTAATTCTGCATTTATTTTATTTAAAAGAGGAAGGTAACCAAGGCAGTGATGAAAAGAAGACGCGTCCTTCAGACAAAGGGTAAAGTATAGAAAGAAAATAAAAGTTGTTTTAATATAAAAAAAAACATCGTTGTTTTACGTTTAACTAGTATTACTTACCTCCAAGTTAGTAAACTCAAAAAGTCAAACAGCACCTTTACCCATGTGAGTAAGATTCTTATGGTACTTTTTTTCGATAGTTATCGAAGGAACTCGATAATGGACGTTTGAAATGAAGAGAAGCTTAAACGAAAACGTCGAAAAATAAAATGGATCTTGTCGTGGAAACTGAATTTTAATTTGTTTGTATTATTTTTGTAGAACTGAAAATATAAATAGTGGTGATAATGATGGTGATGATGGTGATATTCAACACAAGAAGATTTGTAAAGCTATTTCATTGTGCATTTGTTATGCTGCCAATTCCGGTGGTATCGCAAGTCTTACTGGTACGGGGCCTAATCTTGTTGTACGGGATCAAGCAGAAACGTAAGTAAAACGGATAGGTTTATATAATCGTAAACAGTATTACATGACTTGAGCACAGAATCGTACAATTCTTTTTCTCTAATCGGTAAGAATATGAATAGATGATTCATTGGAATGCACGATGGCATCAGAGTAGGATTGAGGAGGTTTCTGACTAGGGCCCAAAAAAATATTTTCAATCGACAGTCTGCGCGAGTTCCACCCATGGCGGATATTGTCTAATCCCCTTATTATCTAAGCCACCAGGTTGTCAAGGGAAAAGATTACGGGATTGACATGTGAATAAATGTATCATTAATTCATATAACATATGAGGCCAGCTATAGACCCGCAACGGGGATATTTACCTCTTACATAACTATCTTTAAGGTATCTAGATATTAATGTTCTCAACTGAGGCCCAATTTCGTTCAGATTATAATTCATACACAAGTCGTTAAATGGGTATCCTTATTCCAGGGTATTTGCACAATACAATGAACAATCTCCTATCAGTTTTACAAGTTGGATGAGTTTTGGGTTTGCTCTGTCGTTTATATTGATGATTACGTGTTGGGGTTGGTTACAGATTATATATTTAAGATGCAGGTATGTAAATAGTATTCATTTTAAAACTTTCTTTTTGATGAGTTGATAATCAGTCATACAAGAAAATAAACCAGATGTTCGCGTGATAATTTTAGAGATCTGGCAGTAATTCTAATAGTAAGTGCAGGGGGACTGCACCACACAAAATTTACACAACACACAAAATTTACACAAAAACAAATATACGGACAAGACATCATACTTAGGAAAACACAGACAAACAATTCAAAAAAAGTTTTATTATTCAGATTTATTATACAATAGATCAATTCAAATTACCATTTGAGTATAATTTATATGGAGATTTATTCTGGCACGACATAAACATTTCCAAGTTTTCAAAATCTACTAATATTTTAATGAGAAATCTTAAATTGTAGAACTGCCTGTAGTTGTTGTTCGGTAGACCCTCTACGTAAAAGTAATGGTGAAAGAGTGAAACAAGTCATCCGGGAACAATATGAAGCTCTTGGTCCTGTCACGTAAGTTTAAGGGGAAATGTATTTAAGAAACACAGCTTTTCTTTTAACGATAGTGATTTTAGTATCCTCAACGAACATTTGCGTACATTCATGATTGTTTATCCCTGCAGCTTGTATGGTGTGTTGATGACGGGGTCATCTTGATGGATCTTGCTCAACTACCTTATGAGTTCCACCACACTTTGTTAGTAGGAGTGCACCTAACTTATACGAGAACCTATAAAATATAAATTACAAGGTGAAGGGGGTACAGGAGAGTACTTCAAGTTTCTTTATATGGTTTTTATTACCAACAAAATAGAAATATTTAGTATTTTATGCGTACCGTAAACTATTAGTGTTTGACCGATGATTAACAGTAATACAACGATATTATTTATAAACGTACTTGCCAAATAATGCGCAAGTGTGCGAGATGTTGATGATGGAGCCAGCTTTATGGACTTGCTTTTTTTCTTGGTTTGGTTTCAAGTCAGATAGCATGTGACTGCCACCAGACCGTTAACGAAATGAAATAGGGTTTAACATCCTACGTTTATTTGTAAACCGCAAGTTTTATTATTAATTTATATACCGAGAACTTATTGTACAGATTGGCAATGTGCATTAAAGATCAACTATTAGTAGGAAACGGCGATGGCGTAACCATAGAAATTAAATTACCACATGATTGTCTCAAAATGACTTATAATTAAATTGTCGATAGGACGTTAAACCCAATTCCATTCCAAGGTTTTGGTCATTCCCCCGCGAATATTAAAGCTAACAGAAAAAATAAATTCCCTAAAATGGATATATCTTTAAAACTAAAGTATACAAATATTTGCGTTATTTCTTTTATCCATGCAGTTACGCCCAGGGTTCTGTGATGCTTCTGTTCGGTTTATTGGTTATATTTTGGATTAGCCGAGATTTGGGTGGAATTGGCGGCTGGGGTGATCTGTTCAGAGATGAGTAAGTCATCAAATTCATTATCTGTTAACCATATTGCTTGCGGTAGAATACAAAAGGATTTGATACAAAATGACAATCGATGTAGTAACATATACATACAATCATACTTAATACAACAACTGTTTCTTACTGAAAAACTTTTCGACCAGGTTTCTCTATTTGTAATTATTGCTTTATCGTCGCTCAGTAATAAACAGTAAGTGTATTTCACAGAATTATGTCTAGTTTCCAGTTCAATTACTAAATGTCAGTAACGCATGTAATTTAAATAATTTGTCAATATCAGTTACTATTTAAACAGTGAATATCGTGTTAGAGATTTTAAACATGTATGGACTGGCGTACAGATTTTACTGTGATATATTATTTTAGTCTCCATTTGGTAATGTATTAATGTCTAAGGGGGGAAAATTCTGATACAAAAACCAGAATTGAATTTCATTCTATATTCAGTGTGCTAAATATAACAGATAATATTTTACATTTTCATTTGGATAATCACAAAACATTATCTGCTAGATATTCAGTATCGAAAGAGATCTACTTTTATGCTTCTGTATCAAATGTTCGTTCTTTAGACATTAATACAAATTTTCCATGACAGTATCTTTTCATCAAATACGTTACGAAATAAAAATTATTTTTTTCCGTCTAACTTTATCTTCGTCGAGTCTACGCGTTCCGACTCATTGCATATATATTGGGTGGCCCAGAAAAAAACGAGTACACTATTTAAAGCGGAATGATTCACACAGTATTGTACGTCTGTGTTTCACACGTCGTACAAATATGGATGTAGATGTAGATCCATCGCTCAAATAACGTTAACATAGTACGAGTTTTAAATAAGAATATCAAATGATCGTTTGCAGGACTGAAAAGTCACATCACGCTCATCTCAGTTTACATAAACAAATGGTCAATATGTCCCTTCTCTTGCACAGAGCGCCTTTCAACCCAATAATCGAATTTCGTATTTCTTCTAAGCGTATTTCTGCCCCTTTTGTCCAAATTTTATTTAAAATAAGATCAGTGGCCGGGATTTGAACCCAAGGAATTACGCCATCTGGAACATTCTCCAGTGGCGAGTCCAGGAATTTTTGCAGGAGGGGGTTTGCCATGTTCCTGTTAAGGAAATTTGACAGTTGACAATGCATGATGGCATCATCGTCTTCAAATTATGTAGGCATACATACACACTGGGCTCTTTAAAGAGAGAAATCCAACATCCCGTTTGACGTTAATTTTTATTTTGAATTAAGAGGATTAAATTGTGATTAAATTCCATTGATGCAAAGCATTAGTGATATTACATATGCCTATATCAGTATCTCGCGTTTTGAATAAAGCACACAACCATGACATTTTTCTCATTAAAGTGTTGTTTTACAAAAAGAATTATGTAGCTAAGCAGGAGGGAGACTGGATCCGCCCCTGATTCTCTCGGAAACGGTTTATGAAGGACGGACGAAACATTTTACAGAAAATGAACTAACGGATACAATTCAGGCAAAGTGGGCAGAAATAAAATTAAAAGAAATAAGATATTCGATTTCTGGGTAGAAAATGCGCTTACAACTTACAAGCAAGTAGAAGGACACGTTGACCATTTGTTTAAATGTAATTGTAGTAGGGTGTGTGTGATGCGCCGTCTCAGTCCGGCAAAAGACATTCGTTTGAGCGATGAGCCTGAAATTTGTACGACATGTAGAATTTGAATGATATACTGTACTCGTTCTGGGACATCCGATATAATAAAGCTGACAACCGATATTTAAGATATAAGTTATAATTACTTAACTATCCCTTGAGTAATATATATAACTAAGTAAATATTTGTGGTGTCGTAAACTAAATAACTGGTGAGTAAAGGGGATCTCAATTTTGGACAAACCGGTTTTGAAACATCCGCCTATTGCCGGTTTCAATTGTTTTGACTAAACTCACCGCTGTTATTACAGTCGTAAAAAACGTCCCGTGTCAATCATTATAATTTAATTGATTTTAGAGCACACAGTTAATACATCACCAGATCTCATTTTTTAACATTTAACAAAAACAATGTAGCTGTAAATTTGTAATGAATATAGCATTAATATTTAACAGTTACGTAAAAGATTCAACACCAGCCCTCCTACTGGTGCTTCTTCTGTTCTTTTTACCGTCAAAGGCACCAAAAGTATTTTGTATGGCAGATAAATATAGTAAGTGCAATATAACCGTATCTCTCAATTCCGTCTATTAATGTATAATCCACGAGCAACATTAAAGTGTTCCTATGTCAAAATAACCTATTGTCAGCACAAATGAGCGTAATAAATCAATTGATTGTATTGCAAACCCATCCAGAAACTTCGAAGGCATTGTTTATTTCCATTTTCAGTCTTAAATATATTGTGCAAATAAAGACAAACTAAACCGAAAGATCAGAAAGGGTCATTGGGCCTCTACATAGGTCACAAACAAAAACTCTTAGTCACGTCCATGGGCGTGGATTTAGGGGGGGGGGGGGCTTGTTTTACGTATCTGGAACTGAATCGGAACTTGGAACAAGAATTGCCATTCTTCAAGCGCCAGTTTTCGGCCAATTCTATTTCACTTGTGCACAAAGCGTTCCTCTTTATGTCACGTGAAGTGAGGCAGATGTTCCCTTCTGTCGAAGCTCTTCTCACCTCACACTGCTGAACCCTGTTAGTTGCTGCTCAGTCGAGCGATCATTCAGCACTCTGCGCCGTATCAAAACTTGGCTGCGCAACTCCATGACGCAAAACCGACTGAACCACTTGATGGCGTGTGCGGTGCATAAGGACCCCCTTCATGTCCCAAATATATTTAAAGTGAACAGTCCTGATCGTAGAACGAACCTCTTTGGACGATTCATGAACAATTAATATTTATGCAGCTTTGATGTAGGTTGTCAATTTTTCCACACTGTCACCATATTACCCCTAGTTACAGCCTTCATCGAAATAACAGTGGTTCAGTAAACTGTTCGTAATTATTTATTACGTTTGGTAATGAAATGTCCCAGGTTCCAGGATTCGTCCCCCCCCACCCGCCCAAAAGTTATACAAATCCACGCCCTTGGTCACGTCTCATATAATAATGATATCGTATCAGTTGCTTGTTTATGTGACAAATTTGAGTAACTCTTTAGGGACTGCAAGCCAAGGTAATTCGTTTCTCAGAATATACAAACACCATAAGGATAATAATCTGTTCATCAACAAGTACGTCCCAAGCCCCTCTCAGGTCACGTAAAAGCGGTTACATAGGCCATATCATATGACGGGGGATTGGAGTCAAACGTCAGTACTATGTTGTTAGTGCTTTTACATCTCCAATGTTGCAAATGCTGAATGAACAATTGGACCAAGTAAAATGTAAAAAATCTTGTAATACTGACAAAAACAAATTTTGTTTTGTTCTGTGCATAAATAATTAGCTCTAATACATCGTGTTAAATGACATCTACTTTTTATCATTTAACATTTCACACTAGACTTATCAAACTTTCCACTACACGCCTAACTCCATTTACCCAGGACTTTAAACTTTGAACTCTGACATCTTCTCATTTGGCACTCGCACTAACTATTGTACCTTTCAACGTATGTCTTTGGTATCGTAACATTTTACATAGAACACGAGATCAGCCAGCATGCAAATTAGTTCACGTTGCACCTTTTTTAATCACGTGAGATCTCGCGTGAAGGAAAAATAGTTTTCAAGCTTAGAATCAATGTCGTATACGGGCTCAGACTAGCAATTATTTGCCCATTGACTTTAATGTTAAATAGCTGTAACATCATAGGTTGTAGTTTTTTTTATCAACATTCCGTTGGTTCCAATCTATATAGGCACAATGGGGACCGCATTTGTCAATCTCCTCATCATAGTTTTGTAGAGGGTTGACCGTTTAGATTTGCTACGGGGATTTGTTGTTGACTGGGGTCAAAATCTCACTTCCGACACAATGATTGCTCTGCAGAAAGAAATTTTACACCCCCCTATCCCTCCGCTGTAATATAATCAGTACTAACCAAAACTGCCATGAAATTTGATCCCTTTTCTCCAATTCCAGACCAAAAAGTCTAGCAAAAATTGCTGCTTTGCCGGCAGCGGCGATCACCGGCGCAAGATGGTGAACATTATATAGAAATCCCATAAAACACTAATTTTAAAGCGTTAAAATTCAACCAAATGTTTTGAAGTTGAATTCAAGCCTCCTAAAACCAGATGTTCATATGTCATTTATTTTTTCTCGGTAATATTACTAATAATAATTTTCTGCTTATTTTCCGGTCACTTACTGATAGTCATGTCAAGAATATTGTTTTTAATTGAAACATGTCATGTAACCAGTTTAATATTGTAATATTATCCGACGCCATATTGTTTATCGGCCGGCTCACTTGATTTACTTTGATACGGTAGCCTGACCGGCGTACGCCATGTAGAAATAGTATCGGTGGACAAATCAAGCAGGCCCAATGATACGGTAGCCTGACAGGTGTACGTTATGTAGAAACCGGCTCGCCTATCGGTGGACAAATCAAGCAGGCCCAATGGTTTAGCCCAAATCGGCCCTGCGACTGATGACAAAATTAAGAAAACATGTCGTACGCTGCACGTGCATTCCATTTTAGTAACCACGTGTTCACAAACTGACATTCAGTTTGCACTCGGCAAACCTCAACAGATTCCAGTACCCTACATCTAATGCTAGATGTAGGGTACCGGAATCTGCCGAGGTTTGCCGAGTGATTCAGTTTGTACAATGTTGTCAAACGATTCGAACCACGAACTGATCCGAGCAAGTCAGTTTGCAGAAAATAGAGTTGAAAATGTTGATTCTGACAAACAATTTTTTAAAGCTAGTCAAAGTGAAGAATTTAAGCAGATAATATTTAACAAGGATTTAATGTACTCAGACATATTTCGGATTTTGAGGAAGATAAAAATAAACGCTTTTCAATTTCGAGTGATAAGACGTCAGTGAATGTGCCAACAATGCCGTGCCCATATATACTTTACGCAGAAATGCCGTCGGAGCAGAACAGTAAGACGTTAAAGGACAATATTGGTGCCAGTCATTATCACATATGTGAAAGAGCTGGTTAAACACATTCCAAATATAATTTTATCTCAGAGATCATTGCTACGATAGCTGAGTAATACAGGTTTCCTGAATCGGAAATTACGAACGCCAAAGGAAAACACGAGTCACCTCTCTAAATAACTGACTGATGTGACGAATGATAACGGATATACGGGCGAATTTTTGCTCACTTATAATTACTTCGAAGACCAAAAGTTGTTGTGTGAGACTGTGAGAGGATATCTGACAATTCATAAAAAGAATTGACTGTCACTAGATAAGTGAACACGAAAGAAAAACAGAAAAAGTCCGAATGCAGAAATTTTAATTTCTTAGACTGAAATCTCCTCAGACATTCGTACACCATTGAAATCCCATTTAGAAAAATGCTTAAAATTACAGAACAGAATTGAATAAAAATGCTGATACAGATCTACATACCAAAGACTGATTAATACATATATTAGAAATGAAAGCGATAATAAAGAAAATTCCGAGTTTTCGTTTTTACGCTATTATTTGTTCCGAGTTTTCGGAGTAGGACAAGATTTTTTACATTTAACTTGGTTCAATTTACACGTAACATTTAGCATTTACAACATTGGAAATGTAAAGGCACTAACAACATAACACTGACTTTTGACTCGAAGTCCCCCATCATACTTCTCCATTAAACCCCATTTCATTTCATTTCATTTTATATCTTGAGTATTATTATTTTCAATGACATAAATTTTCGTTTAAAAGCTTATTGATCGTAAATTAATAGATTTGAATAATTATACTAACATTAAATTACTATTCTATATTATATTGTTTACATTGTTAGACGATAAGGTTGGGACACCGCGACCATTATTAATATGGAATGATGTACACGAAAAGTTACCATGGGCGCTATTTCTGTTACTTGGAGGTGGATTTGCTTTAGCTAAAGGTTGTAAGGTAATGTATCAGACAAAAACTGGAGATCAAAATAATATTGAATTATTTACTCAGGCATTCTATATCTGTGATTTATAGGGTCGAATGAAAGAATCCCATAAATTAAAGAAATGTGAATTAATTTCCCATGGGGTTATCCCCCTTTCTTGGAACCCTTTTAATCGTCGGGATTGGCGGTACGAAGCAATCGGTTTCTATTCATGTCAGCACTAAAGATGTACAAGTATGTATATTAGAGGTTATTGCCTTTTGTCGCCGATATCAATGCGATGGAAGCGGGCGTTAAACAAAGCTATTTCACACACACACACAGTTATTACCTTTACTTCAAATTCGAAAATTGTGTTAAATTAGAAGACCGAATTTTTAATTTATTTTGCGAAAAGCTTTTAACGAAATTATTAAAACTTTACTTGTATCCAAAGTTTATTAATATTTTTTTATGTTTATAGCATACGACCGGTGCTTCCAATCGAATAATGTGATTTACCTTCTAATGGGTGACATGGGCGTATAAAAGTTACTCGGCCATTCTACTTTCATTTTCACGTGGCACATAAAGGCATCATCTTATTGACAGTGCACACCTGTGAATGAATTACCCGTCGCTCTATTAAGCCATCGGTATTTGCAGGTGTCATGTACGAGACATGGTATGCTTTTTGGAAGATTTCACCTGGAATTAAAAAACTGTTGTACTTCTCGGAAACAGACTAACTATATTATTGAGCTCCGATTTCGTGATCTACGGGGTTTTTTTTACTTATCTAGGATTCTGGTTTGTCTCTGTGGATTGGAGAACAGTTGGAGGTGTTTAAAGGTTTGAATCCATATGTAATGTTAATAATACTCTGTTATCTAACTGCTGCTTTGACGGAAGTTACAAGCAACGTCGCTATAGCAACAATAATCATGCCTATTTTGTCTACACTGGTAAGTTTTGCAATAATCATATGGAATTTGACAAATTAAAACTTATTTTGTCGTTTTGTTTTTAAGGCGTTTTGCTATTGTATAAAATAAGGCCTTTTTTAACTCTAATGTTTAAAGCCAGTTTAATCATATTCAATATGTGCAATTTCATGCCAAATATGAAAATCGAAAAGAAACACTCTTCCATATCTTTCAATAGAAAATGTCTATTATCTATATAATAATGTTGTTTTAGGCAATCAATACGGGTGTTAATCCACTGTTCTACATGATCCCAGCAGCTATCTCTGCTTCATTTGCCTTTATGTTACCAGTAGCAACAGCACCTAATGCTTTGGCTTTTTCATACGGCCATCTTAAAATCACAGATATGGTAAGTGATTGTTCACGTGTTTATTCCAGCCCCAGTGAGACTGGTCATCACTGTTCAGACCAGCACCTGCAGCCAGCAATGGGATTCCCATATTTTAGTTTCTGTTTAATGAGGCCTCGACGAAGATTCTGGGGACTACACCAAACCACTAATGCATGCGGCACTCTGATGATTACCCTTTGCTCCAATCTATGCCCCCCCCCCCCGGATCCGGGCCTGTATTCATTTAATAAATCATCCAATTATACCCCATCAGTGATTATGTATGTGTAAAACATATCCTTCTAATATCATCCTACACTATGGGACCAAAATAGTTGATAAGTGTGAAGTTTCTAAGCGTCAAAAGAGCTTTAATTTATTTTCACTTTAATCGTATATCAATACTCTCCAAAAACGTTGGAAGCGATACATGTCCGATTAAACAATAATTATTGACAAAATCGATAGCAAACCGAATAAATATATACCGTGTCGGATTTACCAAGGCAGACTGAAGACTAGAGCCTCATAATCAAAGAGATATCCGGCCAAGTGGTATAATATTGTTGACACTGTCGTAAACCTTTCTTAAACATCCCTCATCATCCTTGGCTTTGCTCATCAGTGTTTAAATCACACTTTCACCCCCTATAATCGTGAGAGTGGGGGATAGGGTTGGGGGTGCCTCATAAGTGGAATACAGGGCAGGGCCTCTCTTCATCTAAATCCGATACTGCAATGTGGAACTTGGTACCCATTGAAGGTTGAAACATCCTCGCCGGCATATCTTTCGCTGAAATACCCGACATATCTGATCATTTTTATTCCTTCAGGTGTCTGCTGGGTTTGTACTCAACATTGTGGCAGTGCCACTCTTAGTTATGGCGACTTATTTATGGGGTAATGCTGTTTTTAACCTGGATGTCTTACCACCTGGATTTAAGATGAATGTGACACAAAATGCGGATGTCACAACTATATGATTAGCAACTGCAGTAAACATAGTTTTATAGCATCTATGTTTATTAGTTACTAAATTGTAAGACTTCTTCTCTGATATGTACTTCATAAATACCTGTTAAATAAACATTCCGAAGAACTATATTAATGGCAAAATACCGGTAAAAAATAGACAACAGCCTACAGTACACATACAATAAATTAGAAAGTAATACCCAATGCACACATTTATTTATGTTACTTTCTATGTGACGATTCGTGCGTTTAAAGATACATTATGGGAGATTAGATATACTATTATAGTTGAATATACTAAACTAACAATGAATAAAAATATTTACATAAAAACTAACCAACGTGTTTATGATAATCAAGACTACTTTCGTACGAAACATAACAGAAAGCTGGAACAAGAAAATGAATTTAGAAACACGCACGTTAGGCAACTCAATAATTGTTTTAAGAACCTTTTTAAAGACAATATTGGTGTCAGTCATTATTATATATGTGATAGAACTGGTTAAATACATTCCAAATATAATTTTAACACAAAGATAATTGCTACGGGAGATGAGTAACAAGCACGGGAAGTAACGCCAAACATGACAAACACGAGTTATCCTTCCATATAACTGATTGAAGTAACGAGCGATAACAGACAAACGATCGAATTTCATTTCACTGATAATTCCGTTGAAGTTGAAAAGTTATTATATGGGACTGTGAGAGGGTATCTCACAATTCAAAAATAGAATTGACTGTCAGTAGATAAAAGATAACGAACAAATTAGAAAAAGTCCGTGCATTACCATGTTTTTATTAAGAGCAGAATGAATAAAAATGGGGGAATGCACGGGATTTTTCTATTTTTCTCGTTTTCCCTTATCTAGTGACAGCCAATTCTATTTTTGAATTGTGAGATACCCTCTATCACATATTTTATAATGACTAACACCAATATTGTCCTTTAAGGTAAAATGAAACTACTGCTAGCATCATGTTCTTGCATAACCCGAGTGTTTCAGAGATAATATTTGTAATAAACCAAAAGATGCCGCTCCTAACGGTATAATTAATGATAAAGGAATTTAAAAAATAGAACGAACGTAATTTTTAAAGCTGTTGCACTAACCAAAAGATTAAATATTACTGCTATTCAAAATAGTCAATAATAGACTTTTTACGGCTGTAATAGTTGATCGATGTGTAGAGAATTTCACTGCGGTGGCTATTTATAGACTCCTAGACTCTTGTGCTGAGCGTTATCGCGCCGCGTGACTAGCCAGAAATCACTTCGAGACACGCCACTGAAGCGTGCACATTCGCCGTGTGGAGTTCAACTTTCAGTAGGAAATTTTCGCTGCACGGACACCCTAACAATTATGAGTCAACTGGTGTGGTTTCGATTCCCCGGTTGTACGTGACAAGGAATATGGTCGCCTGTCGAACCTCGTGGGTTTTCTCCACCCCCACCCGGTTTGCTCCCACTGCTAAAGACGCCTACGCGGAAGCGAATTATTGAAATAAAATTGAACCATATGTTGGTCTCGAGTTTGTGTCGAGTGAACGTTAATCCACATCTCTCTCTCTGAAATGACAGAAGGGGTAACGGTATGTTAAATATAAAAACTGGAGAAACTCGGTTACTTTTGTGTACTAACAATCAATGGGCAACCATACAAAATCTGATGTTAAACTGTTTCGCCGAAAAATGAATAGAAACCAGGACCGAATCAGGTTTTGTTTTTCAATGGCTTGATGGTTGAAGGGCCGGGGCAGGGGCGAGACGACATGTCCATGGTTTTGTCAAAGAGTTGTCGGTTTTCGGGGACTTCCCAAGGTTTCCGTGCCCTTCACATCCCGCATCGGAATCTTAATCATTCGCCCCCTGTTGTCCCAGCAGCCAACTTAATAAACTTTAAAAAAGCCAGACTTGGGCTTATGTTGTCAAATCTCAGAATTTCCCAAATGACAGAGCATTGAAGACGTTTCGGTGTGTGACGGGGTCAATCAATTCTGAATATCCTAATGGTTTTGCGAACTATCCCAGCGTTATTATGCATTATGTTTTTGATCCACGGATGTGGAATACATCAGTGTTCTCCAACCAGACGATCTCCCCATTTTTATTTTTATAATCAATATTTTTATTCAGTAAATGTCTGGATTTGGATTGGAGAACAGGCTATGTCTATGTGTAACCCCCACTCTGATTTAAATATATGTACACAGTTTAAATATTCAGTATATATATACATACATAATTACATAAATATAGATCGCATAGGATACATATAATGGATAATATAGAGACATTTTAAAAAATATTTCAACCGTAAGAAATTTATTTTGAAAGTAGTGTTTGGTATTTGTTGTTGGGTATGATACAATCATCTAATACCCCAAATCTCAGAAACCAGTTGAGAGAGAGAGAGGATATACGATCATTGTATGGTGTGCTTGGCTGAAAATATCTTAAAAATTATTCTATGGAGATTTAAATCTTTTTGATAAATTATTGAACTTCTTGGAAAATAAGTGTGTTTATCTGAGGACTAAATTTTGCTGAGCCATACAACAGATAACTGATCGTTTTATAATTACATATCTATCTATCTATATATATATTTGAGACTGTCGTTTGTCTGTCTGTCTGTCTGTCTGTCTGTTCGGGGTTGGCGGCTACACTAGGTCTGCCCCGAGTCTGAAATTTGGGGTATAGGGGTAGCTCGGATCGGGGATTAACATAGGCCAGGTGGCGTTAGTCTACCACTTCCGGTTTTGGAGTTATGACCCCCGAGCGACCCCGGTCTGTTTGGAGTTAGCGGCTACACTAGGTCTGCCCCGAGTCTGAAATTTGGGGTATAGGGGTAACTCGGACCGGGGAGTAATATAGGCCAGGTGGCGTTAGTCTACCACTCCCGGTTTCGGAGTTATGACCCCCGAGCGAAATCTGTCTGTTCGGGGTTGGCGGCTACATATGCCCCGAGTCTGAATTTGGGGTATAGGGGTAGCTCGGACCGGGGAGTTACATAGGCCAGGTGGCGTTAGTCTACCACTTCCGGTTTCGGAGTTATGACCCCCGAGCGAAGCGCCGGTCTATTCGGGGTTGGCGGCTACACTAGGTCTGCCCCGAGTCTGAAATTTGGGGTATAGGGGTAGCTCTGACCGAGGAGTAACATAGGCCAGGTGGCGTTAGTCTACCACTTCCGGTTTTGGAGTAACGACCCCCGAGCGAAGTCTGTTCGGGGTTGGCGGCTACACTAGGTCTGCCCCGAGTCTGAAATTTGGGGTATAGGGGTAGCTCGGACCGGGGAGTAATATAGGCCAGGTGGCGTTAGTCTACCACTTCCGGTTTCGGAGTTATGACCCCCGAGCGAAGCCGGTCTGTTCGGGTTGGCGGCTACACTAGGTCTGCCCCGAGTCTGAAATTTTGGGTATAGGGGTAGCTCGGACCGGGGAGTAGCATAGGCCAGGTGGCGTTAGTCTACCACTTCCGGTTTTGGAGTTATGACCCCCGAGCGAAGCCGGGTATCCTGCTAGTATATTATGTTAAAGGTTTTGGAAGAGTTGTTATATAACCCGCGTTCTGATTGATGTGAAGGATTAGCAAATGAAACGGTCTGTTACGGCGAGTTCTGGGCGCGCGTTGCACGGAACTGTGGGTATACCAGTAGGAACATCAACGCTGATTATTTAATTAAAAATCTGACGTCACAGGGCCAAAAGCTGCTCGTATGACCCCTGATCAGATCTTCAAATAGTTCAGGCCATCGAAAGTATAAAAAACGAAAGGAAATATAGATCTGTATTTTAATCAGATTGGGTACCAAGCCGGCTCCACAATTACGTGATTTAACAATGGAATTTCTAGAGGAAAAATTATACTCAATTGTAGAAATTAAATATGACGTGTATTACAAATTATATTTAGAAAATCATTTGAAACGGTTCCTGGACGATGCATTCTCTATTTGGAATGAACGAATTGGCGACGTTACAGATTTTCAAGAAATAATGAATGGTTTAGAGTTAAATATGAAATTCACAATTTATACCAACGATTTGTAGATCGGATATGTATTTTAAAGACAAAGATACCAAAAACTATAAATAATATACAAAAAATAATATACCATTTTTTAACTAGAAAAGTATGAAGCATTGTGATAGATGAAGGCCTCCGGATTCTAAGATGGCTAAAAGGAAATTTATTGAAACAGCATTACCCCATCGATGTAATAGAAGTTGGGATAGGTAATGCTTTGGCAATTGATATCCAAACATTAAGGGATACTAAAGTAAAGGGGGGGGGGGGTGGATGGCTGAATGGTTAGCGTGGGCGCGCTGTATCATAAAGTCTGTCATTGAGTCGACTGGCGCGGTTTCGAGTCCCCGGTTGTACGTGGCAAGGAGTAGGGTCGCCTGTCCAACCTCGTGGGTTTTCTCCGGGTCCTCCGGTTTCCTCCCACTGCTAAAGACCCCTACGCGCAATGACCTAGTTTGTGTCGAGTGGACGTTAAACCCCATTTCTCTCTCTCTCACTACAGTAAAGGACAGTTCGGATAATATCATTACCCATAATCTCCAATATCCAAACTTCTGCACAGGAGTAGGACAATCCTGACTTCAAACAACAATGTCCAAATGAAATTTGGCAATGTTTAATCATAATCGCAAAGACAGCCACATAAACTGAAACCCCTTCTAACCAAAGCAAAAGATCTTGGGGAAGATCGATTTCGGTCTGCATCATACGGTTATGGTCCTTACGGTTTATGCGAAATGCGAATTGTAGACATTTTGTGGACCCTCTAGAGCCTTCAATGTTTGAACGTTTTAGATGAAACTTAAAATATATATATGTTATGGATCAATAAAATAGAAGAATTTGTTGTGGCGTTATCGCAAAAAAATAAAGATATTTCATTGCCTTGAAAGTCGACCATCTTGAAAATGGCCACCATCTTGGATTTTAGAGTGACTAACGGGGTTTTGTAAAAGAGTAGTCCCCAAGGAGTATTTGTGCCAAGTTTGATACCCTCATTTACATTTGAACAAATTCCCTGTTTTAATGCAGTTATCTGTTGCACTAACACGGAATTAGATATAATCTTTATCAGGTGTCATTAATTAAATGCCTTCACATACCGAGAGCTTATGGCGGTTCTTAATAAATATCAACATATGACATTAATATCACATCCTGACACACATGTGTTCAGTTAAGGTTACCAGATCATCTTATAAGAAGCAGACGCGAATCACAAAATCATTAAACCAGGCTTCAGATCACCACAATGTAATTAAAGCCTACTTGGAAATAAACCAAATTAAGGCGTCGAAAAAGTGATTATATATTTAATAAACTCATTTGAACGCTTACCATTTTGAATCAATAAATATATCTTGCTAGTGCTAGTGTGTTATTTGGATTATACGGTCTGTCATCTAGTCAAGTGTTTTGGTATTGATATCACTCCTGTAAGTAACAAGGGGAGGGATCGACTACCTAACCTGGTGGATTTTCCACGATTTCCTACACGGCTAGCGTGTGAACATTTTATGAGGACTTTCCAGCTGGCGTCTGCCGCAAATTCTGAGACAGGGATATTTGATGTCGTGGCAGGACATGTAAAGCGCCCGAGAGCAGCTCGCTGAGTTGAATTGTTGGCGTTATATAAATCAATTATTATTATTATTATTATTATATTATTTACCCCAGATATAATATATTATGAGAGAGACAAACTAGATCATTTCGTTGTTCTAATGTTTCCGAACCTTCCTGATAATAAAATTTGAATCAATAATATCCAATTAGCCACGGTAAACGAAATTCAACTATCAATATAAATAAATGTTGTTTTTTTTTAAAGACGAAACGAAATGCCAAATAATTATTCAAGGGTAAATATGACCTGAGAAAGGTTTCATGTATATCACAGACAATTATCAATCAACTACTCATTAATCCATGGCAGTTGATTTATTTTTCAATGAACCTAGTTGATTAGTTTATGATATGCCACGTGGGATGTCTGGGCTAATCGGCGAACGAGTTACGCTGGGCTGACTAGAAACAGGCTATGGGTGTTTACGTTTTTAAACTCGTTTGTACTCGATGAAAATTATATCACCGGTAGTACTTCGGTCATATTTATAAACTAGAGATGTAACGCCTCACAACGATGCCAAGTAATACGCAAGTGGATTACCTGATCGTCCCATAGCAAGCGAAGAAAATAACTAATTCGCTGATAATTTTAGGAAAAAGGAAAAAAATATGAATTCGGTACTCTTACAAAACGTCCAAATAAAGGTGTTTCAAAATGTGTTATTGCTATTTTGATCTTTTAGGTTGATAGATAGTATATTTATAGACTCATTTTTGTGACTATCTCAATTTAGACCAAAATCAATATTGTCACGTGTTTTGTCTGTAGCCCAATATTAGACTTTGCGCATTCCGACTCATTTAGCCCACATGGGTCACATATGGTTCAATTTTATTTTAATAATTCGGTTGCGTGTTGGAGAAAATCGGAGAACCCGGAGAAAATCGGAGAACCCGGAGAAAACCCATGAGGTTGGACAGGCGACCCTACTCCTAGTTCACGTACAAGTAGGGAATCGAAACCACGCCAATTGACTTAATGACAGATCTGTGTGAATGTTCCATTTGTACTAATAGAATAGTGATAACTGTTGTAATGGTGCTTTTGGAGCAAATTAAAATTCTCAATATGTTACACTGATACGATTAATTTCGTATTTTGCATAAATATGCCCGAGATGACTCAAACAGGTCATAAAAAACAGAAATAAATGAGTAAACGCAATCTATATATTAAATAAAAATGCAGAATAATATTAATATCCTGCTGGTATTCCGTCCTTACGATAATCACAATTTGCTGTTATAGTTCCTGGTTTTAACTGTAAAATACCTTGTACATTGGAACCTCCTGCTATCATTGTTACATTATGACCTATTTTCTTCAATCCTTCAACAACAGCCTGAAAGTGTTATAGAGAACATCATTACTTAATTCATTAATGACTGATCTGGATACGAAAGGAAATGGAGGTTTAGCGTAGGTACTATGGCCTACTTTTATTCGAATTCCAATAGTCTAGGGTTCTTTTACGTGCGCGCCAATGTTTACACAGGACATCTGGCTTTTCTTGCCAGTCCCTTCGTTCAGCACAACTGACAAGGTAGAACCACGCCGGAAAATACCGATGAAGTTTCTCGGCTAACACTGAGATCGAACACGGGACCTCAAGATTACAATATTTTTAAGAGTAGACATATTCAGCTAGAGTAATACAATGTATAGTGAAATCTAGATGAATATCACTTACCTTGGGATAAGGATACTCTATCTGAGTAGTCTGAGGTACAAGTTGGTGGTGAATTCTAGGAAAATCTATGGCTTGTTTAACATCCCATTTAAACCAAAGGGTCTTTGTTGTTACCTGAAGTAAAATATCGATTAGTCGCATGTCCAAAGCAGACATCCACACAAATGAATGGATGGTGGGCGAGATTCACGAAACCGTGTATTTTACTCTTTCTTTTATCATTTAGTAGCCCAGAAAGCTAATGCCCATCTTCGAATTCAGCATACTTTGGTAGGCATATTGCTTGGATTGCGCTTATTCAGATTTGTTTAAAGAAACTTACATGCGCCTATCATACATTCCAAAAACATAATATATCGATAGCTTGGTTCTAATGTTAATAACTGAATTGTATATCTTACCAATGAAGCTGCTGTCGTTATCTTAGTTCCCCCTGAAGCTCCCACAACAAGTACTACATGCCCATCTTCACCAACCAGAATCGAAGGACACGTGGATGACAGAGGACGCTTTCCTGGTTTTATATAATTAGCTGGAGAGGCTGGCACACCGTAATAGTTGGTTGTATTAGGAGTAGAAAAATCATCCATTTCGTCGTTGTAGATAATACCAGTATCATCACCAACAACATCAGAACCAAAACTATAACGGTTAATAATTATTAAGAACGTATCGAATTCTATAACCCCCATGAATATTAAGACAAACAAAATAAAATCCACTGAATTCCGTCTAAAAAAGTAATATTAAAGAACGCTTTAGTGTGATCGAGTGACAGCAATAGATGTCAGCACTGGGACAACCCTATTCCTTGCCACGTACAAAGAGACTGAACATTATTAGGATTGTGTAGCATAACGTACTAAAGATTGATGGTACTGGTAACAGCTACTGCATCACCTTTTGGTCCAAGAACAGAAAGGTGAGTTGTTCCATGATCTTCGGTTAAATTAAACTCGGGGTGATAATGAGTAAAATTAAACGTCTTTGTATCTGATATCTCGGCTCGGATATTCTCACCAAAGTCTTTGGAGGTCATTTCTTTTACCAACTGAAAAACAACAAGCACCATTATAAATATTTACTAAGCAATGAGAATGATCATCTAAGTTCCTTTGACCAACGCCCATCACAATCCTCACTTAAAACAATAAAAAAGACCAAAGTGTTACCATACAGCCGAAAAATGGCTTTGGAATAAAAGTCAATGCAGGCAGGATTATAGTTTAAGTGAAACCTTGGCAGAGAAAGTTCATCGGGATTTTCCAACGTGGTTCCCCCGTTTCAGTGATGCAGAACAGAGGGCCTGGCAAGGAACAACATATAGTCGCTAGGATGGCACGAAAAACGGTTGGCGTGCACGTAAAGGATGTCTTGGGAGGTGGAATTCGGTATAAGAGCAGGCCGTAGTGCCGCTGTCCGGGCAAAATTTCCCTCATAGCCCACTGTATGGCGTATGCCCGTCTTCATTAGCCCAGTCGGAACAGAGCAGTAGGACGCTAAATCCCAATTCATTTCATTTCATTTCATTTCAAGTGAAACCATTCGTTGAAATTTGATCGTTACGTAATGTAAGACTAAATAAATGAATAACATTAATCGTAATTCTTATCAGCGGTAGTATTGCCGTTTGAATAAAGAAAAACAATTTATTTTGCATGCTGTTTCATGTTAAGACATTTATAGACCTTAAAGGAAAGATTCATGTAAACAAGACATTCTCCGGAAAATACATTAAAACATCTGATTTAAAACTTTTTAATTCTAAACTAAGTGTAGCCCCAATAATTCACCACGCAAGTCAGGCTTCCAGCTGGTCCTCTGGAAGAGAGGGGGGATTTTGAAATAGGTTATTTTCCAATTTTGCTGGTCTTATTCAAACACCCAAAAGCTACATATTCGGACATGTCATCTATAAGCTAGTGACTCTGACGTCAGCAGTTCTTAAGGTTTGATTGGTGACTCGGAATGAGGCGCCGTCCATTGTAGTAAGCCTTTTATTAATAATTTACTTAAAGATACATTATGAGAGATTAGATAAAGAGCCAGCAGTTCTCACTATAATAGTTAAAAACTAGATAATGTAAAGGCAATTTTCTGACAATTTCAGTCAAATTGATACACTCTGGACCGAGAATTTAGCGATTAAATTTTCTGCCTAGCCTCGATCATCATTACTAAAGTCGGTGCGATAAAAAATATAGTCTCGATTACCCATTTCATAATTTAATCATGAATGAAAGTTGAGCAGCAAATCGGATCCTAATCCTGTAAATATCACAGGATAGCGATGACATGGAGAGTTGATTATCATCTGGATAAGTTAATTAACGTCTAATTAATCATTTAGATAACATTTCAGGCCTAAAAAAAGGCTTACAATAGGCAGATTTAGCTCTTGCATAATGTATGTTTAATATTGATTACGCAAAATAACAAGCTTGTGTGAACTTTTCCTTTAAAATCAATTATTTGAATCATATCGTATCTGTAATGATATCTTATTAGCTTTTTAGATTAAGATTTAGGACATAATTCCCAGTTTACCTACTTCTTTTATTCTCTGTTTAAAATGATCTGATTCAACAGATGGATCTCCCAGTGCTGATCGTTTAGCGTAGGCATATTTGAAGGCTTCTATAGTGCGATGCGATGTTAATATCTGTTTTTCAACAGTAGACAGTGTACTAGCATCCATATCATACCCTTAAAACAAGAAAACGTCTACAAAGAAGTTAATATATAATAAGAAATTGACATTTAAAAACAAAAGAAAACTCCTATAAATTTAACTTTTAATAAGCCGAATTTTTCGAAAGTTGTCTAAACAAAACACATGAGTGAAATACCTTAAATATTGTTTTTAGAATCAAATCAGATAAACTTGACCCCTCCCCACACACACACACACAAACAACGAAAAACGACTAATATGTTAGCTAAACATTTTATCATTAACCTTAGTAATTTAATATTGTTGCTATGTTTGGGTCGTTATTGGGTCAATACTTATTATAATGTCTTACTATCGAGTACTATGATATTGATTCTAAAGTATATTTAATACACACTGAAATGGATGGTGGGGTATATTATTTTTAAAGCTTACCGTCGAGTATATTTAATATATACTGAAAGACAACACCACTAGATGGTGGGGGTGGGGAATAAACCTTGATATTGTCATGTATAGTAATAGAGACAGGATCTTTTACTTCTGCAACATAATTCTTTAAATCATCTGATGTTATGATCCCACCTAAAACATTGAAATATACATTTATTGACAAAAACCCCATGGTAATTAGAATGGAACGTCTTTTACGATAATCCGTAAAATCAGTAGATCTCTTTTACACTGTTACACACTATGCTCGAATATTCGAGAAAATTTACAAAGAACCGTACTTTGCAGGAAAAGTATAAAACATACGTAAGTTTTATCCAATACGATCCAAACTTATTCACGCCTGTTAGTTTTTATGTCAAACAATTCATTTCGCGTATGTTTTAAACCGGTTCAAAAACTACGCCAATTACATGTATTATCAAAAGTCGTAAATATTAAACTGAAAACAATTTTATTCGGTAAAGTGTCATATTTTGAGCATGAAATGTAAACCAAGAGTCATGATTCTGACAGTAAACATTAAAATGTTCAAATGCCAAGGTGAGATGTCACAATATATCCCAGTTACAATCTTTTCGGTTAAAAAGTTCCTACAGTTTCGCTGACTACAAAAGTCGTAATCAGAATTGTATAATCAAATTATGAGAATAATCATGAAACTTGATCAATATTATATAGGGTGTAATGGTTTTACACAATTTGACCAAAAACTTATATTGGGTTTGCACATCACACAACAGGCGAATCTAAAATATAGTGAGTTTATAAAGATCCATAAATTTTAGGTGAATGTCGTATCTCACATTTAAAGAAAATCAGTATACTAATTGAGTCCTACCTGCATCATGTATTTCTCTTACAATAACATCTGTTAATGAACCTTGATAAAAAGCCATCACCCCTTCATCAGCTATTGTTTGTAAAGTAGCAGCTAATCTTGGTCGTTTCATCTTTTCACCAACAACATAAAGTTTGTTGGTCTCAGGATTTGTAATCAACTTCCTTTGAACAATAAAAACCCAACATAATAAGGTTAAATAACAACTATTTCCGAACTGAGAAACGATAAAAATGATTATATGAAATGAAGTAATACAATTAATATTTACATTAGAGAGGACGAGGTGGTCTTTTGAGCCTCACTAACTATGGCTGATGCTAGCGGAGGACTAACTGGAATACCATCTCTACACAGTTTAATAGTGGGTGTAAATAGATTCTTCCATGGTAATTTACCTCCTATTTTGTAGGCTTCCCACATACCCATTAATTCTCCAGGCACGGCTATTGATAAGCCACCTGAAAGAAAACGAGTGCCATACAATATAAACATTGGTCATGACATTGTCTTTGGGGATTTTTCATTTATCATTTTTCTACGCAAAGTTTTTGTCGTTTCACTACTAACGTGTGTTGTATATAGTAGTTATATACCCTAGAATATCAAATTATATATACAGATATCTATTGAAGAATATAAGTTATATATACTCTTAAAAAAAGTAGGGAATATTGAAATGCAAATACCTATGCAGGTTGTGATATGGTAAATAGTCATGGACACTTGACATGCTTTGAGAGTATGTTCACAGATGAAGAACTTATCGCCCCAAAAGAACCACTGAGCTGCACATGCGACACGCAATAGCGCCATACACGTGGGAGAGGTTCATTGTAAAATTTGACACTACAAGGAAGGGTTGACGAAATCTGCCACTTGCTGGTTTATCCTATCCATGTTTGCTTTCCTGTCGGTTCTTGCATAAGATTTACTGTTTAGCGTATCTTTGCTTTAGTGTGTTACGTTTAATTTGACGGTTGATTAGGAACATGCCACGACGAATTGCTGAATGTCTGAGGATTGGTAGAGCAATTACTCATTATTAAGACAAAAATCAAAAACGTCCATTTTCACTTTTGACAGTGCATTTCTTTGCAAGTGAAATGGGACCGTCAGATAAGCCGCCCATATGGACTGTTTATGTTCATGTGTAGGCAATTGACCTGTTATTAACATACACTGGTTACCTCTAATAAAACAGCAGTGCATTTCCGCAGTTTTGTATTGTTTCTGAATATCCCCTACTTTTTTTTTGAAGAGTATATATTCGGATATAACGATAGGTAAAATTATCCCAAAACAAGTTGAAATGATCATACATGTAACATCTTTTAGCATGGTAGTAAGTGGTGATATAAAGTTAATTACTCTCCAGTTTTATGAAAAATTTGTTAAAAGTCATTATTTCTAGCATCGTTTTAAAATATTTTGTTGGCAACTGAAGTGGTGTCACTTTGAGCAAATCAATTTTTTGACTAACGAAAAGATATATAGGTTAATGCATATTTTCTCGTAAAATAATTTAAATATACATTATGTAAGATTTAGATAATGAACTGACCATTTTTGCTAAAAAAGCTCAAAAATAGATAATGTAAAATGAAAATATTGAAAATTCCATTCAAACTACTTCAGAGCCACATTATCAATGTTTGTTGTTTTGACAAGATGTGTGCTTTGTGGTAACCGGGGCACTGGTTTATTCGAGAATTAGCCTCGCCTTCCCATTTTTAAATTAAATTTATAAATGGCAAGCCGTTCTAATCTAGTTAAAATCTCGAGTATCCGATGCCATCGAGAGGTGATTATGGTCTTGTTTTGTTAATAAATATCTAATTAATAGTTTATATAAAATATAACCAGTTTTTCATTAGACTATGAAGCATACGTTTGTTTATTCCGATCGCCGGATTGGGCCACGTTTATATAAAAAAAAATAAAGTCGTCAAACTGTTATTTAAACTGAAAAACTATTTCTTACCTTTTTCAGATGATGCGTTTTTAAACATTTCTTTAGAGGCTGCCCCTGGTGCCATCTCGCGAGCAATAATAGTATATACCTTACCCTCATCTCTGTTAAAACAATAAAATGCTATATTCAGCATTTGGTCTTATGATCTATGGATAATATACAACATTTAAAGAATTAAGACTGGGCCAGGTGATTTCGCGGTTATCTCTTCTCTTACAAATGAAATCTGCTTTTTCCTAATCACCACCGGAGTTTAAAGTTTTAAAATGTGAATGTAGACTATATTTACTTATAAAAGGAACAAATTTACTTTTTGTAAATTGTCATAAAATGACCTCCGCCAATACCAGTACTCATAGAATTAGCTACACCAACACATAAAAGAGTTGCAATTGTAGCATCCACAGCACTTCCTCCTTGATTCTTCATTATATCACTACAACACAGATAAATCTATATTAAAAGGGTGCCCATTTAGCATGAACGAAATACATATTATAAATATGTTCTGGATTATCAATTTCTTTTTTTCTCTCTTGTCAACATCCTACTTTTGCAATCCTCGCTGGCCAATTCATGCACACAGCTGAAAGGGGAAGTAGGATAAACGGAAAAACCATTTCAACCGTATTTTAGACGTAATGGCATTTTCATACTGTATTGAGCTGGATTCTGATTGCCCTGTTTGATCGAAGGTTCGATGTTTTATTAAATAGACTTAAACCTTCACTTTAAGGGCGTTTCAGAAAACAGTTTCCCATAACAACTGACATTGATATTGTGATTTGTTTATATGAGTGACTTACATGCCTATAGGAGAACATATCTGGGTATCAGAAGCTACTGCTGCCTGTTTGTAATGTCCTTCTATGGAGGGAGATGGTTTCACTTTAAATTCCCGTGACAAATTCCGGTCGCTTAAAATAAATCCGGTGGTCGTTGCAGAGAGAAGATAGAGGAAGAAAGGAAAATAAACCATCGTACCCATGTTGCTGCAAAATTTAAATAAATAACATTTGAGTTGATTCCACTGTGTGTATAGTTATAGGGCTTCTGAAACACCACAAAGGACCTTGTTGCCACTTCCGCCAGTAAATAGTTATGAGAGAAATCAGCATTATAGAAGTAGAACTTTGATTTAAAAAAAGTTGTGTTATTTAGAGAGAATACAATTACTGGGAACATTAAAACATTAATAATATAAACAGGTCCCACTTACAGTTTTTTAAATAGATGCTTCCTTATGGCCAATCATCTGTCGATGTGTGCCATTTCCCACGGGGAATTTTGATAAGATTGATAATATCATTTTTAAGTACACATACAAGACTTGTCAGCTAATAATACACAGATATACACAAATCTTAATCCTAGATTGTGTGACAATTAACAGTTAACACTGGTTTGCTCAGAGTTAATATGGTGGCCCCAGATCCTCCCCAATCGCTATTGCGCGTGCGTTCCTGGAATTTTACGCCCACTTCCACCAAGAGTGATATCGTAGACAGTAAATCGCTTTTTTTTTTCAGTTGAGTTAAATACCTTTCTACAATACCGCCATACATACAGCCAGAACTGCCTCAGCCTATTTATAGTCACCATTAAATTATACCGAAAACAGGAACTCTCCTCCCTGTCCCCATATCAACAACAATTTCCGTATTTACCACTAATGAATAAATCCGCCACTTGGATGACAAGAAAATAATTAGCTTTCGCCTTCAATTTGATCCTTTCAAACTCTTTGGGAATAAATATCTTTCTCAATAATATTGATATAGGTACGTACAAATTCTGAATTTAAATGCATTAACTCAATAAACAGCAAAATGTTGCATCATTTTAATGCCAATCTACGGGTTATTCCACTTTACTGGGACCGGTCCAATTAATCATACTTGGATGTTTGCGAGACAATCATAGGTTGTATAAAATTACATTCTTTGCAGCTACTAACAAGTGATCTATTCATTGTATTTAGATATAAAGCGTCGTCCAATTTTGAGGCAGATATTTTGAGGCCGGAAAATCCGTACGAACTTTCTCGGCCAATGTAATAATCCGGCACTTGACCATTAGGAGATGATATCAGAAAAGGGAATGATATTTCCCTGCATCAACAATCAAATTTTGTGAAATCCGCTAGTATTATTTGTGGTAGCAAAACAAAAAAAAACCAAAAAAAAACAACACGTTGTGGGATCTTTCTGTTTTGACCGTTTTCTCGCCATTTTATGTCAACTATTCTGAATCAACTCCGATACTGACTAAACTTGCAGGTTTTGAAGAATGCCAACTTGTAGCAATTTCAGAACTACATATAGTTATTAGTCTGTATATCTAAACTATTTTATGGGATTTTCACAAAATTGTCTATGTATAATGACAAGAATATGAAATTAAACGAAAGATAACTATGCAGAATTACACGAAAAACAACTAAATGTCGTAGTCTCAAACTGAGGTATCAATAGGGTGACAGTACATACATTTAGGAATACGAGTCAAAAAATAATCCAACCTGAAATTTTATGAAACTATTTTTCGTCAATACAAAAACTTGGAATTTCAACTAGTCATCTGTTTCATATTGATAATAATTATGAGAACATGAGTCACTAGTTCTATAATTGCTCCTCCTGTGATAAAATTCAATTAAAGTAGCTAAGTCTCTAACTCAATGTCATCCAAAGTCTTCGACATTGAAACACGAATTATTTGTCAACTCAAATCAACATTGATGTTGTGATCTTACCTGGAAAAGATGGGTTTCTGATATCCAATATTTAAGACAAAATAAACATTTTACCATTGGTACACGAATCGTGTACCATAATGCGCCATAAATACTATCGATGTGGATTGGAATAACCAGACGCTAGAGATTGTCATTCGATTGAGACTTCTTCTGGCGTATTTCATATGAAATTCATATTACATTGCGTCAGAACTTGCCAGAACATGGAACATACGGCCACGATTGTTGTATACTAATTATACGTTGGCAGGTAATGGGGGTGTGTGTGTCTGGTGGGGGTTGGGGTGAAATATAAGTTTTACGTCCGCTTCCACTTAGGTAATATCGCAGCCTCCTCTATGCCTGGTATTTTGGGGTTCTGGTAATTCCAATCTGTTATCATTGGGGTGATCCGGTGTTGATGGAGATCTAGATTCTCCTTCCCTTTTTCTTTTCTTTCATGGTGTCAGGCATGGGGGAGACTGGCTGACTGGATGGGCTAAACTTCCAGTGCTGCTACCTATTGTTTAACCAGAAAGCACATCAAACTATCAACTATGGGAACTAAAACATTTCAGGGGAAATACATATACAGCGTTTTAAAAAAAATATATGTTTCTTCTTCTATAGCTTAAAATTGCAATCAGGTGGCAACCTACAACACAACGATAACTGTTCATCGCTGCATAATATACATTTTAAAAAACTTTAATATCATTTAGACAGATTCTAAATAATAATTTTAACATATACATCTTTGCTACAGTTGATCCGGTAACAGTAACTGTATTACTTTATTGCGTCACTTCCCGATCGTCCAAATTTCTGTTACGGATCAACCATATAGCAAAAATATCTGTGTTTAAAGATAGGTTCCCAGAAAAGTATTTATCGGGTGGTTATTTCCAATAAAAGTATGGCAATTTTGGTATATATAGAAAGTAGAGGTATCCAATCTAAATAGAAATGAAATGAAATGAAATGAAATGGGGTTTAACGTCCTACTGTTCTGCTCCTACTGGGCTAATGAAGACGGGCATACGCCATACAGTGTGCTATGAGGGAAATTTTGCCCGGACAGCGGCACTATCGCCTACTCTTATATCGAATTCCAACTGCCAAGGGATCTTTTACATGCACTCCAATGTATACACGGGACCTCGGTTTCGTTTCATCCGAAGGACTAGACAGCTGTCCTTGTCAGGCCCTCCGTTCTGCACCACTGACAAGGGGAAACCACGTCGGAAAATCCAGATGAACTTTCTCGGCCAATGCAGGGATCGAACACCCGACCTCCAGGCTAGCCAGCCAGCGTCTTAACCACCTAGCCACCGTGGTTCCCTAAATAGAAAAATACTGGATCCTCTGAAAAACACTCATGAAGCGTATACAGGACAAAAATGTAAGGGTTCCCCTAATCGACAGCCTGACGATTAGAGGAATACCTGCACGTGTGACGTCGAAGGTTGCACGCGAAGATTGAGAGCTTGGTGTACATGTTGATAAACTTTATGAAGAGTTAGACGTACAACACTTTATAAGATAAAAATCACGGAAAAGACGCGGGCAGTGGATAATCCGAGGATTTAATTAGGATTCGATATTTGTAATAAATAGTCAGCGATTAATAAAGACAACATCGTCTTGTGTATACAATGAATTCTCCTCCGACTTCGCCCCCGTTGCTATTGGTACCGAGAGAGGTAAGTCACGTGACACAAACATGACCTCTTTTGATCGATTTTTATAGCATGGTATTCCTTGGCAATTACAATGTTTTGAGAATGATTTGAAGCAAAATTATGATAATTAATTAGTTTGAATATGTTTTTAGTCCAAATATATCATCAAATCACCCAGTTTGTACGCGGGAATGTATCTTTAAATTATATTGGGAATGTAGTTATCCTATCACTTATAATGTAATATTTGTGGACACCAACATAGTCTTTTATGAGAGTATAGTGATACATAACAAGACACACCCAAGCTTTAATGATTTTAATATGAATTTCATAGCATAATTTTAGCATCATCGACATTATAAAATGTACATTTGTATATTTATTTTGTATGGAACAGATAACAAGCTGTTCGACAAAGGGAAAATATTATCATGAATTAAGTTGATATAACTACTGATCTCTTTACTAAAAATTTAAAACGGAGCTGTTACAATCGAACCATATAATTTTTTTAAAGTTTGTAAATGCTAATGAATGCAATGTAATAAAAACAGGGTGGTGCAGAGTAGAATATTTACCGAAAAAAAAATTCTAAAAAGATATCCACGCAAAGCTTGAATACTCCCACACATCAGGTTTTTTTTCTCAAATGCAGTTTCTCCGAAAGGAAAACTTGGATGTTGAGTAAATTTGAAAAGAATCTAGGATCCCTGAAGCAGTCTAATCTCTAAAGTTCGTCCTCATATGTCACCATTGCTTCCAACCAAATTTGATAACAACAAGGAGGATAACTCAGGAACCGAAGGCTGTGGATTATGAATATCGATAGGGATCGATGGCCCAAATGCTTCATAGCAAATATTAATAGGATCCATTAAAAACTATAGCCTTTATCGCGTCCACGAGGTTTTTCGGGAAAGAATTTTACAAAAATATGTTAAAAACTATAGCCTCTGTCGTGTTCACAAGGTGGTGTGACTCACACACGGGGAGTCGCAGAACGCTAAAATATTGATAGTGTTCATCCGGTTATGACACCAATGCTTCCCACCAAATTTGAAAAACAACCACTGAAAACAATAGCCTTTATCGGGACCAGAAGGTTTTCGGAACAGGAGGGATAACTCCGGAATGGAAAGGAAAATTGTGGAAAGCTGAAAATCGATAGGGTTCATTCTCTCGTGACCACAATGCACTCGGCAAACCTAAGCAGATTCCAGTGCCCACAATCTAGCCTCGGCTGTATGACGAATTCCGCCATTGGAACTACTTTAAAGTTCCCGGATTACCAACGGGGTTATCCATGACGACGCCTTTGAAGAATGTTTTATTATACAAATATTTCAAAGTCTGAAGCTGGTTTTCTTTCAAGTTTATCCGATTTTCGTCAAACAAGGACAACTTAATTTGCACTGAAATTCTACACACGCTTCGACCGACGCAATTTTGATAACTTCTTTTTAAAAGCGGCAAGTTTTCCTAATAAGTAAATCGCATTTGTATAGGCCTAGGTACATATCACTTACCGTCATACAGCTTCTATCGTGTTCACAAGCCAGTTGTTGACAGAGGGGCGGACCGACGGACATAATACCGCCCACACTAAAATGTGGGCCTATACAAATGGGCGATTGTTTTGATTGAGTAAATGTTTGGTTTGTAAAGGTAAAATCTGCACGGGAGCTTTTTAATAACCAGCGGATTAGGCTTTAATGTAGCGTTTTACCAACTGTTTATTAAATACGAATATTATATGTCGACAGTATTTAACGAACGGTGCCTTTAAATGTACGAAAGTCGCTGTCGTGTTCGGCAAAGTGGACTAACTCTGGAATGGAACATTGAGGAAAGCTGAATATCGATACATACATATTAAGAACAAAATTCTGGATTACGTTCTATGACATATTTATCAGACATGACACAAGTTGTTTAAAAGTTTATTTCTTGAGACGCTTTGGCCAGTGTCCTGTCATCTTTATCAATCAAAGAATGACAACCACAGTACAGTGAAGATAGATATATACAATATGGAACAATGAAACAATACTATAATATAGAATGAGCGACAATTAATTAGAAACAATCAATATTTCCTCGATTTCATATGAATTTATACAAGCATTTATTCAAAACGCTCAACAGGCTTTTTGCTTAAAGATACATTATGGGAGATTAGATAGATAAAGAGCTGACAGTTCTCATTATAATAGTTAAAAACTAGATGATGTAATGGGAATATGCTAAAAATTTCAGTCAAAGTGCTTCACTCTAAGCCGAGAACACCTTATTTTAAAATCTTTGGAGCCTCGATTGTCATTGTTAGCGCTGTCACGATAAGTAACAAAGTCTCGATTATCCATTTTTGCGTTTAATCATCAACGGACGTTGAACAGCAGATAGGATTGAAATCCATTGAAAGTCGGACAGATAAGATGGCATCGAGAGTTGATTATGGTCTATTCATTTTAATAATTGTATACTTAATAGTTTATATAACATTTTAGGCCAAAAGAAAGAAATGCAATAGGCAGATTTACCTTTTGCATAATGCATGTTTAACACACATTATATAATTCTAGCTTTCTCAGTTATCAAATCGTCGCCCAAACATTTACGTGATAAATCATTGTATGTCTGTGTATATTATACCGTTATTATAAGGTATTTACAGGGTGCTTGGAATTTAAACACTATGGTTACATTTGTAAAAAATAATACAGTACAAAATATAATCTATAGATCTATTCAGAATTTTCATTCGTGTGGTTAAACCCCTGAAATGGTAATCTTTAATTTATTACTAATAAGAGTTACGTAATTGCATACATCTCAGAAAGTTAGAGCGCACATAACGTGTCTGAAAATCTCAATCTGATTAAAACACAGATCCTATTTCGTTTCGTTTTTTATAGTTCAGAATTTCGTTTTACTTGTCTACACTAGGATCTGGAAGAGTTGTTATATTATCGGCGTTTTGGTTGAAGGAAGGGATAAGCCAATGAAACAGTCTATTACGGCGACTTCTTGGCGTGTCATGCACGGAACTGTGGGTAAACCACTAGAAACGCCAACGCTGATTGATTAATCAATATCTGACGTCATAGGGTCAAAAGCCGCTCGTACGACCTCTGAGACGACCTTATAGTACAACTTTTCAGATCTTCATGTAGTGTAGGCCATCGAAAGTATAAAAAAAACAAAAACGAAATATAGATCAGTATTTTAATCAGATTGTGAAAGTCTGTCATAATGGTTTTAATCATAAAAAGTGTATCGTATGAAACTAAATGTACTTCACAATCAAACGTGTATCATCCTAATCCACATTTCTCTGAAACTTTTTCGCTGTAATTGTATGATATAAAAGAAACTGAACATACTACTTGACGTCCCCTTTAATATGTATCTCATAGTTTCAGTCATTAGTTTTATGTAAATATACAACGTGATTATCAAACACGCTTCGTCCCTTATTGCCTATCAAACATGACGTGTTCTCCCTTATATGGAGATGGCCATTGATTTAATGTGCTTGCCTGATGGCCGGTTGAAGCCTATTTGCGATTTTGCCTCTGTGGAAGTTACATAGTTGAAGTTAGTAGTTGGTGGAGACCGTGGAAACTGACATTCCTTTAACTGGCCAGCACACACTCACAGTGCCACATTAGACGTGGTATCGGGTGTTCTTATAGCTAATTGCAGAGAGAGTTTTTTTGATTTCAGAAAGCTGAAACTACCAGGTAAAAGGCTTCATTATGTCCATTCAAAGTTCCAGATTGAAGAGAGGCATGGCAATAAACAACCCACAACTTAGTCTTTTAATAACATTACAAAACATTTATCTTTATTGTGAACTGACACGTCTCATTTGTTACCTCCACCGCCATTACGATCCACAAATGGGTGTTACAGTAGTTATTGATGTGGTGAGGTTTAGAAATTCTGGTTGAACTTGATCAAAATGAAAGAAGGCGTTTCCCCATGTGGCTGTTGCTAATAACAAGATGGGAACAGAAACAATATTCATAAAAAAGCCTGCAAGTACCTGAAATAAGACCAAATAAAACATTCATTTAATGGCCAGAGGAATATAGTATTGTTTAAATGAATGCATCTTGAATATACTGCTATTAACCAGACGGTGACATGATACAACAGCGTATCCTTTTTAATATGACACAGTATCAGGGAAATATAAGGTAATCTCGTATTTCATGCGTAAAGTCAGAAATTTGTAAATTATTGTTCTGAGGTGTACAATTTGGGGGATACCCCTTGTAATATTGCGTTACAAATATATATTTATGAAGGATATAATAATTGTTACATTTTATTGCTTAAATTTATAAATAACGATAATTCTAAAAAGATATTTTTTTATTCAATACATACTAACCATGTCTATAACTCTTACTTGACCGTACGAAAACACGATAGCATTGGGAGGCGTTGCTACGGGTAACATAAAAGCAAAAGACGTAGTAATGGCTGCCGGAAACATAAAATACAAAGGGTTAACCTGCATACTCAGAGCCTAAAAAAAATATACAATGGATTAAATTACATTTCACTGTCATTTTTTGGGGGCTTTAAAAATATCAGAAGCGATATAAGGTGTTTAATCAAAGGCATCAATTATACCGAAATTTGTGCAATTGATCAAAAAAGTCCACATTTTAGTCTATAATTAATACCCTATAGATCAGACTTATATTTAGGCAGTTAACTTGGTCCAGGGTAAAACATTGATTGATATATAATCCTATAATGCCCAGTGCAATGTTACCTCTTTAAAGGGTGTAAAGCTCTAACTCATAGTATTCCAATCAATAGTGATGGGGAAAGAAATTACGGGGAACAGTTTTAAACCAGCACAAATCGGCGTGTACTCTATGCCCTTGAGCGCAATGTGTAATGAGAGAGAGAGAGAGAGAGAGAGAGAGAGAGAGGGGTAATTTCCACTCGATACAAACGAGGTCATCTCGGGACTAACACAAGGTTCAATTCTATTTCAATAATTCGCTTGTGCGTACGGTCTGTAGCAGTGGGAGGAAACCGGAGGACCTGGACAAAACCCACGAAGTTGGACAGCGACCCTAATCTGTTTCACAGAGAATTACGAAAGTCTTTTAATATCTCTGTAAAAGATGACTACCTTCAACACGTGACGTCTCATCACGCTACGTCAATCATTGGCTCAATGGCGCGTGCATTGTTTACATAAGACCTTACTGGTTCGGGCGGAATGGAGCCTTTTACTCATTTTAATACCCATTTACACTAAATAGGAAATAATTTTTACCTACAAATATGTCAAACGTCTTTATTTATTTTTCTAATACATAAAAAAATGTTTTAGAATTAAATTTGTCGGAGGAAAAAAGTTAATATTTGTGGCTCATTAAGTCTCATCGATGTCTTCCTTATCAGTGATTGTCGCGGCCTAGCGAATATTCACCTCTGATCAGTGTGAGGCGACCCTACTGCTTGTCACGTACAACTGGGAAATCGAAACCACGCCAGTTGGCTCAATGACAGACCTTACGATACAGCGCACACGTACTAACCATACATCCATTCAACCCACCGCAATGTGTAATGAGGAACGGTGCTAAATGTCGGAGGAAAAATAGAAATCTGCGCAAACATTATTATAAAGTCAGATCATGATTTAGGCGTTAGACGATCGATTTAGTGCGACACAAAAGAAGGGGAATAATTCTGCTCGATAAATACTTACTAATCTGGATAATATAGGCATCATTAAAGTTGCTATAGCTGTATTACTTGTAACTTCCGTTAGAAATGTGATTATATAACATAATATCATTAACATTAACCATGGGTTCAAATCTTGAAAAACTTTTAAAGATGTTCCGACCAGTTCCGACAGTCCAGTTTCCTTAAACAAATAAATAACAAACATTGTTTGACATTGTGAGAGCATAAGAACACGTGTTGGTTCAAATCATCTTATATCAAAATAAAAACAATCGCTTTGTTCTTTGGCTAATGTATACAGTTCTATTGGCCTCGCTTGGACCTTTAATATAATACATAAAAGTAAAAAGATATCTAATTCACAGCCCAAATGTTTTTTTTCGTTCGCTCGCACTTTCTAAGTTGCGAATGTTAATTCGAGTACGAGTATATTATAAAATATCGAATACATTATACATAATTTTATCATATTATATACATATATGTGATGAGTTATTACCGATGATGCTTTAGCTAAGGCATATCCACCTCCTAACAGAAGATATAATGTCCAAGGCATTTTCTCGTGAACTGACTGCCAAGTTAGTAATGGTTTAATAAGAGGTTTACTTTTGTCTGAAGGTAGAAAACAAATTAATAAGACACAAAGGAAATTTAAAACATTTCTATAGCTAACTTTAATGAATTTGTCAAACTTAAGTATGTCAACGGTTGGATGACAGAGGACGCTGTAAAATATAAAGAAATTAAAAGAGCACATGGGCAACGAAATACCATTGTTTGTGATAAATTACACCAAATTGTTCTATATCTTAAGTTTCGTCTAAATCGAACAAACATTGGAGGCTCTAAGAGGGGCCACAGACTTTTTACAATTCGCATTTTTCGTAAATGGCAAGGGCCATAACCCAAGAAGTTGCAATCTCAGACCAAAAAAGAACTCCTGCAAGATATTTTTATACTTAACAAATAATCGGACACGGGACACCTATGCAAATTATAGTTCTTATATCCAGATTAAATTGAACTATTGTCACAGTTATCTGCCTCACTATATTATAGTGAGTGTACGTTTCATTGTCTGATAACCTATGTTTTGAAGAGTTATAACAAGAGTTATAAATATATTTACCTCCACGTTTTCTAAAGCAGAAAATATTTGGAACAGCAGAAGGAAAAATAAATAGCAAAAGTCCCATGAAAATGGCGGGCGTGGAATCAGACACAAATCTATAAATGAACAAATTATCCAATTATTTACATGAAAAAAAAATTGTTTGACTAAACTGTTTGTTTTGTGATATACATAAAGGCACTCGTTATATCAGTAGATTACTGAACGTTTAGGGGTAATAACAATCTGATTAAAATACAGATCTATATTTCGTTTCGTTTTTTATACTTTCGATGGCTTACACTACATGAAGGTCACGTCGGGGGTCAAAAGACCGACTTATGACCCTATGACGTCAGACATTTGATCAACCAATCAGCATTGATGTTACTAGTGGATTACCCACAGTTCCGTGAAAAACACGCCTAAAGCTCGCCGTAACAGACCGTTTCATTGGCTTATCCCTGACACCATTCAGAACACGGGTTAAATAACAACTAAATTTTGAACTATAAAAACGAAACGAAATAGGATCTTTGTTTTAACCAGATTGAGGTAATAAAGAATGAGGTGATACAGAGCTGTAAGTATATCTTGGGTGACAATCCGTCTCACCAACATTAGGATACTTTTTCAAATAGTAGTTTAGTGAGATGAAATACGAAGATCAGGTTCGCGGTGCCGATTGGTAATCCATACCTGGGCTCCAACAAAGTTTGATTGGGAAAAGTTTGAATTTCAACATTAGATGGACATAATAAGCTATATTTTGTCATCTTCTTTCAACTTACTTAGATTTAAATAATGTTCCCCATCCTCCAATACCACCTAGATCTCTTGTTATCCATAAAACAACTAATATTCCAAAAAATACCATTACCGATATCTGTGGGAAACTGTAATGTAAAAAAATATCTAAATTTTTTCAAATGACATGTGTACTTTAGAATTTGAGAAATATATCGTGTTACTATGATACGAATTACTGTACTTGAATGATAAAAAAACACGGCGCTACCGACTTCCAGTCCCCAAATTCACAAAGCACGCTCAGACTTAAGTTAAGAATTTTGTAAATTATACTTCTAGTGCTCCGAAAAAATCTTTATCCGGGCATCAAGCGCATTGTTCTCATATTATTTGGTCTATACAGTACATTGCCTACGGACAGAAGGAACAGATTCTGTGAAGTCACGTGTAACCCAAGGGGTGGCAATGTGTGGTACATACTGGAAAGGACACATGAATCGGTTTAAACAGATATTTGGCACCTTTTCCAATTAAAATTTTACCAAGGTCAGCAGGGGTACCAGTTTTGTGATTAGCAAGTACATTCAATTAATGATAAAAGTTAAGTTATTAAAATGCATACAGAGCCGGGACCAGGCTCGGCCTAGGTAAGGCCAATACGTGCGCCCCATCTTCAAAACCAGAAATGTAGTTAGACTGTTTAAAACTGCGAACCCAAGGGCAATAGTGTGTCCCTCTGAGGTTTGTGCCCAAGGCAGCAGCTTAGTCGACCTCATAGTAGCACCGGCTCTGATTGTATAATACCTAACGGTACCCTTGATCACAAAATTAAAAATTACTATAATATTGAAAGTAACATTAGTAATGCTATGTATCTGAATGGTCAGGTCATGCAACCACCGGGTATAACCATTAAAACAATGCATATAGTGTGTTTTCAGGAATACTTACTTAACGGGGCCTAATTTTTTATATTCGGAAGCAATGACTTCAGCAACACGATCTTTTCCTTCAACTTTCCTTCTACAAGTTGTAAAGCCTCTACAATTAAAATAACATTTTTTGTGAACATAATCAGTTTTATGGAAGTCTTGGATACTCTATTTATATTTGGTATTTCTTTTTTATTAAATCGTTAAAAAATATAACGTACCGTGGTAAGATAACAGATCAGCTAATAAGATCACACAAGTCAACAAACAACGACGCACATTACCAGTTTTCAACAAGATGTCTTTTCCCAATTGCAAGCCTGTTTCTTCATGCTGCTGAACCGCCAGCATAATAAAGACTAAATTTCCACACACCAAGAACATGGGCTAATACAGGGGGATTGTAAAGATGTTCATTCACTTTAATTTTAAAAAAAAACTTACTTGCAACGTAAGAAGAAGATTTGCAGCCACACCCATAAAATAATAACAAGTATAAACGATAATGGTAAACCATAGATCATCCACGTACTAAATGTTATAGGTGATGTTAAATTATATTCTCCAAATACACTAAAATAAATACATAAAATATATACTTGATTAAAGTGATCACATCAAGGGATATAACTCTATATAGTTAAACTGAGAGGTTGTAAAGACATGTTATAATTTCTGAAAATGAAGACTAGCTAATCTTTCTAGAACACCCGATAGCATTTCCCACATAAGGAGGATAACGAAAACACACTTTACTAGGTGGTTTTTCATGCGTCGTGCAAAGCGGTAAACAAAATAATACGCTTATTATTTTGAGGTATGCCTGTAATTTAATTGAAATTAGATTGTCATCTCTTTTCGTTGTATTCCAAATGGTTGTAAGGCATAAACAAAAAATCAACGCAACCCCGTATACCAATAGAAACAATTTGATTAATTAAAATGTCCATGTGACCTGAATACCAACTTCAAAACATAATATGCCACATGTTAATGCAGTGTAACATATGAAATGAAACGGGATTAATATCATTTTAATCAGATACCATTTTCTAATGCAGTTAATATCAGTTGGAAAATGCAAGGGTGTCGCAAGATTCTTGATTTAATTAATCCAATCAAGAATCAAGTGTCAAGTAGTCATGTAGTTAGAGGCTGACTTAGGAACGGAATGTCCGGTTCTAATCCAGGCATGGGCTGTACTGTACTTGCTTGAAAACGTTGAGAGAATACTCTTCGAAACGTCGCCCAAATAAATCAGTAATTGTTCTTCCATAAGTATGTGTTAAAGTTTATGGCTAAAAAGACGTTTGACAATGTAACCAATCGTGTATTGTATTCATGGGCAGTGCACTTAAAAAGAAAACTACGTCCGCGAATAGTTCTTATCCCTAGATATAGAATTTTGAGTGGCTTTAGTTTTTAAATTAGTGTTAGTGTTTCAGAATGGCCCAGTTCAATGTTGATGATATTATGTATACAATTTAACTTACATATCAGCCTGGCCCTTCAAGATTAAATTTGGTCCGGTGCCAGTTAAGCTTCCTATGCCACCAATATTAGCTGCATAAGCTATAGCTAAACACATACATTTAGCCATTCTAGCATGGCGGGCATCTGTTTCCCTTTTATCCGTTTCTAAAACATCACTGAAACAATTGCATAATCTCAGAATAGTAGAATAAACGTTGAAATAATTACATAATCCCAGAATAGTAGAATAAACGCTGGAATAATTACATAATCTCAGAATAGTAGAATAAACGCCGAAATAATCACATAACCCTATGCCAATAAAATAAATTCTGAAATAATCATTTTATCTGAGAATACTAGGATAAGCTGTGATATAATTATACCATAGGATAAGCTGTGATATAATCATACCATAGGATAAACTCTTAACTTAATTCACCGGAATACCACAATAATTTTGAAATTAGTATAATATAACTTTGTAACAACTGGGATAAACTCTAACAATAAGATAAACATTACTATCAAATAATTATATAAGCTTATAACAAGAGTATAATCTCTGAAATAATTATATAAACTTATAACAAGAGTATAATCTCTCTAATAATTATATAAACTTATCACAACAGCATAAACTCTAAAATAATTATAAAAGCTTGTAACAATTAGATAATCTCTGAAATAATTATGTAAGCTTGTAACAACTGGATACTCTGAAATAATTATGTAAGTTTGTACCAATTGGATACACTCTGAAATAATTATATAAGCTCACAACAATATGATAAAATCTGAAATAATCCTAACAGACTATGATAGTACCAAGAACTCTGAAATGGTCCTATAATCATGTGACAATTGGATAATCTCGTTTATTTATCATCAACAATGATTATTGTATGTAGACAGACAGGCAGAGAGTAAAACTGGCATTTTTTAATGTAACACCTACCCGATTGCTGTACAACTCTTAGACAGTAGGTTTCCCATGGTTCCCATATGTATATCGAAGGTTATGTTTTCGCTTTTCAGCATAAAACGTAATCTTTATTAATCATATGAGAATCTGTATACACCTAGGAATCTTTGTAATGATACTCTGTTATAGGCAGTTAACCCTTCTCGTTGTCACACACAAACGAGGGACAACAAAACGAAAAACTAATTACTAATAATAAAATATTTAGAACACATACTTGTACTTTGGTGGTAATTCTCCATTTGGTCCCCCATTTACCTCTGATATTACCGTGACTTCGTAGGATTTAGATTTGTCATTCGGTTCAAGTTCAAGCATTTCAGGATCTGTAATTTAAATATTAACAAACATCTACAATTGGTAGCTGTTATCGGGCTATCCAGTGTATACATGCATTAAGTTCGTCGTTTTAGTGATTGTTAATCTCTTGTTAACTACAGTATGGTATTATAAAAGGATGATAATAAATCTCGTCCAATCTTGCAATTCTGACTATAACAATACTAGATGACGGCGGCTACACTTGAAATTGATGTTGTCAAGATCGCATACACGCAGCACACACATCAATTCTTTCAACACGCAGAAAACACTAATTTCACACGTATATAATGTAGCTTTAAAAAAAATTGGACTAGTACAACTCCCTAAAGTTCTCTCCGACGTCTCACCAATGGACCATCTGTGGGACAATATTGGACGTTGTGTCCCAAATGGTATCAATCTTCATCAACTGAGCGACAGCGGAGAAGTGTCTAAAGGTTTACACCGCGAAGAAACGGTTTAAACCGCGCATGAAAGGTTTACACTGCGGAGAAAAAAGTTTACACCGCGGAGAAAAAGGTTTACACCGCAGAGAAAACTTTATACCGCGGTGAAAAGGTTTACACCGCGGAGAAAACTTTACACGGTCAACAAAAATGTTTACATCGCGAAGTAAACGTTTACACCGCGGAGAAAAGGTTTTTCATGTTTTTTGATTTATCATGGTTTTCACTGCGATTTCTCATATGAGGTTAATTACAAGAAAAGGGTATAATTCAACCCATGACACTAAAAGACCACCGTAATAATTCGAGAAGACGCGAATGCAAACCCTATTTTAACGGAACCTGACATAAAGTTTGTATGGAGTTCACGCAAATGCTTTGACTACTGATAAAGATTTCGGAAACATAAAATTTATATTTTTATCAAAAAATGACCGGAAGTTGTCAGAACAGCAGGTTTCCGTCGCCTTATCCAGTTTTTAAATATTGCAGAGCAATATATTTTGAACACTATAAACAAATGCAAACATGTGAAGCTTCTGTATGTGTGTGGACTACGAATTCTAAAGCGAAATGAAATGAAATGGTGTTTAACGTCCTACTGGGCAAATAAAGACGGGCATACGCCATACAGTGTGCCATGAGGGAAATTTTTCCCGGGCAACTACACTATCGCATACTCTTATATCGAATTCCAACTGCCAAGGGATCTTTAACGTGCAGGTCAATGTATACACGGGACCTCGGTTTGTCGTATCGTCCGAAGGACTAGACAACTGTCCTTGTCAGGCCCTCCGTTCGCATACTCTTATATCGAATTCCAACTGCCAAGGGATCTTTAACGTGCATGTCAATGTATACACGGGACCTCGGTTTGTCGTATCGTCCGAAGGACTAGACAACTGTCCTTGTCAGGCCCTCCGTTCTGCACCACTGGCATGGAGAAATCACGTCGGAAAATCCCGATGAACTTTCTCGGCCAATACAGGAATCGAACACTCGACCTCCAGAAATTGTAAAGCACTTACCAGCTAAATTTCCGTCATCATTTGTAATGTCTGTTAGTTTTATTTGCTGTAATATGGCTTGGACTATGGGTATCATCATAGCAGTTGTAGCTGTATTACTGATCCACATTGATAAAAACCACGTGACACCCATTAAACCCAATAATAACCTGCATTAAACAGTAATTATTAATAATATTATTATGTAGGCCTAATTAGTTTTAAAAATTTACTATGTCACATTAAATAGATGGTCGTCTATGGTTGAACATATTTAATCCCGTATAACCAGCTGGGATAATTAAAGTTCGATTACAATTTCGTTTCGTTTAGGATTTTTTTTTTCCATTTTACCAACGAGTAAAATATGTGAGCCGTAATCTGACGGCAACATATCCTTACCATTTAGGTTCAGATCCGACTAACATCAACACTTTCAGGGCAATTCTTTTATGGATATCCCAGACTTCAATGGCAACTGCTAAGAGTAAACCTCCGAAAAACAACATGGATGTATCCTGTGTAATGAGAAATTTTGCATATCAATGCACCATAAACAAAGATGGAGGAAACTTTGTAACGTTTTATTTGCATCAAAACACCAGTTTAGGGTAGCACGTACACGGGATACATGACAGAATGATATTCAAATGTAGGGTGTAAGCATATATAAATATGATTTTACGTATATCGTAAGAAAAAGTAGGTGATATAATGTTAATATAGTATGAGGTGTCTTGCAAATGAAGTCATAACTTAAGAATTACATAATGTATGTAGAGTACTTAAAAACATTGCTTATGTAATTCTATAGGATTCACAAAAATATTACAAATTGGGGAATTGAGAGTCTGGAGCCTAAATATTTTAAGAGATTTCATTTTCTAACAAATTTGTATTTATTTAAGTATTATTCTTACATTCATATAAACACCAGAGACGGTCTTCGCTGTCAGTAACCCCATCATTGGAAATAGAAATATTGGAATCAGTGACGTCACGGCTATTGGTATAACCTCCGTCGTCCAATAAACTGCCATGATAGCTATGACATAAGCACATTTTGCCTCCTGAAGAAAGAAAAGGGTTATAAAATAATTATCTTTTTAAAACTATGTTATCTGTCGTTTGCAACATTCTTCAAAGCAACGTATAAATATCATATATAGACCTATTACAATTTCATTTCAGTACAAACAGTGGAATGGGTGAAAGATACCTTCTGAAGTCCACTACAGACTTGGTGATCCTATCACTACCACCATAACGCTGAAACGTCACATAGCTTTGAATCAAGATTATCAAAAAAAAAATTACCAATTCAAAAGTTTCTTGTATAATTGTTATAGCGTCTTTGACGAACCCGAGTTTCGTATGTACACCTATAGGAATAGCTTAGTTAAACGCATTTCCCAGATCGGTTTGTTGAGTTGAACGAGAGTACTATTACACACGCAGTAACAAGTCATTATAATATAATTGCCCCTTGTTTATTATTTAGCATTTGTAACCACCATACCCAAGTCAAACAGGTCTACATGATTGGTCTTATTGTCGTGAGAACAGTTCACTGATGGAAGAAACAGAAATGGCGGTTTTGGTGGGGTATAATACGAGGGCTGGCTGTAAAGTTCTAAGCCCGAAAAGGATAGACCGATTAGGTTGAAACAAACTTTTGCTACCAACAGGCACAATCATTGAATGAATCATAGACATAAGACTGCGACTGTAGTGTTATTATTGTATGCGTACCAGACCTTCTTGTTAACAAACGCATTGAAATCACCAAAAATGGACAACTGGCTGTAGGTCTGTCATCAAGTACATGCACCTGCAACCGAAAAGACTAACCCCAACACAGATACATGTCGACATGGTCTCCACATTAGAGGATGATGCTGGTCGTATAAAACAGACATCACGTGCCATCCATGAAACCAAATGATCTATAACCTCTGGATAAACACCTGTTCACTATAACAGTACCTATTCATCTATTATTCATAATCCATTTTTCAGAGAACAATAACTTTTTCAATCTATAGAATAGAACAATAGACAGATGTGGAATAACTTAGGTTTTTACGACCCCCTTCAATGCGCCAAAGTAACTACATGTACATACTACTTTCTTCTTCAATTCTAGACCAAACAAGGGTAGACAAACAACGCCACCCAAAAGCTTCGATGATGGAAAACGAGGAATTGATAATATGTCTAATAACTACAAAATAAAGGGGAAATAATTACATTCCTGAGTCAGTTTTGTTTATTATTTATTCTTTCTAATATTCCCCTTTAACTGGGTGTACATGTCGTTTTGGTCATCGCCACGCTGGCGCGCACACTGGCAGCCAGAAATTAAATCCATTTCAAACATCATTATACATAAACTGTTTCAATGGCATTTAGTAATTGAACTAGAGTATACAGGTCACAATTCTATGGAATACAATTACTGCTTATTACCGAGCGACGTTTCGACTAGGCTTCTCTAGTCATTATCAAGCTATGATAAAAAAAATGAAAATATGACAGGACAATATATACATGTACACAACAATACTTAGTTACCTAAAGGTAATCTAATTTAATAAAGTTAAACGCTAATAAGAACATTCAATAATACCAATTAACCTAAAAATTGACTAATTGATTAATGGATAAGTTGTGTGTGGGGTATATACAATGATTAGTAGGTTTAAATAATGACAAACGTTGAAAGAAAATGAAATTTGATAAAATGTTATCAACGACCCCTTTCACTGAGCAGTAATTGTATTCCATAGAATTGTGACCTATATATCATTAACACAGAGAGAGAGAGAGAGAGAGAGAGAGAGAGAGAGAGATGGGGTTTAACGTCCGCTCGACACAAACTAGGTCATTTCGGGACTAACATATGTTTTTTTAATTTTATTTACATAAGTCGCTTGCGCGTAGGGGTCTTTAGCAGTGGGAGGAAACCCACGAGGTTGGACAGGCGACATATCATTAATACATGTGATTTGACTGGCCCAATGGTCCAATATGGAAACGTATTGCGCTTTGTGTATATAAAAGTGAAACTGCAAAACATGGTACATAAATATGAGCAAAGTGAATAAAAACAATCATATTTCTTAAATGATAATAAATCTTTCTTACCGGTAAGTCGACAAAGTATGGAAAAGGTAACAATATAATTGGTGTAAGAATGAAACCTATTACATTTCTTAAAGCCCATATCTGGAGTAGTATTCTGTTCATGATTTGCCACTAATTATAACAATTATTGAGGTTAATTGTATGTATATTACTACAGACAAGGTATTCATAAATTATATGTGTGTAATATAATATTATATACTATAGTGACTTAGTTTCGTATTTGTCAGATATTATAAGTTTTTAATGAACACGTTTAGGATGCAGCCACAGTGCATGGTTTGTTTAGGGCTTTAATTACATTATTATTTTCTTCTGTTACCCCTCATAAATTTTTAAAATTATAAAGGCCAACTTTCGCATCTTGGGTGGCTCAGTGGGTTAGAAATTGGCTTGCTAACTAGGAGGTCCGCTCCCAGTATTGGCCAAGAAAATTCCTTTGGATTTTCCGGCGTGGTTTCACCTTGCCAGTGGTACAGGACGGAGGACCTGGCAAGGACAGTATCTAGTCGCTCAGATGGGACGAAAAACTGAGCCCCCGTGTACACATTGCACGTAAAAAAAATCTTGACAGATGGAATTCGAAATGAGAGTAGCTCGTAGCGCCACTGTCCGGGAAAATTCATTCATTCATTCTCTAAGTGTTGCTGATTACTGTCTGAAACCTATAGTTAATACGCGCCAGACAACAAGGAATATCCGAAATCAAAGTTTATGAATTCTTTCGGTTAGAATTTAATAAGTAATTCTTAGTGGCCTTATTTTTAAATGCTCACTCTGCGTCATGTGTTCATTGTATTGTATCTTGGACAAAAAAAAAACAACCAGAAAATCTTTCATCGGTATAGATTTAGAAGATAGACAATATTAGAAAATGGCCTCAATAACCCGGGCGTTCACCTTTGACATTTAAAAGAAAGAAAAATATATTAACCACAGGACAGTAAGCATTTATTCAACTGACCATTGAGGAAACCGTGGTCAATAACACGATGACCAAGAATGTGTAATGTTCACACATTATATATGTTTCCTTGTTTTTCCTTCTCGAAATTAGAAATTAGCTGTCCTTGATTTTGATCATTCATTCATTCATGCGAAATAATAAAATACAAACAAAATACTAATATTCATAGATATAAATAAATATTAATTGAAATTGGTCGTCCTAGATTTTAAACATTATTTTATTCATTCATGCAGACGAATAAAGTACGAGCAATATGACAAAAATCATAGGTAATGTAACTCTTTCTTTCGTTGGTCCAGTTTTTTAGGATCAAGTTAATCTATATTAAACGTGACCTGTTTTCGAATAATAGGCTTATTCCTGTTAAATTTCCTCAAAGATATTAAGTTTTTTGGGAATCATTTTGTAACAAAAAGGAAAGACTTGAGAATGGATTAAGAAAATAGGAATAAATATTAACAAAGCATTTTTGTAAATTTAATTATTCTTGTAAAACTAATCTAACCATCTTTTAGCCACCAACTTTATATATTGTTGGTGCTGTTTCAAAGTTATTCCTTTCGGCGTTTAGTTAATACAGTTAATTTATGAAACTGCATATATCGAAAACTAGATCAAGAAACAAAATTTTGAACATAAAATGTTACGAAAACTGAATTTGATGATATTTCATCTGAATTTCGCTTAATTTCAGAACTTTGTTTTTACACATTTGAGGATTTTAATCTCGGATAAGCCAGTAAAATAATCTACAGTTGAATAAAATGAGCTTTGAAATATCAAAGTCGGAAATTCTTCTTTGAACCCCTAACTAGATCTATATATACTCTTCAAAAAAGGTAGGGGATATTCAGAAACAATACAAAACCGCGGAAATGCACTGCTGTTTTTATTAGAGGTAACCAGTGTATGTTAATAACAGGCCAATTGCCTACACATGAACATAAACAGTTAATATGGGCGGCTTATCTGACGGCCCCATTTCACTCGCAAAGAGATACACCGTCAAAAGTGAAAATGGACGTTTTTGATTTTTGTCTTAATAATGAGTAATTGCTCCACCAATCCTCAAACATTCAGCAATTCTTCGTGGCATGCTCCTAATCAACCGTCCAATCACGATTTGGAGCAATCTGACCCACTCCGCTTGCAGTGCCACGGCCAATTCTTGCAGTGTTGTCGATTGACGTTGACGTCGACGAACATGTCTCCCGATCAAATTAAACGTAACACAGTAAAGCAAAGATACGCTAAACAGTAAATCTTATGCAAGAGCCGATAGGAAAGCAAACATGGATAGATAAACCAGCACGCGGCAGTTTTCATCAACCCTTCCTTGAAGTGTCAATTTTAACAATGAAACCCAACCACGTGTACGGCGCTATTGCGTGTCGCATGTGCAGCTCAGTGGTTCTGTTGGGGCGATAAGTTCTTCATCTGTAAACATACTCTCAAAGCATGTCAAGTGTCCATGACTATTTATCATATCACAACCAGCAGCATAGGTATTTGCATTTCAATATCCCCTACATACAACCTGAATATGTGCCCATCTCAGCACTAGCACCACCCACCCGCTAATAGCAATCCGTGCAGTATACGAATAAAATGAACAATTAACATTATTCCCTAGTTTTAATAATAATAATAATAATCACTATGATGACAGAATGATTTATACATATTATTACTGACGACCACATTAACGTCCCGTCCCGTTCTATCTTCTTTTTTAAAAAAAAAAAAACAACCCTATAACTCAGGCATTGGTAGTTCCCCATAGAAACATTCGATTTAGCAAATTTCTGCTCCCCTCTTCAATGTGATGGCGATACGTTATTTGGTTAAACACGACTAATATTAACTGGTTAGTTGAAATTTGATTTGATTTGAATATTTGGTTTAAATGGTTGCGTATGATAATCAAGTCCGAATTAATCAGAAATATCCGGGAAACGAAGAAGGTTATATCAAATGAACTTACCGGTCTGTCTACTAGAAGAGGTAATGGTAGGAGTATTACAGGAGCCAAAAATACAAAACAATTGTGTAAAGCCCACATTTGTTTTAAACATGATGGTGATTCTGTCGACGTGTCCTCTTGATTCTCTACCTGATAGTCTTGTTCGGGCGGATCACTCATCATTTAAAGATCTATTTAAAAGAAACAAAAAAACAAAACAAAAATTCAAAGCGAATCGGTCATTTAAATCAGACTATGACCTATTTTATTATCTTTTGTTATCTATTCAGAATTCTGAAACAATGAATGAACACTATTATAAAAATATATTCTTCTGGGAACGTCCGGATTCTAAATAAAATATTAACTTCTTAACGCAAAAAGTATGAAATAAGACTCCCCCCCCCCCAATCGAAACTTTATTAAATTATGCTCTACTTTATAATGTTTATATAGCCACTTACCATACGTGTAAACCAAGGTAGCATTATCACTTTCATCCAGGAAATATTATCTAATTAATTTTATATAACATCATTCAAAAGAGCAATTTTAGCCGATAAAATACATTAACTTGTGCCGTCCATTTAAAGTTATCTTTCTTGATCTAGCACAGAGTGGCGTTATATTCATTGTTTAGCGGGATTCTAAGTAGCCTAATGTGTTGATCTTTAATCGAAGGTTAACTAATTTTGTTACTTTATGAAAGATAGGTATTTTCACCCGATTAGATTTTATTACATACTTCGAGAAGGTATTTGTTGAGTAATAAAACCTTCTAGTAGTTTATCGAGGGCTGGCCGTCCTTACCGCACGGTACAAATATTATCACCACTAGAAGCAACAAATTCAGAACAAAATGGCCGCTTTATACAAATGAGTATTTAGGGGAATACTAACCCGAACCCTAACCTATTCTTAGGTTAACTTATTTTAAAGTATTATTATATAGAATATATTATTGTACCTTGGAATTTTACGGATGTCGTATATGAGGTAAGATTTTTTATTCATGGGCTATGGTTGTCAACTGTCTGTTTTGATATAATCGGTCATATTTCAAGAACACGGCCTGTGGATAATGGTCAGAATAACGTCTATAAAAATGTAAATAAGGTAAAAACACGTATGAGTATTTAAAAACAAATATGATAATTCCATTAAGATTAACTGAGTTTGCGTTGTTTGGAAGCCCTTTACAGCGCACTCTGTATTTTATCCCTGTGCGTATTGATGGAGGATTCCTTTGACTGATTTTCGCTTCCTTTAATTTGAATATCCCTTCTACGATTAGTATAATGTGGGTTGTCTTTATGGAAAAACAACATACGATTAAGCCACAAAGTTATTGATGGCAGTTTATTTCTTGAATCATAAAGTATAGTCGTTTACGATAGCACTGATATTTGTCATTACTTTCGAATGTTTATTTTCTGTCTTTTTTCTTATAACAACGTTCTTTTGGACACAATTGTATATCCATGTCTATTACTTAACTGTTTAGTAATATACTATGCCACTAATCAATTTAGAATTATAATGTTAGTATTTAATTATGCAGTTTTAAAGGACATGTTTTAAAGAAGGTAGGCACAGTTTGAAGGGTGGCCTACTTACTATTACCTTTGCGAATTTGCATAACTGCGTAACAATAATAAACGTGTGCCGGATAAAATCACAAAAGTTACGGTTGACTTGTGTAATATCTTCATATTTATGCAAGTATTAAACAAATGAAAATATCAAGTATCTATTTGGGTCGCTTGAGAACCTAATAAAACGCACTTACAAATGTTTCTTCATAAAGTTATGATATACCTGCTGTGGTGTCGAGGGGTATAAAAGTCAACAAGATTTAAGATTTTACAAGACAAGTCGAAACCACGCCTTTTTACTCAATGACAGAACTAGTAATTTCACGCGCTCTCGTTAAAACATTAGACCATCACCCCCCCCCCCCCCCCCCCGCATATGAGAAGGGATATATACCAAGCAGCAAAAGAAACGTCCGGCTGGTATGTTTCTCTGAATAGATGCATTGTATAAAACTTGCCAGATGTTTTTATTGTATATTTGTGACCACATCTCGAACTTTACCTGAGCAATAAGGCTCCTTCTTAAACACAGAATTGAACCTAGGAAATGTTCTCAAAAAACGTAACCTGACTTCTAAAATGGTAATTCGTTCTCCATGATTTTCATGTAACTCATGCTGCACCTGCTGTTCACTAGGACCAGCCCTATAAAACGCACCCCCATACCTGGTTGAATCATTCACACTACAACGTCAGCAGCATGCCATGACTCACGACAGCTCAGATGAACCAGGCGCTTGGAAGAATCGACTCTGGCCACACTGCTCAAGTCGTTGCTAATCACTTTCAGGCCAATGTTCGGACCATCTACATGATTCACCAACGCTTTCGGACCACCAACACCACGTATGATCGCCCCCGAACTGATAGACCAGGGGTTACGACAAGGCGACAAGAATGTCATGTTGTGCGACAGCACGTGCAGAATCCCTTTACACAAGCATCTGCAACAGCCCATTATAGACAGTGGTAACACACGGAAGACCCATCAGTACCGATACAGTGCGCCGACGTCTCACCAGAGAGAACATCCATTGCCCTAGACCTTACCGTGGACCCATCTCCACCTCTCGCCATCGACGTGAACGTCTACAGTTTGCCCAACAACATCAGAACAGGCGACACAGACAACGAAGAACTGTTCTGTTAACAGGAAGAAACCAGTAGAATTAGTACGTTACCATCTATTACAATTCAAGACGAGATCACCACTGGTCAAAGTAGATGTAAAATGTCAGAAACGAACGAACAAAAAGACGAGAAAGGTCAGCTCTTAAAAAAATGTTTTTAATTATAGTGACTTGTAGCTTACACTAGATAATTATAGTCATTTAGTCAGTGTGTCAATTAAACCGTCGATACACACTAATCAACTAGTGATGTGGATAATAATTTTAATCAGATTAGTGTGGGCTTGTCGTAAATTGTATACAGTGACCACTGACTATAAGTACAGAAAATTTCCTCTGGTGACCTTATGTGCACTTTAATCATTTAAGCATGAACAAATGGTCATCATCATCATTTGAAGACGTACCTTTCAGTTCAATTACTAAATGCCATTAAAACACGTTAGTAAACCGCTCAATTACAGCTGGATTATTTACTGTGTTGTTCGTTGTAATATCACCCATCTTTACTTATCCCCAAGTCCACAAACGTTAGCTACCACTGGTCAAACTCACATAACATAGGCTCTCTATTAACAAAGGTAGCTAACAGTAAACAATTTCAGCTAATGTTTTATTTGATATTTAGTAAAGCATTATGTCTGTTTCTATACTTTTTTGTTTTTTGCAGATTTTTCATTCTGATATTTTCGTAAAACTGTCGTAGTTATGTTAACTCAATGAAATAAAATTAATATATAACCTCTTTGTTTTATCAGACGCAAATATGTTAAACAAAATGTTCGTATGTGGGCGTCTAGCGAAAATTAAGTATGTCCTTTAACTTGGTTAGAAGTTAATATTTCTTTGGTCAAATATTTAAACGTCAAAGAAATTTTGAAACGACTGGAGTTATGTATACTTTGTGGGGGATTGTAAGAAAAGGTGCCCTTCGCTCTCGCTGATGTAATGGTTAGGAGAATTAATTAACGGCCAAGTTAACCTTTCTTGTTAACTTATTCTTAAGTTAACTTATTTTAAAGTATTATTATATAGAATATATTATTGTACCTTGGAATTTTACGGATGTCGCATATGAGGTAAGATTTTTTATTTATGGGCTATGGTTGTCAACTGCCTGTTTTGATATAATCGGGCATATATCAAAAACACGGCCTGCGGATAATGGTCAGGATAACGTCTATAAAAATGTAAATAAGGTAAAAACAAGTATGAGTATTTAAAAACAAATATGATAATTCCATCAAAGGACAATATTGGTGTCAGTCATTATAAAATATGTGATAGAACTGGTTAAATACATTCCAAATATTATTTTAACACAGAGATCATTGCTACGGGAGATGTGTAACAAGCACGTGAAGAAACGGGAAGTGACGCCAGACATGACAAACACGAGTTATCCTTCTATATATCTGATTAAAGTAACGAGCGATAACAGACAAACGATCGAATTTCATTTGACTGATAATTCAGTTGAAGTTGAAAAGTTATTATATGGGGAAGGTGGGAGGGTATCTCACAATTCAAGATTAACTGAGTTTGCAATGTTGGAAAGCCCTTTACAGCGCACTCTGCCTGCAGTACCCGAAGGAACAAAACATTATCTGATTGTCAAGGTCAATCCGGAGTCGTCGGCTTTACGTGGCCATGCCTCGGGGGATCATCACTCTACATGTACATGTACCTGGCAAGTGATATCCTGCCTCGTCTACGATACCCGTCAAGAGTTTGTATATAAAGGGTCAAAGGTGATGAGAGTCTGTGTAAGCAAAATTGCACGAACGAAATCTAGCTTTAGGGAAATTGGTATTGCACGTAAAATTCTGTACTGTTGCCACTGTCTAAGTAACATTTTCTGTTCCTTTAACTGAACATGCAACCATGTGATAACCACATGTTTTTCTTAAAGTGACTGAGGCATTGTGTTAACAAGGTGCTGAATTGTATCTTTGCTTTAAATGTCTTTATAAATACAATTCCAATTCAATATGATTCTCAATTGGGATGTTATACATATTTCATTAAAACAACGTAATTTAAGGGAGCCAAATCTCTAACTCAATATTTTCCATAATATTTGAAATTAAAAACACGAATTAGAGTTCAAAATTGGTCCATCTCCATCAATATTGATATTGTTATTTTGCCGTGTAAATATGGGATCCTAATTCTTCCAATATTTAAGACACGATGAACATTTTATAATCAGTACACTATTTATATATTCTATGGTTTCGGGCGCCATTTGTAATAAACATAGAAAACACATCCTAAACAAGATAATGCAGAAGTAATAAGTAATGGCTGATTTACAAACGACAAAATAATAATAATAATAAAAACGTGAAGAATCGACGAAGCAAGCGTAAACGACTACCGTTCAATTTGGACTGTTCACATTATTTCACCGAACATATTTGATTAGATAATACAATATTTGAATATAAATAACTTTATATACATGCATATTACATTAATGTGTAGTTTTAGAACCATTGCCATCTGGTACAAGGTTCGAAAGAATAGAGTTATACGCCCCGTTAACATCGTCATTTACTTGCAACACTTACCACACAAAATGTTTATCTTTTTGTGGCATCTAGTACCTGGGTACCAACATATTTAAGTGACATTTCGAAGACTATTCTAAATAAATTTGGAGGAATACTCTTCGAAACGTCGCCTAAATATATTAGTAGATGTTTTCCAGAAGTACGTGTTACATTTCCCGCGATACTTTTGTATAAAGTAGTGTGTCGTGATATTGGGTGGTATTGGGCAGTTTTGGGTAAATCGTCCCGCCCGTTTATTACACAAACTGTTGATTTAGTTATTGTTATAACTAAACCTCTTTCATAAACCCTTATAAGTATTAACAAGTAGATCTAACTTAAAAGTAACGAGACCCCTTTGAAAAAGATCAAAATGTGTGTTGTGCAGGGTTTATGGTGTATTCTTTTCTACAGCTAAGTCGGTTTGTTTACTAACAGTAGGTTTCGATTTTTTATTACTTAAAGAAACCGACGGCTGTTTAAAACAAAATCGGCAAAAGCTCAAAATCGGTTTAATCGACGGTTTAAACATTTTAAATATCGAAAGAATGATTGAACACCTCTGGTTTAATTACATCGTCACTATCATTTTTATACAAATCGTAATGGTAATCGCAAATCCTGTCCTGACATTGTTAAAGAATAAACAACGCCCATATTCATGATATACACTGCATATAGAATACAAACACATTCTCTTGTAAAATTTAACAAATAAAATAGGGGTTATAAAAAACTCGGTTTAAAATACAAGCTACTTTATACCAACATTAAAGCTCCATATATGTTATATATACATGTACTTACTTTTTGAAGACTGTAGTTATTATAGTATAAGATCCGTGTTGTAAACAGTAATAGGTATATATACATGTATATGTACTATTAAACAATCAGGTAGATACCGTGTGGACTTATATCTATATGAACTCTCTACATGCGGTATTTTGCTTCCCTTTTATACACGTATTATTCCCTTACACCATTCAAATTCATTGAATCAAAACATGGCGTTTTTTTGACAAGTGAACTCGGTTGTTTCTATTTGTTGGAAGTGGGCTGTACTAATATGATCCATTTTCATTTATAAAAAAAACAAAAAAAAACAGTTTGTATCTTAAAGCATCGGGCTTGATGGTTAACCGGTCTAACGACTTATGGATTACAATGTGAAATGGTGTTGAAATCCCAGTATGACCCTGCTAATGTTTGTTGTTGTTGTCAGAATTATACTTAGCACACGTTCTATAATTAATGCTCTTTAATTAGTTAAATTGGGTATTCCTAATGTTTGTGCTGACTCTTTTCTGTAATGTTTAAAGGATCATTCCCATATATATTTTAGCGAATAAGACTGGTTAATTAGAAGTGAAAGATTTTTTTTTAAAACCACTTTTCTGTTCCTGTGCAGCTATCAGAAGCTCTGTGATACTTTTACTAATAAATGAAATGAAGTGGGGATTAATGCCTTACTCTTCTGCAATGACCCTTTTATGAATAAATACATGTGTTCAGATTCCATGTGGGGTAATTATGTCCCCAAATCTTAAAGCGACATTAGGTAAGATTATATAAATAGCTGACAGTTCTCGCTATAATAGTTAAAAAATAGATAATGAAAAGAGAACATGCGGAAATTTCCAATCAAATTACTACACTCTGAGCCTAGATATCGGCGATACAATGATTGTAGCCTAGCCTCGGTTGTCATTACTACCGTTGTTACGATAATAAACAAAGTATCGATTATCAATTTTTACGGTAACCGCATCGATCACAAAACGTATTTATATTTAATTATATCGCAGCAATCCGATGTCATCGAGAGTTGATTATGGTCTTGGTAAGTTAATTAATGTCTAATTAATAATTTATAAAACATTTCAGGCCCAAAGAAAGACCTGCAATAAGTAGATTTAGCTCTTGCATAATACATAGTCTTAGTATCTATATATATATTTGCTGATGTTATGGTAAGTGATCATTGCGATTACCAAATTACTAGTATAGTTGAAAACTGAAATTATACCCCCCCCCCCCTCCCCCACATCCCCAGCCCCCAATTTATGATTGGCTCAAAATTGGGACTCAGTTTGATGTCTGACTCATTGTCTGGTACTTCTCCTTTAAAGAAGAATCAAATAAAGTTCAATCCTGCAGTGACTTGAAATAGATTATTTAATTATGTTAAAAAAATAAACATTAGAGGGAAATCTCAAATTAAAAATGGTGTATGAAAAACCATGCATCAGAATTTGATGTTTTGCTATAATATGTTTACAAAAAGTGTGCCTTTTCAAAAGGCAATCCTAAGATTTCCGTATACTTAAATCGAACAGTTTACTACAGCACTCTATCGAACTATTGAACTTATAAACTCACAAATAACCACTGATAACGTGCTAACAGGAAAATGACGTGGGTGGACGACAACATAACTTATCACAACATATCACAAGCACCACATACTTTGCTTATAGAGAACAGGAAATAAGCAAACATACATATTAAGACGGTTTATTGCTTTATCAGAAAGAAATTTTTATTACCAAACCTGACTGCCTATTGCGGCATTTTAATTTGTTGTTTAACTTAATCTAAATTGTGGATTTTTTTTAATATTCTGACGTTATAGAATGCGGTGAATTCCTTACAAAGGCCTCGAGCAGGGAAATGCAATTTGTCGATATTTTGGAAATGTTGTTTATTAAGTGTATCCTTTTCTCGGTCCCGGATCTCTCAATTACGAAAGTTAATAGATGCTATCCAATTCATGATGTCCATAGAACAGGAAGTCTAAGTCATGTTAGGTTGTGTAAAATGTTGTTTACAGTTATTCCAGTAAAAAGCCCCCCCCCCCCCCCCTATGAAAAAATTGTCGACCATAAAAACAATAGATATACATTGTCCGTCAATTTTACAGCACCCCCTGAGAACACTTTCCGCCCCCCTGGTTGCTCTGCGCTAGTTACGCCCCTGGAGGAGGGGGGGGGGTGTTAGTTCAACACTAACTAGATCATTTCGGGACTAACATATTTGATTGCGAGCAGTGATCTCTAAATGTGCATTGTAACCGGAGAACCCGCGAGCTTGGGCAGGTTTCCTACATATCAGTAAAACGACATCCGGAGTGAAAATGAAATGAATGATTATAGACATATTTCTGGAATCTGTGGTCACTGTTTCCGGTTTTATTTTTAGTTTTATCATGGCCTTCATGGGATATGTGAGTATGTAGGGTGGGAATCAAATAAAATGAAAATAGCTCGACGAAACCAGAACAAAATATTTACCAAAATGTTGTCATTTAGAGAGGCAAATGGCTGTTTTAATTGAGGTTTTGATAACACGTTATCCATGTTTCGATTTTACATTACAGTCTACAAATCCACAAAGCCATCGCTCAGATATACACCTTTAATCTATTTAAAATTTAAGTAGAAAATATTTTAGTTGTTTTCAAGGATCTTTACCGGATCCCCGAGAACTTTGTTGCTCTATGTCGGTCAATGCTTTGTGGGGTATTATAATGTTATTTTGAGCATTCAGATTTAATGAACTGGTAATGTCCTTTCCACGAATAATAAAGCCGGATAGCGGATCCTACTGATGTGCAAGTCCATTACAGATGTATCCAACCGGATATTAATGGTTAACATGTTTTGTGGTTCTTTGTATATGAATGCATTGATATATAAATATAGGTTATACACATGAGTGACTATAGAAACAAAATATTTGCTAAAGTTTAAACGTAATGCGAAATAGTGCGGTTTTTGGTCTCGTAAACAATATTTCTCAGCCCCGCGCCACCATTGAACAAGTCAGAACCGGGATTCGAACATTCCTACCTTTACCTTGGTCATAGTTACTTAATTATTCAAGAGCTAAATCTGCCTAATGCAGATCTTTCGTCTGACCTTAAATGTTACATAAATCATTAACTAGACATTTATTCACATGCCAAGCCCCTAATCAACCCCCTAAAATTTCGGATGGTTTTGATTTTCAACAGATTTGAACTCTGGATTTCATTAGAATTCGTTGAAAAGCTTGCAGGAACTCTACATTCCGAGCAGAATTTTTAACCTCTCATTGCACACATGCCCATCGAAATAATAAGAGTAAAGCATCATTTCTCCTTTGTTATTAAAAGTTCCATAATCCTTTTAGATTAAATCCATTATATATTTTGCCAGGTTATATTCCGGTGTTTATCTGCACAAATGTGAACGTGCTATTACAAATCTTGTGAGTTTTAATTCAGTGCCTTAGTTGCATGCTTACATTTTTTTTTTGTTGTTGATAGTGGCGCTAGGGCCTACTCTTATTTCGAGTCCAAGCTGTCAATGCTGGTTCTTCACCTGCACGTCAACGTGTGTGCGAGACTCGTTTTGTTTTTCACATCCAAACGACTAGACATTGTTCGTTGCCAGACCCCCCACCCACCCCCCCGCCCGAATCACTAACAAGGGGAAACCACGCAGGACAATCCCGAGGAACGTTCTCGGTCACAGGGGCGTGCTGGCCCCGAAGGGGCCCGTGAAGACGGGCCCGTCGGGGCGCGCCGCTGGTAGGGGGTTCTGGGGGGGGGGGTCTCCCCGCCAGAAAATTTTTGAAATTTGACAACGGGAAACGCGTTTTGCAAGCACTTCTGGGAGGAATCTAGGTATCATATTTTCCAAATTTATGCTGCTATTTTGACTATAAGACATACTACTGTACTACACAAGACACTCATGACAGGTCTGCTTAATATAATGCTAATACAATGTATTTCTATCCAAATAATAAATTGCATCTTATACATATCGAGGCATGAATACATGTATGAATCTTTAGTCTCTATGAGACATGATACTAACACAAAAATGCAGGAAATGCAATTATGCTATCAGCACCACCGATTGTTTTAATCAAAGACCATTTCACCTTAAGGTGACAGACATTTGCACGTCAGCATAATATATTTTACTAATCGTTGTGTATGTATGATTTTTCGCGTGCGCACTCTCAATTTTTTGAGGGGATTCCGCGTGAAAATTGGAGCTCCCAAGGGTCCCGCTTATACGGGTGGGCTTATTGTTTAATGGGGGCCTGGGAGGACACTGTCCTCCTAAACTCCCTGCCAGCACGCCCCTGCTCGGTCAACAGCGGGAGCGAATACTTACTCCCTGAGCCACCGTGGGTCTCAAATTCAAAGTAAACAGGTGATATCTGGACTAAGATAATGGTAAATCAATAAAATATAAGCTAGTTTTCCGACTTCTCGCGTAAATGAATATGAACGTAATAGTTTATTTTTGAATGACATTTTCCATATTACAAGCGGCTGTAGGTCTACGTAAAACCGTCTCTTAAACCATTCATATTGAGTTGTTTTTTACGTAAGGTTATAGATATTTAGGCCTACTTCATAAACCCAAGATAGGTTTGTACCACTATACATGTTGTATTTCCAATATAAACAATACTAATATATAAGTGAAAAGGGTGGTACTCAATTACTTTATACTCGATGACATATGACAAGTTAGTGACAGTCGTCAGCCATTATGTGACATGACATCATTTATACAGCCTTTAATTTAGATACATGTATAATAGATTCGTTACTGTATAACGTCAGCAATGGTGAAGTGATTTAAACACGACAAAGAATTCATCACTTTGTTTCATAATATAACTACAGTAGACTCGGTTCTGGTTTATATACATCAATTAATTAAACCACTTTGATGTCATTTACGTTTCGTTTTGAACTGTCATGGTGTGATTCAATTTTGAACATAAATTCGTTATATATACGTAATATTTGCATACGTAAGCAAACAAATCCAACCAGCAGACCATGTTGGTGTGTTAATTGCTCATTAATACTTATTGGTTGTAGAGCTATACATATATTACTTGTTAATTTTGCCCGGGCAGTGTCGCCCGGTATCCCATTACGTCTCGTATAACTTGTACTCAGATTTTTTCTTTTCCATTTCTGCATCAAATTATTATAGTATATTTTTTTTTTTTTTAAAATAGCATATTAATGTTTGTGGAACTGGCGTTATTTTTAAATTTTATTATTTTGTTTACATTTTCCGAAAACTTAGTTAAATCCGATTTATTGCTGATTTACAGGCATTTTACCACACTGATCCGCAGTGAATATTTGCTAGGCCGCTACAATCACTGATAAGGATGACATCGATGCGGCTTAATATTAACTTTTTTCCTGCGACAAATTAAATTCTAAAACATTTTTTTTATGTATTGGAAAAATAAATAAAGGCGTTTGACGTATTTGTAGGTAAAAATTATTTCCTATTTAGTGTAAATGGGTATTAAAATGACTAAAAAGCAGCATTCTCTCCGAAGCAGTAACGTCTTATGTAAACAATGCACGCGCCATTCAGCCAATGATTGACGCCGCGTGCTGTGACGGCACGTGTTAAGGCAGTCATCTTTGACAGTGATATATTACTAGACTCGTAATTCTCTGTGAAACGGATTGGCATTTTACAGCTTCTAAGTACTTTTGGCCTGTGAGGTTTTTTTACAAAATGTGTACTATATATTAAAAAAGCAATAATAATAAACTATAAGTTAAACTATTTGAATGTTAATGTTCCTTATAAGCCTGACTGAACATGAATAATTTTATAAATAAATATTGTTTGTTGTTATTGATGTGAGACACTATGATAATAATAAAAAAAATCTCCCTTCTTCTTCATTGCCATTTTCTATTTAAGTTGGCGTGGAAAAAATGACGGTTCGAACAAAAGGTAGAATTCGATGATTTGTGACAGCTGGTTCATTTGTGATTATACGCGTCTACCGTATAATCCACACATTCACTAACAAAGTTTAAGACAATGGGATTGTTTAAAGCCAGTGTCAGTACCCATTAACACCTATACAATAAATCCATTATAAACTATATAGAGACTATAAAGTTGCCGAAAGTAGACCCTTATTCATTGTGTAACAGACCAAAAGAGAACAAACAATAACAGACCCAATTGGCTCACATAGGGAATCGAAAAAAAGACCAAAAAACAAGCCGTCTAAAAATAATAGACAGGAAATAAATTTGAAATCAAGTAGATTATGAGAAAACATTTCGGATTAATTTCCTTCAAAATTTAAAAAAAGAAAAAAGAAATCAACTCATAATCCATGTGTTTTTGTCATAATACATTTAAGTTTAACAAGTACGATCGTACTATGGACCAGGAACTGACCAATTAGTCGGATTAAATTCAAAAATCTAATTCACCAAATCGATGCAGAATTGTTCAAAGGAGACGCATGCCAATTTTCATGTCGATCAGACTTGAATTGGCGGAGCACCACCCCAAGAATAAGAACAACAACAAGATGAGTCGCGGTTAGCGACCAGTTCCTGGTAAAAAAAAAGAGAGAGGAAAAAAAGAATGAATTGATTATAGGAACCCAATTATACATTTGGTGTCGTATATATTAATTGTAGATACACACATAATTAAAATTTATTTCGGAAATATTATCAGTTGTCAGTTTAATTACTACTTTGAAACTTTTTTTTTGTTAAACTTTCGACAGTTTAAATGGGTCTCGGCTATCATAATCAACATATTACAAAAAAAAAAAAAAAAAAAAAAAAAATGTACATGCATATATTAAGAAACGGTCTAATATATTAAGAAACGGTCTAGACGTATTCATTCATATTTCCATGAAATATCAAGATCTTACAGAATTAAAGTTATACACGTACTGAACCTGATAAGTTAAACTTATTTTACTATTAACTTTTTTTTCTGAACAGCCTACACCAGTCATTATATAATGCATTTGTTCCTTTATATTTGTTTATAAAGTACTGTTTTTTGGAAGTCAACGCACAAATGATAAACGTTTAAAAATCTGCTTGGATAAGCAATGTGCCAATTAGGTTTTAATTAAAACAATGCAGTGGCAGTAATTATTAGGACGCTTCAATCAGAAATCAGAGATACTGGAGAGTTCAATAGAATACGCAGACAGGTGCTTGTCACGTGACCGAACGGTTAACCTTATTATTCAGAACGAGGCTAATTGTCCCAGTTAATTTTATATTCGGAAGAAGCGTTTCTGCCACAGAAAAATGGCAAATCAACGTAAGTATTTGTATTTGAAAGCACACAACTAACTACTAGACTGAACTTTGTTGTAGTACAGTTGTGATTGATCAAATAGCGTGGAATTGCCGGTCTCCGCACGAGTTTTATCCAAATGATTATGATGTGTAAAACGTGGCTAAAAAATGCCGGGTCGTCGCCATTTTGCATTTTGTCTGGCTTTGTTGTCGGGATACAACAAATACCCAGCTAAGCAACGCCAGGTAGAGTTGTACCCTTTATTCGTTATAAGTTGAGATACGTTTCTGCGGTAGAACTTTCATATCAGTATAAGTGGGTAATTTGAAGAATATCTACTCCCCGCATTCCGTTCGTGTATGTAAAGCTTTGTAAGTCATTTATTTAGAACAAAACAATTTAAGGTGAAGGTCGGCTCCGTTTTTCACGGAAAAGATTGCCCCAAACTACCGAATATTTCCTCATTACTTCGAAAGAAATATGATAAAATACTTTAATAAATTATATACCGGTACTGTGATGTGTTTGTTTGGTAACCAGACAACTCGGACCAATACAGAAGACCACCCGTGACTCGGACCAAGACAGACTCGACCAAGACAAGGTTTAAGACGGAAGACCATTTGGACCAAGACGAGGTCCAAGGCAGAAGACCACTCAAGTGGTGCTTTTATCAAAATTGATATACATTCGTATTTACAGTACATTGATTGTGGTTTTATATCTTGTATCTTGATTGGCTGTTGTTCACGACTTGGCCCCGTCTTCATGACTTGATGTCAATTTAAAATGTCTGGCAAACCCAGCGATTATCGCTTCGATTTGAAAGAGATGTTTTGTACCCGTGTCATTCTGGATGTGGCAGAAATGTAGTCAATCATTGTTTTGAAGATAAAATTAAAAGGTTTGCTTTTTGAAGTTTGATCCGATTCGCATTATACTAGGGTCTTGCCAGGTAAAACTATATTATCAGGTAGTACCATATCTCTAAACATGAAGGGTTGATAGAACAGGTTTATTATCTAGAGTAAGATGACTGGTAATTCAAATGGCTTCCCCTGATTTCATGATGTTACATAAATCTAGTTCCTCTATTTTTAGCAATGCCTATTGATTTTCAACGATTTCCGTTAACTTGAACAGCTAAATTCATGATATTAAATGTTTTGTATACCGTAGTAAACATTGGAATGTGGCAGAACTAGAAGCCAAACAAATTCTAATGATTTCTGATAATTACTTAATGGGTCATTGCTGTTATCAGATTTTAGTGCATTGTAAATGTTTTCATTACCGACAAGAAAAATATAGACCTTCAACAACCCTTGTTGACTGCTTGGTCAACTTCGCTTCTGTGGGCATATGCTTTTGTTGCTGGCAACAAAAGGTCGCAGTCACGCCAAAATCCACGTTTTTCACACAATTACTTAAAAATAAACGCAAATATTGGCGGACTCTGTATAATTTACATGCAGAAAATGTAACGCGAGAACCGCTCAAAAATTTGTTTTTCATGCAATCTCTTCAAAATAAATGCAAATTTTGACGGACACTGCGAAATTTACACCAGATGGGAGAATAATTATTCTATTATACCTTTGTTGTAGTTTGTACACAACGTCATCAGTCTATCTACGTTTACACACAGCTGCGATAGTATCCGTACATGTAGGTTTTTTTATCCAGACATTCAATAACTACACTATTGTTCAGGGCTGGCCACGAATAAATTGATGGCGAGCAGATGACTGCTCACGCAAATTTAGGTTTGGGCGAGCAAGGCGAGCAATAAAAATTGCGTGAGCACACATTTTGTAACATTGTTTCAATTTAAAATCATAAGAAAATTGCTATTCCTGGCACAAAGTTTGCAGTAAACATGTGTGACCATCGCTTTCTGTTTTTGACAGTCATACGTACTCTTCTTTATTAAAACCAATTTCCGTATGGATTTCTTCACCCCATGAAATAAATGTGGATAGGGCAATCAGGTTGCCTTTGGCCATTATTACGCTTAGATTGAAAATTATACGACTGCACAATGGAATAAAAACCGAAGTTCTGATAAAATAGGAAATACCGATAAATATTAGTTTGAAACGTGTTCATTTAGCGTGAATGCCAAATGCCGGATGTAAACATTCTTTACTTTTGACTCAATTATCACGTGTTTGTTACTGGTGTTCATAGGAAAACCAGTCATGACGTTCAGGTCTAAAGTGTATTTTTAGTAACACAAGTTGCGAGTAACTTTATTAGCCAATCAAATTTCAGGAGGAAATGCCGCGTGCAGCTGGGTGAATCTCAGTTTGACAGACGAATTTATGACGTTATTGACATTGTTGGGTTAGTTTCGGCAATAAACTTGTCAATATTTTGATTATTTTTACAGGGTTTTCTTAAAATTTTGCGCGAGCAATGAACCGCTCGCGTAAAAGTAGATTTACGCGAGCACAGCGCGGGCGCGAGTCTCGTGGCAAGCCCTGATTGTTGAAGGGGGTCAAGTGCCGTTTCTAAAATGACCACACAAGGGTTCTTTCTTTTAAAAAGATTATTATCCTTGGTTACGGCCAATAAAAAGTGAAGTAGTCTTGACAGTTTTTGATAAATGATGTATGTGATGGTATTATTGGTGGTAGTATTGAGTAAATCATCCAAACATTATGTACATTGTAATACCAACAATTTACATTATATCTGTTTTATTCAGAGAGAATGTTAATATTTAAACACTTGTTATTTCAGAATATGGGGGGTATGGTGCCACTTCAGCTCAAGTTGGGTAAGTTACAATGAATGTTTAACACAGTTTTTACATCACAATCTATTGACCCAGACTGAATCTCTTTGAGAATCTAATCAGAATGAAGTATGTGGCCCTGTTATTGCCAAAGCATTTTGTTTAATGAGTACTTGGAAGAAAAGTATATTTGATTTATGGAGTACATGTAATTGATAATGTTTTGAATCGGGTGCATATCACATCGTTACAGCCAGAAGTGTCAAAAGCATGGGATTAATGATCACTGCAAAATTAATTTAAAATTGCCAACCCTCTCAATGAAGTCAAATTTAAAGATACATTGTGCAAGATTTAGATAAAAATAGGTAATGCAGAATAACATCTTTTTTGATTGGCATTTAGTAATTGCACATATTAACACATGGTACAATTTCATGGATACACAATTACTTTGACACTAAGCGATGTGTATTTATCAAGCAAATACATGTAATACGAAAATTTGAATAGAAGACAAATATATACAGAATATGACACAAAAATAACAAAATAATGGCACTATCCCTGTATCGATTCAAAAGACTAGTCATTGCTACTACATGTGTATATGCTTTCTTTTTAAGGTATGGAGGAGCTGACCAAGGTTATTCACAAGGGGTTAGTATTTTAATAATCTTGACCTCCTTTTAATTGTTATTTTATTAAAATGAAAAATAATTTTGTTTTATACTGTTTATAGACTAGAGAAAATAATGCCTATGATATGTAAACTACTGAAGTCTGAATTTAGTACTCATTTACTAATGTAGGCCTATATTCTCTTGTATTATAGGGATATGCACAGCAGCAAGGAGGATACGGATATGATCCTAACTCATATGGACAAACAGGTGGTCAAGCAGCTGCTACATCAGCAGGTCAACCAGCTGCTACAGGTTATGATCAACAAGGATATGGACAAACGGGTAAGTACAGTTACACAGGTCAAAAGTTTACTATCAACTAATCATAACACTGACGACTGGCCAGTTTATGTGGTGTGAAAATATTCATGGTGAAGCAAATATTTGTATCTAGTTCGAAAGTCGTAAAAATTTGGGACATAGTAACTTTAGTTCTAATTAAGATTGATGAAACTTGGTGTATAGTTTCATTACATAATAAGACTTAGTCGAGATGAGCAATTTGATTGGTTGAGACTTTGGAACACGATAACTTTGGTTCTAAACAAAAATTTGTATCTAGTCCGAAAGTCGAGCCAATCTCAAAATTTGTTGAAATCTTTGCAGTTTTATTTCCTGGACCAATCTCAATCAATGATTAATTATCTAACGTATTTCATTTATTTACACTGTCTGTAATAGAAGAAATTGCTTTTAGGTCAAAGTGGTTATGGACAATATGCTCAACAACAACCACCACAACAACCAGCTGCATATGGACAATCAACACCATCTGTAGCAGGTGGATATGGTGGACAAAGTCAGCCTTCTACTGGCTATGGACAAGGTAAATTTCTAATCTTTCAAATTGTCCATAAATAATATATTAATAAAGTGTGGTAGGGATCATGTAATATTTAAGAGATTGTACAGTTTGAATTTATTTTTGTAAAAATCAATTTTGTTTAGGATCATATGGTCAACAAGGTGGATCATCAGGAGGTTATGGTCAACAAAGCAATACTTATGGTGGTAGCGATCAATCTGGGTATGGTGGTTCAGGAGGTAATACTGGCGGATATGGAGGAGGGCAGTCTGGAGGATACGGAGGAGGTGGCGGTGGTAGCGGTGGCTCCAGTGATTATGGAAGTGGAGGAGGATATGGAGGTTTGTATAAATATATTTTAGCAATGTGAATACAAACTGTACATTATTTTTTTCCGTTCATTCCTTCGCGGAGTTTTACATCCACTTCCACCAAGGTTGATATCATAGACAAAATTTTCTTACCAATGCGTTGAATATTTATAGGGTAGTTATGTCCAATAAAAGTATGGCAAATTTGGTATAAAGTAGAAACTCCCAATCTTATTAGAAAAATACTGGATTCCCTGAAAACCACCCATGAGAGCAAGTACTGGGCAAAAATGTAAGGGTATCACTGTCAACCAGACAGCTTATTGTCTGCCATCTTGACTTAGAGGGTCGGTTGTTATTTCTTGATCAAATGGTTAGGCAGTTTTGGGAACATTGAGGGGTTTAAACGTATGACAGACTCTGCATTTAAACAGCAGAAAAAGTTGGCAGAAGATAATCCAGGAATTTACTTAGGCTTCAATATGTCCAATTTGGTAAATGGACAGTAATTAAGAACAAATAGATTCTTAAAATGGGCCATCCCCCAATCAAGTTACGTTACAACATGGCTTCTAAAAATAGATTTTTTAAATCTTGGAGTACATGTATTTACTCGCGAGGTATTAATTAATGTTTTTAGTCCAAATATATCATCCAATCACAGTTTGTACACAGGAAGGCATTTTTAAATATTGAAAGAAAGTATATTATAGGCAGAAAAACCGTAGAAACAGATTCTACATATTGACTCAGTTCTTGTATATCACTCTTTGGATAGGAATTACTTTTTTGTTCAAAATTTTTCTTATAATGTAGGACGAGGAAGTGGTGGCGGTAGTGGAGGAGGCATGGGGTAAGATCAAAGTTTGTTTCTACACTATCCCAATTTACTGAACTCAGCTGATCCAACATCATAAAAATTGGCTTTTAATTGTAAAATCAAACTTTCGCATTTAAAACACCCCCAACAATAAAAATTGGCTTTCATAGTGAGAACATACTGAACCATAAAAGGAATGAAAGTATTTATTAAAATACAATGCACTGTTTAGTTGTTCCTATTTGAATTTCCAATTAAATTCTCCAATTCATATTTTAAAAAAAAAGATGTGTGAGATGGAAATATCGGCTTAGTGAAGTAAATATTGAGGTTAAGTATAGTTGTCTTATTACAGGAAAAAATATTTAATACTAAAATAAAAGTTCTGGATAATTTTAGGCACATTTTTTCAATATGACCATTGAATTAATGTATCTCAATTAATTACCTATACTTATATTTTAGTAAATATTTATCATTATGAACCATGGTTGGGTCCTCAGTGCACAAACAGCTGGGGGTTTATGGTGAATATTAATAAAGATGTTAACATCTGAATATATATATATGTATGTGTGGTTATATTGACATTCCTAAAGTGATTGTCCGTTAAATGTTTGTAGTGGGTATCATATTAATGAAATAAGAATGCTCAGGTACGACAAATGAAGGTGTCAGATAATGGGTAAAAACTGGACCTGGAAAAGGTTAACCTATGGAAGTGTGTATGTCGTACAAGTTATGCAAATAACTGGTATCTACAGATGAAATGATTCTCTATAGACAAAGTTGAGTGAAATCTGGGGAGATAATATAAATTGATTGAATGGGACTCAAACTGACTTGTGGCCGGCATACAATGGAACAGATTTTCTCACATTACTTAATATGAAAGGTTTACAGAATTAAGTTGAAGTGAATGGATTGGCTGCTATTCCCAGGGGCTATTATTTATTCTTTGTAATGTATTGCCATGTCAACCAAGTCATCTTTTTAAGCAGGATTTTGTTTGTCATCATTGAATCAACAACATACTTAAGGGTTTCGTAAAGCTATACCTAAATATTTGTATATCAAACATCAAACAAATCAGGACTCACTGGACATTAAATTACGAGTAAAATTAAATATTAGGTATTGAAATATGAACATTTAAGTTTCATATGAATTGATCTTTTTAAATGTTAAAACTCATGGATCAAGAAGTAAATAAATTAAAGTTATAATTTTATAAAAGAATTTTTGGAATGAAGAGGTGCAGGGCTTGAGCATTGATATACTCATTATTGCTCTTGGTCCGTTATATAATTATGTATGTATATATCCAAAATAGATATCAGTTAAAACATACAAGAGATATTGTTGGTTTAATTGTTTATTTGGTGTAAATCTCAAGATCTTGAACTGAACAGATTTACCTTAGTTTTTGCTTACAGCATACCTAAACTAAGGGTTTTAAACATATTCCATTTAATTGAATGGTTAAATGATGGGGAAGGATAATCTTCAGACAATAACCAAAGATTCTTACAAAAATAACATTTGTCCAAAGATTATTCAAACACTCCAGGCATCTTATCCAGCCATATAAAATTCTAAAAGGTTTTCTATACCCAGCCCTTTATTTATACATAAACAGAAAAGTAAAATAGCCGATTTAGAATTAGTTTTAATTTAAAAATGTGTGAATTGGATTCCAAGTTGATTATTTTGATCTTATAGCTAATAGAACATTATCCAAAATATTACAAATTGTCATAAAATGAATACTTTTCCAACAGAATTTGCTTAAAAATTATGGGGTAGTAAGATATTTTTGTAAAATAAGTCCCCATTCAAATTCTGCAACTTCGAAGGAGAATTTTACTAAAAGTTATCTCTTATATTCTGAAATGATCTTGCTAGCAGACTCGTGTTGCCAAAAATTGGATCCTAAATGAAAGCTATGAATTGTCTTATACATGTATAATACAGAAAAGCTGGTTATAAAATGTTAACCTTTATGTTGATGTGATATAGAACTTAATATAATTTTACACACAAAATAATACAAAATGGCCAAAAGAGAGCAGAATGGAAAATACTGGTCCATCTTTAGGAGACCAAGAAGTTGCGAAACAATCACATATAGTGGTTTGAATTACTAATAGAACAGTTTAATGGTTTGTGGGTTTATAAAATTAGTTTGTCCAGTGAGATCCTAGGATAGTTCAATGGTAGAAGAAAGTGGTAGAACTATTTTGGGTGTTCTACTGTATTTAATCTAAAACACATTTTAAAAAGAAAAGTGGCTCTGAGTATCAAGCTTATTGCTAGCTATTAGGATACTTTATTTGATATTGATTTTGGAGAATGAATGCATTGCTATATTAGAGAGTTATATCATTTTAATCAAAACTAGATTTCCCTTGTCAGTGGTATGGGACAGTGGGCCTACCAGGGGATAAATGGTATAGCATTGGCCACAAAAAAAAGATTCCTGGACAGTTGGAAATCTACTTAAAGAGTAGGGTGTAGTGCTGGTAGCAGGGCAGGATTCTTTCATTGCACACTGCATGGTGTATGTCCTTCATTAATCCATTTGGTACAGAAATATATAACACCATTTCATTTTATATCATTTTCAAATACAACATAATTTCAATATTGGAAAGAGATTTTGCCAATATATATGAATTAAAAATTATGAGCAGAAACTGGTATGCACTAATCAAAATTATACACAAACCTGTATTAAACATCCCAGTATTATGCATCCCATTTGGAATATTTTAGTTATAAAGAATCTTGGCGAAATGTCTTTAGAATTATGTCAGTGTCTATATGTATTTTGAAGTATTTTGGTGACATTTAAGTAATCATAACATTTCATGAAAATTCATAAAAAAAAATGTCTATCAATTTTGTTAAATGGCCGTCTTTCAGGTTTTCATATACCCATCAAACAGTTGTATCATGTAGCATGCCTGTAGTGAGACTGGGTTGCCATCAAAGTTAAATGTACTTTGAACCTACTTGGTTTTGGTACAATGAATTAAGTAAAGCATACTTTGTCAAGTGGAATCGGAAGAGAGTGGTACTGAATGACACATATTGGATAGGATATTACTATATGTTTATATATAGACTTGAAAGTTGTGGCTCAACTTAGACAATATATATTGACAAGTTTGGAGAGCAATAAATGAAATTTGGCATGCAGTTTAATTTGACTTTCTACTAAATTTAACAGTCACCCTTTCTATAGTTATAAAATTTTGCTTTCTCATTGTCGCTTGTCATTAAACTGGTGTTCCCTAGAGAGATAAAAGGATGTCTGTGGCTCTTTTCTCGAATAATTTCTGAAATTTCTAGTGCTGCACTATGTCCTTTTCTCTTTATTTACTATGTTGGTAATTGTTTAGAAATCGGGAAAGTAGTGATGTGCATACTGTTCCTTGGCTGTCATTTATTAAATTCTTAAAGTGGTTATTTCACATCTTAGACTTAAATGCACATTGCCACTTAACCATATGTTGAACCATTGTATCATTTGCATTCATGCTGTTGTTTTGTTTTATTATTGTATTAACTGTTATATTCGTAACAATCATCTAAGGTTGGTTATTTGCTTGGATATCTCAGAGCCACACTAAACAAATACTGTGCAAAAATGTTGGTACAAACACAAGAAAACTATTGGGTATTACAAACAATGCAGGGTTGATTAAGTATTGTTGGTAATTCTACTATGTTGAAACTAATGGAGATGTAATAACTGAAGTTTGATGTTTTATAATACGTTACAGAGGCAGCCGAGGTGGCGGCTACAACAAGGGTTATAGTAGTGGTAAGTCCGGTCATGGCACCTTGTTGTACCACCGGTTTAATTCTTTTGTATTTTGTGTTAAAAGGGAAGAGCATTCAATAATCTCGACTACAATAAACAATGGCAATGGGTCACACAAAACAATCGTGGAATTGTTAACTGGTACAGAATCTGCGATACCTCGCTATTTGTGTAAAATGCATTTAAATAGAGCTTAAACAAGTCACGTTCTACAAATATTTGAATGCAAGCATTTGTAATGTATTTAACAGGAATATCTTGAAACAACCACAGAAGTCTTAAATCCCATCAGTTTGATTTAAGCAATCACTTATATTTCATTACGTTACTTTCATAATTTGAAATATTTTCATTTTCACCAATAATGGAAGTCAAAGAGTTGTGCAAATATTCTTAATCTAGATTTCAAATTGTACACATCCAACCTACATTAATATCTTCTTTGATTGGCATTTAGTAATTGGAACATAACACAGGGTACGATTTTATGGATACACAATTACTTTATTACTAAGCGACTTTTCGACGAGGATGCTCACGTCTTTATCAAGCAAATGATATAGATATGTGATTAGTAGGCAAATATATACAGAATATGCAACAAAAATAACAATCAAATACAATTAAAACTGAATACCTTGATTAGGGGGCCATTTACAACTAAACCTACACAACAGGAAACTTACAGGGTTTAATATATTGTACATATATCGTAATCTTAAGACAAGTTAATGATACTTGTACCAAGAAAAATTTAACAAAAAATGCAAAGGTAACTTTCTGTGTACATATATCGTATACCTAGACTAATAGATTGTCAGGTGTATGTACATTCAATCAGTAATTTGTATTGATGGACATTTCCAATATAATAGGCATGCAAATCAAAATTTAAATATCTAGTTTATTTGCCCTAACCTACATGCTAATTGTCAATAGTTGTTTGTCTGGGGTATGGGGGTTGGGAAGGGGAAGTACACAAGTAAACCATGGATCATATTTCCATACACCAATGCAAGTTCAAAGTGAACTGCATGTTCTGTCAAAATAAAACAATGGTACAAGTAGATTGTTTTATAGAAATGTGGTATTAAAATGGGGTGTCTACGGAATGGTTACACCAGGTGAAAAATATGCCATCAATAAGTGTTCTGGTTACACAATACCTCATAAGATATGAGTAGAATGGTTGAAATTGGAGGACGTTTAAAATGTACTGACATAAATACACTGCATGAGGGTATAAAATAAGTGTATAATATATTATATATAATTTTTTAAAAGGGTACTGGCTCCGCTGTAGTTTGATGGTTTACTTAAATTAGGTTTATGATAATGTAGCCAGTTGGTAACAACTGTTTCATGCAATTGATATTAGGAAAATGCTCTTCCCTAGGGTTTTAATACCCGTCGTTCTGAATTTAAAAAGAAGTGAAACAAGGTTTAAAAGGGTATTATACTATAAAGTGTTAAAATGATGGGGCTTATAAATATATGGGTAAAACCTGGTTAAAATATGAAATCTGTTGATAAATGTAAATCAGGGGGAAAATATTTTATGTACTAACTTTGGTGAGAGTTAAGTACTTTAAATTTCTTTAATTAATTTGTTTTATTGTATGAGGTTATTGATCAATATTGTGCATTTATTATAGGTGGAGACCGGGGAGGAGGAGGAGGAGGAAGCACTTATGGAGGTAGGTATTTTATAATATAACAAATTTTACAGTTTTTTTTTTCTTTTTCTTTCATTCTCGAAACAGTTTTTATCAAGGATGGCAATAAAGTTCATTTAAATATTTTTTTTTTTTTTGCAGCTGATCGTCAAATGGAGATCCAACAAGACACTATCTTTGTTTCTGGTGCTGGTAGTGATATTACAGAACAGTCTTTAGTTCAGCATTTTGGTAGTATTGGTATTATTAAGGTATTAAAGAATTGTTTACTCCACTACATGTTAATAAAAGTTCTATAATACAGAAAATCTTTTCATGTCATATTTGTACTCTTATCTTTTGTACTGTACATGACCATTTTATAATTTACTCTTTCAGCAGCTTTTTAGTTGATTGCAAATTTTCTATGCTGTCCCTATTGGTGATAATAGGTTTGTTGGGTTTTTTTTTTAAGATGGATAAAAGAACAGATTCAGCTAAAGTATGGATTTACAAAGATAAATCAACAGGCATTCCTAAGGGAGAAGCGACGGTTACATTTGATGACCCTGCTACAGCTAAAGCAGCTATTGACTGGTTTAATGGTAATTTTCATTCATATTCCTTATGTGTTTTTATACATATTTTCTTGTACTTGCTCTTTACTATATTCAGTAAAAGTTAATATTGGATGAAAGTGGGAACTATACCTTTTTAAGCATTCCCCCAAAGGTGCTTCCAGTATTGTTGTTGCCCCTGACATACGTTTTATCCATAACTTACATTGTCATTCTCATATACATTGGCGTACTTGTACTCGCTCTATATATGGTTCTTTTATAGATGGCCATACTCATATTTACAATTTGGCAAGAGCCCTATCAAAATTCAAAGTGTGAATCAATTAGTTATTGTTCTTATTAAAACCCCACTATCACTCTGTATGGTTTTGAGATTTTGATTATGAAATTTAAATTTCAACACCTACATAATCAAGTCTTAAGAAGCTTCACATACAATGTTAACCAATTTTCTGGGTATTTAGTAAGCAGATCAACTAAACATTATTTTTTCAGGTAAAGATTTTAATGGCTCTATAATAAAAGTTGAATTGGCTCAAAGACAAGTTTCTTCTTTTGCTAGTAGAGGTAAGTTGAAGATACGGTTTAGTATCGCTATGAAACATTGAATAGATTTACAGAGAAATCTGTAATCTGTTCTGGAGGGTTATTGTCATTCTTACCAAGAATAAGGACACTCTTCGTTGGTTAGATATGACTTTGTTTCTGAGTAGATTTACTGTGACACAATAATAAAATTAAATAATGATATAAAAAAGATTAAAACATATAGACTTAAACAAAAAAGCTACTAGCATTTAACTATTTGCACCAGTGAAAGAACTTACTGTAGGCCTTCGACTGCCAAGATGTAAGTCAAATCAATCGCAGCTAGATTCACCAAATCTCCCGCTAGCTAATACTGCATTCTGATCCTAGAGACTAGCAGGATATGGTCTGGTAGGTCAAGACAAGATTACTACCATGAAAATATTGTCATCTAGAACGATCAATGTCATATTATCCATTGTATTATTCGTTTTATTTCAAAATGATAGGGTGACCCATGCACCTACAGAAATACAGTCAACCGCTGATAGTTCGAGACTACCACTGAAGCGTGCACATTCGCGGTGTCGAGGCCAACTTTCTGACAGTATGATACTATAAATAGCCATGGCACGTGCAATTCTCTACAAATCTATCAACTATTACAGCCGTAAAAAAATTATTGTTGACGATTTTGAATAGCAGTAAAATTAAGCTTCTTGGTTATTACAGCAGATTTAGAAATTACGTTCGTTTCATTTTTTAAATCGCTTTATCATTAATAGCAGTAAAATTAAGCTTCTTGGTTATTACAGCAGATTTAGAAATTACGTTCGTTTCATTTTTTAAATCGCTTTATCATTAACTGTACCGTTAAGAGCTGCATCTTTTGGTTTAGTACAAATCTCTGAAACACTCGGGTTAGACAGGAACATGATACTAGCAGTAGTTTCATTTTACTTTTACAAGCTTCTTAAAACAATTGTTGAGCTAGCTAACGTGCTCATTTCTAAATTCAATTTTTTGTTCTAGCTTTCTGTTATGTTTCGTAAAAAAGTAGTCTTGATTATCCCGACCTGTCAATCAGCCTTAGAATGGTCGATAGACTGGTTAAGCGAGACTTATTTCAAAACAAGGGCATGTAACCTATCTTTTACTCAAAAGTGTCTGGATGTTATGGACGACACATGGAACCAGTTTTCAGTCTATTATTTATAGATGATTAATGGTCATAGCTTATTAAGAACAACATGATCGTTTATTTAGTGACTATAATTGTGTGAAACTGATTTGAGGCTTGGCATATATATAAATATTGTGGCGAAATTGTCGAGATATATGGAGATATTTATTTATGGTGGGTCACCCTAAAAATGATAGATATGATTCTTTAACAGATAGAAATGTATTTAAGAACTATTGAAATACATTTAAAACTGTCAAGAGGTAAAAGTGCTCAACATTTAATTATTTCAATAATTACAGATGACAATGATAACCTTATATTTGTAGGACGAGGAGGTGGTAGAGGTGGTGGTGGTAGGGGTCGTGGAGGAGATAGAGGTGATCGTGGAGATAGAGATAGAGATGGTATGTTTTGTTCATATATAATTTCTTCACCTTAAATTAAATTCTATTAGTCATATATCAAAGTCTGAAATCATTATAGGTTTCAATACCATACTCATTAGAATGAGGTAGAGCATTATGTATTACATAACAATATTGTTGGTGGATGTATGTTTAATTTTTTTGTACGATTTGATTTATTTTAGGTGGTGGTGGGGGTGGTGCACCACGACAAGGAGATTGGGACTGTCCTAATCCGTAAGTTATTTGGTTTATTTATTTCGTTCAAATAAACACAAAAAATATTTCCTTTGACTATTTGATACATTAAGATTATTTGAATATTTTTCTTTTGTGCAGATTGTCAATCAATCTTTTGAGCATATGATATAGGTATCATCTTGTATTGCAAATCGGGGGGTTGGATGGCTGAATGGTTTGCGTGCGCGCGCTGTATCATAAAGTCTGTCATTGAGTCGACTCGCGTGGTTTCGATTCCCCGGTTGTACGTGGCAAGGAGTAGGGTCGCCTGTCCAACCTCGGGGGGGTTTTCTCCGGGTCCTCCGGTTTCCTCCCACTGCTAAAGACCCCTACGCGCAAGCGAATTATGTAAATAAAATTAAACCGTATGTTAGTCCCGAAATGACCTAGTTTGTGTCAAGTGGACGTTAAACCCCATTTCTCTCTCTCTCTCTGTATTGCAAATCTTGTGACGTATCAATGAAAATGGCAAATCAAATTCAAATTTAAATTTGTATGATGTAATAGTATCTTTTAAGATGGGTCTGCTTTATTGTTGATCACATTTTGAATAGGGCCGTCAAAATATCGATACACCGATATGTATCGATACTTTTCCAGCGATATTTATATCGATACGTAATATAGCTGTGTCGCCGTATCGTTGAAAAAATTCTCCAGTTAACCTGTTAAGTGCGTAGGTCATTATATAACGTCCTGGACAACTGCCACTCACTATGTGTAGGGCGTAATATAACGTCTTGGAGATATTTTCCCCAACCTATTCTTAGAACATAGTTCGTCACTTGGGGGAATCCCTTGGGAATTCCCCCACGATCGCAGCATGTGTAGGACGTTATTACGTCCTAGACAACTGCCAATCACTGTGTGTGTAGGGCGTAATATAACGTCTGGGAGGTAAATTTAAATCTTCATTGAATATAATCCCCTGATAGAACACCGAATACACCGAGAAACAGTCATTTAATAATATATTTTCCTGATAGATTTCCAATGACACGTGACATATCGATTGGAATTAGGTCAATAGACCAGTTCTAAATAGCACCTATCATTATGATTTTTTTATGTTTTATACGCATTCTGACAAAGGCTTAATTTTAAAAATAATGTTTTTATTGATGGCTATATCATCGTACGGAATTTTTATTTTAAAGCAATTTCAAGTATGGTTGTGAGGTCACGTGACAATAAATTGTGCTGTGTGTCTATCAATTGACTAGTCTCTATCATCCAGAAAAATATTCTAAGAATATTAGTCTGGATGCATTGTCAACATTTGAGAATAATAGGTCATTGGCTAGATTATCCGGTCTTTTACATTATCATAAACAACGTCTAAGGGAGGTAACTCCTCTTAAAACAAATGTTTACACCCATGAAATTAATTTAAGAATGTCATTTCAAAAAATCCATTTGATTGCATGTCAGTTAATTTTTTTTATTGCAAATTTTCTCTCTTCATGGGCCATATCTATGCTTTTTAAATTAATCCTAATTCGTCGTCACGATTCATGTTTGTTTATATTAATGCAAGAATTATGGGATTTATTATGGGAAGGTGTGCACTCTTACTTGACTTGGCCAAAGATACTGGATAATCAACCACATTAAAAAAAAAAAAAACTCCCGGTTACGCATGGGCAATGGACTTTATGTCAAATATTGACAACAGTCCCAGACCCTCCGTATGTTGAAGACTAGGAGGTTCTGGGTGACCGAGACTTATCAATTTACGAATGAATAAAAAATTTTGCCAAGTTACGTGACTAGTTACCTGATAGACAAAGACTACAAATGTCATGAAGAAATGCCATGGTGCCGTATCAGCTTATTTTGGCTACGTACGGCATTTTCTGATACTGGCAATAGTTGAAAAATGCTAATATTTTAGGTCGTAGACTTCAGTTATTAATTTATTCTGGAATATTACGGACGTGAACTTGGTGATGGTACTTGAATTAAATATGGAAAATTCAAAAGGTGTACCTGTCGTTATTTTTGTGGTAATCACATACATTTAAATACGACATTCTCCACAGCAAACTACCAAGAATTATTTTTGTTGAAGTCTAGTTATATTAAAGGGAATGGAGCTTAAAATTAACCCTTATCCTACGGGACCTCAATTGACCCAATTCTGGTCGGTTCGTTTCAAAATGGAATAAGAACCCTGATGCTTATCCATCTCAAACATCTTGAAACAGAATGTAGTTTGAGATTATTTGGGGCATAATTCGTGATGTCATCATATCGCGATACGTATCACGTATCGGTTAGCTGTATCTTCAATACGTATCGGATCCAAAATGAACTGTATCGACACAGCCCTAATGTTGAATATACTTTAAGTGGATGATTATGTATTTAGGGTTTCTCTAATTTGGATTTATGAATTATGTTTTCCAGATCATGCAGTAATAATAATTTTGGATGGCGTAGCAACTGTAATTTATGTAACACGGCACGTCCAGATGGTGCTGGTGGTGGTGGACGAGGCCGAGGTGGGCGAGGCGGAGGATTCCGAGGCGATCGGGGTGGTCGAGGAGGTGGTTTCCGAGGAGACAGAGATAGAGATGGCGGTGGTCGTGGAGGAAGAGGTGGTTACCGTGGTGATCGTGGAGGAGATCGAGGTGATCGTGGAGGACGAGGGGGTGGCGGATTTCGTGGCGGCGATCGTGGTGGAAGGTATGTTAAATTAAACATGCATTATGCAAGAGCTAAATCTGATTATTGCAAGTCTTAATTTAGGCTTCAGATGTTATAGAAATTATAAATTAGATCTTTATTTAAACAACAAAATCAACTCTGTAGACCCACGGATGGCTCGGCTACAGCTCAGATTTAAATAGGATTTCACTAATTGATTAAATCAGATAAGGGGTAACCTGATGAAAATACGTCAGTTAGATCGTGGCTAAATGATAGAGTGTACTTAGCGAGGCCGCTGTAAAGCGTTTCCGTATGCTATTGAAAACTTTACTTGATAATCGAGATATGTAGGTGGAGTTAACGCCTGTCAATCAAACGTTCGGCGAAGATGAATACACATTTCGCTACCATTTCTAGGCAAATATTACAACGATGATAACTATGTTCAGAATATAGTAATTTGACTGAATTTTTCAATATATTCTTCTTTCATCATCTACTTTTGAACTGTTATAGCAAGAATGGCCAACTCTCTATAAATATCTCCCATAATGTATCTTTAATATTGGTCAGAAACATAAAAAAATGCTGATTGTCATAATTTTTCAAATCGACTCGGCAAGAATGAGTGCCGATTGCAACTGGTTAATCAAAAGTAAGGTCAAGGAATTTGATCCCACCTTTCATGGTGGGTGTGATTCTTACCTGTCTCTCAAATATCTCCAGATAAAGAATTGTTTCAGATGAGTTATTGGCTCTCGAATTTGATAATCTCTATTACAAACATGAATTTGATAATCACTATTACAAACATGAATTTGATAATCTCTATTACAAACATGAATTTGATAATCTCTATTACAAACATGAATTTGTTAATCTAATTTGATAATCTCTATTACAAACATAAATTTGGTAATTTCTATTATAAACATGAATTTAATAGACTTTGACCCCAGTTTAATGTTATTTTAGGAAGCTTTTTCATGTTACAGGTGTTTGTGTTTAATGTGTGCTATCAGAAGCAATTACCTAACAAAAGACTTATTAATCAGCTGACAAAGGCTATTTATGGTATATTAATAAACTCTTTATTGTATTTACAGGGGTGGAGGTGATCGAGGAAGAATGGATAGAAGACAAAAGCCATATTAAATACAGATATTTTAACATCACATTCACACCTCATTTAACTTCATATTTTATATCATTTTAGTAAACATTTTTGTGAATCAAGAATGTCTATATTGTTATCATTGTCTTTGTTTTGTGCTGTCAAACATAAAAGTAAATAAATGTAAATATTGATCATGTCACTTTTTTAAAACTTGACATTTAGAATTTCTCAAATTGTATTTTGAGCATCGGATGTTGGAATATTTCTAGCAGATTTATTCTTGCAGAGGTCCATCTGTGAACATACCTAGCGGTTGCTATACACAATACGCCCACATTTTGCAAGAAATGGGACTAAGAACAAGCTTATAAAAAAGGATGTTGCGGTCGTAATTATCGGAAGAAACCAAGCTTGTTGGGATATAAACATTTTAACTTTCATCAAAATCAGATAAAAATTGTGACTCTAGAGGGTCAACAACCTTCGTATTAATCTAGTCGAGTAAAGGTGAGCAGCCATTAACTCCTTGTTTCAAAAGCGTAATATAAAAGAAATCATTAATTTTTTTTCTGACGAAATTTGTAGCTGGTTAACTCCAAAATATCTATCCATTACTCTAAAATCGGCTAACTGGATGTCGGCTATATATAAACATTAACAATATTGTAGATTCATGCGAGATTGAATGAGATCTGTCATTGTGTACTTAACATAGTTTATTTATTAGACCATATCTATGATGGTACATATTCGTCTCCACTTCTTTTGCGTCATGGCTAAGTTAGTCGGTCGAGACGTCGACACTAAATTATTAGACAAAGGACTTTAAAATGTATGGAAGTTGGAACGGAAGGTGGAAGGCGAGCTTGTGAGACGTTCTATTCGTAAAGTAAATGGCTGAAGAGTCATGAAAGATACATTATGGGAGATTTTTATAGAGAGTTGGCCATTCTTGCTATAACAGTTCAAAAGTAGATGATGAAAGAAGAATATATTGAAAAATTCAGTCAAATTACTTTATTCTGAACATAGTTATCATCGTAATATTTGACTAGAAATGATAGTGAAATGTGCCTTCACCTTGGCCGAACATTTGATTGACAGGCGTTAACTCCACCTACATATCTCGATTATCAAGTAAAGTTTTCAATGGCATGCGGAAACGCTCTACAGCGGCCTCGCTAAGTACACTCTATCATTTAGCCTCGATCTAACCGACGTATTCTCATTAGGGTGCGCCATATTTGAATTTATCAATAAGTGAAATCCTTTTTAAATCCGAGCCATCCGTGGGTCTACAGAGTTGATTTTGGGCTTGTTGTTTAAATAAAGATCTAATTTATAATTTCTATAACATCTGAAGCCTAAATTAAGACTTGCAATAATCAGATTTTGCTCTTGCATAATGTATGTTTAATTATTAATATTAATTACGGAGTGAGGGGGTGGTGAAATTAGAGCAACACAATCAAAAGAACGGATCCATAGTTGAGTAAGTATTCTGTAAATGATAGAGGTATAATAATATAAATTAAATTTAAGTTGGGACAAAATTAGACGAAAAAAAGCACTTTAAAATTCATTTTCAGACCCCCCATCCTTATTACTTTAAAATCGCCTTTGGCCCCCCCCCTAACACACTGGCGCTGCCCAGTGTGAACGCAAAAGCCCAATATTTATATTGTTAATGGGGTATCGGGCGGGGGGGGGGGGGGGACTGCAAGGGTTGGTTAGCGGGTGTTTAAAACGGAAATTATGGGCAAATTATGGGCGGAGCGCCTAGTTTGATGAGCAAGGAGATATGTTTGACATTGGTTAAGCAATATGTCTAAGTAATGGAGACCAGACTCTGTCCGTAGTTTTGTAAATCGCATTGAAACCACATGATTTTTTACCCAGTAAAACATAAAAACATACCCTTTCAATTAGAAATGAAATGGGGTTGAACGTCCTACTGTTCTGCTCCGAACTGGGCTAATGAAGACGGGCATACGCCATACAGTGTGCTATGAGGGACATTTTTCCCGAACAGCGGCCTACTCGGATATCGAATTCCAACTGTCAAGGGATCATTTACGTGCACACCAATGTTTACACGGGACCTCGGTTTTTCGTCCCATCCGAACGACTAGACGGCTTTCCTTGTCCGGCCCTCCGTCCTGCATCACTGACAAGGGGGAACCACGCCGGAAAATCTGGATGCACTTTCTCGGCCAATGCAGGGATCGAACACCCGACCTCCAGGCTAGCGAGCCAGCATCTTACCCACTTAGCCACCGTGATCCCCCTTTCAATTAGACCCTACATTATTTTTACTACAGGTAGCTGTAAACCTCTAGTTCAGATATTTAAGGCAGAATTACAAACATTTAAACTGAAACCTATCTATAATTGTGTAATTTGCTAAAAAAAAAAAAAAAAGACAAAAACTAATTGTTTATTATAAACATCAAATCCGGTTTCTCTTAACAGTTGATTAGTTTCATTTTCACATTTACTACACTTATATTACACAAATTAGATATGTAAATGTACAAGGCAACTCCGGTGCGGTTTCCCCCTGTCAGTGGTACGGAATGGGAGTGGGCTGGAAGGACAATGCCCAGTCGTTCGGATGGGAGGCAAAACAATAAATTAAACAAGATTTGATTCAGATTGAATAACCGGTAAGGGGCTACATGGGTGTAGGGGTCCAATCTCAGTTGAGATGTGGGAGGCTGAGCCTATTTCAGCCTGAAGAATTTCTTTGTCACCCAAATTTTCTCAAAGAATCGATCATTAATTTAAATGAAGTTCCACAAAGCTATGATGGTGGTTTATTTTTAGGGGAACTGTCTAGGTCAACACGGGGACCAAATCGCGGACCTCCAGATTAGTGAGCCACGGACAAGGGAAAACCACGTCGGACCTGGATCAAACCCTGGACCGCCGGATAAGTGAGCCAGCCCTTTACTGAGTCGTAGCGGCTCCCTTATGACACCTGCATATTAGCTGTACACGTACACTACCCCTCCCCCCCAACTATAATGTATAACGTATGCTCATCTTCATTATACGGGTTGTTGCAGAACAGTAAAACATTAAATTCCATTCAGTTTATCAAATAAAATCTTTAAAAAAAAGAACTTTTGATATTTCCATAAAGGGAGATAACTCCTGTTCCCATAAATGGATTTCCGAAATTCTGTATGTTCCCTTGTCCATTAATTATACTTTAAATCAAAATTTAACCAATAGCATATTCTTTGGATAGGATGAAGGGGGTATTTTCGCCAATATTTAATTTTATGTCAACTTCACAACTCTTAGTATAAATATAGCATTTACTTGACAATTATCACAATTTTCATCTGGCCCTAAATTGAGTTAGTGCAAACTTTTTGCTTGGAACTCTCTGAATTTGTGTTCCTGGTGTTATAAGCTTTCCAAAAATGTATAGTTTGTTTATTAGGGAGGACCTTGTAGCGGAACTTCAAGCTAGAAATTTTGGCTGCAAGCCTAATTGTGTTCAATGGGGTGGACTATTGCTGAATATCATCGGGTTCATACCAAATTTGAAAAGAATCTGATAAATAATCTATTAGGTGGTCATCCCACCAAATTTGAAATGATTGTTTGAAACTGAGCTGGATGTATAAAAAGTAATAGAAAACCAATCTTGGCATGTCCAGAATGAAAATATGACAAAATCTAGCTTTAATGTCAATCCTTAGAAATACCAGTATTGAGTAAGATGTGGACAAGAGATGGCAACACTGCTGTCAGTATATCCTGCAGCTTGATTTTTGGTGTAAAAACAAAACAAAAATTGAGAATTTAATTTTAATGAAAACAAAACCACATTAATCATAACAAGCTTATTGGATAATAATAAAATACAGCTCTCACAATTATCTTACATACCTCTCATACTCTTGTAAATACATGGTTGAAATAATATACCTGGCTTATGCGTCAACAGAAATAAATAAGGCGAAAAATCGTGGTCTAGGGGGAGACTATAATGGTAGTTACCTTCTTACACTTCAATAAAATAAGATGGTTTTTTTTTACTTGAACTCCAGAACGATGTTTTACTTTTGTAAACTTATAAACATCCAATCAGTTATAAGTTATTCATTATCACCTGAACTAGAGAGAGAGAGAAATGGGGTTTAACGTCCACTCGACACAAACTAGGTCATTTCGGGACTAACATATGGTTTAATTTTATTTCAATAATTCGCTTGCGCGTAGGGGTCTTTAGCAGTAGGAGGAAACCGGAGGACCCGGAGAAAACCCATGAGGTTGGACAGGCGACCCTACTCCTTGTCATGTACAACCGGGGATTCGAAACCATGCCAGTTGACTCAATGACAGACTTTGATACAGCGCGCGCACGCTAACCATTATCACCTGAACTACTTTGGAAATCGAATAGACAGTGATATAACACAACTTATTGATCCACTACTCTTGACTTTATTTTATGCAATGTTACAAGATTCTAAATGTTTTTTATGAATATTATTAAAAAAAATTTAAAAGAAACTTCACATATATACCTATTATGTTTAGAAGATCGAATGGGCACCACCTGGCCCGAGTACTTTCAAACAATGCAATAATAACAGAAACAAGCCAACAGTGAGGCCGATGTCCCCAGCTCCAATCCCAAAATTAATAGATGGCACATTAATTATCTTTTTGAAAAGTATGGAGCATAAAACTGATTATCTATACTTTGTCTACGCATAAATTGTTCACGATCGAACTCGGTCAAGATTTTTAAGTACTTAGTTTCATCACTCTCTATAACTTAGGATCAAAGTTATCTTGCCACAATTAATAAATAAGCTGTTTTGATTTTTTTTGCTAAGAGATGCGGCCATTATAATAATGAGATAAAAGTTTTAGCTTTTTTGTATTCTTTAAATTAACACTAATTTATCTTATGTTTTGCTCTTCTAATTACTTTCATCCAATATAATAAACTCTTTCCACATCAAATGTTCACAAAACATTTGGCATACAAGCTCTTCAAGAGAAAGAGAGAGAGAGAAATGAGGTTTAACGTCCACTCGACACAAACCAGGTCATTTCGGGACTAACATATGGTTCAATTTTATTTCAATAATTCGCTTGCGCGTAGGGGTCTTTAGCAGTGGGAGGAAACCGGAGGACCCGGAGAAAACCCACGAAGTTGGACAGGCGACCCTACTTCTTGTCACGTACTTGTCAATGACAGACTTTAAGATACAGCACGCACGTGCTAACCATTCAGCCATCCAACCCCCCCCAAACTCTTCAAGGAGCAGTCCGAGATTTCATTGGGTATCTCTTGATAATGTCTGTTTTAATTATGCCAAATAAAATACCAAAATGTGAAGAAATACCCCAATTAAATTATCTGAAATTATCAAATCATAATATTGATCTCCAGATTTGATATGGTTACCATCCTCAGTTTCAGTGAATAGACAATCGGGTCAGGACAGTCCCTAACAACTCTAGCTTCAGTAAGTATATGGACATAGGTATCCAGGCACAAAATATGGCTGGTATTTTAGAACAAAATCTTTGATTATCTTGGGTTAGGAAGATTGATATACCAATTGTCTGATTTGAAGTTTGTGTTTGTCTATGATGCATCTCTATTATATCAAGCACACATGCAAAATTATAATTTTTTTTATATAAATATACTTGTACATATTATTTGCTATAAATGAAGTTACAAAAGGTATATGGTTTATTATTTACAGGTATAAATGAATTTAAAAGATATAATCAAATGCCTATATTAAACATGTACTGTATAGAATAATTGTTAGATATTTCAGTCAATAAAACCAACAGAGACTTAGGAATATGATAATTCTGTACAAAATTTCCTCCCCTCCTAACAAGTACTGTAGGAGCTTTTGAAAGCTGCCATGTTATGCACTCATCGATGCTATGATGTACATTTCTTTGCTGTATGAAAAGTCATGTCAACACACAAATGCCATGCAAGATATGCCCACATTTTGCAAGGGTTTTCTACAATAGTGGGCCATAATCCTGGATATTAAGGTCCAACATATGTCAATATCAAAAGGAACCAAGATCTATGGGATATAAACATACATTTTAAGTTTCATCAAAATGGGATAAAAAAAAAAAAGTGACCTCTAGAGTGTCCAGAACCTTGATATTACATACTTTTACACTATTTACATGCAGGGAGCAGCCATTTTGTCAGGCAGTTTTGGTCCGACTTGCACGATATTCACACTCAGCCATCCTTATGGTGTGATAAATTTCAACAGTTTTGGTCCGAAATTGAAACTCAATCATAATTAGGGTGTAATGGTGATATATTTGAAAGTTTTTTAAAAATCAGATAAAAATTGTGACCTCTAGAGGGACCAAAAGTTAAAAATACGATTTTTTGTAAACAATCAGGGGCTATAATCCAGATGTTATGGGGCGATATGTGCGAATATTGAAATAACTGGGATCTTTGGATTATAAACATACATTTCAAATTTCATCAAAATTGGATAAAAATTGTGACCTGTAGTGTCCACAAATAAATTGTGGATGGACGGACAGTGGGACAACAATTTATGTCCACATGAAAATGTTTGCATACAAACAGAATATCATATGGTACAGCCATTCTTTCAGGACAATGTGGTTTCTAGTACATGTATGTCTAAATCACACATTCTCATACAGTAAAAAAATATTTAAATATATTGAGCTTTAATAAATAATAGATCTCATGTTATAACATGAATATCTCTTGATATAGTCTTTACAGCATGCTCTCCAGATACTACATCATCTAACGATTCTGTACTTTCTAAAAGACCTGAAAAAATTATACAATTTCCTTTAAGTGGTGGACACGTGCGCTGAATATTATTTGGCCGAATGGGTGGACACACTAGGCAAATGCTTCATCCGACTCACCAGTTGATTGCATCACCATTCACGTCACATGATTAAACCATGTCTTCAAACAACCACATGACTTCTCGATATGAGTGGTGATTTGCAAATGAATGCTTCGGCGAAGCGGACACACTAGGCGAATATAATTCAGTTTAATATATCAACCATGTTTGAATCAGGTGAATCATTCGGGCATTTGACTAATGTGTCCACCACTTAAATAGTTGTTATTTAGTATTAAAATATCTTGACTTGATACATTAAAACCACACTTCTTTATTATCTACAGTAGAATACTTTACAATTTTCCCTAATAAGCAGTATTATTTAAATTTTACACAGGTTACTATAAAATAAAACCAAGTACGAACAATCCAAACCATTAGACAAAATTCGAAGTCCTAAAAAAACGGTATAGGCAAAATAGTGTAAGAAGGCAAAATAGTGTAATCAGCATATGGACTGTTCACCGTGTACAAAATACAAGACAAACAGTGGTAACAGGTGTCCGGAAGAGTAAGCTTACCCTGTCTGGCGCCACACCCGCCCTAGCTGCATCCAAACTATTAGGCGAAATCTCGGTAAAATAGCATGATTGGCCAATAGACTATCGGTATGCAAAATGCACGTGATGAACAGTGTTAACGATGTAGTAGACAGACATAATCAGGGAGATTGTATACACGTCAATTAAATATATCTAGAATAATAGCCGAGAGAGACATGTTATATTTTCCAATCAAGTCAATATGACGCCCATAAAACTTTTAAAATGTTTTAATAAGTTTAGTTCGCAAGTATCCCTGTAGTTGAAGCTTAGATGACAAATGGATTTACATTATTACTTAAAACTTATAGTCTATTAATATGCTGAATACTGTCTGTTCATTAGTGCTTTCTTGTGAATTAGATCGCAAAATATATATTACAGAGCAATGTTTTTATTTCAATATATATCCTATCATAGTCACAAAGACGCACCACTATTAGGTATGATGGTATGGGATAAGACTAACAGCCAATGTTTACCAGAAATTACAACTGCAAACAACATTTTCTTCCTTGGTTGCCATGGTAATTGCTACCTTCACATGAAGATAACATGAAATTATGACTTTTCTCTAATTGTTGCGTCTGATGGACATGAGAAAAAGACTGAAATTTTCATTGTCAATGGTGTTGTCACATCCAGTGGACATGACCTTCAGACTTACAAGTACAAGCATAATATATGGACCTGGAACCAAGCAAGACGTCATCATAGCCATCTTGGAATTATGATATATTAAAAATTGATGTGCAATTGTCCAAGGAACACACATGCTAAGTTTCATGTCGATTGTATTTGAAATAGCAGAGTGTCGTCTATAATAACAAGATGAGTAGTGCAGGGGTCCAGTACTAGTCCAGAAAGAAGATAAAATGACTTATCACCCCAGAAGCAAAAGACAGGTAATTATGTGGATATATACCTTTTGTTATTTGTTCACATCTTCTCTTATCTTTTTGTATAAACATGGCTGTAGCTAGAAAGAAAGCTCCTCCTATTACACACACAAACGTTGTAGTAAACAGTGAATATTGTAATGATTTATATTGTACTGGTGTACTTTTAGATGTTGAACCATGTTTTGCTGATATTGCATCAGCAATCTGGAAAGAAATAATGGCAAAAATATAGGTATAGTATTTCCTACAGGTGTTATATTATTCTACTTTAGTGTATATCTCCATATACTGCTCTTGATACTATACAACCATTATGTATATTAGGTTTATTATATATCATCTCTTGGGGGGTTGGATGGCCAAGTGGTTAGCATGTGGGCCCTGTATCATAAGGTCTGTCATTGAGTCAACTGGTGTAGTTTCGATTCCCCGATTGTACGTGACCTGGAGAAGGTTGCCTGTGCAACCTTGTGTGCGTTCTCCTGGTCCTCCGGTTTCCTCCCACTGCTAAAGACCCCTACACGCAAGCGAATTATTTAAATAAAACTGAACCATGTGTTAGTCCCGAAATGACCTAGTTTGTGTCGAGTGGACGTTAAACCCTATTTCTCTCTCTTTCTTTATATATCATCTCATCTGGGTCAGCAAAAAAACCCAGGTAAACAATGAGGCTGAAATAAATAAATAGATGACACATACTAAGTAATTGTACATTTATTGTTTTGAAAAGTATAGAGCAATCAAACAGATTATCTTCTCTTAGCAGAAAATGTTCACGATCGAATTCAGTCATGTTTTGAAGTACTTGGTAGTGAAACTATACACTGAGTTTCATCAGTTAGAATCAAACCTATCATGTCCCAAAGCATTGACCAATGAAATTGCTTAGCTCTGCTTAGCTTTAGCTGAAAATGTTAATCACTGAACTCAGTCAAGACATTCACCTAATGAACATCTATACAAAGTTTAAACATTCTACCTCAATTAAAAGCAAAATTGTTATGTTCCATAATCTTGACCAATCAAATGGGTTATTGCTGGTTAGTTAGCCTAAGCAGAAAATTCTCATCAACGAACTTAGTCAAGGTAATGATATAATGAATCTATACTCCTGAGTTTCATCACCCTCACCCAATTACAACCAAATTTATCGCGTCCAAAAGCATAAACCAATCAAATTGCTTATCTCTGCTTACCCTAAGCAGAAAATGCTCATCTTTGAACTCCATCAAGACATTCACCTAAAAAACACCTACACCAAGTTTGAACATTCTAGCTCAATTAGAAGGAGAGTTACTGTGTCCCAAAGAGTATGATGGACAAGACAGACCCATTTTAATAATAAAATCCTAATCCAGGTGTTACCTATAATCAAATAGCATCACAATACAACACATATAAATCCTAATGGAGATGTTACCAAGTTTTATCATTCTCATCCAATTAGAACCAAAGTTATTGTCTTCCAAAGTCTCAATCAATCAAATTGCTTATCAGTACCTAATAAACACCTACACCAAGTTTGACCATTCTACCTCAAAAAGACGGAGAGTTATTGTCTTCCAGAGTCTCGACAAATCAGATTGAAGTATCTACTTTAGCCTAAGCAGAAAATGCTCATCAACAAACTTAGTCAAGGTATTATGCATTGAAACTATACACCAAGTTTCACCACTCTCACTCAATAAGGATCAAAATTATTGAGCTCCAAAGTGTCGACTAATCAAATTGCTTATAGTTCTGCTTAACCTGAGTAGAAAATGCTCATTATCGAAACTTACTGTCTGTTCCAGGTGACACTATGACACAAAAATTGCTTGCTATTTCTTCAATTTTTAATTAAAACGGCTAAAACTTAGTGACATACTTAGAATTTCCATCCTATTACTTTCTTACACGAGGGAACCAATTTCAGATCAAGCTATATAACTTATACTTGAAAAATCATGGTTTGTTTACATCGCGTTACTGAACATCAGCTATGTTTGACCTAGTTATCAAGAATAGTCGATTTGGTTTTGAGGTGTTGCGGCCTACTTGGATGTTAATGAAGTTGTTTCGGCCCAGTAGAATATAACTTTCATTTTTACGTGATTTAAGAACACAGTTGTTTGTCCAACTGACTTGAATATTTATTTGGCCCCAAGGGCTGTAGTGTTTTGATATTGATATAAACTACATACAAATATATCCTGAACTGACACATGATGGAAGTTTTGAAAGGAGGCTATAGGCGTACACAATAACAACTTGGATCATAATAATAATGTGAAAGTAATCGCGGGTTGCATAATTATGCCTTTGCTTAAAACTTTATCTTGAGAACCCTCGGAAATTTTAAAGTTGAATTTAGACTGGAGTGATGATCAAACTAATTGTATACGTAACCTAATTTCTCATGTATCCTGCAACAAATGCAAAAATGATTTTTATATAATAATTATGTCTGGAGCATTATCGCCCAGTTGATGCTGGTGTGCCATTAAACATCAATTACATCATTTCATTTCTTCAATCAAGGTTATGCATTGCAGAACACGGCACATGTGTCTGTGGATGGTTTCGCTTATTAAATAATTTTGTCCTTTTACGGTTTTGTAGATGGGTCCTCCTTTTAAATTGATTTTACGGATGTAATTAAGGCGTAGGCAATCTCATTTTTTGAACTTGTATATTGTAAATAATTCTGCTTCTCGAAATAATTTGTCCTTTTACGGTTTTGTAGATGGGTCCTCCTTTTAAATGGATTTTACGGATGTAATTAATGCATAGGCAATCTCATTTTTTGAACTTGTATATTGTAAATAATTCTGCTTCTTGAAATAACTGCATAATACTTTGGTACATCCCTTGACATCTCGCATAATTTTCATCTTGAAATAATAAATTGTAGATAACAATAATCAATTATTCAAGGGGTTGTATTTTCTAAGATTCACTTTTTTGTCTTTTCTACTAAGAATATCTATGATCCAGTGAACTGTGAGGAATATTAAAACACCAGCATTTATTTTGCAAAAAAAAAGGTTTAGAAACAGCTCAGAAAATTATATAACTATAACTGCTATGCAGTGATGACAGGTTTCGTCGGTGCCCGTTATCCTTTAATGGACGTCACTTAACATATTCACATGAGCATGATACACATGTAAGAAATTTACACGAAATGGCCATTTATGATAGCATGTTGACGTGTGAAACCTTTACAAAGTAACCAATGCTTGATCATATATCTACACAATATTACTTAAAGGAAATTAATAAACATTATTATTAAAGAGTATAGAATAACACTCTTTAAAAAAAAAAAACATGTTTGCTTTAAGGGTTGAAAATATAGGTGGTTTTTTTCAAAATCACTGGGCAAAACAATGTAAAAGGTACTTAGAAAAATATTATATTCTTTTGAAAAGTGACCCCAACAAAATCGCCTATTTCTCACAAATGGCAAAAATTCAGAATGATTCATGGGTTTTCAGTTGATCTTATATATCAACGTGTATATAAATGTTTAGAATATACAAATATTATATAATAAAGAAGTTGAATAACATTTGCAGGAAAACAGAATACGAAAATCAATTAGATATATATTAGCTAAATTGCGATGAAATATTTTGATTCAATAATTATTATAGCTAGTGGCATCGTGTATACTATGCTGTTGATTCTGTGTCAATCAGACAATAATTTTCTAGTATATGCGCTAAAAACTGTATCACCAAAGGGAGATAATTGAGATAAATATATTTTAAATATTTATTTACAGCTGATCAGAACCTATGTACTTTGGAAAACTAATAAAGTGTTTATAAAAAAGTCACATCTCCAGACCTTGCTCTCAAAAACCGAGTGGCTTAATGAGCAGTTACTGCGAAATAAGCAGGTGGAAACAAAACATAATATTAATCCGACCCAAAAAAAATGAGTGTTTAACACAAGATTCAAGGTGTGAAATTTAATAAGTATTACTGTCGCAAAAGAAATAGGCGAATTTTCCTTCATCAATGTACCTGATTTGGAGATCCCTGTCTACCCTTTAGACGAAATGCAAGTGTCCCATTACGCAGACACACTCTGTAATCATAGGCGTACGAGCTGGGGAGGCTGGGGGGGGGGGGGTGGCCGCCCACCCATTTTGGGCACCAAATGCTGGGAAAATTTGGGCACACAATTGTACTTTGTAAAAGTTGTATAAAAAAATATTGTGTTCTTGAATGTGTCCAATTTAAGAGCGAATTTAAATTCAGAGTGTCTATAGTTAGGCAATTAAATAGAAATCTTAAAGACTCAAACCCTCTATTGTTAGGAGTACAGTAAGCCACGAGTTACAGTTACATAAACAACTACATTTTTTGGGCACCAACCACCACCGCTCCCCCAGTCAAAAATTTCCCCGTACGCCTATGTCTGTAATGTTTATGTTTTGAGAAAGAAACAATGTCAAAATATGTGAAATTTACAAGAGAGTAGTGAATCTTATCGAACTTCTAGCTGTTAAGGCTCGATGCAGAGAGCAACGGGATGACAATTTCAGGTATGTCACCAAGTATGTCCCAAAACATCTACCAATCAAATTGCTTATCTCTGCTTAGCCTAAGCAGAAAATGCTCACCTTCGAACTCTGTCAAGGCATTGACCTAATAAACACTTACACCAAGTTTGAACATTCTAACTAAATTAGAAGGAGAGTTAGTGCGTCCCAAAATTTGTGATGGACAGACAGACAAACAGATTGATGGACAACAGACCCAATAAACCTGAAAGGAAGGTCTTATTGTCTACCAGGTCATCTAAACAATCACACTGACTAGCACACATTCATTGATCCTGCGGTAAAGGTAAGTAACTCTATAACACGATTCCAGATATGATCGAATCCGATATATAGACTTAATTATAAATGAAATAACGTCACACAAAATATCAAATCGCGATACTTTGTACAAAATAAAAACCTCTATCCGGAATCATTTTTTTAAGGATTAATTTGATAGGCTTTAAACAGAAAAATACCTAATCAATCTACAGTCAATGATAGACACAATTGTTTTTCATCTGTGGATAGTCGTAAACTTACCAGACCAATGAGATATGGACTACCAGCATCACCAAATGCATGGGATAACAATATTTGGAATGCCTCTGCTGTTGATCTTCTTGTGGGTATAACTACATACTGAAAATAAATTTATACATGTACTGGTAGTTAATAATTCTGATAATAAAGTGTACCAAAGATGGTTTCCAGTAAAAATAAGTGACCTATAGAGGGTCCACAAGCTACAATTGCAATTTTTACGTACAATTAGGGGCCACAATCCATGTACTTACGGTCCAATATGCGCAAATATCGAAAGGAACCAAGATCTTTGGGACACCCAAATTGTAATGAAATATTGACAAAATTTTACTGCAGGGGTCCCTCAATTTGTTTTTGACTTGCTATGCTCTGCAAGACTTTGTTTAATATCCCCACTTTTCAAAATTTCTGTATACACATTTGCGAATTCATAATTCAGTAATCACAATTATCACAACAGAAAGTTCATATAGCTAAGATGTAAATATAAAAATCATCATACCAATAACATATCAGCTACTATCGCCCAATTTAAACATAACATAGTTTCACCAATAAATATAAGTATCTGAAAAATAAGGAACAAAAATTATGGCAAGCCAAAGCGGGATTAATTACAAGACCGTTTTTCTGCATGAAAAAAGAAAAAATCGAGTATATAACAATTTTTTCATCACCTTCCAAGCATTTTTTTCTGTACAAAACGACGTATAAAGATTCAATAAAAATTATTTTTTTCCATTGCTGCTCTTGTATTTTGTTATAGTCAAGTCAATTTATACTGTTCACGGAAATATTTTACCACTATATTCGTTTTTTATAAACAATTCAACAAAATTATTTTTCACATGTCAAGACAAAAAAAATACACATGTCAAGACGAAAAAATTCATATGTCAACAGTAAAAAATTCACATGACAAGACGGAAAAATTCAAATGTCAAGACGAAAAAAAAATCATATATCACGAGCATGTGACCCTTCAAGAGCACGTGACCACAAAAACCGATGACGTCACTGCAAACAAAGATGGTTGCTTTTCATTTTTTCTGGCCGATTTTTTTGCATTGAACATGTTCACAGAAATATTTTATCACTATATTCGGTTTTTATAAACAATTCAACAAAATTATTTTTCACATGTCAAGACAAAAAGATAGGTTGCCAGGCAACGAAACATACGCCGACAGCAGCTACATCGTCTGGGCAGTCAACAAGAGTTGTCGCATATTTTTACTTTTTTCGGTAATGAAACATTTATAATACATTAAAATCTGATTAAGAGTAACAACTCATTATGTAATTATCAGAAAACCATTAGAATTTGTTTGGTTTTTATAAAGTTCTGTCCCATGCTAATGTTTAGTATACAAAACTTTTAACATCATGGATTTAGCTGTTCAAGTCATAAAGATTCATTGAAAATCAATATACTTGTTCGTCTCAAGACCTTAAACTCTGTGTACCAATCTGAAGTGAATCGGATGATAACTTTAGCCTCTACAGCGTCCACAAGATTTTTTGAAGTGATCAAGGCCCATAACTCTGGCAGTAATTATCAGAAATCAGTGAAAATCAATAGGCTTCTTTGTCTCATGACCTTAAACACTGTGTATAAATTTGAAGTCAATCGGATATTAACTTTGACCTCTAGAGCGTCCACAAGATTTTTTGAAGTGATCAAGGGCCATAACTCTGGCAGTAATTATCGGAAATCGCTGAAAATCAATAGGATTCTTCGTCTCATGACCTTAAACACTGTGTATAAATTGTGGACGCCGGACGGACGGGGGCAACGACAATATACGACCACATTTCAATGTGGGCGTATAAAAATACACGTCAAGTTATGGTCCGATATGCACGAATATCGAAAGGAACCGAGATCTGTGGGTTATAAAGTATAAACTTACATTTCAAGTTTAAACCAAATCGGATAAAGCTAAAAACGTAATTTTTCATACAATCAGGGGCCATTATCCATGAAGTTACAGTCCGATACATGCCAATATCGAAAGGAACCGAGATCTTAGGGTGATAAAGCTATATTTCAAGTTTCATTGAAATCGGATAAAAATTGTGACCTGTAGAGTGTTCACAAACCATTGTGGACGGACGGACAGGGGCGACGACAATATACATCCACATGAAAATGTGGGCGTATAAAAATGAAAAACTAGCTAGAATTTTGACAAATTAAAACAAAAAATACAAAAAGAGCCCTCCCCGTATCAATTTTTTACAAAGGATTGTCTGAGAACCAGAATATTTTGTGTGGCCTAATATTGTCCCCAACATTAATACAATTATTTCCCCTTTCCTGTCCTTTTATATTAGGTTCAGAATTATTTCTTATATTGCTTTATGAATCCTACTCTGAACTAGATAACACTATTTTCCCCGAGCAATTTTGCTAATAGTAATACACCATGGACAAATTCAATTTCTGTTATGGACCAATTGTCCCCCAAAAATTATAAAGAACAAAAACATTTAAACATACATTATGCAAGAGCTAAATCTGCCTATTTCCTGTCTTTCTTTAGGCCTGAAATGTTATCTAAATTATTAATTAGACATTAATTAACCTATCCAGGCCATAATCAACTCTAGATGGCAGCGCTAGCCTGCGATCTTTAGTGGATTGTAAGCCGATTTACTGCATAACTTTCCTTCTCGATTAAACGATTAACTGGATAATCGACACTTTGCTGTTTATCCCATAATGCATCTTTAATTTTTTTCAAATCCAGTTTGAAGACATTTATGTTTGTAAATAAATATGTGTTGTGAACTTATGATGTATAGCAATATAGGAGAAACAAAATTAGTAATATTTACCCATGTCGCCATTATGTTATACTGCGACAAAACTAAACTGAAGTAAAGAAATGGAACACAGACTAGAATTCCCAGGGCACAAATCAATGGGTCGGCTCTAGGATTGTATACTTTATATCGTCTGGCTGATTCAGCACCAGCAGCTACACCTATAAACCCTGCTGCTACTGTTATAACACCAAATATCAGTGATACCCTACAATTATACATAACATACACATATATTAGATCTAAACAGAAAAAAAAAAAAAAAAAAAAGGAAAGTGTCCTATGAATAATATACCTATTAATCAATTCACATGCCATAACATTAGATATTTCAATGAATTCCTCCATGACACAATAAATACAGTTAAAGGTATTGCATGTTTGTCAAAATTATGTTAATCAAAAGAGCTCCCATAGGATTTGTATGCTAAAATTGATTTTTTTGTTGTTTTGAGTTGATTTGGGACCAAGCTATCCAAAAATGTCAGGGTTCAAATTTTCTGATGACAAATCCTTAGAATCAACTTCAGATCTTGAAAATCCAACCATTATTGGCGGCGACAGTCATGACCTCGATGATGGGGGGCCCGATTATAAAAAGGCCTCTCCAAGAGGGGTCAAGGGGACGGAACATTTGAACTCCAACATTTTTGGATAGCTTGATCCCACATCAACCCAAAACAACAAAAAATCAATTTTAGCATACAAATCCAACGGGATGACATCTCATACCACACTAATAGCAAAATGAGTAGGAAGTCAAACATATTAAATTTGACCAGAAATATCTTTTTAATGATATAACACGAAAGGTGAAAGTTTCACATTTTTGTTCATATATTGTATACAAGGATTTGCGAATCCCAGCCCATTTTGCTGTCAATGGTCACATATATGTCAACCGGGAGAAAATAATTGGATTGTGGAATATGCACACTTCCACCCATCTTTGGATGCACCCCTTCAAATAAATATATTCACAACACTCTGTGAAAAGAAGTATACAGAAACTATAAAGGAAACTGCAGAGCCCACTGTCTTTTTTGTTCTGCAAAATTTGTTAATATTACATTATGCAAACAGTATAGATACAAGCTAATATTTTTAATTCAAACTTACTGCTCTTCTGATGTTGATTGACCCAGTGTTTCAGTAGCATCTAACATGAAGACAGGAGCCCATAAAGCTAAAGCTCCAGCTACAAATGTTACACATGTAAATCCAATTGTTGATAATACATAAGATTTACTGAAAAGACAAAACAATATGGGATTTTATTCTAATAAAAAAACAAGCAGTTGCCATGCAAGATACACCCACATATTGCACGAGACGGAAAGAGAACAAGCTAAAAAAGCGATTTTTGTACAATAAGGGGTCATAATCCAGGATGTTGCGATCTGACATTCGTCAATATCAAAAGGAACCAAGATTTTTGGGATAAATATATGTACATACATTTTAAATTTCATCAAAATCGGATACAAATTGTGACCTCTAGTGGCTTCAGATGAACTTTCTCAGCCTACACTAGGATCGAAATACGGCACCTCCAGATTAGCGAGCCAACGTCTAACTCACTTAGCAAGTTAGAGAGCCAACGTCTAACTCACTTAGCAAGTGAGAGAGATACTTATAGACATACCTGTACATAATGTCATAAAGATGAATATTATCAAATTAGATTACATGTACAAAGCATAAACAGAACTTTGTAATTAATTAATATCATAATAATAAAGATCACTTACCATTTCACTAATTCTTTGATATCTGTCATAACACTTGTATTACTTAAATGTTCTCCTTCATCAGCCATACCTCTAACTGGTTCTTTACAGAAGATCAGGATTAATATAACACATAATAATCCCAATGCCGGTGTAACCTATAATAAAAAATATCACAATATAAATATAACATATATAAATATTAATCCAGGTGTTACCCAAAATCAAATAATATCACAATACAATACAACACATATATATAAATATATATAAATCCTAATCCAGGTGTTACTAAGTTTCATCACACTCACTCAACTAGAATTAAAGTCATTGTGTCCATTAGTGCCAGTATTGATGTAATGAAACTATACACCAAGTTTTATCACATGGGTTTCTTAATCAACAATTAATAATTAACTCTTTGTAAATCAGCCAAATGTAGATTGTTTTATGATACCATAGTCTACAGTGGTCAGTTCATTGTTATATCAATCGACTTGATAATTAACTCTTTGTAAATTGGCCGAAAGTAGATTGATTTATGATACCATAGTGGCTGATTCATTGTTTTACCAATCGGCTAGATTAAACATTAATCCGCTGAAGCCAACAAAAAACAACCGATTAAGAACAGTGGTCTGGGGAATTACCTGCGAATTTGATAAAATCAGAAGTTCTGATTTTCTGCTCATTAGGTGCATACATGGTGGCAATGCTTCACAAGTTATTTTTATTTCGACGCTATTGATGAATGCAGGATCCCCTGCCCCAACCCTCTCCCCCCAACTCTGGAAACGCGTCACAGTGGATTTGTCTTGAAGAATAAGAACTGGTAATGCTCCTTTTTTACAGCTCTATTGTCCCTTTAATAAAATGCAAAACAGTAGGACGTTAAACCCCATTTCATTTCATTTCATTTCATTTCCTTTAATAAAATACTCATTAATCTGAATTCGGGTATCAAGGAAATCTTAACTGAGCAAAGGACATGACATTCGTTTTATTTCCTTGTTTATTTCAATTGCATCTAGAATTCAGGATACAGCTGACTTGAGTTTAATGCACATTTCTTCCACAGTCAAGAATCCAAATACATACCTGATGCATGTAACCACAATATTTGCCCACATTAAAATATGGGTATATAATAAATATACCATCACTTGTAAATATTTTAAGTTTCTCTTAAAATTATCTGATGTGGGTTATCGATTCTTTATGATTAAAGAAGTCAAGCTCCCTACAATTTAAATTCGCTGATATTGATAGTTATTTTAATTATTTGCAATTTTCGAACAATAGATAATTTTTCACAGCTTAAAGGGACAATAACACTCTTGCTGGCTTGAAAGCTCCAGAAAATAAATAATATCTCTATCTAAGTACTAGATGTTTAAGTGTCCTACCGGTTGTGTAAATTATCCATTACATCCTATTTTACTTGTCCAGAGGGTTCGAAAATATTTTTAAATCGAAGTTTCATTTGAAAAGGTTTACATTAGACGTTTCAAACCATTATGTTGAATTTTTCAAAATTTTTAAATAAGGTGTGTTAAGATGAAATTTGTATCATCAATTAATTGAAATATTCCAAAATAGTACATTTTGTTGACCAGAATAAAGATTGGGACATATTATTCAGTTACACTTACAACAAGAGTGGTATTGAACCTTTAAAGTTAAAGACGCATTATTCAAGAGCTAAATCTTCCTATTGCAGGTCTTACTTTAGGTCTTAAATGTTATATAAATTATTAATTAGATGTTTATTAATTTGCCAAGACCATAATCAACTCTCGATACCATTGGTAGCAATGACAATCAAGAATCTGCTATTCTCCAAACAGTCCAAACTTTGCTCAGAATAAAGTAATTTGACTGAAATTTTCAAGATTCAAGAAATTTCCTTTTCATTATCTATCTTTGAACTGTCAGCTTTTTATCTAAATCTTACATAATGCATCTTTAATCCACATTAAAATTTACTAAAATTTATTATTCAACATTTAATAAAAACAAAATCACAATATCAACAGTAGATATTCCCCCAGCTGGGATTCAATCAGAATAAAAAGCGTCCATCCAAAATTTCAGTGAAAATTATAGGTGGTGCTAGATGGTTTTGACCATATCCTATTTTTCATCTGTGCAGTGGATAAAACAATATTCTTTTAGTGGCATTTAGTAAATGGGTAGATAAATAAACTATAACACATACTTATGGAAAAACAGCTACTGATTTATTTAGGCGATGTTTTGAAGAGTATTCTCTCAACGTTATCAATCCATAAGTATGTGTTATAGTTTATGGATAAAACATGTTGACAATCTTTTTTTTTTAATTCATCATATCTTTGTAAATACCGAACAGAGCTGAGATATTTTTGGACGGATAGTATTCTTAGAAATTCAATTTTCACGATATGCCCACATTTTGCAAGAGATGGATAGAGAACAAGCTGAAAACAAACAGGATTTTTTGTACCATCAGGGGCAATAAATCCAGAATGTTATGTTCTGAAATGCCCAAATATCAAAAGGGACTGAGATCTTTTGGAAATAAAGATATGTTTTAAATTTCAACAAAATCGGATAAAAATTGTGACCTCTAGAGGGTCCACAACCTTCGTTGCCCACTTTTACATGATTTGCGTACAAAGTGCGGCCATTTTGTCCGGCAGTTTCATTTTGATTTTCCCGAAATTCAAATTTAACCTTCATTATGGTGGAATGGTGATATATTTAAACGGTTTTTAAAATCGGATAAAAATTGTGACCTCTAGAGGGACCACAAGCTAAAAACGCGATTTTTTGTACATTCAAGGGCCATAATTCAGGAAGATACAATTTGATACGCACGAATATCGAAAGGAACCAAGATCTTTGGGTTATAAACATGTATTTCAACTTTCATCAAAATCGGATCAAAATTGTGACATCTAGAGGGTCCACAACCTTGTTTTACCAGATGTTTGCACTATTAGTGTACGAGGGGCGGCCATTTTGTTCAGCAGTTTTGGCCCAATTTTCACGAAATTCGACGTCAACAAACATTATGGTGTAACAGTGATATATTCGAACTTTTGTTTAAATTGAATAATCATTGTGACCTCTAGAGGGACCACAAGCTAAAAATGCTATTTTTCGTACAACTAGAGGCCATAATTCAGGAAGTTAAAATTCAATATGCGCGAATATTGAAAGGAACCAAGATCTTTGGGTTACAAACCTGCATTTCAAGTTTCATCAAAATCGGATCAAAATTGTGGCCTCTAGAGGGACAACTTTGATATACCAGATGTTTACACTATACCAAGATCTTTGGGTTATAAACATACATTTCAAGTTTAAACGCAATCAGATAAAAATTGTGACCTCTACAGTGTTCACAAGCTAAAAACGTGATTTTCGTTCAATCAGGGGCCATAATCCATGAAGTTACAGTCCGATACATGCCAATATCGAAAGGAACCAAGATCTTAGGGTGATAAACCTATATTTCAAGTTTCACTGAAATCGGATAAAAATTGTGACCTGTAGAGTGTTCACAAACAATTGTGCACGGACGGACAGGGGCGATGACAATTCTTAAAGTACCTGATCGTCATTTGAGGGATTTTTATACGCCCATAAAAATCCCTCAAATGACGATCAGGTACTTTAAGAATAAGAATAAAATAAGAGCCTTGTCTACATTCATTATTTGTCACAATGAGTGTAAAAATATTAAATTTCATAGAATTCGTTAATATGTACATTAATTCTTTTCTTACCCGTAATGCCCACTGCCATGCTCCTAGTAGTTTAGCAACATTAGAACCAATAATATATCCTAACCCACTGAAAAGTAAAAGTAAGGTGTATCAATTCTAAAGTACACTGAATATTCAACTTAGTAAGAGAAGTGTTATTGGGTGTTTTGGATAGAATAAAACTACTCAGTTTCATGCAGAATATCCATTATTTAATTATGGCAAAATTAATTTTCTCCTGGGATACGGATTCACCTCCTAAATCTTTAGGAGCAAATATTTTACATGTACTATACAAGAGAGTGTGGTGGCCCATTTCAATTCTGTTTCTTCATAAATAACTAACCTTCCCACGGGTATAGCAAAATAAAATATCATTAACATCTTAGTTCTCATCCCTTTAGAAAATAAATCAGCTATAATAGTTGGAGCTATGGTAGAATAACTTGCTTCACCAATACCAACACACCCACGTAATAATATAAATCCATAAAAACTCTGAAATAAAACAACAATAGTCTGAACTAGCTACATACATGTAGGTAAAAAGCAAAAAGTTTATACTGTATAATATCACTGCTGCATTAACAAGTTTATATGATATAATCAAGGGCAATAAGTCTTTACTAGGGCAATTCTACGGTAAGGAGGTACATTTTGAACTCGTCATGTTTTGAATACTTCCAATATTATCTAACCATGAATAATTAACTGTTTGGGTTTCATATAGCATTAAAGACATATGTTATAAGTATAAGCTGATATATGATTTAATTTGTTCATGAACACCTGAAATAAATATTGGCTCCTCAAAGTATAGGTAACGGACATACAGAAATGAACACTATGATTTGCCTGAATGAAAATGTAAGAAAAGGCACTAATACTTGATGTGTACTGTATGATCACTTCTCACATTTGGATTCTTGTAACCCAGTAAATTAGAAATTATTGTGGTAACGGCCGTACATATTTTCTGGTAACGGACGTACGAATGCAAATTGCTAACCCATTACATGAGATATGTAAATTTTTAAGTAATAGGACTGATAGATAATAATAATAATGAACTCATATGAATTAATGGAGCAGTTACTTTCCTGAAAACATTACTCCTTGTTTAAAATATTGTGACCTAAAAATTTGGGTAACGGTCGTACATTTTTACCCTAAAATTTTGGTAAGGGACATGCATCCATCTATATAACTCCAAATGATTCAGAGAATTCGGGCAAATGTTTTCTTTTTACGGTCATAACAAGAATGGGTGATATTAGCATTAAATATGAGTTTTTGAACAGTTCCATAAATTAATATGAATGAGAGAGATAAAAGGTAAATATTTGGTAACATGAAATACTGTGAAACGTATTACGGTCATAATAACAAGAATGGGTGATATTAGCTTTAAATATGAGTTTTTGAACAGTTCCATAAATAAATATGAATGAGAGAGATAAAAGGTAAATATTTGGTAACATGAAATACTGTGAAAAGTAACGGACGTACATCTATGAAAACCCAAGTTATTCTGAGAATTTTTGCAAATGTTTTCTTTTTATGGTCATTATAATAAGAATGTTGGTTACTTTCACAAAAAATATATTATTTTCATATTTCAATGTATAAATATCATGTTTATATACATTGTCAGATAACTAATGCCAAATCATTCAATATGATTCAGAATATTACTACTACTATAATAGGGTTTCAGTTTACCAATGGTTTACATCAACTTACATTTGAGGGTACAAATGATGACGCCAGAGTAACTAATGACCACAGTGATATACCACAAGCCATGATATATTTCCTTGTATATCTATCGCCCAAATAACCAAATATTGGAGAAAATACCATATAAATACAAATAAATGATGTTTGTATTAACCCAGCTTCACTAAATGTCAGATCATAGTATTTTATAACATCTTTTAACACACCTAGAAATAAATATAAAATAATTAGTGAAACAGTTCATTCAAGACTGTTTCTACTCGCATTACAGTAGGCTGCACATGTACAAACAAATTTCTTTTATTCTGAATATTTGGGATTATGCCTAGTGTCACTTAAAACATTCCATCGCACAAAAGAGATTTGTCTTGAAAAATTGGACTCATCACCAATTTGGCACCGGGAAACGTCAGCTAAAATTACGTTACTCCATGGGATATAGATCATTTCATACAATGGATGAAATGCCATATTTATCATAACTGACAATGTACGACAATTCAAGTTTTGTATATGAAAAGATATTAACCGTCACTTGTATTGTAAATACAAGTAAACAGGAGACAACTACCTTATAGTACATATTGGGATATTGCATCGTATATGGATTTTATTTTTCAAGTGGTGATTTCAAAAACATAGATCACTTTATAATAACCATAATTATAATTTGTTCATACACTAAAAGGGGTTAAAATAAGCTTAATCCCATTGACAATGTAATTATTATAATATTAAGAGAACACAGTTTTTATGGGAAACAATCACTAGTTTTATTCTTAAAGCATGAAATTTTGACAAGTACCCTCTTATCGTTATCAAGCACAATGACATTTAGTAAATTGAGGTCAGTTTGTTAATATATATGAAATTCATAGTGAAACCATTTACAGAGAATTAAATAACAGTAACAATAGGAATCAAAGATAGGTTGCCAGGCAACGAAACATAAGCCCACAGCAGATAAATCGTCAACAAGAGTTGTCGCATATTTTTACTTTTGTAGTTAATCAAACATTTATAATACACTAAAATCTGATTAAGAGTAACAACTCAGAAAATCATTAGAATTTGTTTGGTTTCTAGTTCTGCCCCATGCTAACGTTTAGTATACAAAACTTTATCATGGATTTAGATGTTCAAGTTATCAAAGATAGGTTGTAGGGCTGGGTATTGCAGTCAGAAATCATATTGCAATACATTGTGATACGTGACAAAAAGTACTGCAAAAGTACTGCAAAAGTACTGCAATACTTCGATAAAGTCAAGGTTTATCCATATTCCTGAAGCAATGGCCCGAGAAATCCCTCTCTGCCCATTGCTGGATTGACTTCTGATACTTGAGCTTTTGAGAGAGTGTGTCTATTCTTCCCGTTCAATCAAATCTCTCCCAAGTACAGCAACATGACAGCCCTTTGTTAATCTGGGCTCTTCCCTAAAACTTTGGACAGTGATTTAAGGTATTAAAAACGGCGAAAGTATTGTTCGTGTCCAAGCAGTATTGTTTACATTGTAGCCATTGTCACGCAATTAGTTTTTCTACAATAATCTGCTATGCAATGGTTAATTGGGCGTAATAAATTTTTTGAGTCAAGACGTAACATTATGTAAACATATATGGAGCTCTGTTTTTAAAACTTGAATGATATTGTTACGCAGTTCGGTATAGGTATTGACCAGTCATAATTTGGAACAGAAATTTGCTTTCATTACAGCAGTGTTTGAGTGGAATTAGGTCTAATCAAACGAAACACTGCGAGGAGTATGGGGTTTATCACAAAGCACAGTTTTATTTTGAATGGCTTTATTGTTTTTACAACTTTGGTCTTAGACACTTATTGTTTACTGCAAAGCCTGCAATATGACTGATTACATGTATGTGAATACACATTTCACTTTATTCGTTTTTTCAACTTTGGTCTTGGCTTAGCAGACATATTGTTTACTACAAAGCCTAAATAATCTGACTGATTATGAAGTCTTTATAGACAGTCTAGCAAACATTTGAATATATTATAAAAGTAGAAAAATATCGATACAGCAAAAATGTATCGATAAAGTGTATCATGGACAAATGTACTGTAATAATGTATCGATATGGCAACATTTTTTCGACAGCCCTAATAGGTTGCCAGGCAAGTGAAACAAGGGCCATAAATCTAGACATATTTATAGGAAATTGCTGAAATTGAAATGCATATCAATTTCAAAATAATCAGATGATAAATGTAGTCTGTAGAGTGTTCACAAGAAATTGTGGATGACGAATGGACAGATGTGGGCAACAGCAATATACGATCACATTTCCATGTGGGCGTATAAAAATCATTGAAAATCAATATACTTGTTCGTCTCAAGACCTTAAACTCTGTTAAACAGGCGTCTCATGACCGTAAACACAGTGTATGATAACTATGGTCTCTAAAGCATCTAGTCTCTATCATCCAGAAAAAAACATTCTACGAATATTAGTCTGGATGTGTTGTCAACGTTTGAGAATAATAGGTCATTGGCTATGGGAGGTAACTAGTCCTAAAACACGATGAAATTAATTTAAGATTGCCATTTCAGAAAATCCATTTGATTGCATTGCCAGTTCAATATCCAACACTTTTAATTCTTTTTATTGTAAAATTTCTCTCTTCATATGGGCCATATCTATGTTTTGTTTTTTTAATCGACCCTAATTCGTTGTCACGATTCATGTTTGTTCATAATAACGCAAGAATTATTGGATTTATTGTGCAAAGGGGTGCAACTCTTACACTTGACTTGGCCAAAGATACAGGATAATCAGCCACATAAAAAAAACCCTCCCGGTTACGCATGGGCGATGGAACTTTTCATCAAAAATTTACAACAGTCCCAGACCCTCCGTATGTTGAAGACTAGGAGGTTCTTGGTGACTTAGACTATAAAGCATCCACAAGATTTTTCAAAGTAATTATCGGAAATCGTTGCAGATCAAGAGGCTTCTTCATCTCATGACCTCACACAATGTGTATAAATTTAAAGTCAACTGGATATTAACTTTAGCCTACAGAGAGAGTCCACAAGATATTTCAAAGTGACCAAGGGCCATAACTTTGGCAGTCATTATCGATAATCATTGAAAATCAAATGGCTTCTTCGTCTCATGACCTTACATACTGTGTGTAAATTTAAAATCAATTGGATATTAACTTTAGACTCATGAGCATCCACAAGATATTTCAAAGTGATCAAAGGCCATAACTCATGCAGTGATTACAGGGACCGTACACAGATTTTTGTCATAAATTTATATTTTTATGAAAGTTATGTTTTTTTGATTGTTTTAATCAAATTTTATGATATTTTTATAATGTGTCTATTACATTTCATGACGTTTTATGTTTTTATCATCAAATATTATGACTTTTTGTTATAATACTGCACTGACAGTAAATATGTTATCTCTGGTTCATGAAGTAGTGTTCAGCCAGTGTTATGCGGATAAGAACGTCCCATCAGTAGTATTAATGGTCGTAGTCATCTTATCCTATGTTCATATACTCACGAGGAGCCACGGTAACTAAGCAGGTAAGATGCTGGCTCGCTAGCCTGAAGGATGCAGGTTCGATCCCGGTGTTGGCTGCAAAAGTTCATCAGGTTTTTCCAGCGTGGTTCGCCTTGTCAGTGGTGCAGGACACAGACCTGACCACATTGGCGTGTCTGGAGTATGCTCGTCTTCATTTATAGCCCAGTCAGAGCAGAATAGTAGGACGATAAACCCAAATTTCATTTAATTCCATTTCATATGCATATACCATCATTAACATTAACTGAACACTGTCAAACAGAAAATGAAAGAGAGCAGCAGGCTGGGGGTCATAAAATGCCTGTAGTCCGGTCAAAATGCAGTTTAACCCTTCAAAAATTGCTACAAAGGTTTCTCAACGGATTCTGGTAGGCTTTAGTGTACTTTTTAACATACAAAAAGTTCACCAAAGTAGGACCCCCGGAAAAGTGTTTTTACCAAAACATTGTTACAAAAGGTCTCTCAACTGATGGCAGCACTGTATATATGGAAAGCCATTGCTTTCCAGTTTCCAGATTTTCAGCTATGTGATATAAAATATGGTTAGAATGTGTTCCTTGTCCCCAAAATTAGGGGATAGATCTAGACCCAAGTTTAATCAAATTAGACTGAAACGTTGGTCACATGGTAGTGAAATGTTGGACACCATATTGGATTTACTTGTTCGATAATGGCCCACTTTCATTCGTGCCCACCAAAACCTGGCGATAGACATCAAGATCATCAAATTTAAGTCAATAGTTATTTGGAGGTGTTGGCGACCATTTTTGACGCCATATTGGATTTTTGTGTTACATAATAGGCTAACATCATTTCTAATGATCTTAATGTGTTCTTTGCCCCCCAAAACCTAGTGATAGACACCAAGATCATCAAATTTGAGTTGACGGTTACAATAGTTATGATCATTAAGACGTTTCGGCGGCCATCTTGAAAAAAACCCACTTTTCCGGGGGGGTCCTACTTTTAGTATGTTGTAAAGTACATTAAACACTACCAGAATCAGTCAAGAAACCTTTTGTAGCAATATTGGCGGGGTTGAGGGGCTATTTTCCATATATCGACCTGACTACTGGATGATTTTCGTATTCAAAACTAGATTTATTAGTATAGAAATTTATCATTGGGAGTAGCGATTTAAGGTTAATTTTATATTTTGAAAACATTCTCGACTCATTTTATCAGAAATAGTGAAATTTTATATTTTTTATATTTTTCCATTTTATGATAATTTTATGAGATATGACAAAATTTTATGAAAATATAAATGTATTTATATTGTATGGTCCATGCAATTATCGGAAAATGTTGAAAATCAATAGACTTCTTAGTCTCATAACCTTGAACAATGTTTATAAATTAACTCTAGCCTCTATATCTAGAGTGTCCACAAGATATTTCAAAGTGATCAAGGGCCATAAATCTGGCAGTAGCTAAGTGGGTAAGACGCTGGCTTGCTAGCCTGGAGGTCGGATGTTCGATCCCTGCATTGGCCAGATTTTCCGGCGTGGTTCCTCCTTGTCAGTGAAGCAGGACAGAGGGCCTGACAAGGACAGCTGTCTAGTTGTTTGGATGGGACGATAAACTGAGGTCCCGTGTACACATTGGCATGCACGCAGACCATCCATTGACAGTTGGAATTCGATATAAGAGTGGGCAAAATTTTCCTCATAGCACACTGTATAGTGTATGCTCGTCTTCATTAGCCCAGTTCGAAGCAAAACAGTAGGGCGTTAAACCCCATTTCACTTCATTTTCATTTCAGAAATCGTTGAAAATCAATAGGATTCTTCATCTCATAACCTTAAACACTGTGTATAAATTTAAAGTCAAATCAGATTTTAGCCTCTAGAGCATCCACAAGCAATTGTCACTCATTGTGGACTGACGAACGGACAGACGGGGGTGACGACACATTTCAACGTGGGCTTATAAAAGGTTTGGATGGGACAAAAAACTGAGGTCCTGTGTACGTAGGCCTACACATTGGCGTACACGTAGACGATCCATTGACAGTATGCCCGTCTTCATTAGCCCATTTCGGAGCAAAACAGTAGGGCGTTAAACCCCATTTCACTTCATTTTCATTTCAGAAATCATTGAAAATTAATAGGATTCTTCATCTATGACCTTAAACACTGTGTAGGCCTATAAATTTAAAGTCAATCAGATTTTAGCCTCTAGAGCGTTTACAAGCAATTGTCACTCATTGTGGACTGACGAACGAACGGACAGACGGCGGTGACAACACATTTCATCGTAGGCTTATAAAAGGTAAAATAAGATTCTAACAAAAAACAACAATTGAATAGAATAAACTAGTGATTGTTTCCCATAAAAACTGTGTCCCGATCGCTAAATCAAATGCCACTCAAAGATGATGTAAATTGTAATTATTACCTGCAACAGTAAATCTATCCATATAATTTAATAGATTAATTAATAAAAGTGTTGCCACTGTTATATAGGCGGTCTTTCTGCTGATGCCATTACTATTAATTGTTTCATGTGTTCGCAATTCAACAGCATCGATCTCTTCATCTTCGTCATTTGGTAGGATCAGTTGGGTGTCTGAAAAATCAACAGGCATATCTTCCAAATGAAATGTGTCGTCAAAAGGGGGCGCTAAAGTAATCATTTGTTGATGTTTTCTGTCATTATCTATAATTCAGTCACATGCAAGCAACAATTATAGACGGATATTGCGATAAGGATGAAACTAATCTTCCTAACACCAGTTTTATTATACAGCGTCAACTGTTGTTTACTTCATGAGAATACTTTTAAGTTTCCAAATTTGCAATGCTCAAGATCCAAGCGAAATATAGAAAACGAATTACTTCTTTTGGATATATAAACAATAACTAAAATAAAAGAATTTCACGTTGAAAATACTACTGCGTCTTATAGTTCAATTAAGACAGTTCTTCTTAATACTATATTTGAAATGTAATTATAATAATGTGTCATTCGGATTGTTTTATGAATGTTTGCTTCTCAATTTGTAAAAACCACGAAAAATACGATGGTATGGCATACAATTGTATCTCTCATTGGATGGCTAGAAGACACGACCCACGGAAGCGGAAAGACAAAACTTAACCTCATTAATATAGGTCAATCTCGTTTTCAATGAACTTCGGTCCATGACGTCATTAATGTCAACTAAGGTACTTTTACCATATAAGGAAGGTAAATAGTCTTCTGCGCATGCGTCATTTATCTAATCAAAATAAGAAACATGGCGATCGGGCTGGCTGAAGAGACTTAAAAACCAAGTCTTCCTTAAATTTATCGACAATGGCGACACAAAAACCTGGCGAATGGGTACAGTCGCTCATAACTCGGTTCGACGCACAGGTAAAATGACTGTCGTTTTGTTGAAACACCCGTAGTTGGCTGAAAGATTATCATCTCTGATGTGTTCCATTTTCCCGACAAAATTTATGAATGAAAATCGCTGCGATAAGGCCCACACAGTTAAAATGTTTTTGGGCTTAAAGCATAAAACCAATCCCTCGGCATGAATTATTGACAAATGGATTAGCTATTTTAGTTATGGTATCAATTTCTTTCGATTTGTCTCTTGAATTGATTTATCTTCGAGCAGGATCGTATTATTTATGAAAGAATTGCTCGGAACTGCAAATTATAATTAGCTGATGTCAGTGACAGAGATGGCATAGCTATGACACCATTGACACTGACAGCTAATAGGCTAGTGCATATGTATGTGTAAAATACTGTACATCAACCTACATTAGAAGTGTTTAAAATTTTATCAGCATTTTAATACAGGAGATGCAAAAGAAGGAGAAATATAACAAAATGTTATGCTTGATACTGCAGATTATTCATTTTATATTTTACATGGCACAGATTAACAATATGACATCTAAGCTTGTCAGTGACGATAGGTGTGAATTTTGATTAGTAATTATGATGAGAAATAAAGTAGATGATTATTTATTTGGATAATAATTGGAAGATTTTCTTTAATGACAGACTTTATTTATCATTGTGAAGTATGAAATAAAGAGCCTTGACCTTTGCTCCACTCCCACAACTCATGTCTGTCCATAATGACTCTTTGTTGTACTATCATAATGTAGAATAGAAAATATCAGTAATCAGGACACTGTACTCAATCTTTTAGATTATTGGTATTCAGGACATTAACACTTTAACATTCAGGACATGTAAATATTGATTACTCCAGTTTGGTGAAAATGAAGCGAAATGTGATAAATCTTATATGTATCCGCGGACAGCATGAAACCGTCCAAAACTACTGCTGCCTACTAGACAGCCTCAAACCACCTGAGTCATCTGAATTGGGGCAATCTAAGGAGCACTATTTTCTTGTTGTTTTGAGCTGTCTATGTTGTAATGTGTAAATTTCTGTATGGTTGCAATTCATTATATATCAAGTAGTATTCAAACTCCTTAAATGACAAAATGTTATGTGTAAATTAATATTTAATGGTTGCGATATCACTACTTATTTCAATAAAAAAAACCAATGAGTCGCTCTTTGTTTTATTATTTTATAATACATTAATTTTAAGCTAATGTAGGAGCTACCATGGCTCCGTGAATAAGATGTTGGCCCTGCCAACCTGGAGGTCTTGTGTTCGATCAGGTTTTTGTGGCATGGTTCCTCCTTGTCAGAGGTGCGAAAAAAAAGTCCTGGCAAGGGAGAGTGTATAGTTGTTCAAATGGGCCAAAAAGTCGAAGATCCGTGTACACATTGGCATGCATGTAAAAAAGAGCCCTTGACAGTTGGAATTCGATACAAGAGTAGGTGGTAGTACAGTGCTGCTGTCCGGGCAAATATTTCCCTCATAGCACACTGTAAGGGATACGCCCTTCTTCAGTAGCCCAGTTGGTGCAGAACACTAGGACGTTAAATTTCATTTCAAGGACCTCTATTTTGTGTACCAAGTCAACCCATTGACGGCTATTCTACCCAATACTTCAACACAACTCTTGGGAAATTACATTCTGTTATCTTCATTTACTTGTATTCATAAACTTAATATAGAAGTAGCAAGTCACGGAAATAATCTTCCAAGTTTCGTGGTCATTGATAAGCTTTAAGATAATAATTGTCTTTTTGTTCAAATTAGGGGGAAAATTATTTACATTTTTTTTTTTTTTTTTTTGTAAACAATATTTTATTTCATTTGAAAATGGGTTGGAAAACAGACAATGTAAAGGCAATTACAGCATAGCATTTCAATTTGGCCATAATATAGTGTATTCAGTGATCATTTAACATATATTTAGATATCCCATGGAAAAATAAAAAGGATACACAAATAGAGTGCCAAATAGAAACCTCATGAACCCACAACAATACACATGTTGTGAAAAGTATAGTCACAGGTACTTGTATGTCAAAGTGAGTGTGACCCTCTAAATATTTACAAATTGATTTTAAGGCCTGTCCATGTCTTAAAAATTATAGTCAGTATGAAAAATCATATTTTTGTATTCCTTCAGCTGCCAATAAAGACTGGTCTTCACACCACCCAGTCCATGCAGAATGTGGAACAGAATAAAGAATGTTTAATAAATGTTAGCAAGTACAAGTTCTCTCTAGTCATTAATGGACTTACCAAAACCCTTCAATCAGTGGCTCAGATGGTAAGTACACAAAAGTTGCTTTTAGAATGACAAAATTATAGTATGTTCGCAAGAATATATTTTGACATGACTTTACCCTCGTGTATTGTAAATCTTACAAATATAGTTATACAACAATATGGTGATATATTTGAATGTATGGAAATATCACGATACTGTTGTTACGTATCAGATTTTCAAGTGGTGGAAATCAATTGATTTAAAGAAAGCTGTTTCCAATGCAACATTATTTTCATCCTTAAATTTTTGAGGAAAACTTTTCAAAAATTTTATAGACCTAATAATTCATGTACTTGTTTTAGAAAACAAGTTTCTCTTCCATTAATGGCATATTCTTTAGTATTAAATATTAAAAATGTATGTGCTAACTGAAAATAATACGGTTTACATTGAATATGCATCACAATATGATTTGTGTATTGTAATATTTTGTATTGCATATTTGACGGTATTGTTGCAATCCTATCTATATACATTTAATGTTAAAATTATTATCTGTCCTTCACTCCTTGTGCTAGGTTTCCACTGTCATGCGATGCATTACGATAGAATTGTCCCTATCTAGTCCACACTCTGGTATGTGCAGATAAGTTCGGATGCATTTCAATTCAATCAACACAATTGCTACAACTGACCTCAATATATATGATTAGACCTGACAGGATCACCACGATTACTCCAAGATTAACACCACGATTTCAATCATGGCGCGAATCGTGACAGTGGGACCCTAGCATTAGAGAGAAAAGCTCATCAGTTTCCTTAGATACAAGCAAACACATTTTATTCTAGTTTATTTATGTATTGATGAAAAATTTAACAGTAACTTATGGATACAAATTGTTCCAGAAAGGATAAGCTCACCCTGCTTGCACAGGACATCTGTCTCTATCTCCAATTTATATTCTAGCTGCCCCTTTTTTCAAATAAATTGGAATATACACCAATGATTTCAGTTCAAATCAGCTGATTACTTTTCAACATTTTTACAATCAATTTTCTAATTTATTAGAATTTGTAGAGATTCCAATTGTTAGTGACTTCATAAGGTGAACAACATAAATATCAATATTTGCATGCATGTTATTTTGATACTGTAGTAGATCCTTAATATACTTTTCATTAACTGATTATGACTGAGTTAAAAAAAAAAATACATCCATAGATACAAAAATCTCATCAGTTGAAGTGCAGTTTGTTATCACAATTTGATATGGTTTTCACATGATAATACAAATTATTGTAAACGCTACACACATTAAATGTATGTATCTATGATTTGCAATGTTACGATAGTCAATATTTTCATATTAAGTGAGAGAAGTAGTATAGTAGAAGTGTCCGACCAGTCCCAACCCAAGGCTTCAGCACAATAATAGTTATGTTAAAGATGGGTTCCCAGAAAAGTATTTATCGGGTGGTTATTTCCAATAAAATTATGGCAATTTTGGTATATATGGAAAGTAGAGATATCCAATCTTACTAGAAAAATACTGGATTCCCCGAAAAACACTTATGGAGCGTATACAGGACAAAAATGTAAGGGTTCCCCTAATCAACAGCCCGACGATTATGACCTTCTGAACGCACGATGTCAAAGGTCACAAGCGAACATTGAGCGCTTGATGTACAAGTTGATAAACTTAATGAAGAGTTAGACGTACAATACTTTCTGAGATAAAAATGATGGAAAAAGAGGCGGGTGGGGATAATCCGAGAATTTAATTAGGATTCGATATTTGTAATAAATAGTAAGCGATTAAAGACAACATCGTCTTATGTATGCAATGATTTCTCCTCTGACTCCCAAGACGTGACGTAAACATGACCTGGTTTGATCGAATTTTAATAGCAGGGCATTCCTTCGCAATTACAATGTTTGAGAAGGATTTGAAGCATAATTATGACAAATTAATTAGTTTGAATATGTTTTTGGTCCATATATACCATCAAATCACCCAGTTTGTATGCGGGCACCCATCTTTAAAGATGTTCTAATGATCAATAGGGGGTGAGAAAACAGGACTGTTTGAAGACAATTGATAAAATTGTATCTTTCAAGAAAAGTACTGAAGTAGATATGATGAGAGTTTAATTTAGTTGATGTGCTTGCTCTACATTACATTTTTGTATGCCCACATTTTTCGTTGCCCCTGTTCATCCTGACATCCGTTCACATTTTGTTTATGGACACTCTACAGGTCACAATTTTTATTCAATTTCGATGAAACTTGAAATACCATGTTTTTAGCTTGTGAACACTATAGAGGTCACAATTTTTATCCAATTTTAAAAAACTGTTCAAATATATCGCTGTTACACTCTTATGATGTTTGAGTTCGAATTTTGTCAAAATCGATTACGAACTGCCTGACAAAATGGCTACTCCTCGTACACAAATTATAGTGTAAACGTATGTAATACCAAAGTTTTCTTGTTGGACATTTTACCGAAAATAAGGGGTCCTTTAAACAGGCATATTCAGACCACAATTCAACAAAATATTCAAATTTGTACCTAATAAAAATAGGTGCACATCGTTATGTTTCATATTTAATTCCCAAACTCTATTCAAATTTATTTCAGTAATATTTCTACAAATTTAATTGTTGTCATAATAAGATAGAATGAAAGCATGCCGACTACTGCCAACCCGTACCTGTTTCAACGTCATGCCAGTAATATTCCTCCAAAATTTCTGTATGTTTGGGGGGTATAAGTCGATACTTTTTTCAGCCGAAGTCCGGCCTTCGTGTTATACTCTGCTTTGACTTGCATACGGATGATGGTAAAAAAAAAAAATGACATCCCGAAAATGTTTCTGTCATTAACAGTCGTTCCTCGATGCCGAATGAGTAACATCGACTCTCGCATGCACTATCGTCTAAAACAATTAACTACTTACACTATTACTGATAAATTATTTCTTGACATTTCTGGACTTGTTTATTTCTTTATTTAAAAACATAACCCCCATTCAAAATATTGTCATAAACCAGAGAATATGCCATCAAAATATAATCTTTTCTCCAACATTACTCTCATCAACATTGTCATGTTTCCATCTCTCGTAATTTCACGCGTCTTGTGAGATTTCTGCTTTAGTTTTGAGTTATTGTATTATAACTACGTGCGATTAGTAACCGAACCTGCATTGTGTAGTATTTATTGGATATATTTTGTTCATGGATCCTCTGGAGGTCGCAAATTTTATCCAATTTTGATGAAACTTGAAATCTGTGTTTACAACTCAAAGAGCTCAGGTTCCTTTCAATATTCGGGCATATCGAACTGTAACTATCTGGATTATGGTTCCTGATTGTACGAAAAATCGCTAGAGGTCACGATTTATATCCGATGTTGATGAAACTGAATATGTATGTCTATATCCCAAAGGTTCCTCTTCATATTGTCTCATGTCGTACCATAAAATCCTGAATTATGGCCTCTGATTGTACGACAAATCCCTTTTTTTTTAGCTTTTTCTCTGGCTATCTCTTGCAAAATGTGGGCGTATCTTGCATAGCAACCACTTGTTCATATCAGTTTTATGTGGTGATCAATGTTTCTACACAGTACTGAATATTAGTACGGTAGCTTGTTATGAAAGAATTTAAACAGTTACATACGATTTAACTACTATTTCGTGGGTCTCCAGAAACTCTTTAACCTGCCTTAAACTTGGGTGTATATCAAGTTCCATTGACCCCTATGTACGTGTAATCAAATCACCAGTTTAAACAGATTACTTAAGGCAATAAAACTAACATCTGAGAGTAATTTTAGCCATTAATACAATTTAGCATTAAAAACATTTTTGATGTCATCAAATTGGAAGTGCGATATTAGTGCTTTGATATACATGTAATATTAAATAAAAAAGTTTAAAAAAAAATGTACCACTTTTTTGAAAGATTGAAAAAGGTACATGTATCTACTTACTGTTGCTTGGTATTTCCTTTTTTTCTATTCCATTTTTATATGTTGGTAAATATTTACTATTACTCACAGTCTCCATGTCCGTGATCGGAACATTTAATACTGCTAATGGAATTTCTGGTTGTACTGTTACTTGGTATGATTTCATATTTTTCAATTTCCTGCTAAGTCACTTTTACACAAACACGTTTTAACATTTAAGAATTTTATGAATGTAAAATTGTTTCAGAAATAAAGTTTTACCGATAAGCTTTCTGAATATTTTTAGATCATCCATCCTATGTGGTGTAAAATAAAAGTACAATCCATTGTAATAAGTTATGAGATCTATGTGATTGAACTGAAAAGATAAATATTCATACACAACATATAATCATTTTGTCATAGTAGAAATACCTTATCTATAGATAAGATATTTTCGTCCGATAAACCGTGTAAATGTTACAGATAAAGTAGATTGTAAGAAATTGAAGGAGAAACTGAATTTTATAAATTTTTAAATTCTGTTAAATGGGTATGTGATTCAAAAAAAAAGAATACAAAAGTGTAACGAAATATATTTGGAAGTGGCATCAGATATTGTAGAAAGAGAAAGCATTACACCACCTGCCATCACCTACATGTGCATTTATAAACAAACTTATCAAAGCCGAAGCTATTTTTAATAGGTAACATTGGTGCCAAAGGCCAATAGCAGAACTTTTAAGTTCACTATTTTACAAGTTCACTTGTGTTAGATGTGATGTTTTTATCAGATTTGTTGTCATTGTTGTCTGATTTGGAACAAAAGTTTTATGATATTGAGAAATATTATAGTGTTTGTATTATGTTATTTTGTTTACTTCAGAAAATAATTGGACCGGAAGCAGAAAGGAATTATTTCGAGTCTCAGCTGATTATTTTAGACACTCTTAAAGATGTTCTCAATTCTGTAAGTTGATCTTTCAGTTTTAAAAAGGCATTTTAACTCTCACCATGGAAATAGATGTATCACAATTAATTTTAGACTAACCCTATTCTCACCTAATTACCCATAATTTAACCACTTGCCTACTAAGAGAATGGTATTTTGTGCGTATTTGTAAATTGATAGTTCAAGTTAAAAACCGTATCTGGTACAGCAGCTTTGTCTCAAACTTTTATTTGCAATGAATGTTCAACATGCATAATATAACTGTATGGACATATCAAGAGAAAACCACAAACCTTTGAAACAATAATGTCCCTTTAAATTAGGAATATAGCTCAATTATAATTTATTTCCTTTCCCCTTATTATTTGTTTAGTTGTATAGCCTCAAGTACTTCGATCTGAACAATTTCCCTATTTCTATAGATTAAGGCTAAATCAGTGCCCAATCCACCCGATGTTGCAAAATGCTTATTTCTTTACAAATTTTATAAGAATTCTGAGTGAGTAACTTGTATAGTTCCTTTGTGATATTTGAAACATTATCCTTTGTTTATCATTGCATATTCTGTACATATCTATTAGAAAGGTCTGTATCTAGGTAATTGCTCCCCATATTGTCTTTCAATTTAGCCAAATTAATATATCAAGATATAATTATAATGAATTTATTTTGAACAGCAACCAAAAGATACCTCAAGATATGATGAAGCCATGTATGTTAAATTGTTGTTACCAGAAATTTGCAAGGTATTAAAACATTGATTGTTTCATTGTTGTTAGTGTTATTTTTTTAACTCGTAGAATTTCTTAGTAATTAAGTAATTTCCAATTTATAAAGAGAAGCCAGGAAAACATTGCTTTCCATGTTCTAATCTACATTCAATTTGTAGCCAATCTATAATGAAATGTTAAATATTAGTAATGTAGGTAAATGTTGTATAAATCCTAAATATATGTACTTGAGAGAAATAATTTATAAATTCATAAAGGTTTATTCATTTCAGTTTTTGAACCACCCAATGGAAAATTGTTTACTAGTCAGTCAACTGAAGAACTTAGCATCTGAAGTTCTATTTGCTCTTAGTTTAAATAATTTTACCGCCGTTTTTAACCGTATCTCAGCACGGTAAGTACGCTGTGTCGATCTGCATGATCAGATGTGCAGATTAAAAACCCATGTGTTTGTATACCAGTATAGAATTTGAATCAGATCATGTTAATGTGTAATTTTGAACGTTTGCTACATTGAAAAATGTTTAACTGTTTTTTGACTTCAGCACTCATTCGTCTATTCAAGTCTACTCTCTCTGTCTGCAACAGTTTTTGATCCAACAGATACAGATATCTATCAACTGGCACTTACTTTGTTACTCTTTCAAAGAGGTATTGTCGACTCCCACCCGTATTATAGGATTTATCGCCTTCATATCAGGAACTGATAATAGTGGCTTAGCTTTCAGTCAGGTATGCTCAGGAGATGGCTTCACAATATCATGTGCCCTGGAATCTGCATCTGCTTGACATTGGAAAGCCAATCAAATTACACAATCGGTTGTAGGTCAAAATATTTTTTATTTTTGTGACATTGTGTAATATTTAATGTACTGGCTGTTAGGCTAAGAATTTTTGTGGCGAATTGGAATGGAGAAACAAGAAGACTGTATATCATAAAATATTCTGAAAGCCAAAATAAAAGCACAAATAAAATTATTTTAGAGTTAGTTGTTAAATATAGTGTTAAAAAGTGTTAATATATTCCAGATTAACAGCCCTAACTAATCCCAGTGATGACCCTTCTGACCTCTCGGATCTTGAACTGATCCAACATATGAATATGGATATTGTACGTCTTACAAAATTACTGAATGGTAAGTCATTAATGAGTACATAATTTGCTGCTAGTCATCTTGGCTTGTAAATTTTATCTCATGAAAATGACTGATGAAATATTTCGTTTTGATTAAGGCAGGACACTACCTTATAAAACACTCTGTATAGATTGATCTGTCAAATTTTGATATCAGCTAAAATTGCCCAAAATAGTTAAAATTTGTTGATTTTTCAAGTCGTGTCCAGCCTTTATATTATATAGTGTTAAATATTTAGTCATTTGTATAGGTAATTCAAATTTTTAACTTTTAACTTGCTTTTTTCCGTACTCAATTTTTCACCCATATCAGGTCTTAGAAAATCGAATTCTCAAAATCTACAAGAGATAATGGTCTCATCTTTGGAATACGTTTAGTGCTATAGCTACTGTTTGCAATAAGGTGATTTTCAAAGTGTTTGTTATACATTTGGACATTTTATTGTACAAAATCCTTTTAGTGGTGTGTTCGGCCACACCCACTTGTTTTATGTGGGATGCATAATGTTCTTTATTAATATTCAAATAGTAAAATTTATGCCTTATTGCACTCTTTAATGCCTATATATGTTATTCCAAATCACAAATAGTTTGTTTCAATAAAATTGTTGAAGATTTTGATTTCCTAACATAGCCACCGTGAATATATAAAAAAATCCAATATGGCCACCATTTCCATGACAACAAATAAACATTTTGCGCTCAAATTATCAAATCTGATTTGGGACATCATATACTAATATTACACTAAATGGCAAGTTTCTGTTATCAATGTAAAATTCTTAGGTAGTGTCCTGCCTTAATTAAAATGACCCTATAGATAGATATGCCAGGAAAGGTCCAAAACATCAAAATAGAATTACATTTTCTTGTATTTAACATTTTGAGTGAATTTTGTTTGCAGAAGTTGTATCTAAGTTCAGAAATCTTAAATCAAAACCAGTAGCTATTACTCTGAGCCAAAATCTTGAAAAGGTTGGTATTTTTTTTTATCAAAATATGCCCTTCCCTCACTATTTTATTGTATTTCTTTGACAGTAGGATTAGTATATGTTCCACTAAATACATGCATGACCAGGTTTATTTAAAGGAGCTAAATCGCTAACATTTGGGACCTAGAAATTGACACAAGTGGGTCGGAACTCATATAATACTGTAATATGAATGTATATAAACTGATATACATTCAATGGTTTCCGTTTTTACTCTAAATTCAAATCAGTTATGTTCCGCGAAATAAGCCAGCAGTCTCAATCGAATGCAAATTTCTAGCGTCTGGTTATTCCAGTCTACATACGCCGTTTGGTTTGGTGCAATATGTCTAGCCTCGTTCCTCGAGTCTCTTGCTAGAACTGGGGCTGAAACGCATTATGGTACACGATTCGTGTACCAATGGTAAAATGTTTATTTTGTCTTAAATATTGGATATCAGAAGCCCATCTTTTCCCGGTAAGATCACAGCATAAATGTTGATTTAAATTGACAAATAATTTGTGTTTTCAATGTTGAAGATTTTGGATAATATTGAGTTAGAGACTTAGCTACTTTAAGGTGAATCCACACATTGAATAGAGTAGTCATATACACATCTTCAGTCCATGAAACTACATATAAATAAATGGCTCATTTATTAATCTGGAAGCAACAGAAGGAACTTCAAGGCCATTGCCCAAACAAAAAGTGGAAAGGGTATCTGACTATTGTGTATTTTACTATTTTGTGTACAAATAGGAAGATTCTGCGGTTTCATTCATATCTGATCTTATGGTTGTGTTTTTTCAGGCTATTTGGAATTGGATGGACAACTATCCATCAGAATTTACAGAGCTACAGAAAAAACCAAATGATGAACTACAGGATTGCTGTGATAAACTGTTTGAACATTTTAATAATGTTGAAGGTTCAGCTCGAAGAAAGGCTTCTATATGGCCATTACAAATGATGCTTTTAATACTGTGTCCTGTAAGATTTTCCTTTTTTTGATAGTAGTTTATAGAATTCCATGACATTTGGACATTATGTAATCATTAAATAACATTCACAATAAGAAATCCTTTTACAGATTTAACGGTAATTAAATGAGTAACATGTCAGGTGAATAATATTATATTTAAAATTATTTAAATCTTAGTCTTAAAGAAAATGACTGAGGTGACGAATACTGAGTTAACAGCATTTGATAATAGATAATTCCAAACTGCTCTGGACTCAATTAGCTTTTATAATATTCTCATGTAGCTTTTTGTTAATACTTTATTTTTCTTTCTGCCTTGTAGTAAAATTTGATGACAATGAAATGTTTTATTAATTCAGAAAATTTTAGAAGAAATCAATAATGCAGATACAGGGGCTCCATGCTCCCAGCAGCATATGAAAAAGGTAGGTTAGTTGTTTGTATGGATTTTTAAGATGGTGTATGTAGACTTCGATGGCCTTGTAGACCAGTGCTTAATCAGATTTAACCAGACAGACAAATTTAATCATGATCATGTATATTCAGGAAGTAAACAAAAGGGGCAGAGAACTCTGTCAGTATTCTCAAGAGCAAGCAAGATGAATTAGGATGAACTCTACTCTTGAGAAATCAATGGGTCTGATTCATTATATGATCTTCAGATGCTACTGCATATATCTCTAAAATCAGTGGTTTTCTTGTCAGTCTGCAAGGAGTCACTGGTTTATAAACATGGGAACATTGCTCAAAATTTCAAAGACATTCTATTTCTGGCATTGTTGTTTATTGCTGGTTTCTTGTTAAATTGAACAGCTATAGAATTTACATTTTTATTAGCCCACATTGAAATGTGGTCGTATATTGTCGTCACCCCCCTCCGTCCGTCTGTCCGTCGGATAGTCTGTCCATCTGGTGTACACAATTGCTTGTGGACGCTCTAGAGGCTAAAGTTAATATCTATTGATAAAGCCTATTGAGTTTCAATGATTTCTGATAATTACTGCCAGAGTTATGGCCCTTGATCACTTTGAAAAATCTTTTGGATGCTTTAGAGACCATAGCTATCATCTGATTGATTTTATATTTATACACCATGTTTACACCCATATATAATCGTTTCTATTGACTTTAGATTGATACATACAGTTCAAGGTCTTTAGACGAACAAGTATATTGATTTTCAATGTTTTTTGAACTTGAACAGCTAAACCATGATATTAAATGTTTTGTATACTAAACATTAGCATGGGCCAAACAAATTCTAATGATTTTTTGATAATTATGAATTGTTTCTCTTAATCAGAGTTTAGTGTATTAAAAATATTTCATTACCAACAAAAGTAAAAATATGCAGCAACTCTTGTTGAGTGCCCGGACAGTTTAGCGGATGTGGATGTATGTTTTGTTGCTTGGCAACCTATCTTATAATATTGTATTGAAAAACTAATACTTCAAATAATATTTTTCATTTCTGCCTTAACCACTCCACAAAGTACGTCATCTATTTTCATTGTTTGAAAACCACTGCATTCGAAGAATCATAGCATTGTATGTATCTATAAGATATAGACTTAACCAGTTTGTGTGAACTTAATATAAACTTGGCAAACACTGATGCCCATTTCTGCCACCTTTGCATAGACTTTTGTCCTTGTTCAGTCACACTTCCACCATTCATGATGTCAGTTAATGTTAATTTAATGACAATGGTGGACCATGCTTTTATTTTTTAATTCTTTATTTATTAATTTTTATAACAGAAACAATTTATAGATGAAGTAAAGAAAGCTATAGGATCACATCATGGGAGTTATAAAACTTTAGCAGAAGGAGCAGCTGTAACTTGTGTTAGATTGTGCAAAGCTTCAACCTATATCAGCATTAATGACAGACTTAATGTTCTCTTTACTCTTGTACAATCTGTGATACAAGACTTAAAGGTAATATTCTATATAGAAATTGTGATAAACACAGCAAAACTTTTCCCCATATTCAAATGAATAATTAAAGAGGAATTATTGGAGATTAGATGGGAGATTATACAATGTTGCTATAATGTTTAACAAATAGATAACATAGATACAATATGCTGAAAAAAATATTAGCTTTTGAATTTTAGGCTAGCCTCGATCATGTTTACTAAAGTCGGTACGGTAAACAACAAAGTCTCAATTATCCATTTTGATGTTAAATCATCCATCACAGGATGTATTCAAACCTAATAAATATTGCAGGCTAGCGATGCCATCGAGATTTGATTATGGTCTGGATAAGTTAATTAATGTCTATTGTCTAATTATCCCGCACAGAACAAAGTTAGGGAGGGATATTGAAATGGGTTCCGTCCGGTCGTCTGTCCCGATTTTGTTTATCTTATAAACCGTTCAAGATATCTTTTTGAAACTTTGTACACACATTAACTTGTTATAGTATTTGTGCCTTTTGCTATTTAGGAATTTCTGGGATTTATGTGTTTTGTGTTTCCATGGTAACAAATTTGAATTAGTTTTTGGTGTACAATTTTGTTTCTGGAGCATATCTCATAAACCGTTCATGATATCTTTTTGAAACTTTATACACACATCAACCTATTACAGTAGTTAGGAATTTCTTGGATTTATATTTTTTGTGTTTCCATGGAAACACATTTGACTTAGTTTTTGGTGCATAATTTTGTTTCTGAAGTATATCTCATAAACCATTCAGATATCTTCATAAAACTTTGTACAAACATTAACCTATTATATTAGTTGTGCCTTTTGCTAATTAGAAAAATTATTTGTGTCAATTACACTGTACTATTATTCACAATTTGTTTGCTTTGTTTTCAGACATTGCTGTTTAACCCACCACCAAATAGTAAACCATTTACAAAATCGCAGAGTCTTGTTGGCCAGGATTATGATTTATATATTGATTGTTTTGTGTCTTGTTTCCGTATAACGCCTCATAATAACGATGTTTTAAAAGTTTGTATTAATGGTAATTCTCCACCACTATATCATTATGTCCTGGTTAACGCTCTACATAGGATAATTACACAGGTAAGTGTAGAGAATGTTATTATCAATCTATCAGTACTGTTTAATAGCTCTTGATCAGTGCTCTCAATTTGATCATATTTGACAGACTTCATTGGCTGGCAATGGAATTGACTGTAGAATTTCCTTCTCATGAGATTATTCTGTGAGTACCCCCTGCCCTCAGAATCTGTTGTACATTTAAGTCTCTCCTTTTTTCCCATGTCTGCTCACAATCATGTTTATCAACATATACAGCACTCCCTAATGAAAAGAGGTCAGACATGATAAATAGATTTATAAATTGAAATGATACTATGAATTGTCATATTTTTTTTTTACAGCCCCAGTTACCATGGTGGCCAAATATAACATTGATATATGGTAAAGCTGGTGAATTACGCTATATGTTTACAGATACAGTTAATAAAGTAACACAGGGCTTTAGTAATCATTGTCAAAAAATGTCAAATGTAAGTGTAAGTATTTATCCCTTGACAGGGATTTTATGACAGGTTGTAGGATCTTTCTTTATATCTCATTTATTCAATTATTAATCAATATTTATATAATTATGACCTGAATCAAATTTTTCATTGTCAATATTCATTAATTTCATTTTGTTGACTCATAGTTTTAGACTCACCAATTTATTTAACATTTATAAGTTTGATATGAATCAAATATAACATTATAAACATTCATACATTCACTTCATTCACTCATAGTTTTAGACTCACAAATTTATTCAACATTTATAATTATAAACTTATAAAATATAACTTTATAAACTCACCAATTTGGATTCTTTTTTAATTCTATTATTAAAGGCTGGACGAAAAATAACAACTTTATCAGTGTGTTAAATTATTATTTTTATATTTTTCTTCTTCTACTAATGTAGAATTTGAATTTCTAAATTTATTACTGTCATATCTGATTTGAAGTATGTATATCTTTACAAGAATACTATTTCAGGCCCTACGAGGAAAAATACTTGCAAACTATGTTAGTTTATTTTCAAATACAAGTGAAATCATTGTCACATTTATTTAAAATCATGAATGAATATTCAAGTATAAATACAATATCTTTTTATAGCAAATAACAAAAGTTACAAGCTCATTTAAAATGACGAAGACAGCAGATGAAACATTAAGTAATTATAAACATATCTTATTATGGATTGTTAAACTTATCCATGCTGATCCATATCTTATGTTACATGTAAGTATATTCATTTTCTATTAAATATTTTATTGTCTCTTGGTCTTAATAAAGAATATGCCTAGTGTCGTGATAATCTCATATTGCCACCAAACATTATTGTGTTTAACATGTTTGATGTTTTTACAAGTATTCGTACATAATTGCAGTGCTTATAAAGCCTTTAAAAATTTGTGTCAAATATGAGAGTAACCAATGACTACTTGAGGTTATGAATTACATGGTTTTATTTTTAATAGTATCTTCCCGCTTTTAACAGAATTGATCTGTGATAGAAAAAATTGCAGTCATATAAGGCAGCTAATAATCAGCCAGATAATTGCCATTTGATATTTACTACATAATCAATGTTGTCTTTAATTTCAGAATCAAGGGAAGCCAGGGCATGAAATCCAAAGAAGTACTTTAGAATTAATCACTGGTCTAGTCTCATTAGTACATCAGCCATGGATGACAGATGTAGCACAGAAAGCTATGAAGGTAAATTATATCAGTCATCTTAATACTGGTTAATAAAACTATTTTAAGTCTTGTCATTAGAATCCATTATGTCTAAATTTGTATATACTCTTAACGCTAAAATAAACAAAAAGCCTTGTGTAGACTTTTTACAATACTTTTCTTCTTTTCTAAATCCTAGCTTTATCGTACTATGTAAAGTAGTGTAACTTTTGTTATTCAAATTTGTTAGCAGCACCTGAAGTTGCATGTTGTGCTATTGATATTAAATAACCATGTCCAATGTCTGTTATTTATTTAGACTATATAACATGTTTATTCAATTTATTTTTCTAGGCTTTGTTATGTCTCCATCGACCAGAAAATATTGAATTATGGAATCCAGAAGCTCCAATGAATACATTTTGGGACATTAGGTATTTAAGATAATCAATTTAACTAGAATAATGTATTAATTAAAATGAGCAGATCCCCTCAAAAGAATATGTTCTGAAAACAGACATGTAAGACAGGTGACGTATAGTATTTCCACCAAGGAAAATAGTTTGCTTCATGTCAGGTCTGAGTGTTTTTACTGTCAATATTCCTGAAAGAATATTTTATGAAGTTATTCTAAAAATTGACTGTGGAAAAGTGCATATCTGGTTGTTTTGCATTTATGTTGGCAAAGATTTGCTTGATAAGATCATATACTGAAGTCCAAAAGAAAGTATACACTGTTCATTTCGTCCTGTTTCAAACAAAGTCGTTTTTCCATTGTATGCGGTATTTGGGTACAATGTCCATTTGTTTTGCCGTTTATTTGCTTAGAAATAGTGAGTTTGGACGCACGAGACGTGTTCAGTGTAGTTTTATCACATTTTTTTGATTTAACAAAACTTAGTCATATTTTTAGTGTGTATACTTACTTTTGGACTTCAGTATATTATATGATTTTAGATGGAGATATTTACAGAAAATCTTCTTTTTTGACAAAACAAATTTTAAAACTTGCTTCAAAGCTTAGTTTTGATCGGTAGAAAAGAGGATTATTATTTTAGATATAAAACAAAAAAGAACCCCACTTAGATTCAAGGTTTATCCCAAAACACATTAGTTTTTGTATATTGATTCAGCATGTTTTATTCTGTATTTCAGTTCCCAAGTTTTATTTTACATCAGTCAAAGATTAATACAGCACCAAATAGTTAATTATACAGATATATTAAAGTGGTTACGAGATATTTTAGTTTGTAGGAATAGGTTTTTACAGAAATATAGTACTATAGCTAATATTGGTAGTAATATAGCTATCTGTATACAAGCCCATATTAAACTAGAGGTGACTATATTTATATTGTTTTCTTTCAAGTACTGTTTTATACTGATGATAAGCACAAAATGACGAAGTATTAACAACATTCAGGGGAGCGAACAGTGATTTTTATTACTCTTTTTAGAAAAGAAAAAACAGAAATAAGTTTGAATTGACATTATTTGTTTTTCATATGTCAGTATTATTAAATAGATTTTAAGTTTCTGTTTTTAAAAGTTAAAAGACTAATTAAAAGGAATAATGCTGTATCCTCACATTGTTACATGCACTATGTTGTGTGGATGATTTACTGGTCATCTGCTGGTCTTGGTTGTCATTTGACAAAGGCTCATACTCCGAGAGAATGTTGTCAACTTATAAATTATCTCCATTATCTTTTTTATGTTTCTTTTATTTCAGGTTGTGTTTTTTATGTATTTATGGAGTTTTGAGATTGATGCAGTTTTAACGGCTATGTCGTGTTTTCGTTTATTGTGTGAAGAAGCTGATATTCGGTGTGGATCGGATGAAATGGCTGTTACACAGTTATTACCTAATTATAATGTTTATTCTGAGTTAGCCGCTGCTAGTACTGTCTTAACTACAGGTAAGTCTTGGTTGATCCAGGGAGACAGGGGCAATTCCATGGAAATTACTGTGGAAGGGGAAGACTAGAAGTGGAATTAATTGCGAGAGTCTTCCAGGTTGAGATCCAGCCTACTTTAGAATGCTTTTATTGTATGATTTGGCGATTAAAACAGTAACAAACATTTCATAGTTTCTAAAATTTTAGAAAACTGATACTTGATTGCCAAAGGAGCAGATGTTCCCTTTATTTTATTATTTCACAATGAAGCAGCTTAAGGTGACCAAAATTCTTCCCGATTATATCAACAAAACAGATGAAAATTATTCTTTCAATTAGATTTACACTAAAATAATATTATTTACAAGCATAGTATATAAAACAGACAAATATAATAGAAATAGCCATATTTTATCATAAATTTCTATAAAATATTCCTAAAAAATGCCACTCATCATGTTTTAAGGTCGAGCAGCCCTACAGAAAAGAATAATGGCATTATTAAGAAAAATTGAGGTATCAACACCAGGTAATTCACAGGCATGGGAAGATACTTACAGAAACTGGGAAAATGTAACAAGAAACATAGAATCTTCACCCAAAAAGTTTGAGGATGGTGGAAGAGAAATAGCTGAAATGATGCGACTAAAACGTAAACCACCTCACCATGCTAATACTGAACATGAACTAGAGGTAGGCTTTTATATACTTCTTAAAAGACTCAATTGTTTGTTGACTATAGAATTAAGAGTATAGTAATAAAAAAAAGTATAGTGAATTATCCACGTTTTCCCATGATTTATTCAAAGATTGAATGAAATGTATGACCTATTTACAGGATCAGTTGAATGAGTGGGCCAATATGACTGGTTTTCTGTGTGCCTTAGGTAGTGTCAGATTATCAAATAAAACATCAAAAACCAGGTTCGACAATTTTATTTTTAATTTTCTATTTTATAAATCTGTGCCATTATCTCTGAAAGCCAGATATTATTAAATTTATCATATCCACTAATATTAATTGTTATGCAGATAATTTTTTTCACTCCAGTCTTTTTTGTACACATATTTCTTTCATTAATTAAAAACTGAAAGTTTACTCTAGAAATACGACAATTGCTTTTATTTACATTTTGTTATAAAGTCAATTGCAGAATAATAATTTGATTTTTTTTTTTCTTTCAGTAACTCTAATGCTACTGGTATACCATTTGAGTCTGGTAGAAAGAGTAGTATCATGCAGACAGTAACTACAGAACAATATTGTCCAGTCACTCAGTAAGTAAAAAATAATTTTAGGTATTTTTTGTAAAATCTACTTGTATTCATTTAGTTCAATATCTTAACTAAAGATATTATCCTATAGATAAACCAAATAAATAACATGAATAAATTTGTAAATATTTACAGGTTTATTGGATATCTTCTCAAGTTGTTAGTATTCCAAAATGAAAAGATTGGAGCCCAGATACAGAAACATGTAAAGGAATTAGTTGGACATGAATTAAATCCTGCATTATATCCAATATTATTTGATCAAACTAAAGTCTGTGTTGATAAATATTTTGATTCAGGTGGACAGGTAAGTTGATTGAATGTATACTTGATTTGTTTTGAATTTTTGTTTTTAATAATTTAAGCAAGACTGTATCGTTTGTGTTATTATTTTCTGTAGGATTTTTAAATATTTGTTTTCAGAAGACCTGTTTATGTCTCCAAGCACTAATGGCTAGAGATAATTTCAGACAAAATAAAATTAAGTGATGTTATTTACTACACTGGAACCTGCGTATAATGGCTAGAGACTAAATAAGATTAAGTGATGTTATTTACTACACTGGAACCTGCGTATAATGGCTAGAGACTAAATAATATTAAGTAATGTTATTTACTACACTGGAACCTGCGTATAAATAAAATATAGTCAGTCAATAAATACAAGCTGAGCTGGGTTTGAACACTTAATGGCTGTGTTAGGTGTTAAGGAGTACCTCTAATGGAAATACATTGGGATACCACCATCAATATTTGTGTATATTCCACTTGTCAGTATTTCATACCTGAAAGGCTGAAAGGTATTGGCAGCCAGTATACACTGTGCAAGATTTATTTGTAGATTTGTATCATATTTATATTACAGGTTATTGTAATGTAGATGAACAACCATTTTATAGAAAATATCATATTTATAGATGAAAACACAGTGTATAGAGAATATTATATTTATATTACAGGTTATTACAGAGATGAACACCCAGTGTATAGAAAATATTATATTCATATTACAGGTTATTATGAAAGATAACGGAGATGAACACCCAGTGTATAGAGAACATTATATTTATATTACAGGTTATTGTAACAGAGATGAACACCCAGTGTATAGAAAATATTATATTTATATTAAAAAATATATTAGAGATGAAAGGCGATCAACCATGTGAATATCTGGGTGTAACTAGTATAGAATCACTTATGTTGGCTATAGTAAGGTACAGAAATACATTTTGAATCTTTACAATATCTATATGCACAAAAATGTTTCATGTGGACTAATGTTTTGTTAACTGGCAACTTTTCTTTCACTGACATGTGAGCCTTGCAGATCTTGAATTAAATAACTACTTTACTATCTGTACATTGTGGGATTTTCTTAGTCGTGTGGTTAATAATGACCTTTTTCGAATGTGATAATCTGAAAACAACCTTCAGATTTTTCTATTAGATGTAAGCTGGCAAGGATATGTGGTTCTCCAAAACAATTGACTGTCCTGGAAAAATTGTCCTCTGTTTCTTCATTTGAATTATAGACAACAATTGTACTCAATTCAATTTTTAACCATGTCAAGTTGAAATTTTAAACCGTGTTTGACATTTAATTGTAGATATGTGAGAAATTTAGATTCATCAGTGCACGCCATACAGATTAAAACTAAACTCTGCCAGTTAGTAGAAGTTGTAAGTATTGACTATTTACCGATTATCTTATTTCATATCTAGAGGTTAAAATTTGTCTTAATTAGACAAATTTTGGAGAATACATTTTTCCACTATTTTTTTTGTACAATAGATGATGCAGAGGAGAGATGAATTGACATTCAGACAGGAGATGAAGTTTAGAAATAAATTGGTAGAATATTTAACAGATTGGATTATGGGTAATTCACATCAAGTTAATATACAGGGTGATATCTGTAGTATGTCCAGGTATGTCAATAAAGTTTATAGAAATAAGTGAAATGAAATGTGGTTTAGCATCCTACTTTTCTGCACCAACTTGGTTAATAAAAACTAGCATACAGTGAGATATTGGTGAAATTTTGCCCAGACAGTGGCACTACAGCCTACACTAATTTCAAATTCTAAATTTCAAGGGTTCTTTTATGTGCACACCACAGGTTTCCCCATCCCATCGGAACAACTAGATGTTGTCCTTGCAAAGCTCTCAATCCTGCACCACTGACAAGGAGAAACATGCTGGAAAATCCTGTGGAACTTTCTAGGCTAACAACTGGATGGAACCCCCTAAAAGCCTGGTTAGTGACCCAGCATGGCTCCCTTGTTAAAATAAACTCATTATCAGCTATCATATTATGTCCGCCACCTGATGAGATGGTTGATATGTTTTATTAATTTTCGTCATTGCTTTAACTAATTGGAACAGGGTTCTTGTTAAGGTACCTCAAACATAGGCGTGCGAGCTGGGGGGACGGCCGCCCCCCATTTTGGGCACCAAATGCTGGGAAAATTTGGGCACACAATTGTAATTTGTAAAAGTTGTATAAAAAAATATTGCGTTCTTGAATGTGTCCAAATTAACAGCAAATTTATTATTATTATGTAACATACTAAGAACCTAACTACATTTTTTGGGCACCAACCACCACCGCCCCCCCAGTCAAATTGTCTGTGTATATATTTATAGAGATTTAGATCAAGCTAGTATGGAAGCTGTAGCTGCATTGTTAGCAGGTCTACCATTACAACCAGAAGAAAGTGATAGAGGTGATCTCATGGAGGCTAAATCACAACTTTTCTTAAAGTAAGTACAACAGTTTTATAACATTGTAAGGTATGCGTATTATGACATGGACAAAATTAATATATTTAAAGTTGTTTTCAATAAAGTGATGAAATACCAATCCCGATTTTAGAAGGAAAAATAAACAGCTTTCTTTGTAAATGTTTAGAATATTTATTGATGATTTTCTATATTTTGAATGTGTTAGATTATAATTGTGCAATAATCTATTTCAGGTATCTGACATTATTTATGAATCTACTAAATGATTGTTCAGAAGAGGAACAAGATAAAGCTTTAGATCCAAATAGAAAAAGAAGCATGTCTAACTTAAGTGTATTAAGAAATTGTACTGTTCAGGCTATGTCTAATCTACTCAATGCTAATATAGATAGTGGTCTCATGCATTCTATAGGTAGGTATCATAATAAAACACTTAAAGATACATTATGGGACATTCGATAACAAGTTGGCAGTTCTCACTATAATAGTTAAAAACTAGATAATGTAAAGGCAATTTGCTGAAAATTCCATTTAAATTGATCCACTATGAACCGAGAATTAAGCGGTTGAAATTTCCGGCTAGCCTTGATCATCATTACTAAAGTCAGTACGATAAACAGCATAGTCTCGATTATCCATTTAATCATTAAATCGAGAAGGAAAGTTATGCAGTAAATCGGCTCATAATCCACTAAAGATCGCAGGCTAACGATGCCATCTAGAACTGATTATGGTCTGGATAGGTTAATTAATGTCTAATTAATAATTTAGATAACATATCAGGCCTAAAGAAAGACCTGAAATAGGCAGATTTAGCTCTTGCATAATGTATGTTTAAATATTTACCAAGACTTTGCAATAATGCAGACTTTGGTTGTAACATGGGGGTGCCGTTGCTCTGAGAAATTTTGCTTTTGATATATCGATTGACAGGAATACTGTATAATTAATGATGCTAATTTTACCAAAGTTCTGCAATCTTTATATTTACAGCCTTGGGATATCACAAAGATCCCCAGACACGAGCAGCTTTCATGGAAGTTTTAACCAAGATTTTACAACAAGGAACAGAGTTTGAAACATTAGCAGAAACCGCATTAGCCGATAGATTTGAAAGATTAGTGGAGTTAGTTACAATGATAGGAGATAAAGGAGAATTGCCAATTGCAATGGCTTTAGCTACTGTAGTTTCTAATTCACAAATGGTATGTAGAAATAAAGTTCTCAAATATTTAGCAAAGTGTCAGTAATTGCTAAACAGAACAGCATTATTTCTTTAGCTCAAAGAAATACGTATATTATGAGATACAAATAAATCTGTCAGATAATTGGCTGTTTTAGTATAAACTAAAAAAAAGTCTATTTCTACAACTCAAAGAAATATGTATGATAAACATAAAAATCTACGCGAGATAAATAGCTTTCTCATTATAAACTAAAAAACTTGATGCTCTTTAGATATATATATAATTTCAAATCAAACTTGAACAAAAAAATTCCTTTCAATACAGTGTGTGTGTTTGTGTGATGATCTTTTACATTCATCATATTAGGCTACACAAAATAAATGTCTTGTTTCTCGGGCAACTGACAGCTGAAACTGTAGGGGGGGAGGGCGGTTTATTTTTTTTTTTACCTCATTTCTGGCTAGAGGATGGTGCAAAATAAAATTTGGCTATTGTTGAAAATTGTTGGGGCGGGAGGGCGGCCTTGTATTTTTTTATTTTTTTTTAATGAGAAAGTCATTACTTGTCTACGGTTTTGCTTTCAGTTATATATTAAACATACTTAGAACATAAACCCAAAAATCAAGTCTACTCAAACACTGTACACTGACTGAAAGGAAAATATTTTTCCATATTTAATTCACGTATTGTACTAGCTTACTAATGGTAATGGTGACAACCATAATTGAAATTGGTTTAAAATAAAATTCCGTACGACTATTAATAGCCGCCCATAATAACGACAATATTTTAAAGAGTAAGCTTCTGACAGCATGTGTATCAAAAATAATCATCACGATAAACGACACTTCGATCTAAATCTAGTATCGCTGGTTTATAATGATTGACCTAATTCCAACCAATGCATGTCACATGTCATCGGGATTCGGGAAATGACTGTTTCTCAGGTTATTCGGTGTGTTTCTCAGGATATTCGGTGTTCTATCTGGGGTTTATATCGAATGACTATTTAAATTTAACTAACAACTCGTCAGTAAAACCATCAAATGTGTAATCCAATAATTATTTTCCGGATTATCAAAACTACCGTTAAATGTGCTAATGACCCAGATTCTGACTAAGGTATGGTGACTATCATCGTATCGTATTCGTAGCCACAAGTTATAATAATTAACCTGTTCTACGATTCATTGTTTTATAAGTAGGATTTTTTCAAACATGGACCGACTGAAGCCGGCAATAATGAGCCGATTAAGATCGAATGATTGAAATACATTGCATTGTTGTCAATGACTTTCGGTGTTTAACACGAATCAAATTCTAGTTCACAAGGGGAGGTAATTAAAATCACGTGATACAAAAATGGAGGTTCTTTCGATATCAATAAAAAAGACCCGTAAATGAGCGTTTACATCTGAATCAGTTTAATACAATTGAATGGATATTCACGTATGGGGCATGTAGATACATGCGGCATATATTTTTTATGACTTGCTTATCGATGTTCGGGCGGGCGTTACATATTTTTTATTTTTCATCAAGCCTAATAAATAGGCCGCACGCGCAACCAATTTTGCGTGCGGGCGGTGCCCGAGAAACAACTTATTTTATTTGTGTTGCCTTAGTTTTGTCATTTTTCATGGAAAATGGATTTTTTTGAAAATGAGAGCCTGGGAAGACATTCTATTTGAGGATAGCTTTGATATATATATATATATATATATATATATTTTTTATTTACAGGATGAGTTAGCTCGTGTGTTTGTGAATTTGTTTGATGCTAAAAGACTTCTGTATCAGTTGCTGTGGAATATGTTTATGAAAGAGGCAAGTTATTACATAAATTCGAGTCATTTTTCATTCATTGGCTATTCGAGTGATATCTTCAATTTCCAGACTTATTTCAGTAGGTTATAACCAATGTTCAAAATTGAATGAAATTGATTCGGTAGTTACTTTGAAAATTTCATTCTATAAAAATGTACTGGACTAGAATATTTCACTTATTGTTGTGTTGGGATCACTACCTTCTAGATGCCTTCTATATATCAGCACGTGGATGGACGGTCATATTCATATCTCAAACCCCCCTATATATTAACACAAGACATGTTCGTACTTCAACAAGCACACTCCGGAGTATGTGTCTGTTTTTATTAACTTCAATCTATATATTACAGTGAAGAGTCGACAGGGGCAGATAACTCCCGTCTCGCATGACTTATATGGACACAGATCACTAAAGATTTCCCCATTGACTCCAATGTTAATTCTCGTATCTTAGACCGGCTCTAACTTTTTCCCAAATTTTCGTTGGGTAGAACGCTTTCTACCACAGATGGAGCAACAGGTGGCAACCACTTGCCCAAAAGCACGTATGAGGTTCTTCATGAAAAACTTGAGATACACAAGCTGGAAGTAGAGACAAGTAAACATGCAATTTCAGGCCCTACATTTCAACCTAACCAACCTCTCAACTCTTGTAACCTTCCGCATCAAAATTATGAATATTCACCAAAACCTGGCAGAAAATGTATTTTCAAACCCTTTTCCTCGATTCTACACCAAAAAGTCAACAAAAATCGCCATGCAAAAGGGGGAAAAAGGAAAAGGGAGAGGAAGACTAAAAATAGCTTTGGCCCTTGTTTCGTGGGTGACGCCGTAGGAATATTTGGTGATCTGTGTCCTATATAGGGGTGAAACTTCAGGTATCACCAAAAGGCCCTTTTTATTTCCTTCCCATGTGTTCTGGCAACATGCCGGTGAAAGAAAATCAAAATCAAAGAATAACTGTAAAAATGATGGCCCTTTAAGTACACATGCTGCTTTATGTACACTGGTGCATCTCAGGTCCATAGGCCTTTTGTGCTAAAATTTAAAAATCTTTCTTATTAAAGGCAGTATCTGAGTTCTGTGAAAAAATTAGACAAGTTACAAAGAAACTACATAGAAAACACTCATAATATGGAATTTTTTTCAAAAATATAATTTTTTACTGCCATGTGATGAAAAATGTACAAAATTTACATGTAGCATCTCTCAAAATACCAATAATTTTCCACTTTTTTAAATATCCGGACGGACAAGAAATATATTTTTAGAATCTGTGGACAATATGCAAACAGAAAAAATGCATGCCTACCCCCTGAACATGATACTGATTGAATTAATCTAATCTATGGTTGCAGAACTTACATTACCAAAGGAATCTGTCTAACAGCTATGTTTTACCATCCCTGGCTAACATATGCACATATAAACTAAAATAGGTGCAATAAATATGAATTATGGTTAAAAATAGGCCTTGATGAATGAAAAAAATGCCATATTTGGTCTATGATCACCCCTCTCTAACAGAAGGGTCACAGAATACACAATTTTCACAAATTTGGGAATATTTCAATGTTTCCAACATCTCAAACCTCAGAGGCATGTTACAAATTTGTATTGCAATCCTTGTGCTGAAGCAAGATGTCTGGAACTTTACATTAATTTCCTGAAAAAAGAAGTTAAAAAAGTAGTCATGACAGAGTTGACAACATAAAAAGAGGCCTGAAAAGGAGAAAAATTAACATTTTATTGTTTTATAGGCAACATAAGAAAATATTGAACATTAAACTGACATTTACACATCTACACCAGTTTTATATCTGGGTCTGGTCTCATTGGCCTGAAATGCCTCAGGGTTCTACGTTTGACTCTGAACAAATAAGGGTTAGAAATCCTTGAAATGCACAAAAAAAATATTTTGGGGTGAAAAATAACATTCTTAGCTGTAATTCAACCACAAATTCCAATTAAGATCATTTACATGTCAACACAGGTGCATTTAAATCCCTCAAAACACATTAATAGAAAAGGGTGGGGTGGGGCATTTATTGCCTCTCTAAACAGAATGATGGAGTAAAAAATGTCTAGAAAGGCTGGGATATTGCTTCCTACATGAAGGAAATGCAAGAATTTAATGTTTCAAAGAAGAAAAAAATGCTTATTCTGGGTAAAATAGTGGCAAAATTGAGCCAACCCCTGTTTTGAACATTTTGTACAAACCCATCTGCTGTACATTATTAACTCAGTGTTACCAATTTTCAATTTTCTGTAGGAAAGCTGGAGCTATTTCTAAACCTGACAAACATGTAGATCCCATCTAAGTTATATTAGCAAAGAAAATATGGGCATTTTTAGACATTTTGACTCATTTTAGTAGTCATGAAAATATTAATTTCTACATCGAAATGGGGGGAATCTCAAGATTTTTTGTGAATATTCCTGATCTTTAGACAAAATTTGGTGAAATTTCAATACTGTTCACTTTATCTGTGCTTTCTGAGACTGAATAAGCCAACATTGGGCATTAGAATATTTTACTTACTGTTAAAAATTCAATAAAAATTGAAAATTGAGAAATTTGCAGTAAAATCACAATTTTTCTTCAAAACTTTGATTTTTTTTTTTTAATTAACTTTTTTTAGCTTTTCTGTAGCCAAACTATTTTATTCATATTTTCTGAGAATTTAATCTTCATATTTTCAAAACTAAGGCATATCAGTGACAGCCTTATCACACACAGACAGGACACAGATCACTAAAGATTTCCCCATTGACTCCATTAATTGTTATGTGTAGGTACTTGGCATCTCTAAATATGTGCTACCAGTATTATTATTATTGAAGGCACTGATAGAACTCATTTGCGCATGTATTTACATTTAACTCCCATGGCTAAGTGGGTAAGACGCTGACTCGCTAGGCTGGAGGTCGGTGTTCGATCCCTGCATTAGCCACGAAAGTTCATTCAGATTTTCCGGCGTGGTTTCCCCTTGTCAGTGATGCATGATGGAGGGCCTGACAAGGACAGCTGTCTAGTCATTCTGATTTGACGAAAAACCGAGGTCCCGTGTACACATTGGCGTGCATGTAAAAAATCCCTTGGCAGTTGGAATTCGATATCAGAGTAGGCCGTAGCGCCGCTGCCCGGGCAAAATTTCCCTCATAACACACTGTATGGCGTATTAGCTCAGGTTAGGAACAGAACAGTAGGATGTTAAACCCCATTTCATTTTTCATTTAACTTCAATTTAAAAAAAAAACACACACACACACACTCCTTGAAGAAAGCAGATTATGGAAAATAATGACATTTTAAACATGATAATTTTCCAATCACCCTCTCAGATTTTGTTTGGTCTTATTTCAGGTTGAAATAGCTGATTGTATGCAGACATTGTTTAGAGGTAACAGTCTAGCCAGTAAAATCATGGCGTATTGTTTCCGATTCTATGGCCAGAATTATTTGCGTGAGTTACTACAGCCGTTAATAATGGAAATGTTTATGTTAGATGCTGAACATAGAACAATATATGAGATTGATCCAGCACGGTATGTAAACTGCATTTATTTTTAATGAAATATATAAATGTTGAAATCTATAACTCATCTCCCCATTTATTTTGTATTTCATAGTTGTTTTAGTCCATGACCACAGTTCATTCTGCAAGAAGGATATTACCTCTTCTTGTTTTATATATCCAGGTTGTTGTCATAGCCATTCATTAACTATGGATATTCAGATCAAATTTCCATCAAATAACTGAGCTTGTACCACCGAATCAGCACTCTGTGGCAGTTCTGACATTTGAGTTCCAGGCTTATAATCCTGCATCTTGACATCATTCAAAGGGACATTGAAATTGAATAATCATTTTTTCCAGAATGTCCCAAAGATACCATTTTATTTTTATAGTGTCTTCTCTTGAGAACTACAAGTACATGTATTAATACTACTATTTTGTGGTAATTATTAATTATGAAAAATTATGTGAGAGATATGAAGTATAAGTACTTTAATGCAAAATATTAAAGTCGCTTATTGCAGTTTAAATGTCTATATATTCTAGATTGGAAACTGGTGAAAATATAGATGAAAATAAAGCAAACTTATTGCTTGTTACACAGAAAGTTTTTAATGCTATTGTTGATTCAGCACCAAAGTAAGACAAACATTTCTTTTATTGTATCAGTTTTAATAATTATTTGAGTCCTAAGAAATTATTTGCTATATATTAAGATTAGATAAGTTGATTACATTTCATGAAAAAGTTAACCTAGTTGTTATGATTATTTCTATATTAAAGCAGCATTTTGGAAGATTAGATAAAGAGCTGACAGTTATCACTATAATAGTTAAAAATAGATAATATAAAGAGAATATGTGGAAAATCTCAGTCAAATTATTTCACCCTGAAACGAGAAAACCTTATTTCACTAAGACTGTAGCCTTGATTGTCATTGTTACCGTTGTTATGATAATAAACAAAGTCTCGGTTATCCATTTTTATGGTTGATCATCAACAGTTGTTGAATGGCTGATCGGATTCAAATCTGTTTAAAATTTGACCCATCAGATGGCATCAAGAGTTGATTATAGTCTTGTCATGTTAATATAAAAATTAAGGCCTAAAGAAAGACCTGCAATAGGCAGATTTAGCTCTTGCATAATGGCTGTTTAAGTTGTTTTTCTTTATATAATTTTTGGAATCTGTGTCAGCTTTTAACCATTACATCATCAAATATATTTATATCGAACAATAAGCTTTACTATATTTTCCATTTACTGTTATTTAATTATAATTAGATATCATTGATCAAGTATTTATACCGCATCTTATTGGATGCAGACATTGCAACTTTAAAAATTCAGTTGAATGCGAAAAAGACAGTGCAGAGCAGCACTAGGTCTCTAATTACACTAGCAAACTTCACTAACAGTCTAATTACGATGTTAAAAAAAGAATATTTGTTTGTTTTAAATTGAACCCATTTACATAGATTTCCAGCCAAACTCCGCACCATGTGCCATTGTGTCAATCAGGTTATCAGCTTACGATTTCCACCAGAGAGTACAGCTATCACGGCAACAGGAACTGTTATTTTTCTGCGTTTTTTCAACCCAGCGCTAGGTAACCAAACCTGCTCTGCAATAAAGCAGAAAGAATGTAGACTATTGGCCCTAATTCACTCTCATTGCTTTCATCATTATATTCTGCTTCACTTATTTATCATATGGTTGTTCTTAGAGATGCAATAATATTTTAGATGGAGTTTCAGTATTTTTTATTTGGATCTTGAAAATGCTCAGTAAGCATTTTTAGATTTAATTTGGCATTAAACAAAATTTCATACTGAAATGTTCATGTAAATCTTGGTTTCGATCAAATTAAATTTAAACGTGTAGAGTTAAAATCTGAATCATTACATCTATAGGAATTCTCTATTCTTACAAGTGATTCATAAATTTTCTCACTTAAAAAACCCCCAAACTTTTATTACATTAGATATGTCGTTCATTTGCTTTATGATTAAGTGACTTTGTGAACTTTATTTCTTTCTTTACGTAATGTTTCATCTGCTCTTTTCGATTGTGGTATGTTTTCTAAAGTTTAAGAATATTTTATTATTACTCGAAAAATACTAAGCTCAACCATATTTTTAGTTGTTTGTTATGAAACACTTGTATATTAATGATAATTGATGGTAAATACATACTTAAATGTATACATATTCTATGCTTCATCCTAATTCACCATAGATCTAACTTTTGCTTTTTAAATGATTATGAATTTACAGCAAGATGGCTGCCTCTTGAAACCAGCATGTTTCATGAAAAATAGTTTAGTTTTCATCAACAGATCTATCTCTACTACATTTCACCACCGTCATGAATCACCTAGTGTCTCTTGTTTCAGTTATTATTTCTAGTCGATGGTTGCAAGCTGTACTTACTGTTCTGTTGTATTATAACTTGCTGTGTTAAAAAATACAATCCAGCTGATGATTGAGTTTAGTCACATTGAGTTCAATCATATTGGTCCCGAAGAGCAGTCAGTTACACATGTACCCAGAGAATATAAAGAGGAACATTATAGAATCTAGGTTAATAAAAATATAGATCTGGGATGTACATGTATAGGATGCTTCAATTGAACAAATCCTTTACATGGCTAATATTAATATACATGTTTGGTTGAGTTATAAAACTTGAATTTAATGCAGAATATCGAGGGATAGTGAAGTGTAGTAGAGAAGAATGCATGTATACCATATCATGAATTGATTGACTTGCAATCCATGGCCACAGTAAGACTGAATAATTTCAATATTTGTCAGGTTTCCACCCAAATTACGAAGTATGTGTCATACACTGTACCAGGTTGTCACTCAACGCTTTCAACAAAGTAGTGCCGACAGTGTGTGGACTGTAATTGGCACTGTTATTTTCTTACGCTTCATCAATCCTGCCATAGGTAACTGTCTGCGAGACTTTATTCTACGTTATTTTATTTTTGTTTTGCTTTGTGCCATTTTCTTTTTATTAATTTTAATTTTGTAATTGATTTGTCTTACTTGAAGTATTTTTCACAGCCAACACATGAAAGGAAAAATTGTGATACTTATCAAATCTGTCAGCATGCTGTCGACTGTGTGTGCTCTACATTAATCTTGATCTTAAAGAGAATTTACGTACGTCACAGTCCAATACTTGCATATTAAAAAGAATGGAAACATTAACATGAATGCTGTATTTTAGATATCTAAGAGCTAGTCGTTGAACAATGAAGTTTGAATTCTAACGCTTGTGCTAACCATTAAAGAAATTCCTTAATTCGCTTTACCTAACCAAGATTAGTTTCCCTCTTTGCCATGCAATTTAAATATTAATATTATAAAAGACTTAAACCATTTATGTTAAAAATGGCAATTTCAGACTTCAAAATGAACTTTCTTGTGCATGATTTTCTCGTTTTTCTTGGAAATTTCAATAGAAAATAGTACAGGACTCTACCTCTTTGCATGGGAAAAATATAGAGATTAGACTATTTTAAGAATCTTTAACATATTATGTAGCTTACAAAGCAAAAATATTTAAAATATTTCACAATATATATTTATGGTAATTTTCGAAATGTAGATGTTTTAAATACTGACAGAAATATAATATAGTAGTGTATGTTTTGTTTCGTTTACAAAATATTTATATGGAATGTAATATTATTATACTAGTGTCACCCTACGAGTCAAATATCGTAGAAGAAGAACCTACACCCAGAATGAAGCGAGGTCTAACATTGATGTGTAAGATAATGCAGAATATAGCCAATCATCTTCAATTTACCAAAGAACAACATATGACAGCCTTTAATGAATTTTTAAAGAGTAATTTTGATGCAGGTAGACGGTAAGTCAATCAATTGTTATTAAAAAATTGTGAAAATATTAAAGAACAAGTTTTCCAAACAATCCAATCTCAAGATACAGACATTTTTACTAAGCAAGATTCCATCTCTGTAAAAATATCTATATAAAAAGTTGACACTTTTATTTTTTCATAGAAATCAAAAGACTATATAAGATTTTGGGTATACATTTGTTTGAATGGCATATTATTGTCATCTATCAAATTTCAAACATAAGCTGTGTCATAGTTGAGTTAAATTCAAATTCTTTTACATATTTTACAGGTTTTTTACAGAAATAGCCTCAGACTGCGAAACATTAGATACAGGAAATCACAGCCTTTCTTTTATAAATGATGCCAATGTTTTAGCTTTACACAGACTTCTGTGGAATAATCAGGAGAAAATTGGAGACTATTTATCTAGTAGCAGGTAGGGGGATTTACTCTATTTCCATCAGAAAAAAAATGAATATTGTTTTAGAAGTTGAGACAAAAGACCTATAGTGATATATTATGTAAAAAGAATTAAATAATTGTTGCAGATATCTTTAGTGAATGCTTAACATTCAGAATTGTCATAATTATAAGGTTGATATTTTGTGTGTGTGTGTGTGTTCCTTTCCAACATTTAGCTTTTTTTTCTGATGCAGATTCATATTTCATAAGTTTAATTAGGCAGAGAAGCAGAACTATCATGCATGTAATTTGAGCTTTCTTTTATAAAGGTTATGTTAAAGTCTTGTCAAAGTTGAATATAGCAAAGAAAAAAAAAAGAATTGATGATTTATAAAAGATTTCAGGCCATTTATAAAAGGAACCTCCAAAATGTACATGTTTCAAATGTAACATTTTTCTGTAACATTTGACCTATCATCAACCTATTTTAGATGCCTTCCTACTTTCCTTATTAGTAATTCTAAAGCCTTTATTAATTCTACATGCATAAAGCTGTATTTATTTTGCGACAAGCTTCATAAAACATGGCTATAATAGTTAATACCCTCAATTTGAAAACCAGGTCCCTTCTTATCTGGTCTGACAAGAAAAGTGTCTCTTGGCTTCCAAATGGTATTGTAAGCCAATGGGTATTGATTCAATAACAGAATTTAAAAAAAGTGTAGACAAGATCTGAGCAAAATGAGGAATTGGTTCCAAAGAAATACAGCTTTAGTTGATAGTTATATTATTTTAGAAAATCTATACATTATCCATAAAACAATTTTCTACTGGCCTATATATATTTATTAAAGTTGCTTGCTCTTGCAACTAACCTTGTATGTTCACACTGAGGAGTTATATCAACAGGTCAATGCACATCCTCAGAGTATGCCTTAAACTGTGCATGAATAAAAATTGTAACAGTGTATGCTGATATGAGGTGCTACAATGTATATGTACATGTCAAATCATTCATCACTTCCAATTCTGTTTTCTCTGTTTTTCAAGCGGTAAGTATGTGATCAGTGTGCCAACATGACTTTAAACCTGCACAGCTGTTGATACATGTATTTAAGGAACGGGACCTCTTTAATAATGTCAAAATGAAGTGTAAAGTGCATTCTTTTTTTTAAGTGAATAGTGATGAATATGCTCTATACAATTATGTTTTTATTTCAGCAGAAAGTCAGTCTGTTTACTTATTTTAGTTCTGGACAGTTAAAAAAAAGATCAATTGTGTCTCAACATTCGTTTAATCAAATAACATAGTTAGAATTTTTAATGTAGGAAAACATACAGTGCAATAAGTAGAGTGAATAAACATAACCTGTCTCGTACACTCTCTGTCACTACTCCAATCTAATCAATTGGGAATTCTAACCAGGATCAGAATTAATTTAATTAATAATTTTTGGTGCAAAGAGGTCACTTCCTTAAAAACATGGAAAGAACTATATTTTTATTGCCCCCTGCCTTTCGAAGAAAGCAGGGGACTATTAAAATGGGTTCGTCCGTCTGTCTGTCCGTCCGTCCGTCTGTGCGATAAGCAATTTGATTTGTTGATACTTTGGGACACAATAACTTTCCTTCTAATTGAGGTAGAATTTTCAAACTTGGTGTAGGTGTTTATTAGGTCAATGCCATGATGGGGTTCGAAGATAAGCATTTTCTGCTTAGGGTAAGCAGAGATAAGCAATTTGATTGATTGATGCTTTGGGACCCGATAACTTTAGTTATAATTATGTGAGAGTGGTGAAACTTGGTGTATAGTTTTACCGCATCAATACTTTGACTAAGTTCGATAATGAACATTTTCTTCTGAGGGTAAGCAGAGCGATAAGCAATTTGATTGGTCAAGACTTTGCAAGATAACAACTCTGCTTTTAATTGAGGTAGAATGTTTAAACCTGATGTTGATGTTCGTTAGGATGATACTATCTGATAGAGTGATGAAACTTAGTGTATAGTTGATAATTAGTTTGATTGCTTGATACTTTTGTAAAAGATAAACGTGCAATTAATTAATATGTGTCATCTATTTATTTTGGTATTTCGGCGGGGGACATCAGCCTCACTGTTGGCTTGTTTTATCCAAGTTCTTATGTTATGCATTATTAATTGGTTAATGATAAACCTTACATGTGTTACAACAGATCAAACCATGTTCTTTTTATAAGACCCAGGTGGATTTATGATCTAACATAAACTTACTACAAATATCAAATGCCTTATTTATTACCACATTGTTACAGCAACAATTTTATTGTCCCCAGCCTTTCGAAGAAAGCAGGGGACTATTAAAATGGATCTGTCTGTCTACCTTGGCAAAGTTTGATAATGAGCATTTTCTGCTCAGGGTAAGCAGAGCGATAAGCAATTTGATTGGTCGAGACTTTGGAACACAATAACTCTCATTCTAATTGAGGTAGAATATTCAAAATTGATGTAAGCGTTCATTAGGTGAATGCCTTGATTGAGTGCATAGATGAACATTTTCTGTTTAGGGTAAGCAGAGATAAGTAATTTGATTAGTTAATACTTTGGGACATGATAACTTTGGTTTTAATTATGTGAGCGTGATGAAACTTGGTGTATAGTTTCATCACATCAATACCTTGACTAAGTTCGATAATGAGCATTTTCAGCTCGGGGTAAACAGAGTGATAAAATAAGCAATTTGATTGGTCAAGACATTGGAGCTCAGAAACTTTGATTCTGATTTAGTGGTGAAACTTCATGTATAGTTCGATGCTGAGCATTTTCTACTTAGGCAAAGTAGAGACTTCAGTCTGATTGGTTGAGACTTTGGAACACAATAACTCTATTGATACTTAGTGTAGGTGTCTATTAGGTGAATGCCTTGACAGAGTTCGATCATGCTCATTTTCCACTAAGGCTAAGCAGAAATAAGCAATTTGATTAGTTGAGATTTTGGAACACGATAACTTTTGTTCTAATTGGGTGAGAGCAACGGAACTTCGAGTATAATATTCATTATATCAATACCTTGACCAAGTTTGATGATGTTAATTTTTTGGTTAGGTTAAGTAACAATAAACAATTTGATTGGTCAAAACTTGATGTAGATGTTCATTAGGTGAATGTCTTGACTGGGTTCAATGATTAAAGATACATTGTCTTGAAAGTATTTATGGGTGGTTATTTCCAATAAAAGTATGGCAAATTTGGTAGCCCTATATATGCAGAGACGGATTCAAGGGGGGGGCGCGCCCCCCCTAATTTTCGACAGTGCCCTTTTTTACTGCTGAAAGTGCCTTTTCTCAGACCCAAATATGTCCGTTCCCAACCCGTTGCAGGGATCCTAAATGACTCAAACCATCGACTCAAACACACCAGTCTGGTCTAATTAATGCTTCCACTTTCAAACGATTTCTTGTTGTTTAGCTGACGGTACCCTAATCCTATAGAGGGACTATAGACAGACATCTTGTGGAATCGGCGGCGTATACACTCATGTCCATCACCGACGCGTATGAGTGCAACTTGATGTAGCACCGTTTCATGTGTGGACAGTACAAGTTACAAAGCTTAAATAGTGAAGTGGCTAGGGAATAAATTCATTTTTTTCCCCATCATAATGCCTCGTTCGCCTTGACAATTTTCGAGTCGCATGTTCAACTGGCTTTTTTGCTCGATTTTAAGGCTATTTTCAACGATTTCAGAACATTTACTTAGACGAAAATATCACCCAAATAGCTCTTGGAATGGCTACAGATGCAAGGAAATGACGGATAATTTTCTTGGGCCCCCACACCCCCCTCTCAGCGGCGTGTCGCGTCTCTGCGGTCAGTGCCCTCATTTTAAGGCGCCCCCCCCTTTTCAAAATTCCTAGATCCGCCCCTGATATGGAAAGTATAGACACCGAGTCTTACTAGAAAAATACTGGATTACCCGAAAAATGCCTATGGGGCAAGCACTGAGCAAAAATGTCAGGGTACATGTATCTGGTAACCCGACTGTTGTCTGCCAGGTTATTGTTTGCTAGCTTGACTAAGGGAGCAGTTGTTAATTCTTGATCAAATGGTTAGGCGGTTTTGGAACATTGACGGGTGTAAAAGTATAACAGACTCTGCAACTAAACGGTAGAAAAAGAAGTTGACAGAAAATAATTAAAAATTTACTTAGGCCTCAATATGTATGGTAAATGGACAGTAAGTAATGAAAAATACATTCTGCAAAATGGACCCTCCCTCAATGAAGTTAGGTGACATACATGGTTGCTAACAACAGTTTATTGAGGTATCTCTCTGGGAATTCAAAGTTTTGAGAGGGATTTGAATCAAATTTTTGATAGATTAAATAGTTTGAATATGGTTTTAGTCCAAATATATCATCAAATCTCACAGTTTGTATGTGGGAGAGTATCTTTAACATTTCCCGCTAAAGCTAAGCAGAGCTAAGCAACTTTGATTCTAACTTATGGAAAGTGATGAAACTTAGTGTATAGTTTCACTACCAGGTACTTCAAAACCTTGACTGAGTTTGATCGTGAACATATTATGCTTAGACTAAGTATAGATAATCAGTTTGATTGCTTGATACTTTTGAAAAAGATAAATGTGCAATTAATTAATATGTGTCTTCTATTTATTTTGGGATTTCGGCAGGGGAAATCAGTCTCATTGTTGGCTTGATAATTACGAGTTACAATCACGCATGATATGGGGTGGTTGCTGGGTTTTAGTTTTTGCAGCTTAACTTCCTCTGCTTTCTGTATAACCTAATGGATGAAATAAAAAATTTTTTTTTTTTTTTCAAAATATAGCTTTAAATGTAGCTGTAACTCCTGCCTGTCGGTCTGTAGTCCACAATTTTAGCTAACATTATAATAGTTATTATCCTGTTTTTATATGCCCACATTGAATATGGATAAAGTTGTCATATTCTTCATCCACTATTTCTTGTGTCCACTCCTACAGATCTTTACCAATTGACCTATAAGGAAGACAACCATCAAAAATAACAAAAATTTGGTCATAGATTTACTTTCAAATTTATGAAGAAATCTTGTGAATGTAATACAGATATTTTAAAACCTCAGAATTGTTTATTGAAATATTAGGAAGTAACTTATTAAATTTCAAATCAGTTTTGAAGAGTTACTTTCTGTTCACATATTGGCTATTAAAGCATGAGGTAGAGAACTCATAGTGGTTTTGTTTTAAACGTTAAACTTGCCCTGCAGGATTTATGGCAACAATTTTAGAGCTAGTATATGTTGTACATTATCTTGATTGGTGGGAAAACAATTATAGATTTCGGTCTTAAGATTCTGAGTTATTCCCCTTAATAAATTAATGAAATCTTGTAAAATCTGTGAAAGCTAATAAGTTATTATCCTGATCAAAGTGCGTTGATATTTTACTATAATAACAAAAATTGTAGTTGTATTTTTGATGAAAGTTGAAATTGAGTCATAAAAATATGTAATAGATTTACATACATGTATTATGGTGTGAGATGGATGCAGTTTGATTTATTAATTTTGCCACTAATAATTGTATAATTAGTTGGAGCCAAATTAACAAAGCTAAAAGTGTTTGGACATCAGCTAGCTATGACTATGTAATTAAATAGCATATCAGACATAATTAGATTACACATCAGATGTAATTTGATTACACATCAGACATAATTAGATTACACATTAGACATAATTAGATTACACCAGACATAATTAGATAGCACATCAGACGTAATTAGATAGCACATCAGAATAATTATATAGCACATCAGACCAGACAGATGGAAACCTTATCAATTAAGACAGATGTCCTGTTACATACTGAATTCTTTTAGATTATAGACATTTCATGAAATTACTTCCTGTATCTGAACGTAGATTGATGTGTTACATATTCCATTCAGTACTCAACTGGAAACACAACTTTTTATTATTTACCTTTCATGAAATTACTTCCTGTATTTGAACGAAGATTGATGTTTTACATATTCCATTCAGTACTCCACTGGAAACACAACTTTTAATTATTTACCTTATTGTTTTTGTCAACAAGCTAGAACTGGAACTTACGAAACAATGAAAACAATTATTTTCAGACGGAAGTAAAAACAGAGTTACAGCTTTACAAATGCTTTCCTATTGTGCATTAGTTGTAGTATTTTATATTAAAGAACAACTGTATTAGATGGATGTTATCTTTATCTTGTAGTTTGGAGGTACACACAGAAAACTTTGTGTGCGAGGCCGGGGATGGTCCTCCGCGTCTGTATGTATACTAACCGTCTTCTATCTGTGTAGTTAAATATATAGATATATATATATATGTATAAATATATATTAATGTATGGTTAGATATTGTTGTATGTATCCTAGTCTATATAGATACTAATATCTTTTTAATATTTATTAATACTAATCCTTCTAATTTAATCTTTGTCAGTGGGATTCTGTCGACTATGGGTTGTTTACAGCACTATGACTTTGACTCGAGTTTGAGAACCCGGGACAGTAATGTGCAATGGATGCTTATGCTTGACTTCCAGATTCATACTTCTCTTAAGGTTTTTGTCATGTCTTGTGGGGTTGTTAGTCAAACATGCATTTCTTGATAACTATATCTTTCTTATACATGACTCATACTTTGTAGAACAGTAGTGTTGAAATTGTACACTTAAAAAGCAACAAAGATAAAAAATTTGGATAAGTTATTATATAGTAGAAGTACAAATGTGCATATGCAGTTTGAAAAAGTATTTAAAACGTTGTGATAATGGAGATCTATGTTCTGCTAGAAATTCATTTCTAAGCACATAATGCAAAGATATGGAGAGGTTCCCCAGTAAGATCTCCATACAATATATAGATTTTAACATTGAATTGACAAATAGTTAGAACTTGATTTTTTTCGGAAAATTGGAACCTTTTATTGAGAATTAGAGTAGTTTAAATCCTTAATTGTTTATACCTTAAAATTAAAAAGGTGAAACTTTACTGACAAAGTCCCACATTCAATCTTTCATTTCTTGCATGTTGGCACATAAGTTTTAATTTATCATAATATTGAATTATGTAAGATATTGTAAAAACAATAAAATGAAAAAAATATCTGTGATGATGTAAGTTTAAATTCTTACAAACCTAAATGCTTCATGTTCTCCACAATCAAAGTGAAAAGAGATTGTTCACAAACACTACAGAACAGATAGTTTTCATCTTTTTAAAACGAAAATTGTATTTCCATTTTACTTTAAATCAATCTAATTTGTACAGTTCTTGATTGAGGTTCATTCGCCGCCTATTGTTTTTAGAACATGAGGCACGTTCACATTTGTATTTGGTATGTTTATGGTATTAAATTAATAATCAAAACAAATTGTTATAATTTAAATCCTGTATTAAAACAAATCTTCCCTGTATGTATCTACTTATTCTTTGAATGTTTATTCACAAGGGCTATTCTGTAGACTTTTGCACATTTTACAATTTGAACACATCTCAAGTCTGTCTTTTTGGTTAATTTAACAGTGTACTATCAGATGTCATACACAATGTGCTTATTTAAGTAACTAGTTATTCGTACTAGTGAAGAACGATAATAGATACACAGTCGACTTTTAGCTGTCTTTATAATTCCTCTGAGACTGTCAGAAAATATTAGTTTGAATCCAAATATCCACACCAAGAACAATTGCGGCAAATTCAGAAACTTTTGAAAACATGTACATCACCTACACTTGGTCAGTTTTGTGCTGTCATGAAAATATCACAAGATGGACCAAAAGTAGCCAAATTGATGATGCACTGACGTTTTTTTCTTCAACATTTTCATACACTTCTATCGTTTTGTTTCTATCGGTTGATATTTGGGTTCAAACTTAAAAAACTGAATTGTCATTGGTGATACATGATTGAACATTCCAAAATTCAATTCTCTCAATCTCCAAAATAGTGATTACTCGATTGCACTTCAGAACATTCTGGACTGACCATTAAACATCCCCTTAGAGGAATTATAAGAAAACTGAATGACAAATTTATACCTGTTGTCACTCTCGACTTAATCCATAATAATAACTGATTTCTATGTTTAAGCCACCTACATGCAGATGTTACGGAGCAACCAAAGCAAAGATCATTAATTTAAAATTATATCTGCAATCATGTTTAATTCGTGGACAGCAATATTGTCTTGTAATTCTATTGAAATCTGACTTCATAAACTGTATAATGTGACAAGTTTCTAAGTTGATGACATATTTGGTGTGTGGTGTTTTTTATTGTTATTTTAGTGTTCATGTTGTGATTTTATTTATATTTTGCTTATTCTTTTATGCAAATATTAAATAAATGGTGAATGGTATTTTAAACATGTTTATTGTGCTCGCTATTTACTATATTACCATATTTCACTTTTTTCCAAAATTTAAATAAAATGAAGTAAAATGTTAATGACTAAAACTTCATGACATCTTTTTGTGGTTGGAATCTAGTTCTAGAATAAATAATCTAAATTATGGAATATTAAAAAATCCTTTAAGAACAATTTCTTTACTTATTTAAGGAGCCATTATATTTTTCATTGACCAGTTCTGAGCAATGTATTTAATTTCAGGGATCATAAAGCAGTAGGCAGACGGCCTTTTGACAAAATGGCCACCTTGTTGGCATATCTTGGACCTCCAGAACATAGGCCTCTAGATTCACAGTAAGCACTGTACTTAAATCTATAATTGTGAATACCATTATTTCATAATACTAGCGAACAGTAGGACGTTAAACCCAATTTCATTTCATTTTATTATTTTGATTGGTTTAAATTCCTGAAAAAATGTAGTTCCATTGAAGAAACTTGAAATTGGAAATGCGTTATTTTGAAATAGGGTATTTGCAATATGGTGGCGGGAAATAAAATATAACCACTTGCTGAATATATTTTCCTTTCCAGCTTATTTAATCAAGCTTATAGTAAACTAGTTTACCCTAGTAGGTATAAAGGATCTCTTACCATTACTTTCATTTCTATATAAAACCAACTAATTTCTTTTAAGATAATTAGATAAATATCATTTCTTTTCATTACACATTAACCTCAAATTTCATATTTTGACCCCTGTCATTGGCATTACATCTTCATTTTGTGTGGTGTACAGGTGTTTGTGTGGTTTTTATTTATTTAAGTTGATTAGGTCTGCATTTAACAAAGTGTGTAGAAGAAGTCTTAAATGGAGACCTGTAAAATTGTTCAGATTTTTAAAGTAAATTAAAATGTTTTTCAGATGGAGTAGTATGGATATGACAAGTACTAAATTTGAAGAAATAATGTTGAAACAAAACATGCATGAGAAAGACGAGTTTAAATCGTTAAAGAATCTACATATATTTTATCAAGCTGGTACCAGTAAATCAGGCAATCCTGTATTTTATTACATCGCTCGTAGATACAAGTAAGTTTAACAAAACTGTATCAGTTTATTTTCTTCTCTCAGTCATACTGAATTCAAATATTAAAGGAGCTAAATCCCTAATATTTGGGACCTAGAAATTGACACAAATAGTTTGCAACATATATAATAATGTAATATGAATGTATATAAACTGATTTAAATTAAATCGTTTCTGTTTTTTACTCCAGTCCTTCATGTTTATAAAATTGTGCAGGAGCCATAAAAAGCTCCTGATACCTTGAATGTATGCAATTTAAAAGTAAACAAAAACTGAAAGTAGTTTATTAGCGATTTAGCTAATTTGCAGGAGTCTTTAATGACTCCTTCGAAGGAAAGCCGACGTGCGTCGAGAGGAGCAGGAGCAAAAGCTCCCCTTAAACATGAAGGACTGTTTACTCTTAATTTCAAATCTCAATCGAATGGCAATCTGTAGTGTCTGGTTATTCCAGTCTACATCGAAAGTATATATTGTGCATGCTCACCAGATAAGATGATGCCACCGTTTGACATGACTTGTGGAATATGTCTATCCTCGTTCTTCGAGTCCCTTATTACAAATGGCCCTGGTACACGATTCGGGTACCAATTGTAAAATGTTTATTTTGTTTTAAATATTTGATATCAGAAGCCCATATTCCCGGTAAGACCAGAACATCAATGTTGATTTAAATTGACAAATAATTCATGTATTCAATGTGGAAGACTTTGGATGATATTGAGTTAGAGACTTAGCTACTTTAAGTCTGTCAGAAAGTTTAAAAACAAAGTTAAAAGAAATGCCTTAATTGAATGAATCTAATAACATAAAGAAACTAAACTTTCTTTTTTTGATAAGTAGTGGGACAAGATTTTCATGATTAAATTTTGTTTTGTCAGTTTGCTTACTGATTTTAGTTCAACTGGGTTTATCTGTATGTACGTTACATAAAAAATGAAATTTTGAACAAAGCCAGATTGTCACCCTTAAAAAAACCCAACACTTAAAATTCTTAAAATTTTATTTTTGGCCATTTAATCATAGGCTGCCAACCAACAATACATGCCCACCAGCAGCTAAGCTAAACAACTGATCATAACTCTATTGATTTTAAAAGATTTCTTATAATAATTTCCGAGTTATTTCCCTCTGTTACCTATGATTGTTCATTCTGGCATAAGAAAGAATACTATCAAATTTCACAACTTTTGTATTGTAAATTTGAAACCTTGTGGGATTCCTCATTGGAACATTTTGCAGAGTTATTTTCCTGTGGGATTTGTTTACAGTGATTTTAGGTTAAGCATGGACTGCTTTGCTACTGGTGGGCAAGAAGGGGGTCTGACAAGCCCCTATGTTTGGATGAAGTGTCACAAAATGATCTACATTTGATATTTATTTTGTTATGCTATTGTTCTATTATAGAGTTGGTGAGATTAATGGAGATGTCTTAATATACCATGTTCTATTAACATTAAAACCATTTTTACATAAACCATTTGAACTGGTCTTAGATTTTACTCATACATGTTCTGAGAATAGATTTAGGGTAAGTCATTTTGATTTATTTATTATTTTCTGCCCTTTCGCAAGAGTGGCTGTATGGTTTAAGACATGCACTTTAGATCATAAGTTCTGTCATTGAGTCAGAAATCATAAGCTTGTGTGGGTTTCTCTGGGATCTAGAATTGAATATGTTATAGTCTTGCAATAACTGAACCTGTGTCTAGTGGATGTTAAATCCCATTTATCTCATTCTCCTTTTAACAAGAGCAGACGACCATTATATTGGTCATGTAGTGGTTGCATCACATTCTTTGAAACACAATAACATCATTTACAGTGAACTGATATCAATGCCATACTTCAATCTGATTGGATGCATGTTCAATTAACTGCAGTCTATCGTTAATGTTAGCAAAAACTTTGGTTATGTAAATATCTAGTAAATGAATAAAGATAATCTATTTTCAGACTGAGTTCTTGACCAAATGGTTTGTAGTTATGCCGGAAAGTGTGTATCAGAATATTGTGGCAGCTTACATCTATAATTGTAATTCCTGGGTTCGAGAATATACAAAATATCATGATAGAATCTTAAGTCCTTTAAGAGTAAGTGTGATTGTGAAATGTATGCAAGACAGGAAGTGACGGCATAGACGAAAATAGACCAATTGTAGACATCAAAGAAAAACAACCAATTTTAAATGTGGTTGTTATTAGTTTATAGCAGGGCTCTCACTTTGTCAACCTTTTATTTACCTGAAAATGGTTAGACAATTGCTTCTAATAGTAAGTGCAGGAGGATCGCACTGCACGTAAAACAAAAATCTACAAGATAAACCTGCGGACATGACAGAAAATAGACATTGCACAAAATAAATATCAAATCAATACTTATAGATATAACTGTAATGAGATCCCTGGTATATACTATAGTATCAAATGTTGTTCAACAATAGTGTGATATCATTTTTGCAAATAATTGTTTACTTCTGTTTATTTCTGTTCAGTTAAAGCATAATATATCAAATCAAATAGTATTTTCAATGTTCTTTGACTTACGATAAAGACTATGTTTTGTATTAAATTTTTCAGAATAATCGTAAGTTGATATTTATTGATCATCCTGCTAAACTACAAGAATATGTTGATATAGATCATCAGAAACTACCTGGGCCTACAGTGGCATTGGAAGAAGATCTTCGTGTCTTTAATAATGCGCTTAAACTCTCCCATAAAGATACCAAAGTTGCTATTAAGGTAATCGTATTACTGTACTAAGAAATTAGTTATAAAACCACAGTCCTATTTCAAAAATGAGTTATAAAACCACAACCCTAGTAAAAGAAAGAAATGAACTCAATTTCAGATATGGAAAATTAAACACGGAAAGCATTTTGACTTGAAAACCTGTGAATTTTAGAATGAATTTCTCTTTCTTCTTACAAAATTGGACAATCAAATAAAATTAAACTGTTGAAATTTTAACATAAATCTTTAATTCCATTTACTTTGTATATTGATGAAGATTTGCATGTGTTTGTCTTTTAGGTTGGCCCAAATGCCATTCAAGTAACATCATCAGAAAAAAGTCGAGTTTTAAACCACAATGTATTGTTAAATGATGTTTATTATGCTGCTGAAATTGAAGAGGTGAGTTGTTATTTTGTTATTTTTTAATATAAATTTGTTCTTTTCTTGAGATATTGTTTGGTATGATTCATGTGAATTGAGACTATGGTACAGTTCACTAAAATGTCTGTCAGTATGCCGGTTTGTTGTGTACTGTATGACTAGATTGTCCTTAATTCTTATCCACACATTTACCAAGATATACCAACTGGACATTTTCAAGCTTGGTTCTCATTTGTTTCGGATGACAAGGAAGTCAGATCACATAAAACCAACAACAGGGTTCTTTGTGTACCGATTGCTGTGCACATAAATGAAACCATGACTGCTGGAATTCATAGAAAGTTAACAGCAAATTTCTTATTAGTTACCTTATTAGTTGCAAAATAAACAAAGTATTGTGTTGGTGAAATGTTCATTCAATATGTGTATCGGGGGGGCTCCAACACGTGAAGTTCTGGTGTATTGGATTTGAAATTGTATCTTAACATTTTTAACCACAAAATGACTGAAATATAGTGTTGATTTAATTCATTAGATACAACCAGAATGCTTAATAATTTGATGTTATAAATTCGATATGTTTTGTATGTATTATAGGTTTGCCTTGTAGATGATAACCAGTTTACATTAACGATAGCTAATGAAAGTGGTCCGTTATCATTTATCCATAATGACTGTGATAATATAGTACAAGCTATTATACATATTAGAACCAGATGGGAACTATCTCAACCAGTAAGTACACCATTTTTGTAATCATGTATAGCTGGAAATCTTGTTTAAAGCTGCAAGAATCGGAAAATATGTATATTTTCTATATATTTGTCTTATTATCAAGCAAATTGTGGAAATCTTAACCGAATTAAAACTGTATCATTTTATAAAAACTTGTGGTTTTGCTTTTTAGGATACTGTTACTGTCCATACAAAGATAAGACCTAAAGATGTTCCAGGCACACTTCTCAATGTGGTATGTACATTACATATACTTACATGTAAAATTATTAGCTACACGATCAATATTTTAAAAAAAAATAACATCTTATCTCAACATTACTGGTACTTGAATTATCTATTTCTGATTATTAATTCAAACTGACAGATTAAATGAGGTACAAACATTTTATTTTATCAATGTGTTTTCATTTCAGGCGTTGTTAAATTTAGGTAGCTCTGATCCAAGTTTACGATCAGCTGCGTACAATCTGCTCTGTGCTTTAACTCAGACATTTGATCTAAAAATAGATGGTCAGCTGTTGGAAACCAATGGTATGTTTAACAGTTTAATAATATTGTTTGCAATATTGAATATGATTATAGTTTGTTTCCTTGAAACAACCTGACTTGTAGGCTGTTGATCAGTGATGGGATTTCAAAATTTTCCTTGTCGGACATTTTACCGAAAATAAAGGGGCATAACTCTTATCGATATATAAACAGACGGATTCATACCACAATTAAAAATCATGTGTCAACAAAATATTTAAATGCCATACGTAATAACAATAGGTGAATCTCGCTATTTTTCATATTTAATTCCCGTACAGTAATCAAATATATGTCAGTAACATTCCTTCAGCGTATGGCGTACGTGACTCATAGCACATAGCTTTATAGTAAGCACTGTCCCGTAAGCGATTTTCGTTCGACAATCGAACGTGTCAATCACTTGTCAACAAAATATTCAAATGTCGTACGTAATAAAAATAGGTGAACCTCGCTATTTTTCATATTTAATTCCAGTACGGTAATTAAATTTAACTCAGTAACATTCCTACAAACTCCTGCTTCGGCATCAAATTCACAATAGTATGCATTACGTGTCTTTGTTTATACGGCAGCAAATGAATGCAGAACTTCCGGAATAAGAATCGTTTTCTTAACGTCAACAAAATATTCAAATCCGCGCGTAATTAAAATAGAAACACCTCGCTATTTTTCATATTTAATTCCCGTGTGGTGTTCAAATTTTTGTCAGTAATATTCCTATAAAATTATGTGTTTTCGTAATACGATAGAAGGAAAGTTTGCCGATCCGTAACTACTTAATTAAGCTTCCTTCAGCGTATGGCGTACGTGACTCAAAGCACATAGCTTCATCGTAAGCACTGGCTTGTAAGCGATTTTCGTTCGGCAATGGAGATTGCTGGAAAGTGCCACTGTTGATGAGAATTTCTATATGGAGCCTTAAAAGACGTAAAAGATATCGTAGCCAAAATGACTATCCATTGATTTGGGGTGTTATATACATGTACTCTAATGATATGTGACATCTAAGACTAGTTTATACATGCTGTGATTAAAATTCTAATCGCTGTTATTGGATTGATGAATAGCCCGACAAAGGAGAAGCAATGACATCTGTTTAAGATTAGATTGATGAATTGTCCGATAAAAGATTAAGCCAGTCAATCATGGCAGATTAAATAGTTAATCAAGGTGGGTGTATAGACAGTATAACACGATAAATACAATAATCACTTAATTACCTAATCAATCCAGCCTATTATTAACGATAATCGGGTTGAGTGGTAGTTATACACTCAGTACAATATATTAATTTTGGAATTTTGAATATTATTCACCATATCTTGATGTCTGATTGCACATATTCCCGGTCGGACAATTTTGGAAGTTCAGAAAATAGCGTCGGACATGTCCGGAATATACGGGCAAAATCCCATCACGGCTGTTGATTGATTTTAGTACAGTTACAGCCGGTCATGATAATTTCGTGTTGCGATTAAGAGGGTTATTATTTTTTAATGTCAATCTGTAGTATATCCAAAACAGATTTTCACATTTTACTAACCCGCTCCTGGCAGGCTGTCTTTGAGATGGATTGAAAAACAAATATCTGGTTCCTTAGATTGGCATTTTTTTTTTCTGAACAATATTTATTCACAGATTGGCAGTGCATAATTATTTCCTAAGTTTTTTTTAAAAAAATGACTGAAATAGTTTGCCATAATAATATTGGCTGTGGCACTGTCTTTTGTGATCAGAAAATTAAAAAGTATACTTTAATATGACAGAATTACTTTGTGGATGACAGTTTTCATTTTGTTTTCAGGTCTCTGTATTCCTGCTAATAATACCATTTTCATCAAATCTATCAGTTTTAAATTAGCAGAAAAAGAACCACATTTAACACTAGAGTTTCTGGAAGAATGTATACAAGGTTTTGGTAATTCTAACATTGAAATGAAGCATTTGTGTTTAGAGTATATTACACCATGGTTACCAAATTTAACCAGGTAAACTAACATTTTTCAATTGTAATTGGATTAATTAGGCACAGTTGTAAGCGTGTTAAGTCATAATTACCTGGTAATCTACAAGAACCTAAATATAAGTGCATGCTTGTTGTGCCCGTTCTGTCTTGTACTGAAGATTTTAGTTCCGAAAGAAAAGTCACTGCCTAATTTTGACAAGTCTCTCCGAGTTCCCTGGTTTAATACTTTAAAACTTAACAAACCTGGGCACAGGATAATTAAAAAAATAAAGATATATACGATATATTTGTCCAGGTTTTACTTGATCCTATTTCACTTACCTTAGATTGTGTATTTATAGAAGTAGATGTAACAGGAAATAACTTGATATTAATCTTTTATTGATAGATTCTGTAAACACAATGATGAAAATAAACGTCAGAAGGTTGCGCTCATCCTTGATAAACTCATCACCATGACAATAGAAGAAGTAGAGATGTACCCGTCTATCCAGGCTAAAATATGGGGTAACATTGGACAGATAGCAGATCTCTTGGACATGGTGTTAGATAGTTTTATAAAGGTTGGTGATCAATTACAATTAGCTTATATAGTATCACCTTATATGATAATAATTGCTTATAGTCAGAAACATTCAAGTTTCATATCTTGGTTGAGAAATTTCAATCTTGCTCTGCCTTGTCAAGAGTGCTGTCCTCGACATTGACAAGAAAGGTATCTAGTTATCCGGATTAGATGGAAAAAGCATGGTTTCCTTTTGAGATTGACAGTGTATACATGATGCATAAAAAAGGGTTATGTTGGAATGCTGCTTCTTGAACATAAGTTTCCTCACACTTGGTATGAAAGTTCTCAAAGGCTACTATATAATTTATCTTTATACTACAGAGAAGTGTTACCGGAGGTCTAGGTTCAATACAAGCAGAAATAATGGCTGACACAGCTGTAGCATTGACATCTGCTAATGTTCAACTTGTATCAAGGAAAGTCATTGGTAGATTGTGTCGTGTAAGTATACATTAAGAAATTATATCTTATGATTGTTTCATCAAATTTAATTCCTTTTATACAAAAATATAGCTTGAATTTAAATTCACATCCCATAAAGATGGAGTCATGAAATCGAATATACTAATAGCAACCTCTAAAATAGATCAATTGACCTATTTATTTCAATGTATTTACTATGTGGGTTACAGTAATAGTCTTTATAGTAATACAAGTTTTTTGTTTTTAGTTGATAGACAAGACGTGTACATCTCCAACACTTACATTAGAACAACATCTGATGTGGGACGATATTGCCATCTTAGCCAGATATCTACTTATGTTGTCATTTAATAATTCACTTGATGGTAAGTATATCATAGCTACCCCAAAGACGATATGAATAATGAAATGATTTTGTAACAGGGTTTGCAAAACGCATATAATGACCGTTACTTGGCACTAACAGGTCTCTGCTAAATTTACAAAAAAATAATTATAAAATTATGATGTGAAATGCTTTGTAAATGAAACTTTGTATAGAGTATTAATTTTAGATCTACTTTAAACTTTCAAAACTAAATCAACAAAGTAGGCATCAGAGCAATCCTATAAATATTATAAATCTTACATATATTTTTCCTTTCTCTTTCAGTTGCTAGTCATTTACCATTTTTATTCCATATTGTAACATTATTAGTATCTACTGGCCCATTATCATTGAGAGCTTCACATCATGGTCTGGTTATAAATATTATTCATTCTCTATGTACATGTGCTCAGCTACATTTCAGTGGTATGTATTTATAAATGTACTGAATCTACATATCTGTGTGTATTTCATTCAGACTCAGAAATCATGTAATAATATAGAGAATTAATTTTGCTAGTTCATCAATCTGATTAAAACACAGATCCTATTTTGTTATGTTTTTTTATAGTTCAAAATTTCATTTTACTTGTCTTCACAACACTAGGATCTGGAAGAGTTGTTATATAACAGGCATTCTGCTTGATGTGAGGAATTAGCCAATGAAACAGTTCTTGGCATGCTGTGCATGGAACTGTGGGTAAGCCACTAAAAACACCAACACTGATGGATTTATCAATGTCTGAGGTCATAGGGTCCAAAGCCACTTCTATGACCCCTGACGCGACCTCCCACTACAGCTGGTCATATATTCATGTAGTAGAGGCCATCGAAAGTTTTAAAAAAAAAAGGATCAAAATATAGATCTGTATTTTAATCAGATTGCTAGTTCATAAAACTGTAAAGGTGATTAAAGCTGTATTATGTTATTTGATTTAAGGAATTGTTATGTCAGTTACTTAGGTTTAACGTTTCTTGTTTTCAGAAAGTACCCTTCAAATTCTCAAACTGAGTTTGGCTGAATTCTCATTACCTAAATTTTATCAGTTATTTGGCATCAGTAAAGTAAAATCTGCTGCCGTCAGTGCTTTCCGTACCAGTTATCGCCCAGGAGACCGTTCTTTTACCATGGCACCTCCTGAAAATGAGAAGATGCATCTGAGTTCATTAGAAGCTATTTCTGATGCCCTGCTAGAAATAATGGAGGTAAGAATTAAAGACCAGTTACATGAGGCAGATAAAGACACTAGACCAAAAAACTTAGCCAAGCCTCTCTTCTTGAGTTTTAAACCAAACAAGTAAAATTGAATATAATTATTTGCTGATATTATTTTTCGGTAACTCTCTTTTCTTACTATTTAACAGGCCTGCATGAAAGATATACCACAATGTGATTGGTTACAACAATGGACTGACCTCGCCAAGAGGTAAAATATTACTTGTATTCTGTAATTTATTTATTGATAAGGGGAGCCACTGTGGAAACAAGCGTGCTAGCCTGTGGGTCGCTGGTCTATCTCGGTGTTGGCCGAGAAAGTTCATCGAGATTTTCCGGTGTGGTTTCCCCGTGTCAGTGGTGCAGGGCGGGAGGGCCTGACAAGGACAGCTGTCTAGTCGTTCCTGTGTACACATTCATTGGCATGCACATAAATGATCCCTTGACAGTTGGAATTCGATATAAGAGTAGGCTGTAGCACCGTTGTCTGGGCAAAATTTCCCTCATAGCACACTGTATGGCTATGTTCAAATAGTTAACCGTAAAAATGGATAATCAAGACTTTGTTTATTATCATAACAACTGTAACAATGACAATCGAGGCTACAGTGTTTTGTCGTCGCCCCTGTCCGTCGTCCACAATTTCTTGTGAACAGACTACATTTATCATCTGATTGTTTTGAAATTGATATATGTTGTTTATATTAGTGAGATGAAGAAGCCTATTTAATTTCAATAATTTCCGTTAATTTCTTCTTGAGTTATGGCCCCTTTTTTCACTTTTTGCACCTTGTGAATGCTCTAACGACTAAAATTATCATTCGATCTGTATCAAACTGAAGAGCAACCTTTACATTATTGAAACGAAGAAGCCTGTTGAATTTCAGCAATTTCCGTAAATTATGTCTAGAGTTATGGCTCTTGTTTCACTTTGTTGAAGGCTGTAACGACAAAAGTTATCATCCAATCTTTATGAAATTTGTATGCATTATTAAAATTAGAATCCTATTGAATTTCAGCAATTTCCGTTAATTATGTCTAAGAGTTATGGCCCTTTCACTTTGTAGAACCCTGTGAACACTCTAATGACAAAACTTCTCATCCTATCTGTATGAATTTGTATGCATTATTTAGATTAGTGAAATGAAGAATCCTATTGATTTTCAACGATTTCCGATAATTACTGCCAGAGTTATGGCCCTTGATCACTTTGAAAAATCTTGTGGATGCTTTAGAGACCAATCCATAGTTATCATAATATATATATAATTGTTTTGAATGATGCACAGAGTTTAAGGTCTTGAGATGAACAAGTATATTGATTTTCAATGATTTTTGGTAACTTGAACAGCTAAATCCATGGTATTAAATGTTTTGTATACTAAACATTAGCATGGGCCAAACAAATTTTAATGATTTTCTGATAATTACTTAAACATACATTATGCAAGAGCTAAATCTGCCTATTGCAGGTCTTTCATTAGGCCTGAAATGTTATCTAAATTATTAATTAGACATTAATTAACTTATCCATACCATGATCAACTCTCGAATGCATCGCTAGCCTGTGATGTTTATTGGATTACATTCCGATTTGCTGTTCGATTTCCATTCATAATTAAATCAAAAAGCGAATAATCGAGACTATGTTTTTTATCCTACCGACTTTAGTAATGATGATTGAGGCTAGCCTCAATATTCAATCGCTAAAATCTTGGATCACAGTGGACCAATTTGACTGAAATTTTCAGCAAATTGCCTTTACATTATCTAGTTTTTAACTATTATAGTGAGAATTGCCAGCTCTTTAACTAATCTCCCATAATGTATCTTTAATGAGTTGTTACTCTTAATCAGATTTTAGTGTATTATAAGTGTTTCATTATCAACAAAAGTAAAAATATGCGACAACACATGTGGGTGTATGTTTCGTTGCCTGGCAACCTATCTTTAAACTATTATAGCTCTTTATCTAATCTTCTATAATGCCGCTTTAATATATGAATGGCCATTTGAGAATCTCTATTTCAAATTTGAATTGAAATGAATATGATATATTTGTTTTGTAGATTTGCATTCCAGTATAACCCAGCACTACAGCCTCGAGCTATTATAGTATTAGGCTGTATCAGTAAAACTGTTACAGACTCCGAAATAAAACAATTACTCAAAATAATGATGAAGGTCAGTATAGATTGATGTAAAAATATTTATATTCATTTCTTAATTTTCCTTACTAAGAAATGACAGACCCTGTACAAGTTTGACTAGTGGGATGTTTCTAAATAATAAATGTCTTGGTGGTTATTCAGATGGATTAGGATATACATATCATGCAAAATCGATCAAAACCACAGGCCTAAATACAAAATATAAAGTTGAATTCAGCAAAGTAAATGGGCTCAGCACATAGGAAATTTGACAGGTCTATTAGATGATACCATTGGTTGGCAGTACTATGAATATAATATTGAAGATTTAAAGTGTTGGCATTATGAATAATATTTTAACAAATGGTTTCAGGCTTTAGAATCTTATACAGATCTGACATTAATAGAAGCTGTAGTGATGTGTTTAACAAGATTACAACCTTTACTTAGATCAGTAAGTTCTACATTTTAGATATTTAGATTGATAGAAATATAGTCTTCATCCATCTACACGACTGTCATGTGTTGAGTTGCTAACACTCTACAGGTCTCAAATTTTATCTGATTTTGACGAAACTTGAAATAAGGTTTATCTCCCAAAAATTTTGGTTCTTTTCGAAATTGGCATATATCGGACTGTAACTTCCTGGATTAGTGCCCCTGTTACACCATAATGACAGTTGAGTTCGAAGCCACTCCTCATATGCAAATAAAATATATCACCGTTACATCCTAATGATGGTTGAATTCGAGTTTCGTGAAAATCCGCCCGAAACTGCCCGACAAAATGGCTGCTCCATGTACACAAATAGTGTAAAAGTTTGTTATACCAAGGTTGTTGACCTCTAGAAGTCAAAAATTTTATCCAATTTTGATGAAACTTAAAATATAAGCTTATGTTTACATCCAAAAGATCTTGGTTCCTTTCGATATTGGTGCATATCGGACCGGAACTTCCTGGATTATGGCCCCTGATTGTACAAAAATCACTCTCATTTTTTGGCTTGTCTTCTCCATATTTTGTAAAATGTAGTGTATCTTGCATGGCAACAGGGGGATCAAGGTGGCTAAGTGGGTAAGACGCTGGCTCCTAGCCTGGAGGTCAGGTGTTCGATCCCTGCATTGGTTGAGAAAGTTATTCCAGATTTTCCGGCGTGGTTTCCCCTTGTCAGTGATGCAGGACAAAAAACCGATGGGACAAAAAAACAAGGTCCCGTGTACACATTGGCATGCACGTAAAAGATCCCTTGGCAGTTGGAATTCGATATAAGAGTAGGCCGTAGTCCCGCTGCAAAATTTCTCTCATCGCACACTGTATGGCATATGCCCATCTTCATTAGCCCAGTTTAGGAGCAGAACAGTAGGATGTTAAACTCCATTTCATTTCATTTCATTTGCATGGCAACATCTTGTTAAATACTAACTCTCAATTGTATTTTCAGGATTCTCCTATACACAGGTTTTTGTTTTGGGTAGCTATATCTGTATTACAGTTAGACGAAGTATCTCTGTATGCTGCTGGTTTATCATTATTAGAACAGAATCTGCATACATTAGATAACATCGGATTGTTTGAACATCAGGTAAATAATCATCATAACTTTTAATCACAAGGGCAGTAGATACCTTGGAATATTTATCCCGCGCCGAACGAAGTTAGGGAGGGATATTGAAACGGGGTTCGTCCGTCCGTCGGTCTGTCCGTCCGGACGTCCGTCTGTCCGGTCTAATTTCGTTTCCGGAGCATATCTCATAAACCGTTCAAGATATCTTTCTGAAACTTTGCACACATATCAACCTATTACAGTAGTTGTGCCTTTTGCTATTTAGGAATTTCTGGGATTTATATTTTTTTGTGTTTCCATGGAAACAAATTGACTTAGTTTTTGGTGTATAATTTTGTTTCCGGAGCATATCTCATAAACCGTTCAAGATATCTTTTTGAAACTTTGTACAGACATCTACCTATTACAGTAGTTGTGCATTTTGCTATTTAGGAATTTATGGGATTGATATTTTGTGTGTTTCCATGGAAACAAATTTGACTTAGTTTTTGGTGTACAATTTTGTTTCCGGAGCATATCTCATAAACTATTCAAGATATTTTTCTGAAACTTTGTACACACATCAACCTATTACATTAGTTGTGCCTTTTGCTATTTAGGAATTTCTGGAAACACATAAAATTATCAAATCTGAGAAATTCAAAATAAGAGGATGTAGAACTTACATTATGTGCACCTGTAATACCAATTTTTTTTCAGTTATAGTATATGATTCACTCATTATTTACTTTACGAAAGTCTAACATGATCAACATATTGTATTTTGTTAAGTTCACTTTTTTGTATAATTGTTACTTGAATATCTATATTTTACCACTTCATTGTTATGCTTTCATAAACCATTTTCTCATCAGTAAATCATTTACTCATAAAACTCATTTAAATACACATTCAACAGGGTTCCCGCGGGCCTTGAAAATCCTTGAATATCCTTAAATTTAAAATTTCATTTTCAAGGTCTTGAATATCCTTGAATTTTCGCGGAAATAGGAAAATATCCTTGAATTTCAGTTGAGATCCTTAATTTTGTTTCAAATTGGTAATAATAGTAAGTTGATATGAAAATCCCGTTTAGATTAGAAGTTTTATAACGATAGTTGTAATGTTTTGGTTATTTTTAAGATGAAAAATTGTAACTTTAGGCTAAAAAATGTCCTTGAAAATCCTTGAATTTGACGTATATTTATCCTTGAATATCCTTGAAAAAATGTTTGACGAAGCCGCAGGAACCCTGTTCAACTATTCATCATTAATTTTAAAAACCTTGCTTGTATACATGTACATTTATTACTGTTACAGAGAGGAAGAAAGATGAATAAATGTGAGGATTGTACTAAATCATTTACATGCCAGCGTAAATGTCTGCAGTACAATCGTAATGATACATTGCATAAATTATAGGATATATGATTCCTGTTCTAGGTTATTTGGGTATTGGCAAATGTACTATTCTTTCATTGATTGGCTCAAAAATTTGTAACAATACAAACAGCTACATGTATACATTACCAATAGCATAAAGAAGTTATTTTTCCTTATTTCTTCCAAACAAGTGCAAGGGCGCGGGATGTTGATGACTAGTCATCTTGTTATCCTTGAAAGCTTGATTTCTTGTAGCCACATAATGTTAAATTTTCGTCAATGATTTCTTGCCAACTATGGTATGTCATGATTTATCATGAGTATATTCACCATAACCTGATGTTGAAGTTTGAGTTCACTATATCATAAATGCTTTATACAATTATATTATTGTGGTAGCCTCTCACAAAGTTGTTCTAATCAATCTTCTTGAGTATATTTGTATCAATTTGGAATCTTGAACTCAAAAATTATGTGTTTTGTATATTTTCAGAGTTTAGAAGAATGTGTTATGGGTATAAGAGAACCTCTGGAATGGCACTTCAAACAATTAGACCATGACATGGGTCTTGGCTTTATTAATAACTTTAACTTTGCTCTAGTCGGACATTTACTCAAAGGTATATAAAATTTACACACAAATTTTTTTTGTGGAAAATGTATTTATTTTCTTTTACATATATATGTAAAAAATAATATCAATTAACTTGCATACTATCATGAATACTGAATTAGATAATCAACAAGTTATTTTCGACGAACAGTCTTTTCTCATCATTATAGTTTTGATTGAAATATATGTTTAGAATTATTGAGATATATATCAATTGAAAATGAGCTGTTAGTTAGATTAACATTCTTATCTTTACTATTCCTAGTATAATATTTAGGTTATAAATAATTGTATTTGTAGGTTTTCGTCATCCATCAGCTACTACTGTATCTCGTACTATTCGTGTTCTACATCAACTGTTAAATATCACTGTTAAACATACAAATAGAGATAAATTTGTTGTTACCATACATACTGTACCATATTTAGCAGGTAGGTTTTTACCCTTCTCATTTACTACACAAGCTGGCATTCTGTAGAGGGATGCTGTTATTGGAATGAACAAATTCTGAATTTGGACCAATGATATAGTATCATTTGTAAAGTACATGTAGTTTCATTTTGTTTCCCTAATTCTTTGATTCCATTTTATACAATCTTTGATTCCATTTTATACAATCTTTGATTCCATTTTATACAATCTTTGATTCCATTTTATACAATCTTTGATTCCATTTTATACACTGTTAACACAACTTCACAAGCCTTTTCTGTGTGTCAAATTACAATGGGTTAAAAGCCATTTAATGTAAAAAAATCCATTATAAATGAAATGAAATGGGCTTTGATTTTTCTGTACCAGCAAGGCTAATAATGAAGACCAGCCTATGCCATGTGGTGTGCTATGACTCTGAGTGAAATCTGTCTATATCAAAAAATATGAGCAAAAAAATGCAACTAAAATGTGTTACTGTGTGCATTACACTGAACGAACAAAAGAGAGACAAAAACAATGCCTTTTATGGTTTGTTGCTTGCTGTGTCTTATGTGTAATATGTCTTGCCCACAGGTTTGTCTAAAAAGTTTCTATGTATTAATGTGATAATCATGTACCAAGATTTGCCAAGCCCAATTCCTACTTCTCGGGGAAAATTGTTTCTAATAGCCAACACAGGGAAAGTTATTAAATTGAAAGGAAAACTAACTTTTCATGCTTAGACTGCAGTTCAATTGCAACATTTTAAAATATAAATTCAAAGAAAAATTAAAATAAAAGTAAATGAACAGAATTAATTGTTGTTTTGGTAATTTTATTTTACAGCGCTTGTGTCCGTGTCAGAAGAAGTCAGAAGTCGATGTCATTTAAAACATCGCACACCAAATTACATGATCTCAGAATCCACATCAAATGACAGTCTTAATGCTGAGGTAAATAATGCTGCTCAAGGCACATCTCCTATTACGCCTCCTGCAGGACCTACACCTTCACAGGTCCTACCACCTCCAACCAACACTCCTCGACGACAGAAAAGTTGGGACCATTTAGATCAAAATGCTGTCAATTCGGCCAAATTACAGAAAGGTGCTCAAGTTAGTCAGAGTCAGGTAGTACTAGTTTATGTTTTATTTGTTGGTTTATGGGCTATATGTCTTCAATATTTTAAAATTCATCTATTGTTGGTAGATCCTTAAATCCTTTATACTTTTTATCTAAAAAGTGACACTATGTCCAGTGCCCTCAAAATATATCTACTATTTTTAATATACAATTGTTTAATTTTCTGGAAAATATTTATCAAAATACATTCAGTTCCCGAAAGTAAAACACAGTATATTAACAGACTCAAAGTTAAAGTCAGTATATATATCTTAAGACGAGTCATGGTTGTTATTTTTATAAGCTTAGTTAAAGATATTTTATGTCAGTACAGAATTTGAATTATTTGATACAAAAGCGGTATTAATTTTTAAATCTGGTCACTGATATTTTCATTTGCATAGTGTCACTTTAAATATCCCTGTATCTGTATGATCCAATAGATATCAACCTTGCACTAATACACCTTCCTGAAAAAAATAGCTTCATATTAAAACTGCACTACTCATTATCATTGATTGAAGCACTTTCTTTCTTTATATATTTTCTTTCAGTTGGTAAGTTATTATATGCATCTGTATATGATTATTGAAGCATAGGTCTAGTGTAATTCAAATGTTAATGCAGTTACAATTTGTTAGCTGTTCTTTTTTTTTTGCACCATAGAAAAGTTACTAGGTAATTGTAGAAGAACTGTGTAAGGTTTCTTTGTAGTTTATATCAAGAGGATATAATTACACACTAAAAATCCTGTCTTTATATACCCCCCAGAGGGATTATTTATTTTGTACCAGTTGATGAAGGGCTGTAGCCTGAAACATGTCCTGGATTAAACCAATTTATTTGGATCTTTAAGAATAAATGTGAAAGCTCTAAATGTCATCCTGAATATCATTCTATTTTGATACGCATCATCATCTTTTCATTAATATACCTTCTGATAGGGTGGCCATATAATGATAAAGATCACCGTCTTAGTTACAGATCCTGATGTCAATATTGCCTTAGTTAGGAGATTGTCCTAAAGTAAATTATCATCTTTTGTCCTATGATCAAAGTTATAGGCTGGTTAATAGGATTACCATCCTTGGATAATTACTAGCTTACTGATAAAACAAATTCTAGGGTAGATGTAGATGGAACTGCCATTTTATACGACTATCATTCTAGGATAAATATTTTATTGATAGGACTGTCATCCTAGAATTAATATCACCATATCTATAGGATATACTGATGTATAGGATTGCCACCATGAGATAAATACCATCTTACTGGCAGGACTGCAATTCTGAATAGATGTTGTATAGGACTACCATTCTAGGATAAATATTGTATATAGGAGCGCCATCCTAAAATTATTATCACCCCCTCTATATATCTAGATTTAAAAACTGATTTACAGGACTGTCATTCTAGGATAGGTATCATATTGGAGTGCCAGCCTATAATTAATATCATCATATTGATAGAACTGCAAGTCTTTGGTAAATATCATCTTATTGATAGCACTGCAATTGTATGATAAATATCATCTTATTGATAGCACTGCAATTGTGGGATAGATATCATCTTATTGATAGCACGGCGATTGTGGGATAAATATTGACCAGAATTACAATCATTTTACTGATAGTGATAGGATATAGTTGTCATATTATCTTGAGATCACCATTTTAAGGTTAAAGCCATTGCTTCCATGATGGTTAAGTTATAGATATACAATTAATTAATATTGAGATTGTTAATTATGCACAGTAATTGTTTGAATTCAAACAAAATTATAAGTTTTGCCCTAAACCAACAAATATGATTATTCTAGTCTTACTCTGAAAGGCTTCCAAGTACCATTTCTTTCCATACCCATATTTTATAATGCTTTTGTTTTTATATTGTCCATATTGTGATTATATGTAAAAAGTGTAGTAACATTTTTTGTTTAAGTTTAATTCATTTCAAGTATTTTATTAAAAATTTTCAAAGAATTACTCAACCATCTCACATGTGTCTTGAAACTATACACAGAAACTTAAAAGGATGTACAGCTCTAACTCAGTATTATCCCTTATATTCGGCATTAAAAACACGAATTAAACTTCAGAATTGGTCCAGTTCAATCAATATTCATGGTTATCTTACTGTGAAAATATGGGCTAGTTATATTCAATATTAACAACACAATGAACATCTTCCCTTCATTGGGTTCTCAAAGGTCTCAATCAGCATTTATAATGAGACGGCTTGATGAACAAAGCAAAATGTATTCCTCAGATCAATGCAGAAGTAATTAAAAATGGCAGATCCATTAACGACAAAAAGATAAACTTTTAGACTGGACTAACCAGTTGCAAATGACAATAAAAAAACCTTAAAAATTGAAGGTAAATCAGTTTATGTATATTCATATTACATTAAAATGTACTTTGTGACACATTTTCGTCTATTTTAAAGGCTCAATACCACTCTTGTTGTAACTGAATAATATGTCCCAATCTTTATTCTGGTCAACAAATTGTACTATTTTAGAATATTTCAATTAATTGATGATACAAATTTCATCTTAACACACCTTATTTAAAAAATTTGAAAAATTCAACATAATGGTTTGAAACGTCTAACGTAAACCTTTTCAAATGAAACTTCGATTTAAAATACTTTCGAACCCTCTGGACAAGTAAAATAGGATGTAATGGATAATTTACACAACAGGTAGGACACTTAAACATCTAGTACTTAGATAGAGATATTATTTATTTTCTGGAGCTTTCAAGCCAGCAAGAGTGTTATTGTCCCTTTAAGGTACAAAAGAATAGAGCTATACACCCTTTAATATTTCCTTTTCTTTGTAAGGCCATACAAAATAAAAAATCCTGGTTTTCAGAAACCACTGTGTCACAAAAATAGGTCAACTTGATAAAAGCATCCTCATTGATTACTGCATGTTCATATTTCCCGACTACAAAACCCGGACAAAGGTTATTGAAAGTCATAACTTGCACAGTGAAGATATGTAACACAGGAATTAGTAATTATGTTAACAGTATGAATAAACAGATGATGAGATAACCAGATGATCGTTTGACAAAGTAAAGACCTCCCTGATCCATCCAATGTTTTGAAGGATTGTCTGAGAACCAGAATGATGTTATTGTACAGTTAAATGTAAATTCTAGATAAAGCTACAGGTTTATCTGTTAGACAACGCATACAAAGTTATAAAATTACTCACAAGTGATCATAGTTTTATGTAGGATCCATAAAAGAATTCACATAACAATTGCTTTATAATGCATTCATATACATACACATTGTACTACAATAGCAATACATGCATGGTTAATGAATTTTTGATAGTACTAGAGTAGTGTTTACAGATAATATTTTGTTTAATAATATTAATAACTCTTATGCTAATTTTATTCTCACTGTTCATAAAAGTAATATATCTTTTTTTACAGGCGAGCAGTCCAAAATTTTGGAGAAGTTTAGACTCAGAACCTAATTCCCGACCACCATTTAAAGTGCGAAGTAGTTCTGTTCCCACTCCTGGAACTAAAAAAATAGAAACAGCAAAAGTTATTCCCCAACCCCGAAGTGGTCGCAGTTCAGTGTCCAATGAAAATAATGTCCTTTTAGACCCTGAAGTTCTCAATGATTACCCTACCCAAGCTTTGGTTTTAACTGTCTTAGTAAGTAAAAAAAGAGAAACTGTGGAATCTGTCACTTCCGACATCGTAGGAGATCATTAAAATATGCAGTATTACACAGTTTGATGTAATACTCAATACCAGAATGTACACAATAGATCGATGACCAATTTTGGAATTGCATGTCGCCGACAGTTTGACATCAGTACAGCACATATAATGATCTACGAGATAATGCTAAATATAGTTGGCGTAATTTTATAAAAGATATTATTTGTGCAGTCATACATCCAAATTCAAAGACAAAGATCTGCAGTGATTAAAATCCATTTTTATACACCCACATAGAAATGTGGTTGTATATTGCTGTCACCCCTGTCCATCCATCCGACGATCCATCGTGCTGCTAGTCCATCATCCACACTTTCTAGTGAACACTCTACATTTATCATTTGATTGTTTTGAAATTAATATATGTTGTTTACTTTATTGAGATGAAAAAACATATTTAATTTCAATAATTTCCGTTGATTTCTTTTGGAGTTATGGGCCTTGTTTCACTTTATTGCACCTTGTGAACGTTCTAATGACAAAAATTATCATCCGATCTGTATGAAATTTATGTGCATCCTTTAAATTAGTAAAATGAAGAATCCTATTGAATTTCAGCAATTTCCGTTAATTGTGTCTAGAGTCATGCCCCTTGTTTCACTTTGTTGAACCCAATGAATTCTCTATCAACAAAAGTTATCATCTTGCAATCTGTATGAAAGGAAGAATCCTATTGAATTTCAGCAATTTCCATCCATTACTTCTAGATGGCACTTGTTTCACTCTGAATTAGTAAGACTATTACTAATTACTTAAAGGAGCTAAATCGTTAATATTTGGGACCTAGAAATTGACCCTAATGGGTCGCAACGCATATAATAATGAGTCTCAATTTCTAGCGTCTGGTTATTCCAGTCTATTGCGCATGCTCTCCAGATAAGATGTGGTGTCACCGTTTGACAGGAGTTATGGAATATGTCTAGCCTCGTTCTTTCTGGTCACTTGTTACAAATGACACTAAAACGCACTATGTTACACGATTCGTGTACCAATGGTAAAATGTTTATTTTGTCTTAAATATTGGATATCAGAAGCCTACCTTTTCCCGGTAAGATCACAACATCAATGTTGATTTGAATTGACAAATAATTCCTGTTTTCAAAGTGTAAGACTTTGGATGATATTGAGTTAGAGACTTAGTTACTTTAAGGCCTGTTTTTCAGTTTGCATAACCTTTTGAACCCTCAAACGACAAAATTTATAATCTGATATGTATGAAATGGTCTTGTAAATGCCTTCGATTACCTACAAATGAATAAATATGCGACCTTTGTCGAGTGCTTGGACGATTTAGCTGCTGTGGGCGTATGTTTCATTTCCTGGCAACCTATCTTGAACACGTGCGAGAAAATCTGTTGAGATTGTCAACAGAGATACAGAATGCATGTGTGCACTAGTTAAAACATTGAGAATGTTTTCAGACGACTTTTGAGACATCTTAATTACCATGGTAATCAGCAAATACTGACTTGGTTTTAATCTCATGACAGGGTTTTAATCTCATGAATAATTGGTTATTGCTTGTCAATCTTTTGTAGGTTAGCACCCACTGATTAACGGTCAAATTGTAGAATGTAAATTGAATGCAGTTTGTGTGACGGGACCGCTAATTGATGTCATAATGTGTAATATTCCAAATACCGACTATTCAAAACATTGCACATTGACGTAAGAAGGAGAAAAAAAAATCGGGTCCTCCAGTTTCCTCCCACTGCTAAAGACCACAACGCACAAGCGAATTATTGAAATAAAATTGAGCCACATGTTAGTTCCAAAATGACCTAGTTTGTGTTGAGTGGATGTTAAAACCCCATTTCTCTCTCTCTATTCAGAAGCCGAATGTGACAGATTCCACTGTATCATTTTGAATAGGAAAAACATCAAATATTTGGAATTCTGAAATATCAGAATTTTTACATTTATTGTTTAACGAATTGAAAACATTTAAAATGTTATTTGTTAACAAATGTCCAATTACTACCCAATATCATAGTGTGATTTATATGTTCTTGACCTGTTTTATAATTCTATTTTATTTTAGGCTACCCTTGTTAGAAATACAACAGATGAAAATGAAACTAGAATTTTATATGAATATTTAGCAGAAGCTTCTGTTGTGTTCCCTCGTGTTTTTCCAGTCATGTTAGTATACACATGTATTGAATAATATATAATTATACATATATATCCAAAATTATACATATACAACCACAAATCGAACTCAATACGCATTGGTCTTTCTTGACATTATAAGACTTTAAATATAAAGAATTAGTTGTCCCCACCTTTCGAAGAAAACAGGGGACTATTAAAATGGGTTCGTCTGTCTGTCCGTCACACTCCTTGGGACACAATAACTCTTGTTCTAATTGAGCTAGAATGTTCAAACTTGGAGTAGGTGTTTATTAGGTGGATGTCTTGATGTAGTTGGATGATGAACATTGTCTGCTAACTGTAAGCAGAGATAAGCAATTTGATTGGTTGATGCTTTTGGGCATGATAACTTTGGTTATAATTAGGTGAGAGCTATGAAACTCTGAGTATAGATTCATTATATCATTACCTTGACTAAGTTTGATGAGAATTTTCTGCTTAAAAGGCTAAGGAGCAATGAGGAATTTAAACATACATTATGCAAGAGCTAAATCTGTCTATTGCAGGTCTTTCTCGGTTCATAGTGGATCAATTTGAATGAAATTTTCAGCAAATTGCCATTACGTTATCTAGATTTTAACTATTATAGTGAGAACTGCCAACTCGTTATCGAATCTCCCATAATGTATCTTTAATTGGTCAAGACTCTGGAACATAACAACTCTGCTTTTAATTGAGGTAGTATGTTTAAACTTGATATTAGGTGAATGTCTTAACTGAGTTCAATGATTAACATTTCCCGCTAAACCTAAGCAGAGCTAAGCAATTTCTTTGACTTTGATTCTATCTGATAGACAGTGATGAAACTTAGTGTATAGTTGATAATCATTTTGATTGTTCAATACTTTTAAAAATGATAAACATGCAATTAATTAATGTGTTATCTATTTATTTCGGGAGGGGACATCAGCCTCACTGTTGCTTGTTTTCTGGGATAATGCTGCACAGGTAGTGTTATTGCTTGTTAAAAGAGGAATGTAGTATAATATGCAAATTGTATAGTATCTATGAGCTGTGGATGTCCCATGTTCATCAGGATTTTCCAGTGTGATTCCCTCTTTGTCAGTAGTGCAGGACGGAGCGCCTGGCAAGGGATAACGTATAGTTGTTCGAAAGGCACATATTGGTGTGCAAGTAAAAGAAACTCTTCACATTTGAAATAAGAGTACGCTGTACCCCCAATGCCCAGAAAATATTTCCCCATGGTACAATGTATGGCGTAAGCCTGTGTTCATTACCCCAGTTGGTGAAGAAAACTAGAACGTGAAACTCCATTTCATTTGTACAGTGTTACATTTTTGTTGTCGAGTGTTGTTATTTACTTGATAATATTTATTATTTTTGTTTTTCAGTCACAGTTTATTGGATGCTAAAATTAATAATGTATTATCGCTGTGTCATGATCAGGCTATATTAAATGCGGTACAGAGTATTATACAAAACATGATAGCCTGTGAAGATGCCACACAATCTCTCTCTTATTTACAAAGTAAGATTCCCTAATATTTCTCTTTTTTTTTTTATTAAGGAGGAGTTTAAGTATGCAAATCAAAGCGCCTTATACGAAAAACTTACTTTGTATGAAGGTTTCAGCTAAAAAATAGTGAGTCATTAGGAAAGGATTGCCAAAACAGTTACAAAGATTACATAACTCATTTAGAGGGTTCGTCTGCAATTGTTCATACTTTGCCAAAAGGGAATTAAATGCAGCAATGATCTAAATTATATTACTCTCTCCGATCTTCATTCATTCTATTACTCTCTAACACTTGTCTGAGCATATATCTACACTTCTGGAATGTAAAGCTGTATATAGTTGAGTGTAAATATATCTGATAATATTTTCAATTTTATTGTTGATAAATTTCTTTTAATTTGCTTTTCATTCATTTAGGTATTGGGTTTGGTGGTTTATGGAGATTTGCAGGAACATTTACTAAGGTATTTCTTATTAAAATTGATTTTGTAAAGAAAATTTTATAAAAATGAAAAAAAAATTAAAAGCAATGTTTTTATGAAGTGCATTTTTTTTGTCTGTGTTTATTTAGTGACAATTTTTTTCTGTAATTTCAGAATGCTGGTAGTAGTGATACACCTCAGTTATTTGTCAATTGTCTGGAAAAGGCCATGATGGTGGAATCGTGTCTCCCTGGTGATGACCTTGACATTCTTAACCCCTATCCAAGCAACCTTGGAATCTCATCTAATTTAAACCTCTCAAGCTCCATGTCAAGCCTGAGTGTCAGCAGCATGCATTCCCCAACTGATAAAGACAATCATAATTCCGACAAAAATATTGCCAACGGCAACCGTATGCGACACTCCTCAGCTAATAACTTGCCACCCAAAAATAGAACCGGAAGCTTTAAACAGAAAGAGAAAAAGAAACTTGTTGAGCAGGCAGAATAATAATGTGGTTTATGTTTTGTTTACTTGTTGTTATCAAGAAGAAAGATGGTTGTTTTATCGTTTACACTGTGAATGACGCTAGTTTAAACACCCATGTGTTCTTCAAAAACTTTTATTCAGTTAAAATATCTATACGCAATCGTTGCCAAAAACTCACTCATCCTGTTATAAACTTTCAACTTAAAATGAATTTGTTGTCAAAGTATCATTCAAAAGTTAGGTGTAAATCTTTTTAATGGTTATGTTGTTATATGGACTTTGTATATTATACCTGGTTGGTCAACTTTCATTTTTGTCAAATCATACATATCAAATTTCAATTAATCATTTATATTCTGATGTACAAACTTCTTACACTGATATTGTTATACACGAATTTCATCATACAATATGAAAAGCGCTATCATACACACATACATACGCAGAAACTCTATATTCCCTAAAGACAATTCAGATGGCATTATAATAATATTATTTTTGTGTCGTTATTAAGATTATTAAATGTTTTATCCAAGTTTTTGCCTTGTGAAATGATAAAATGTGTTGTTGATTATTGTTGTTAGCTTATTGAAGTCGGCTTTGTTATGTTGTATTTAAATGAATATATATATATATTTTTATTATACAGTTATTGGCTGATTGATGGATATTAGTACCTACCAAACAAAATGGCTGTAAACCCTTTCTGAAATCTTAAACTAAAAATTACCAATTGAATTGGTGCACTTTTGGAAGAATGCTATTCTAATCTGAATTGAGCAGGTTTATCATTGCTTAAATCAAATAATGACAGGAGTTATAATATGAAAGGGGTGTTTTTCAAAGTCCAGAATAGATCATTTTCTCAAAGGAAGGATTCCATTTTCAAGAGGTGAATCAATAAGTGCACTCTTTACAGTTTGTGTGCTTATTTGGTTTATTTATTAATTAAATTATACTGGATTGTTCTGTGTTTATAAACTTAAATACAAATTTAAAACACACAATTTCGTAACAGATAGTAGTTTTGTCAATGTCCACATGCTATTTTGTTTGGAAGGTCTTTATATAATAAAACCCTTTTTAATGTAAAACCACTTTTCTAGATATATGTGTCATATATCTATTATCAGATTTTTCTTTTCTTTCTAAACATTATTTGATAAGGAAAATTAAATAACAGATAACAAGAATTCAATGCATTATGCATAGTTAGATATATGAATACAGTAACAAACAATAAGATTGGAGATTAGATGGGTTGCCAGATCACAGGGACCGGGAATGAGAATGATGACATTTAACATGAATAATGTCCTCTTTATTATTCTGTAAATTTTATTTTAATGCTCTGCTTGGTATGTCCCAAAACAAATGGTCCCAGAACCTTTTGCAGCGCAACTGTTTGCCTTTTGATAATCTTTTTAAATAATCATCTATTACGTATGTCTGTTATTGAACATATTGAATTCGGAAGAAAAGAGTTAAATATATATTACATGGAAAAAAAATATCAAACCAAAATATAGCCCAAAGTAGACAACAAGATATTTTCAAAACATATGTAGGTCTATTGGTGTATTATTAAATGGGTCATGAGTTATATGTGTATATTGAATATACACATCTTAAAAAGTTTCTGATAATAATTAGATATTCTATAGTATCATTAAAAATTCTATTCATCACAATACATACAAACATTCTACAATTTATATATTTCATGACACAATATAATTGTAAATAAAATATAAAATTTGTATCAATTCCAACATACATATATAAAATGTATTGAAAGAAAAATGAAATATTATTTTTAATCAGTGATTATATATTAATTTAAAAATATATACATAAACAAAAATTTGTTGATGGAATTAAGAAAATATTTAATGTAAGGAAATGTTTCCACATATATTTTGATAGAACAAGACACAAAATTAAGAGTGTTAGCAGCTTATATGATTAAACACCCACACTTTATATTGCCGTCGACCGTCTCTGTCCATTGGTCTGTAATTCACATTTCTTGTTGTTAGCACAATATAGGCAACAATTGATATATGTTGTCTATCTTACTGCAGTGGTTCTCAACCTTTATTTGCCAACGTCACACCTTGGAACACATGAAAAAATTGCGGCACACCTGGCTAAATATATATGAAAAATATTTGAATTTTGAAAAATAAAAACATGGCAAGTCATAGACCGCATACAACCGTAGACACAGACTAGTCATAGACACGTAGAATGACTCAAACTAAATAAAGAAAACACAGCTAAGAACTTATCAGTAGACATCAGTGAATACTAAATTGGGATCACATGGTTTTTCGCATTTTCTTAGTGTGCCGTTAAAAATTTCGCAGCACACTTGGGAAGATCTCACTGGTTGAGAATCACTGATCTTACTAAAATGAAGAAATCTATTGATTCTCAACATTTTTTGATAATAACCTCTTTTACTACAAAATGTTGTTGTTAGAACTGTATAATCTGCAATTATTAAACCTATATTCCTGAAATTTATGCTGGTTACCTGTTGATATTCTAGACTTTAATAATAACTTTCAGAGTTATTCCCCTTTAGCACCATACAAACTTAATCATGACCAAGTCTGAAATCTGTATGCTTGGACAATTTCGCTGCTAGTGGCTGCATGTTTCATTGCGACAATGTATGTTGGTTTTTGTTCAAGGTATGAAAACTTTTTAAAGACTTGCAAACAAGTGTCAGTTGAATTACAATCTTATACATTATACATTAATTTATGTCACTGAATAAATCTAAGATAAAAGTAGAATGGTCTATTAATGTCCTCTGCTCCTACTGAAATAGTTTGTCATTTTTTTTCTAGATCTCTCTTTGTTAATAGGTGGAAATCATGAAGAACTTGGACAAAAGAGTGCAATTTTTTGTAGTATTTATATTGAAATATAATATTGTTATAAATTAAGCATTGCTTCTTAGTGTAGACATATTATTTTTGAACAATACATTTTTAAAAACTATTATATTATGATATGTGATATATATTAAATTATGTTCTTAGATTATCTGATCATTTATAGTCACTATGTAATATACTTATGATATACATTATTATAATATCAACATTTTTAGAAAACAAGTACCTCATACCTTCAAAATATTTAATTTCATAAATCTTCAAAACTACCATTTTATTCAAATCAAAATCTTTTTCTACATTTTTCTGGCAGTTTTTTTTTTCTAGAGTGCCATATAACTATATTGGGAAATACACATTATGACTGATTTACTGTATGTATATAATTCTCCTCAAATATCTTTCAGTCAAGCTGGTCATTTTCATGCACAGGATAATGCATTTTCTGTTTTAATTCAAGTTGTAAAATCTAAGACAAAGTATAAAAATTATCAATAAAAGAAATTTAAAAAGAAGAATTGCTTAAAAATAAGACTGAATATAGAAAATATGGTTGCACTATTAAAAGTTGATCTGACTTAAAAATAAAAAAAATCATAGTAGACAAGACTCGTATAAGGCAGAGATGTCGACACCCTACATTACTCTTGTATCTGATTTGGATAAAAGCTTGCCTAGTGTATTCAGATCTATAATGAATTTTACAAAGGTCTGAATTTTTATATGTATTTTCTGCCATGTCTTGGGAGTTAAGAATATTTGAAATTTCAAGCTATTTATTTGGGTATCATCTCATCAATGTTAAACTATGTTATATGAACATTGTTTTTAGTGCATAATGTAATCATTGTTGTATTGGAGTTGTATTGGGCCATTTTCTTGAGTCACAATAAAGCACCATATCAACCTATAGTTCTGTTTAATTTATTTATTTTAACATCAATAAAAGGGACTGTAACAGTGATCTGTGATAGATTCTACAGTCACTATCAAAGAAAACCCCTTAAACAGTGTAGGAAGCAATTTGGAAATTGAAGACCTCCCGAAAATTGAAAATAAATGACCCAACACATTTTCCTGCTTTGATCCCCACATATATTTTTTATGGGAATCCTTTAAGGGGTTATTCTACTCTTCCTAGAGAGAAAGTAACAGAAGAAACTTTTTGAGACATCTTTTACAATTTTCCAGACATTATAAGATGTTGTTAGTGAATAAACAGAAAGGTGAACATTTGGAACATATCCTGAAAAAAAAATTGAACCTACACATTATGTAATGAAAATATATACTTTGTCTTTCTAATGGTATTAATATCATTAACCTATTATTATTAGTCACAAAAACATAATTTATTTTTTTTCAAATATGTAAATATGTCGACCCCTCCTATATAGTTATCTTGTCCTTTTCCAGTCCCTCTGTCCTGCACCACTAGCAAGGGGGAACCACGCCAGAAAATCCTGATGAACTTTCTCGGTCAACACAGAGATCGAACACAGGACCACCAGATTAGCGAGCTAACGTCTTACTCACTGAACCACCGTGGCTTTTATTCTAAAAGATTGACGTATTTTAATGATAATGCAGAAGCTGCAGCGTGATCTAATTGTTTTAAAAGTCGCTTCTAGGACTGTTTGGCTAGTTAGAAACAGGAACCTTGTCGAAATTAGTGATAAGATGGTCAAATGAGCTTTCCTAAACGATATCTACACTTAAAATTAGCGACAAGATAAACAAAATATTTGTCATAAATTAAGTTTTCTTCGACTATAATAGGACATTATGACGTAAACAATGTGATAACGTCATACAATCAAAATAACATAATGATAATCAATTTTCTAAGAATATCCACACAAATTTTTCTTTTTCAGAAAACGTAGCTTTATTAAAGATTTCACAAATTTATTGAACGGTTCAAGTTAATTACAATCTGATTAAAATACAGATCTATATTTCGTTTCTTTTTTTATATACTTTCGATGGCCTACACTACAAGAAATGAAATGAAATGAATTGGGGTTTAACGTCCTACTGTTCTGCTCCTATGCTGGGCTAATGAAGATGGGCATAATCCATACAGTGTGCTATGAGGGAAATTTTGCCCGGGCAGCAGCACCACCATCGCCTACTCTTATATCGAATTCCAACTGCCAAGTGATCTTTTACGTGCATTTCAATGTATACACGGGACCTCGGTTTTTCGTATCATTCGAAGGACTAGACAGCTATCCTTGTCAGGCCCTCCGTCCAGGGGGAACCACGCCGGAAAATCTGGATGAACTTTCTCAGCCAAAACACCCAACCTCCAGACTACACTACAAGTAGATCTTACCGGTTGTAACGATAGGTCGCGTCAGAGGTCATACGACGTCAGACATTTGATTAACCAATCAGCATTGATGTTACTAGTAGATGAATATTAACCTACTAGACATGAATAAATTCATGATCTTATTTTTAAACATTTGTACATATATTTGCTTTCAAAATTGGCAGACTAGAACTACAAAATGTTTTTACTTCTTGCATATTAATGTTACGGAAAGAGTAGGCCTAAACTCTCATCCGCCAAGATTAAAGAACATTTAGATTGGGTAAATACATAAAAATCAGTGAGAGTGAAATAGATCGGTTCAGATAGAAGACACAGACATATTTATACAATTCCTCCTTTACGACACCATAAAAAAAATGTTTGATTGCAGCAGATTTCAGTTTCTCCTTTATGGCGAACATAACAAATGTTTGCAGATTTCAGCCTAGACCCCTAACTAGAAAGTTCTATGTCAAAAAATTAGACATATCTGACTTTTAATAAAGTAAGATTAGATAATTAATTTTCTTCAGTCAAATGTCACGAAAATCTGACGCTTTTTAAAATTCCTAATATGCGGTTTTCTCTATTATCAGATTCTCGACAATTGGTGGTGTCTGACAATTCCAGCATCTTACAGAATGATCTTGATATGACAGATAGTCGTAGTCTGACAATTCCAGCATCTTACAGATTGATCTTCATATGACAGATAATCGTACCACCGTGCATTTATAAAAACATGTCCAAGAATTATTATTATTCTATGGGCGATTCTTATTTTCATAATATGAAGCAATTTTGGAAAACGCCGTTGGAAACGGAATTCAAAATCAACAGTACAATTATCAGGATGTTGGTGCATCTTTGGAGGTTCGGCGTAATAGAAACTCTTTTCCAAAAAGTCAAAACACACCCGATGGCGCCTTTCTTAGTCTCGAAGAACTTCAACGGGTTATTCGGAAATTTAAACCAGTTCACCTACCTATAGAGATACCAGTTCTAATGTACAAGAATATCAGCCATGGAAGGCAACACCAGACCACGGACTATATAATGCCACAGGTATGACCAGAAATCGCGTTTGGAGTAAATGCAATGTTGCCGCTAATTTTCCCAGACGTTCCGACGTTCCTGGCGGTGCCATTGTCTCACTTGCAGAACTTCAAACAGCAATACAGCTTTAAAAACCAGTTTTGAAATGGAATGGAGCGATTGAAAGTAATTGGAATCGACGAAATAATAGTGACTGTACGGTATTTCAAACAGATAACAATATCTACCATGGTGATTGCAAGCCGATCAAAGTCATTCCGATAACAACGGAAGAATTAAAAGATAAAGGAGATCAGTATGAATGTCATAATGAAGAGTTACAACTTCATACTACACAGAGTCTAGAGCGTTGATAACGTTACTACCCGCATCTAAAAACAACATTTTACCATAAAAAAACAAACAATGATAAATTGGCGAAAGAGGCAGAACAGATCATTGAAATCATTGTATATATGAAATGTTGAGATTGATAAAGTTGATGTTTGGGCAGTCATCAAGACCAAGAAACGAAGCTTATATTCAAAAGATCTCGGTTCCTTTCGATATTGATATGTATCGGATCGTAACTTCGTGGATTATGACCCCTGATTTTCGAAAAATCGTGACTTTAGTTTGTGGACACTTTAGATGTCACAATTATATCCGATTTTGATGAAACTTAAAATGTACATGTATATCTAAAATCCAAAGATTTCGGTCCTATTCTATATTGGCGCATATCGGACCGAAACTTCCTGATAGTACGAAAATCACGTTTTTATACACCCATATTTTCATGTGGACGGATATTGTCGTCTCCCCTGTCCGTCCGGACGTCCGTCCGTCCGTCCGTCCGTCCGTCCACAATTTGTTTGTGGACACTCTACAGGTCACAATTCTTATCCAATTTTAACGAAACCTGAAATATAGGTGTATCTCCAAAAGATCTCAGCTGCTTTCGATATTGGGATGTATCGGATCGAAACTTCATGGATTATGGCGCCTGTTTTTACGAAAAATCACGTTTTTGGCTTGTGGACCCCATAGAGGTCACAATTTTTATCCGATTTTGTTGAAACTTGAAATGTAAGTTTATAACCGAAAGATCTCGGTTCCTTTCGATATTCGCGCTTATCGGACCGTAACTTCCTGAATTATGGCCCCTGATTGTACGAAAAATCGCGTTTTTAGCTTGTGGACCCTATAGAGGTCATAATTTTTATCCGATTTAAAAAACGTATTATTATATCACCGTTACACCCTAAGGACGGCTAAGTTCGAATTTCGTGAAAATCGGCCCAAAAATGACAGACAAAATGGCCGCCCCTCGATCTCAAATAGCTTAAAAATATGGTATATCAAGGTTGTGGACCCTATAGAGGTCACAATTTTTATCCGATTTTGTTGAAACTTGAAATGTAAGTTTATAACCCAAAGATTTCGGTTCCTGTCGATATTTGCGCATATCGAATTGTAATTTCCTGAATTATGGCCCGTGATTGTACGAAAAATCGCGTTTTTAGCTTGTGGACCCTATAGAGGTCATAATTTTTATCCGATTTAAAAAAACGTATTATTATATCACCGTTACACCCTAAGGACGACTGAGTTTGAATTTCATGAAAATCGGCCCAAAATTGACAGACAAAATGGCTGCCCTTCGTTCTCAAATAGCGTAAAAATTGGGTATTTCAAGGTTGTGGACCCTATATAGGTCACAATTTTTATCCGATTTTGTTGAAACTTGAAATGTAAGTTTATAACCCAAAGATCTCGGTTCCTTTCGATATTCGCGCATATCGGACTGTAACTTCCTGAATTATGGCCCCTGATTGTAGGAAAAATCACTTTCTTTTTAGCTTGTTCTCTATCCATCTCTCGAAAATGTGGGCGTATTCTGCCTGGCAGCCGCTGGTTTTGATATTGTTTGCTGTAGGAAATTCTACAGTTTCCGTTTTGTATTTCATCACGTTTTGTGTAGAGACTGCACAGTTGTCCCACTGTCTTCAGTTTCTTATTAATACTAACTTCTATGAAGTTGTTATACACGTACATTGAATTTAAAATTTTAAAATTCAGCCAATGAACAAACAGTCTTCTCTTGGATTAACTTTAACCAGTCCCTTATGTTTTTTCTCTGGGTTATATTCCTGATTGTTTGTCTTTTCAATTTTGGGTGATATCTGTATCACTACAGGCTCGGGACTGTATAGCGCAGTGGACGCTTACGGCTAGCCCCGAGATCCATTCACTTAATCTGATATGTACCTTTGTGATTTCTGTATATTGTGTCTTATCCGTAATTTTGTTTTGTGTAATTATGTGTGGTGCAGTCCCCCTGCACTTACTATTAACTAACGGATAATGAATAACAAATATTTGTAAAATTAAAAAAAAACAACCCGAAAACCCACCCCCTATTGTTTCAACAATGTAATGAATAACTTGTTTTAATATATTTTATTTATCATTCATCTGAAGTGTTATAATAACTATTTACAGACTAATGAAAGTGTACCAATGCAGCCAACACAGACAGTTTACCCGCCACAAG